AGGCAAAAATGTGACCTCTAGAGTGTTAACAAGGTTTTTCTATTTTTAGCTCTTGTGACCTAGTTTTTCATCCGAGATGACCCATGTTCGAACTCATTCGAGCTATCAACTAGATAAGCATCCTGACCAAGTTTGATGAAGATTGAGGCAAAAATGCGACCGCTAGAGTGTTAACAACTAAATGTGAACGGACGACGGACAATCATCGATCCTAAAAGCTCACAATGAGCATGCTCAGGTGAGCTAAAAACTGGCAGGTGTGACAACAATTTAATCTAAGTGCTCTTCAAGGTAAACTAAATGAAAAAGACAATTCAAAACTCAAAGAAATAGAAGACAGACAGAAAAGGCTTAAAAACACACAATGGCTACAAGTTCCTCAAATTGACGACTGCCTTAGGCGAAGATTAAATTCAAATGTGAAGGCAGTAGATTACATACTGAAAATATGTCACGGATCAATGGCTGCCACACTTGTTCCCCTCGACAAGTTCAAAATTCAAGTAACAAAGAATTGAAACAAAAAAGATTCCACAAGACACATAAAGAGTGAGTATTGGCTCTTTGCCAGTTAACAAGAAAACACAAAATCTTTGTTGCAGGTAAAACCAAGACTTCCATTAACGTATGGGCAAATATTGTAAACGATTATTGGCTTTTAAACACTCTTAGGGTGTACAAAATTGAAATAGATGAAAACCCACACCAATATCAAAAATCCATGCAAATTTAATTAGAAAGAAGATTTTGAAAATATATATGAACAGGAACTAAATAAGTTTTGTTCGAAAAAACATAATTCAAAAAGTAAACAAGAAAACTGATGTGGGTGAATACAGTTCCAACATTTTCATCAGACCAAACATCAGGCCAAATCAAAATGGATAGATAAGATTCATACTAGATATAAAATACTTAATGACCGGTACATGTCAAAAAACGCACTTCAAAATAGAAACTTTAAACTCAGCTGTAGTTGCTATGCGAAACAATTGTTCGTTTGGTTCTTTCGATCTTACAGACGTGTTTTATTAAATACCAAAAGCAAAAAGGTCTTTACTAAGGTTCTGGTTCAAGACAATAAATATTAATTTTGTGTCCTTGTGATGGAGCTTACTAGCAGTCAAAGGGTATTTACAAAAGTGTTAAAGCCAGCATCTGCCTACTTAAGATCATTAGGTCACATTAGCACGGCCTTCACAGATGACTCCTACTTACTGGCCGCCACATATAATAAGGGTATAAAGAATATAGCTGACACAGTGACATTGTTAGATTTTTTGGACTTAACAATAAACTTAGAAAAATCGGTGTTACAACTTTGCCAAGCATTGGTATTCCTGGGATTTATACTGTGTTCAAATACTACGACAGTTCGCCTAACTGAAAAACGAAAGCTCGAAATAAAAGAGATGTGCTTTGAAATGTTAAAGAGAGACAGAGTAAAAATTCGTCAATTCGCAAAACTAATTGGAAAACTTGTAGCAGCGGAACCAGAAGTAGAATATGCCACATTATATATAAAATAGAGAAAAACAGAATCCCTAAAGAAAGTCCAACACAACAAAATTGAAAATGTTGCAGGCTCGGTTTGATTGAGATTGTTCATGGACGGTACTGGAAAGTGCAAGTTACCGTCCACGCCCCCTAGCACCGGCTTAAGCAGAATTCAACATTTAACACGAAAATAGTAAAATTTAGAGAAAGTTAAAGAAGTGACATTTAAAAACAATAATGGAAACTTTGATATTTTTTTTTGAAAATACCAGATTCAATCCCAGCCATACTGAAATAGTAGATTTCTACAATTGAAAGAAGCTTTAAGAAAATTGCAAATGGAAGTGCAGAAGAAGAACTTTATTCAGAATTGTCGTTAGTAGGTTGGGGAGGTTATGACAAACCAAATGACACTAAAACAGCAGGAGTCTGGCTTCCAGAGGACAAAACACATTTAACATTTTAGAACTTAAGGCTATCAACTATCAATAATGGCGTTATGCAAAGACCTTGAGAATTCACAAAAAGGTTAAATTGTTCATGGATAATACAGTGTGTCACACATACATTACAAAATTTGGGGGCAGGACGGAGGTTCTGGACAATATCGCTCGCGAAATTTGACTATGGTGCATGGAGCGTAATAAACACTTAAGTGCAGTTCATGTTCCGGGAAGAGAGAATGATACAGCGGATGTATTGTCTAGGAAATCGAACAATGAGTCTCTGCATGTCAGCATTTCTGGTTTATTGTTGGAAATGTATCCATTCATGAGCTTAGATTTTATTTGCATCAAGAACAAATTACAAACGTCCTTCGTATGTATCTAGGTACCCTGATCATCAAGCAATTGCAATTGATGCATTTAGCATAGTTTGGAGCAATGAATTATATTACAGAAGGTGGAGGAAAACAAGGCAAAGGCAATTCTAGTAGCACCAGTCTGGCCAACACAAAACTGGTGGCCAAATCTATTGAATCTCATATGCGGTCCTTGTCATCTTCTACCTAAACCCTTACACGATTCTGACACTTCCTCACAAACCCCATATACAACATCCTCTAAAAATATGAGACTAGGGTTTTTTGCGTATCCAGAGAGTCATGTGATCACAAGGAGTACCTAAACGGGCTCGAGCACTCATCCTTAGCTCATGCAGAAATTCCACAAAACAACAGTACGACAGACATATTGAAAATGGATACTTTTTTGTGGATCATTGTCAAATCCCTTTAAACCCAGTATCAACAAAGTATTAAGTTTTCATTCAATCTTATTTGATCAAGGACTAGGTTACAGTTAAAAACTGCTAGGTCAGCAATAAGCACTTTCTTAAAATATGATCAAATCTAGATATACACGAAAATAATCATATTATTAGATTCATGAAAGGTTGTTTCTTGGAAAGACAAACAGTACCAAAATATGCGTGTATTTGGGATGTAAATATTGTGCTGTCTTATTTAGACTCAGAGGAGACCTTACATCAAGGAAATTGTGTATGCTTTATCTTAGTGTCCGCGCAACGTTGTCAAACATTACATATGCTTAAAATCACAGACATCATATTTAGACTGAACAATGATTATGTAGTTATTAATTCAACATAAGTTCTAAAAACCAGCAAGCCAGGAAACATACTAAAACCAATGAAAATTACTGAATACCACAATTGTTTGGTTTGTTTAGTTGGAACATTCCAAGATTATTTAACCAGAACTGTTGGATTAAACAAGAGCCCAGTTTGAACCGAGTGATGCTCCCCAAATAGGGTTTTGACACAGGAAAGTACACCTCTTGTAGTTTCAGAGTTATGTCCCTGGACAAAGTTCAATAGTTCCAGAATAAAACAGAGTAATTGTTCTTTGCACTGGACTTCTAACAAATGAGATCTGTCTACCTACAAAGTTTCTTGTTGATACCTGTTATGGTTTCCAAGTTATGTCCCTGACAAAGTTTAAAATGTAAAAATGAACAAAGGGCAATAACTTTACAGTAAGGCAAGGCAGAGTTATGTTTCTTGTGCATTGCACATCTACCTATTGAGATCTATCTACCTACAAAGTTTCATGTTGAAATCTCTTATAATTATAGTCTCGGATTAGATTTTTCTAACAGGGGAGATAATTCAATTACAGGGCTACCCAGAGTTATGGTTCTTTTGAAATGCACTTCTACCAAATGAGATCTATCGACCTTCAGAGTTTCATGTTGATATCTCTCATAATTTTAGAGTAATATCTCGGACAATGTGCACAGTGTAAAAATAATTAAAGGGCAATTACTCCAAAATTTGGCAAAACAAAGTTACAGTTCTTATGCACTGTATATCCACACATTGAGATCTATCTACCTACAAAGTTTCATGTTGATATCACTTATAATTATCGAGTTATATCTCAGACAAGATATTTCTAAAAGGGGAGATAGTTCGAAAACAGGGCTGAGCAGAGTTATTATATTTTTAAAATGAGATCTATCTACCTACAATGTTTCATGTTCATATCTCTTATAATTTTAGAGGTCTGTTCTGGACAAAGTTCAAAGTGTAAAAATGAACAAAGGGCAATAACTCCAAAAAAGGCATGGCAGAGTTACAGTTCTTGTGCACTGCACAGCTACCCATTGAGATCTATCTACCTACAAAATTTCATGTTGATATCTATCTCTTATTATATAGTTTTAGAGAAATGTCCCGGACAAGATTTTTTTTCTAAAAGGGGAGATGGTTCAAAAACTGAGCATCTACCTCTAAAGCAAAGAGTTGTGGGGTAGATCTAAACACTAATATTAAAACAGCTGGCTGGACAAATGCAAAAACATTTGCGACTTTCTATGACAAGAATTTAACACCATCAAAAACTGTTCAGGAAGCGGTGATGTCAAATGTATCGTATAATTTAACAGACATTTGGAGTGATATAAGAAATTGAAAAAAAAAAACATTCGAATTACAATATAAAACATTAATTCATTATTCACTGTAAAATTGACAGATATTTTAACATTGGAATAACAGTAAATGTTAGTTAGAATTAAGCAAATTGGTTGTTGTATTTACTTTTATTGACATCAAAACTATCTCTAAAGTCTTTGTAGGGCCCATTAAAGGAGATATGCAGGAGATGAAATTGAATAATTATCTGAGACTTACGTTAGTAAGGTGAAGGTTGATTGTAATTTCATCGACTGCTATCACCTTTAAGGGCTCACACACTCTGCCCTTCCCACCCAATGGAAAATTTAAGTTCTGATATCCACATTTAAAATTTTTGTCACATTCTGTGACAATATTTTATCATTCTTTCTCTAAAGACTGAGGTAGCTGCGTCATCTCTGTGTGAGCCCTTAAGGAGATTGCAATCGATGATCACCTTACTAAAATAAGTCTTGGTTAATTATTCCATTTAACATGACAAAATAATTCCTTCTCTTTCCACATTATGTTGTGGGAGTTAAATAATTTGGAATTCATAACTTTTATAAAATACTAGAATTGAATATAATTTACATAAGACTTTAATGTAAAAAATGATTGAAAATTTTTAACACAATTACATGTACAAGCAATATTATTACAAGAATGATTCACTGACTGAATGTGTTATGTTGAACTAGAAATGTGTCGTAACACCACAAATTTCAAATGTTGTAAATATTTAGTTCCAATGAACGGAAACTAATGATAACGGAATGACGGGACAGGGTAATGCTAACCATTTTATGGCGGTTGGCATAAAAAGTAGTAAAAATTCTGTTTTAAATCATAAAAATTGAAACATACAAATTATATTATTTATCTATCTTCCTTTTCTGTCAAACCCCTGGCAAGGAGTATGAAAGACAATAAGAATAGTTTATGTTGATGTACACTTATAATATTATGGCAAAATTAGTTAACCCATCAAACTTCAATATCAGAGATTTCATTATCTTGTTCATAACCTGCTAGCTTCTGATACTGCGGGGAAGGTATTCCTGGTGTCGGAGAACTTGTATCCTTCCTGCTATATATTTTCAACAAGTTTTTATCTTTATCAATGAGGTCACCTTTTGGTTTCTTTTCACGCTTTCTTCTCGGTTTATCATCTGCACTATTTTTTGTCTGTTTAAGCTCTCTGGCAATATCATCGGCATTTCTTGGTGTAAGAATCTGCTGAGGTAATGGACTACCTTCACGATATACAGGTGTCTCCTTAATTGGCATGAATGGTGACAATTTTCCAGATTTCAGTTCTGTATCTTGATTCCGTGCTTTCTTCGCTACTCTCTTTGGTTTTGAGTCTTCAATCTGGATTTTTGGTATATCTAGAACATTTGATGCTGGCGATGATGTGTCTCTTGGAGAACCGATCTGTTCTGGTAGAAATGATCCTAGACTGATTGATCGTAATGATGAAGGAGTGGCAGACATTGCTGGGTACATGGTAGGAGACCGATGACCAATCATCATAGGTGGTTTTTGAAGTTCAATATTTCTGGTGGTAAGCGGGGCTGGGGAATTAGAGCTCATCTTACCCACTGTATCAGTCACATGTTTTAAATGGGCAAGTGGTGCCAATGAGGAGTCAGCACGTCCCATATCTGTCACATGGCGCTGATGGCCTAAAGGTGCTCTTGATGGAGTAATTTTGTCTCGGTCAATCTCGTCAAATAATGAACTTGGTTTCACATCTGAATAAAAACAACAATACATGTATAATAATTGCCAGCAACATTTCTCCATCAGTTCCTATATCTGTTAAATGTATATACAAATGTACCTTAAATTAGTTCACCCTTGGTAACAGTAACTAAGTTTTTTCAAAATGATACAAAATGTACAAAAATGTATTCAATATTGCATTACATACATGATACAAATATTGAAGGCAAAACCAATTAATGGCTTTATAACTTGAACCTAATTATCCTTCTAAATCTATGAAATTGTCCCACTAGGCTTGAATGCAAAAAAGTCCAAAAGTACATTAAAGGAGTTCTGTAACTGAGAAGCTAGCCCTAAAGATACCTTGTAGGGATGTGCAGTCCGACCTCAGGCTTTATACTGATGCTAAAAGGTTTTTATTATCACAAAGAAGCCAAAGAGTTAAGAAAATTTAAAGTTACCTTGTATATATGTGCTAGCTTTTGCTCCACCAACTGACTTGTATTTCTTCCACAATCTCCATGCAATAACAGCAAGAATTATAGCCACTATTGTGGCAATACCAAACAAGACACCAAAGGCTATAGCAACACCAGAGCTTGTACCATCATTGCTACCCTGCTGACCGGCTTCAACCGATGTTTTAACTGCAAAAAATAATACAGGCTAAGTAAACAGCAACTTCTCATCAAATACGGATATTTTAAAGGCCCATTATGCCTCAGAAATGTTGTTATTTTTATTTCTCAAAAGGTTTTTAATTTTGTTGTACTTTTATAGTATCCAATAAGTTGTTCACTGGAAATTTACCAGAACCATCTTTTTCATCTGTTGCCTTTTGGCAATAAGTACAGTTATAGTGAATTAGTACTTTGTCTGAAAGTCAAAATTAACTACTTTGTTTTCATTTTGCTACTTTAATGACAAATTATTTGACATTTTTTCGCTGCTTTTTTAAGATAACAAACATCAAACATTCTTTAAAACCATTATTAAACATTATAAAATTAATGTTTGCCCTTTCTAAAGGCGTAAAAAATTTCTAAAGGCGTATAAATATATTTGTATCTGTGGCCTTATGTGCCTTTAATTATTCACTTGATTCTACATATCAGTTCTTCTACTGGTACAGTTTAAGTTTACAGCATCAGACAGGATAGTATGTATATAACTAGAAATAAAGATCCTTGAACAGAAGAGATCTTTAGGACTTGAAATATGTAATGTTTTACTAATTAAAATATGATTAAAATGAAAGGTTATTTTCAATGTAAAACAATGCACCTGTCAATTTTACAAACAATTACTAAACCTTTGGCACCAAGTGCACATTCAGATGAAAAATTCCATGCTTAAACTGCTCCTTCACTGCAAGTCTGAGCATATTACCTGCCATTGTGGCTTACAAAACAAAATTCCAATTACCTGACACCTGAGGGGACTAAATATTTTAAGAGCTTGGCTTATTTTATTCTCACTTGCTAGTGTGCGTAGCTTGAATGGTGCATTAAGGGTACAGTCCTTAAATCCTATATCAAAACATATTTGTTTTGTTTTTGGTTTGGTTTTCTACGTCACACCAACACAGTATAGGTCATAATATGGCTACTTTCTAGCTTTATTGGTGGAGTCATTTTTTCCGGCACAAACATGCACCAGAGTAGAACCATGGACATTCTGTAACTTCTTACTCTATAGCTTTCTCACATGTTTGAAAGAAAAGACTAGGTAAATTTTAGCAATTTCTTACAACAGGTTGGCTGTGACATGCTCCAGGATCCGTCATGAGAACATGTGATGCTTTCTGCTCCAGTCATATCATATCCAGTTGCACATGCAAATGTTGCTGAGGTCAATTTTCCGTTTGAATTTAAATTATATAACAGAGCTGTTGTATCATTCAATGGTTCACATAAAACTGAAAGCAAAATCATGGTTTATTAAGATGTTATATTAATTTTTAAACTTGTTTCATTGTAACTTTATATGCACCTAGTTAATAGGTAGGGTAAAATTATGAAATAATGAAAATCTAGATGTTCCAGCTTTAATTTGATATATTTGATGTTACACTTATTTTTATGCATGCATGAAAAGTTAAGGTTTGACAGTGTATGTTGCGTGTACATGTGTTTTAATGAAAATATACATATGCCACGCATATAAATTACCACATGAATATCAATAAAATCAAAGGGACTTTTAATCTAACATATATATCAATAAAATCAAAGAAAGTTTTATTCTATAACATTTTCTATAATATCTAAAATTTTAATTCTGATGGTATCTTAATATAAAATTGTTTTGTTTACCACAAGATGGCACTGCTGTGTTTCCCGTTGCCATTACTTAGACTTTACATTTTTCATTGGGGACAAAAATATCCGTTTACACATAATATGCTGAAGTTGTCTTCCCGTCCCAATAAAGTTATATTTATTCCATCACAGGTTTAAATTTGAAATTTATCTGAATAAAGGGATACATCAAAGGAAAAAAAAAATTTAAAGTTAAACAAATATATATTAACCCTTTACAAATTTGAAAAATAAGTATAAATTTTTTTTGAAAATTTACAAAAAAAGTGTTTTGGTTTATAAACCCTTTTTTGCCCTGGGTTCAATTTTTCAATTTAACTAAAAATAGCGGTTTTATCATATCAATTTATCCAAAAGACCTTAAGGCTATGGTAGTTACCTACAGTCAAACAGTGATTTTTGCACAAATATTCACCATTTTGTAAGTAGCAGTTCAACATGAGCTGTCAAGGAAAGCATACCCGACAATTCCCAAATCTTAATGGTAAAAGAAGAGCCATTAACAAACAACAACATTTTTCTTATTTAAAAATGGGCCATTATTCTGTCAGATCCATCAAGAGTTATAGACCTTGGACAGTGATTAGACCCAAACTTCCAATTATGTTCTAAGCTAAGTGTGTGAAGTTTGAACCGATTCCTTTCTGTAGTTTTAGAGATATCAACTTGCAAGCAAAATCTTAACCAAAGTGTGACGCCTGGGTATTTTTTTAATACATGTAGATCTAGTCGAGCTAAAAAAAATGCGGGAAAATTGTTTATAAAAGTTGCCATACATTTATATATTTCAAGGCTCTATCATGCCACCTATGCTTTAATACAGAACATATTTGCTCTTTATCAAAACTTTTTACTTTACAATATATACATACTACAAACAGGGTCTGTTCCGTCCCACCATGATCCATCTGTGCTACAGTGTCTTATATCAGGACCTGATAATGAATAACCAATACCACAGCTGTAAGTAGCAGTTAGTTTGTCATTTGATATTTCAACAGCTCCATTATCCAATGATGGTGGATGGTCACATTCTGTAAAGAAAAAAGGTAATGCATTTATTTAATCATCATATATGCCTGTTTATGCCTCAGTACACTAAAATAATACCTTAAGCCACTTCAAATACAGCAACAGGTAATTTATTATCTTAGTGGTTTATAGTGTTAAGTTATTTTTGTTTCTATGTACTATATAGAACTATATTGTTTTTGACGCATTTGAATCTTTGTGTTGTGAATTAACATATTTTTTTAGAAAACACACTTTAAGTCATCATTTCCAACCTTGAACAAGGCACAGTCAGAATTTATTGACTTAAACAAATTGTTAAAAGTCTTATATTCAATTAGATTGATAATTAGCTTAAAATTGCTGCATTTATTTTATGAAAGCAATGTAGTGTTTTAAGCTTGGCACAATAACCTTATTTCCATCTCACTTTTAAGTCTGGTACGGACGGACTTTGATTCGTATTCGCATAGATACACCGGGTACAACTTATTTACCATTTTAAATAGTATGTTTCATAATGTTAAAAGGCATGTATTGTCACAATAAGGATTCAAATCTTAAACATAGAAAGGACAAAAACAGTGATAGTTTATGACATAAACTTCACAAAACTGCCCTGAGTATTATTTCACAAAAACTGTTCTCAGTTAATATGTTTCAATTATATCAAAAACTGTATCATATTGTTTCAATAATTATAACAAAAGGCAAAGTTAATCTTTGGATGTTTCAGTACACTGTAGACATTGTATTATAAACATGACATACCACATGATGGTTCAATGAAATCCCAAGATCCGTCAGACTTACAGACAAGTGCAGACTGTCCTACAAGAGTAAAGCCTGTTACACAGGAGTACACTGCAGTTGTATTTTCGCCATCAGAGGTCAATGACACAGCACCCCCTGCTGGGGAATCAAGTGGTTCACATACAGCTGGAAAATAAAGAAAAATTCAATCACTTTGAAAAAAAAAATCTTTAATTGATTACTTAATCCCCTTAATAACTTTGAAACTATAGAACTTTGCACATCTACATAATTATATAACATTATCAAGACTTGGTGGGAAAAAAAAGACAACAACTTAATACTAGCTTGTGTAATGTAACTGCTACAGAAAAAATATATAATTTATTACATGATCATGTTGTTTATAAAGGAGTGTTATTAATAAATAACTTGAAGAAAATAAGCTCTGTCCAACAGAATGTCACTTTCAAATTTGAAACAGGAGTCACATACCTTCAAATCTTTATTTATCAAGTTTGTTAGACATTCAAATGAACCCATCAAAATGATTTCACTATAAAGTCAGTGGCAGGTGCTGTGCAGAATTTTCAACTTTTTACACCTTGTATGTACAGAGGTACATCTTAAAGAGGCGGTAAAAATAAACAAAACAGATCAAAATGGCAAAAAAACATAGACATACAACATATTGGTGGCTGAATATTCCAGGTTCCATCACTACGACACGTGAGAACACTTTCACCATTCATCACATGACCTGTATCACAACTAAATGTAGCAGTTGTTGTCACACCATCTGTAGACAGTTGTACAGAAGATCCTGGTGCTGTTGATAGGGACTCACATGATACTGAAGACAGGGAGAAACATCTTAATTAGTAAAACATATTGTGACATTGGCGGGCTTCAAAAAACAATATGTCTTGACTGCACAGACTCTCTGGTATGAGACATGCCAAAGTGAACATTCACATCACAATTAAGACTGACTCTACAATTAACATCTGACCCTATCTATTCATTTACAGTTTTAAGTTAATAACTAAACTAGTCTCTGAGAAGTATCCGGATAAATGCAAGTTTCGGGAAATTTTTTCTTCTTTTTTTTTCAAAAAAGGGACAAAATTATATCAAATTAGAAGTTGTGAAAATTAGTCCACAAATTTAACTTGTGATTTCAAATGTATGATGTAAAGTTAAATATATTATATTAGGGATGTGCGGTATTACCGGTATACCGCGGTTTCGTTCAGACGCGGTACGTACCGGTACGACCCCTAGGAATACCGGTTTTTTAATATATATAATTTTACATAATATTTTTGTAAGATTCGGACGTTATTTACCCTGTAATCTGTGTTTCAACTTTCAACCTAAATTAAAGTGGAATTCCAAGTCTATTTTTAGAGCAGCAGTAAATGCACAGTATAATACTCTAACGAATAATTAGTCGCGGAAAGGTCGGATCGTTTCCCGGTTGTTTTTCATATTTATTATGTAGTGTAAATACATTTCATCCGCCGACATTTTTATAATTTCTATATATCATTCTTCATTTAAATGCATTAAAAGGGGACACCCATGTTAGTGCTCAGTCTAAGGCTAGTAAAACATGTTGACGTATTGACGAGTGGCGACAATAACAAAACGTAAAGCATTTAGACATAGCCCAACTTGTAAACAGCTCATACCGTCATGGACGAATTCACCACGGTCAAAAATCCAATGGGAATTGCCATTTTTCTGTTTTAGATTTTGTTGAAAATATTATCAAGACAATAAGGTTATTTTCTTCTTTCTTTTATTTATTATTTTCCAGTCAGGTAGACAGATGTTAGTTGAAAGAAATAAAGATATCAATCTGTTTTTCTAAAATGTATTGTGTTTTATCAAAATGTTTAAACATTCTTATGGCAGTTGGTCTTAGTTTGCATAAGTTAAACATTAAAAAGTGTCTTCATAATACCGTGGTACATACCGCGGTACACAGGTGAAATACCGCGATATACCGCGGTACAAAAAAATTGGTGGTACCCATCCCTATATTATATAAAGTAATTAATATCCATACTGGTTTCTGAAATTTCTAGGTAAATGTAAATTTCAGGTCATTTTCTTAGTAAAAAAAAATCAATAAAAAATAGGAAGAAAATGCAGGATATTAATCTAATATTTATTTTAAAGAATAAATTTATATTACCACAGGTAGGGTTTGCAGAAGCATCTAAAGAAACAGTATTTGAAGAACAGTACTGTGTTGTTTCCCCATTTAATGAAAATCCTTCATCACATGTTACCGTGGATATAGAATTGTTCAGGGAAACAACAATTTGTCCATTAGCTGGCTTGGTAAAAGAATCACACTCTGAAATATACATCAAATGTAACAAAGCATTCTTTATACAACTAGCAGAATCAAAGTAGAAATTAACAATAAAACAAATAAGGTCCCGAAAACAAAAAATTCTTCACTTAACATTTAATAGGTACCCTAAGTTCAATCAATTATTCATTTTACAATTTTTCAAGATATAATAAAACCAAAATTTAATATAATTAGAAAACCTTCATTTATTTGAATGTAACTAAAATCTGTTTGACTTTGTTCACCCTCGCCACAGGAAAAATTACAATATGGGGCGAGCATATGTAACTAAATGCATGAGAGATATTTATTTGTTATTATTAACATTATGAATCTTCATTTCTTACCACAAACAGGCACACTGTTATCCCATTCACCAGAGGTGGTGCAGAATAATATTGAGTTGCTTGCTACACTATACCCATCATTGCATGAAAATGATGCCGATGTTGTAGTCCCATTTACAGACAAGGCCACTTCTCCATTAGCTGGAGCTTCTAATGCTGGACATTGTACTGTAGAAGAAAAGGCATTTTCTAGTAAGAATGAATTTAACTAGGTAGTAATTATACCCTTAACCAACATAAAAAACTCTCAGTATGAAATTATGTATTTATGCACAACTTTATCAACAAAACAAAGTAACATACAAATCTTATACATCAACAAAACCAAGTTTTTGTTAATTTGGCATCAATATCAAATAAATTTAGGAAACTTTCAAATGTAACACATTTTTAAGCCAGTCCCTATCAAATAAGATCTCACAATGGAAAGTAAATGTGGATTTTCTAGATCAGATTTCAGAACATTGTGCTACAATTATGTGATGCAAATATTACAAACCACAAGTTGGCTCGGTGTCCGACCATGTGCCGTCAGTCTGGCATAAAACTTGAGAACTACCCACCAGAGTTGAGCCCAGACTACACTCAAATAGTGTGGTAGTCACAGTACCATTTGTTGTTCCAGACATGGAACCATCACTATCTGTTGTCAATGTTGGACATGAAACTGAATACAAAAAACAACAACATTTATCTCTGAAGATCTTTTGAGTCGCATTCGTTAGCTCCCCGAGTTGCATGCTTGCAGAGTGCCTAATATAAGTGCATATATAAGTTCCAAATGCAAGCTTGCCCAAGTTTGTTCAAACATCTTTCATGCATGCTTCATACAATCTTGTACTAAGTTTACAATTTTGGTTTTGGTTACAAGATAAAAGACTCAAGGAAATAACTATGGTTTGGAATGACTCAATATAAAATTTGCACCAGTAATAGAAACAAAATATTTGGTATTAGCACAACAAATTTAGTTATCAGAAAATATATGTGAAGTATTAAAAGTTTCTCAAATATTTTAAGTTATTATGCATATAAATGTCACAAGGTAAGAAAAAATGTGCAGCCTGACTCAGGGACTCAAACCCTTGGAATACTTTATGCTTTACTAACTTTAAAGTTATCCATTTATTACACAGCTTTACACAGTTCTAGACTGTAACAAAACAAAACTTGCATTTCAACATTGAATAACATTAACCTAATCACAGACAATTTAAAATCCTTAACTGTGAATGTCCATTCCACAAAACTAAAAAGAATAAGATTGAAATTTTTTAAACATAGGAGGTTATTTACCACATGTAGGGAAATTATTGCTCCATGACCCATCAGGTAAACAAGAGAGTAAGTTATCCCCCTTCATTGAAGATCCTGTATTGCATGTAAATTCTGCCGATGTTCTTGTACCATCAGTGCTCAAATTATAATCTAGATTTGCAGCTGTTGAAATAGCTTGGCATTGCACTGTGAATAAATTAGAATTCATAGTTTAAATGACATTGCTTTAAATAATACTTGATAAAACCCATGTCTTATTTCTGATTAAAGAAACGGAACAACATGACTATTTGAAATGGGTCCATAGGACATGGATGCCTGCACAAACCATGGTTTTGTCAGACTTATATGGATGGACATAAACAACCCCGATAATCAGGGCATAATAAACTAAATTTTAGATGTTATATTTCATTAAGTAGTCAACATAATCTTTTTACTTTGTTAGACTTTAAACACACTGACAATGTTCAGATCATATGGCAACTTTCAAGTTCTATTAAAATGCATACACCAATCATCACCACAGTTCTAACTGGATCATCAATACGACTGGCTGGATAGCTGTCTCACAAAAATAAAGCAATATATCTTGCTGGATTCAAACCCTTTGTGTTAAGTGTTGATTATATCTAAAAAAATCCAGCCAATTTTTCTCAGCCACGACTATTCTTTTATCAAAACTAACCAAAAGGTCTGGAAATATCATGAACTTTTTAAGCATCAACACTTATACCTCTTAAAATGCACACAACTTTGTATACATAAAGACTGTATGCTTTTAGGATAAATATCCTCATCAAGGAATAAAATGTTTGTAACCAAAGAATCATTTTCATATTTTACATAAAAGGTTTCATTAAAACAAGAGCACCACATGCAGTGTTAACACTTCTCTGTTAAAAATTCTATGTTAAAAAGGGGCATAATTCCAAAAATTCTGCTTTTGGAATTATTCCCCTTGTCTAACAAATGTACTTTGACATAATAAGCAAATATTCGATGTTTCATGTTAATAACTGTTAGACTATTTGAATAATGTGCTAATTCGAAGTTTTTGCATGACAAAGATGTTGATAACTAAAAATATTTGAATAATGTGCTAAATCAAAGTTTTTGCATGACAATGACAATGCTGCAGCAATCATTATAGCTTGACTTTTTTTCAAAACATACCGGTAAAAATGAAGAAGTTAACTTAATTATTATTTATACCACAAACAGGTTGACTCCCACTCCATCCTGTTGCATCTGTCTGACAAGTTCGGACAGTATCACCATTCAAACTAAACCCTGAAGTACATGTGTACTGAGCACTACCTCCATCGTCAGACATCAATAACGCACCATTAAGTAGATTTGGTGGTGCTAAACATCCTGTGAAACAAAAAAAAATATGGGTATATATATTATAACAGAAAATACTGTCAAATAGCAAAGACACTTTTGAAGTAAAGCGTCAGGCCTTAAATGAACTAATAAGGGTTTTAAATAAAGGGTACGAAAAATATGTGAAAAGTCACAATCATGCAATGATTTACATGATATCTGCATAACATTACATATTTTATATAATTCATGTTGTTTGTTTGATTGCACAACTTATAGAACAATAGTTACACCTAAACAAATAAATATAATAGAAAACCAAACACTTACTACAGATAGGAATATCATGGTCCCATTTGCCACTTTCTAAACAGGTCAATGTCTCATTTCCAAACACGTAATAGTCATTCACACAGGAGAACTTAGCAACTGATATTTCTCCATTTGTTGAAACATTCACCTGTCCATTCACAGGATCAGACAGTGCAGGACATGTAACTAAAATCAAAATAATACAAAGAGGTAAAAAAAATAACTGCCAGGTTAAACATGGAATTTTGTTTTTGGTTGGGTTAAAGTCGTACCAACATTGAAAAGGTCGTATGGGGACTTTCCTGCCTTACTGGTGTACGAAAACCTCAGGTTCGACTCTGTGGTATTATTTGACACATGAACTGGCATCTGAGTAGAACCAACTAAGTTCTGTAAGGTAGCTGGATAGCTTCCACACATGAATGAGTAAAAAGTCTGCGGCAGGATTCAAACCCATGGCCGTGAGGGGCAAGTTGTTTGAAGTCAACAACCTTAACCAAAGACGCACCTAAAACATGGGTTACTAAGGCATTCAAACTGTTACCCTTGACTGATGTAGGTAGGTCAATCTTCATGACAAGTCAAGTAATACTATGTATAATCTTTAATTGGTCCCCCATGCATTGGAAACTATTCAAGGTTTGTAAGCTTGACAGCTTTCGTTATGCATATTGCAGCTGGGTAGTTGTGTGAAATGACTTTTATCATATAGGCTAGCTGAAACTTGAGATGATCAATCAATTAATCAATCAATAAATACATCAATCAATCAATCATACTTTAAACTTAGAAATGGATAATCTTTTTATATATTATGAGACACACAAAAATGACTGTTGTTTGCATACAACATAGAAAATATCACACAATAAATGATGCATTTACAGAGAATAATGGATACTGTTATAATTTATGATCTTTAAATGTGAATGTATCATTTAGGCTATGGATTTAAATACTGTACACAACACATTGCCTCATAATGGTTAATAACATGTCTGCTACGTAATTTCAAAAGGAACAACGATTTGGTACAAATTGGTAGCATACACATGGATAGACAAAACACTATCTACCAGTTTAAAATCATAAGTCTTTGAGCAAAGGTCCAATATCAACAAGGACAAAACAATACAAGTATAACTGACTGATAAATTATTACCACAATTAGGTTGTGAAATATCCCATGTACCATCTGTTCTACATGTCAGAGTAGATGGTCCGGACATTGACGATCCATGATCACATGTAAACATGGCCTGTGTCTGTTCTCCATCAGTGATAAATGATACACTGCCTCCAGCAACAACTTCCAAAGTGTCACATGTTTCTAAATCACAGAATCAGATCATTAAGATTTTAAATTAAAGTTTAAACCATTCCTTCTCAAACCCTATTTACACCAAATCGTAAGGTGATGTCATAAATTGTCCAGTATGACTTAAAGCTTCTAATAATGTCAAATTATTCAAATGAAATTAAGACATAAATCTTTTCATTGCAGATAAGTAAGTCATGAATCATAATAAATGAGAACATATTGTAAGAATAACAAAAATAAAATGTAAAAGTTTAAAAACTGCATTATATTTTATATAATGGCTTGGAACTTAGCTTAAATGAATTTGATTTCCAAAACAAAATTCATAGCAATGGAAAAAACAGTTTTGCAAGAACCAGTTATTTCGATTCTTTTTTCACTTTACCACAAGAAGGAGCAGAAGTATCCCAGGATCCATCAGTGCGACAAGTAAGATTACTTGCCCCAACCATCGTATATCCTGCAGGACATTGAAAGGTTGCTATGGTTTCACTACCATCAGTTGACAGTTTAAATTCTGCACCAGATGAAACTGTTATACTTTCACAAGCAACTGAAAAGAAACAAAGTTGCCAAAAATGCAACATCTATGATTTTCAACAGTATCTTGTATTTATCAAAGTGTGAAGACTACAGCAACATTTCATTTAAATCTTGTTAATCAAGCAAAAAAAATTGTCGTGTTTTATTTCGTATGAACATAGTATAGGTCATATGGTGACTTTCCAGCTTTACTGGTGAATGCATGGCCATCATCATCAGGTGCCCTTCCTTTCATTATTTCATGCACAAACAGGCACCTGAGCAGAACCAGCAATGTTCCATTAGCAAGATGAATAGCTTCCTCCCATGAAAGAATACAAAGTCCGTCTTAGGAATCAAACCACAGCGGAGAGGGGCCAAAGGTTTAAAGTCAATGACATTAACCACTCTGCCATAGACACCCCAATCTTACATATTAGATACCTGACAAAGACCTTTCCTAAACCCTTTAGAAATTATAAAATTAAAATAAATTAAATAATACCAACATACCACAAGACGGGGGTGATAATGTTTTTTCTCCAATAGCAGTAACAACAACACATGTCTGTTGTAATTCACCAGAAAGAGTGAAACCTGCATCACAAGTGTATGTTGCTTTTGTACCATTCTCTGATATCTCAATATTGCCATCACTTGGTTCAATGAATGTTGAACAAACTGAAAATAAGAGGGCAAATATGAGTTAAAGTGAAAATATAGGAAGATAAATGTCTGCTTATTACATGCATATTTCCCATTATAAACAACAAGTTGATAATGCATCATCGTATCTGTGAGAGACAAATCTAAATATATAACTATCATAACACAAAAGTTAATTAAGTTACATGTAATTTTATTTTCAAACTAACTTTATCAATCATGAAGAAAAATAACTTCAATATAATAAAAGTTATTTATAAAATAAACATTGCTCCATCATGTCATTCTAATCAAATCTAAAAATAAAATCATGAAAGTCAAGTCATTGTACATATTTCCCTTTTCAAATAATATAATAAAAATCAAAATCTCTGTGTAAGACTTTGAAAATCAAAATATACCTGTATCAAACATAATAGTTCTAGAATGTATTATGTTAATTATTATATGAGACTGCACAAGTAACAGTATAGAAACTTGCCACAAGTAGGTGCTGCATCTTCCCAACTTCCAGAAATACATGACCGTACTGCATCTCCATATAAAGTGTAGTCTTTAGAACAAGAATATGTTGCTATGGTAACACTTCCATTGCTTGTTACAGTCACACCTCCATTTTCTGGTGTCTCAACATGTGGGCATGAAACTATATTAAGTAAATAAATTAGGAACAATGATATGCATTTTCAATCATTTTTTAATTAGCTCTAAGCTCTGGTTCAAATAAACTTATTTCAGACATTTAGTCAATAGCAGATCGAAAACAAGGACTAAAAATACTGTTCACAGCAAAACTTCAAACAGAGCTAACCTCTTTTTAGCCTTTAAGCGGTTAATACTCATCTCTTTAATTTACACAAATTAATGAAACTTTAAAACAACAAACCACAAGATGGTATATCCCCACTCCAAGTACCATCAGATGCACAATTCAATTCAACAGTTCCACTAATGCTATATCCTACATCACAAGTAATTTCTGCCCGAGTTATTGTCCCATCAGAGGTCAATATTATTGTGCCATCATTTGGTGTCACTATGTCTTCACATTTCTCTGTCAGATAAAAAAATAAAGTTCAATTTAAAATACATGTATATAAACTCTTAACATACATTTGATTTATAAACTAAGATTAAATTATTTAAGTAGATTATTACAGCTTCTCCAAAGTAAAGTTTCATATTTAAACTTATTTCTTTCATCCCATAGTATTTTATTTTTTTTTGTAATTTAGATAATTAAAAATCTATGAGGAAAAAAGCAAGAACAGTTATTTTTAGCTCAAATAACCGTGACCAAATCGACCTGAAACCAAACAAATGCTAGATGTCCAAGAAAGTCACTAAGGTACTGATGAAAATGTGTGGAGGAAGGTTTAGGACAAACAAGCAACTATAAGCTCTGTTTGTTTGTTTGTTTCATTTTACGACTTTTCCCAACATTATTTCCGTCATATAGGCGGGTAGTTTCCAAACCATCGTTCCTGGAGAGTTACACCAGTACTAGACTACCTTCCTCCGCGCTAAACTACCAAAGCATCTCCCGGGGATCAAACCCACACCAGAGAGGTAACTGGATTAGAAGTCATCGACTCTAATCCCTCCACCACGGAGGCAGTTCATAAGCTCAGTCAAAAAACCTTCTGGGAACATAAAATTGTCCATTAAGACTACAAGGTCAATCATTATTATTGTATATATCACCACAAGAAGGTTGATCCACATCCCAAGTTCCGTCTGACTGACATTGTAAGACGGCTGTTCCAGACAGTGTCAGCCCTACACCACATGTGAATATAGCTGAAGTCACTGTGCCGTCAGTTACTGTGCTGACTGTTCCATTTACATGTTCTGACAAGTCATTACATTTATCTGTAACATTAAAATTTTCCTAAGTTTGAATCATTACATTTATGATAAGACTTATAAGGAAAAAGACATTATTCTAATAATTGTAGCATGTTTGATTTGCTGCTTACAGGAAACATTGCAATTTTTGAATGAAAAGACATGAATAAAATAATTATTGGTGCACCTATACAAATATATCCTTCAAATTTCTGTAATTAATGTATTCACAGTGATTTCACTATGGATATTTAAAAAAAAAAATCAAAACATTCTTGGTAAGATATAAGTTGATACCAATATCAATCACAGACAAATTACTTAAAATCTGGCAACAAAATAAAATTTATGGAAAATTTTGTTACAATATATCAGTCAAAAGGATGATAAATAAAAGGTAAAGATGGCTTACAGCATGTTGGAGCCTCCCCAGTCCATCCGTTACCATTGATATCACATGTGCGTATTTTTGTACCATTCTGTGTATAACCAATATCACATGTGTAATTCACACTCTGCCCATCTTCGGAAATCACATATGCTCCATCAACAACCGTTCCTGGTGGGTTACATACTGCCAAAAGAAAACATAAATGGGTATATATGTATATGTTTGAAAGCAAATAAAAATTGCAATGACACTGCTTCAAAGCAGTTAAAAATCAAAGAAACATACATTTATGAAACCATAATATATATTAGAATCATCACACAATTGATTTCAGAATGCTCTGCTAGAAAAAATATACAAACTGCAAGATGGAGGAAGATTATCCCATGCTCCACTTTCTGTACATGTCAGATTCTCATTTCCATGGAGATAGTAACCATCAACACAACTGTACATAGCAACAGTAATTTGCCCCGTTGTTGTTTGATTTACACGTCCATTTGCTGGATCTGTCAGCACTGGGCAACTGACTGAAAGACACAAGTAGGAGACATTAGTATTAACTCAGATCAAAAAGGTGAAAAGCTCAACATTGGCAGTGAAATAAAAAATAATTCATAAGAACTCGGGGTCTTTTTCCAATTTTACAGCAGGGTTCATGTACAAGCTTTTTGTCCATCAGGAAAAGGTTTAGAAATTATGCATTTTCATCCCATTTTGTATTAATGTTCACCTAATTTTAGAAAGGGTCCTCTTCCTCTACTTGTGAAACTGTAAATGGAATATAAAGAGTAATAAAAGCTTTTACAAAATGTTGAATATTTAGCGGTTTCACCTGTCCAAAATTATTATAATTATGATTTGCTACCCTTAGCATTTAACTATTTTACATTTTTACATTTACAACTGACTTTCAAAGTGCTAATATCAACAAATGCTTCTATCAAAGAAATTGACAATTACCGCAATCTGGCTGTGTAAAGTCCCAGGATCCATCTGTTCTACAACTAAGAGTGCTCTGACCAGATATAGATGACCCCAGGTCACATGTAAACAATGCTTCAGTTTGTTCCCCATCAGTAGTTAGTACAATATCTCCTCCAACAATAGTAGGCAATGTTTGACAAATTTCTGAAATGGAGATAACATTATGGACATAAATTGTAACTAAAAGACTATTTATTGACATGCTTGTACTGTTTGACACTGTAACGTTAGAACAATGCAATGTTTTAATTGAGAAAAAAAACTGCAGTCAATAAAGGTTTGTCCATCTACAAATAAAAGAAACTGCTACAACTTAAAGGCATATTATGCTTTAGAATTGATATTTTTTTCAATTCCCTTGAAATGCAAAGCATGTGTTTCAAATAATGTTTTAATAACAGATTTTGAGCATATTAGTTGTCTACCAATCTAACAACTGAAGAAAGTAGCACTGAATGTGCAATAAAGAGTCATAAAGGTAGCAAAATATAAGCAAAATTGTATTTTGATATCCATACAAAATACTAGTTCTCTGAAATTATTTCAATCGCCAACAGAGCAGTAAAGCAACAAATAGTTCCACTATGTGGCAAATGAGGTAATTTTTAGAAACTGTAACAAGATACCAAAAATATAAAAAAAAGTTTCTGAGAAAAATGATTGCCTTTCTGAGGCATACATACATATAAAATCAAGTTATTTTTTCATTATTCATTAAGACAATAAGAATACAATTTATCTAGATCTACAACTTTCCATCTATCTTCCAATAACGTCATACACCTCATACCCCTCGAGGGGACTTAGACATGTCCCCCAATCAAAATCTCAAGAAAGTTAAAAGGAGTTGTTAAAAAGAGGACAAAAAAAAAGAAAAATTTAAAATGTTAAAAACAGAGTTGCTGGAAAACTAGGGTGAGATATGTTCAATGCATGCTACGACTGCACTGAACTGCTCTTGGGTTAGGTGTGTAGGGCAACTGCAGTGGGTAATTTTTCTTTTTAAATCTACTGAAGTTATTGAACATGTAGATTAAACATACTGCATTCTGGTGGTGATATATCCCATGAACCATCTGTTCTACATGTCAAATTACTACTGCCGACCATAGTATATCCAGCTGGACACTGAAATGTTGCCACGGTTTCAGCCCCGTCAGTTGATAGTTCAAATGATGCTCCTGATGAAGTTGACAGTGAATCACACATTTCTTAAAGGTAGAAGATATCGACAGTTCAGAATTTTCATTTAGATTTGATAGTTTCTATAAATGTAGTAAAATATTGCATACATTATGTAATTTGTGATAATGAGACCACTATATCACAAAGGTGGTGTGCCTAACATTCGATAAAAGTTTGTAACTGTTTTGATTTTCAACGTTGACATATTTTCTTGCACAAGATCACTCCACTGACTATAACATAAACAAGAGGGCCATAATGGCCCTAAATCGCTCACCAGAAACAACTATTTTTCAGTGTTAGAATTAATTTTTAAAAGAACTTGCCGAAAGTTTAAGCAAACTTGATAAAAAAAAAACCCACTAAGAATGTCACAGACAAAGTTCTGTGATCATCCATCAATTAATTCAATGGAAGAAGGTGTTTAAAGGTTTTTCTATTTTTAGTTTTGTTGACCCCCTAAAAGGGGCCAATTAAAATGATATGAGCAAATTAAAGTGTGACAGTCACAAGGATGCTACAGACCAATTTTGAAGTAAATTTGTCTAGCAGTTTTTGAAAAGAAGATGAATGTTGACGCATGACGATGGACACAGAAGCAACCCCCTTTGATACTAAAAATCAGTTAACAATGTAACACTAACTGCATATTGGTGCCTCTAAAGTTCCTCCTGAGCTACTTTGTCCACCACATATTTGTTGTACATCTCCAGACAGAGTGAAACCTGCTGCACATGAATATGATGCTTTCGTTCCATTCTCAGAAATTACCAAATCACCATCATTTGGTTGAGTAAATGTTGAACATACTGCAAGATCAAGATCAAGATCAGGGTATAAAAGTTCAAGCAATGTTACAGAAACAGCAACACATTTGTAATCATTTATTGCGTATTGTAATTCCTCTCTTAAAAGCATATTTGATAAAAGATATTTATTTCATATATAAAATACAGCAGTTTTGCAGTCAACCATTAGTATAATTTCCTAGCTTTCTTTGGATAAATTGCATATCGAGGGTTGATAGCAAAACTGTTGTACCAGTAAGTACTTCTTTATTTCATATAAGTTACTGCAGTTTTGAGGTCAACCCTCCATATAATTTCCTAGCAATTTTACCGCATTCTGGAGTTGGTCCATTCCATATTCCAGTGGTGGTACAGGCAAGCTTGTTGTTGCCATTCAGATTATAATCCTCATCACATATAAATGATGCTACTGTCACACTACCATTTGTTGATACACTAACTTGACCATTTTCTAGATCACCAAACAATGGACAACTCACTGCAAACATACATAGGCACATTAATACCAGATAAAATTTACTGTATGTTACTACAAAATGAAGACAGGATTGGCTTCTTTACTCTCAGTGGCGAGTTTTATAAAAAATACAACTAAGCTATCAATATTATGTAACAGAAAATTAGAAAGTTATACAAAGATAATCTAATGACTCAAAGATATGTTAAATATGCCTACCGCATTGAGGTGATTGGTCAGTCCAAGTGCCATCAGCTGAACATGTGACCTCCTCCACCCCACTTAAAGTGAATCCCACATCACATATATACAATGCTGTTGTTGTTGTCCCATTAGTTGTTATAGAAAATGATCCATTTGTAGGTTGTACAAGCTCTGGACATATTTCTGAAAATTATACAATTACATACATGTTATCTGATCAAGGTTTTATTTGACAAGTACAGGATATGAATATAAAATACCTATATATAAAATACAGCTATTCGGGTTTTAACTGGTCTAGCATTACCAGCTGACAGATTAATGACATCAGCATATAGTCTGGTCTGCAAGTACCTCAGACACTGAGAGCCAATACTGTTGACTGCTTCGTTCAGTACTAAATTCACAAGATCTGTCATAAGGACAGTGTGCTCAACTATTCTCTGTACTTGATAGTAAAACAAGAAAAGCCTGGATAATGTAAAGTGTTCTAAGTTCAAAAGAGGCCATAATTCTGTCAAAATCCATGTTTGAATGATAGGCCTTGGCTTAGAGTGACATCCTAAAATACTCTCAAATAAGTGTGGGAAGTTTAACTTATTCCTATCAGTAGTTTAAGAGATTCAAATTTGCATGCAGAACCTTAATCAAAGTGTGATGGTGACGCCAACACCTGGGTGAGTGTAACAGCTCTCCCTATTTTTCAAATTGTCAAACTGATAAATAAATAAACAGTAAAAGCATGTTTCTCCTAACATACAGCATCATTATAGCAATTAATGTACAAATATATCAAGCAATAAATATTATTTATAAATCAAGCTGAACTGTACAGGTTACTAAATGAGCTGCAGTAAAATCAGGATCTACTTTAGATTAAAGTTTCTGCCTCTCAGGTGTGGGATTATGTATGAATCCTACCCCTTGTGATGTAACATGTAAAAAAATGTTGCACTTTATAAATATCATATATGGCATGTATGAAAATTAAATACCACATGAAGATTGTTCAATGTTCCAAGTGCCGTCCGGTTGACATTGGGCAACTGAAGAACCAGATATAGTATAGCCTGTGTCACATGTGATTGTTGCAAATGTTGAAATACCATCACTGTTTAAAGTTATACTGCCATTTGATTGCTCAGCTAAATCTTCACATTGATCTGTACATAAACAATAGATTCATTCTATGTAATATTGTATTATTCTAAAAGTTGATTACCCATGATTGATGTTCATTTATTTATTTATAAAACAAGCGGCATAAATTAATGATTTATTGCCTTATAAGGCAAAAAAAATGCAATTGTGCAGTATTATACATGTAAATATGTATTCATTACCAGATGTTTGTTTGATGTGATATAAATGTACAATGTATAAGCTAATACAACTAGCAACACTATCAGAATACTATTTAAGTGATGCTTTAAAAAGTAAATCTTATTATAATATTTTCATCATGTTCACATCTACATATATAGCTTCTTTGAATGTATAAGGATTCATGCAATAATTGTTCAAGATATAATAAAATAAACTAATATTACAATGTTACGAATTTACTAAGTGCTTTCTTGAATCATTTTAAATTTTGTATGTCATTACAGATGTAACTTTAATTTACATAATGTACCTGTTACCTTGAGTTTCAATCAAGCTATTCCATAAACAAGTTTTATGCAGGTACTGTATAAACAACATGGTCACAACTTTGTGCATTAATAGATCACTTACAGCAAGAGGGAGTTTGTAGACTCCACCCAGTTCCATCAGAGCCACACACACGTGTATTTGTACCATTCATAGAATATCCCATATCACACTCATATGTTATCATCATATTGTCATCTGATATCTCGTAATGTCCGTGCAGTATGGCATCCGGAAGTTCACATACTATATTAGTTGAAACAATTTTTAATTTAAATTTGATGTCGAAACAAGTTTTCCTACAATTATGGATCCTTCTGAAAACTATTTAATCATACCACAAAAATATTACAAAATTTGGATAAAAGATAAAAACACATGTTTAGCATACTATTTAAACACATAAATAAACATCAAAATACAGACTTTATCTAAAAGTATATAAATGTATGTTTCTTAATTTTAAATTATTTTTATTCCCAACAATAATTTAACAATAAATTCTAGTTTGTTAGTTCATTTAGTTAATTCATTTCAGATCTTTTATTTAATATATTGATAAATAATAGGAGAAATTGAAAATATATGCATGTACATGTATGTTTCTCAATTTCAAATTCTTTTTATCCCAACAAAAATTCATGCATGTATTTCTATGAAACTTGTTTCAAATACAGATTCATATTTCTTTTTAAGTACTATGGAACATAATAGCATCTATCAGAGGCTTTATTTTTAGGTATTAATTATTTAAGATCTATTTTATTCAATTGTATACACTACAGTCATATTTGAACCTTACTTATAAGGATTGGCACAGTTACATGACAAACTGAAGCAGATTTATTTTACCAGACATGTTTTCAGGGTGACAATTTGGTTGGCAAACATTTATCCAATTTTGTTGGTCTCTAATGGTTTTTGCAAATGATTTATGTAACACTAGCTGGAATTGATCTACATAAAGGTAGAACTTTCAAGGTATTGAATCAAAGTACACTTGTTAAGCAAATGTCCATTGGCCAGATCAGCAGAAACACTTTTAAACTTGTGTTCAATGCAGTAAACAATGTAAAGAAAAAGGTTACTTTAAAAACTCACCACAAGAAGGTGGATCAGCACTCCATGTTCCATCATCACCACAAGTTAGACTAACTTCTCCATTAATGTAGTAACCATGGTTACAATAAAACATGGCAGTCGTCAAACTTCCATCCGTTGTTAATGTCACATTGCCAGAAGAAGGTGTATCAATGTCCGAACATTTTACTGTCAATTTTACAGATAAAATATAAATTATTTCTTTGTGTTCTTTGTATGTTTCTACTATGGTCTATTAGTTAATATTAAAATCAATCAGAAATGCAGGAAAATAATTAAAATATCATGCAAATACAAATGTATGTGCATGCAAGAACTTTGTCTTGAATCAAAGAAGATATGCAAAGATACATATTATACAAATTCAATCATCCATATGAAATACTGCAGAACAGTTACAATATTATTGAACTTGATGTTATAATTTCCTAAATTTTTCTTCTGTATTCCATGCCCGCCACCACCACCCCACAACTTCCCCTTTAGAAAAAAGCATAAATTATATCTACTATACATTTACACATTCTTTTTTCAAATTAAATTAAAAACTTTAGTTAAATCAAATTTATTTTAGTTTGATTGTGTTTGAAGCTATGAAACACTCTCGAATCCGTTCCTGGAACTAACCAGTACTAAGCAATGAATGTAAAGTTTCTTGCTCAAGGAAACCACGGCTTGGCCCTGACAGGGTTAGAACCTATGTGGTCAGCAATCCTAATAGATTACTAGTCCGTCGCGTTAACCACTCGGCCACGCCCCCACATTAAAAACTTTCACATCATTTACAAAAAAACTTTGAACATAACATAACAAATAACTTTTATAAGATTCAATTACATGTATATAAACATGAACATACCACAAGAAGCAGTTACAAAGTTCCATGTTCCATCTGATCTACAGGTTATATCAGCCACACCATTCAATGTATATCCTGCATCACACAATACTGTAGCATCTGTCATTGAACCATCTGAATTTAAATTGATTGTGCCTCCCCCTGGTGGACTTAAACTCTCACATGTTTCTGAAAGAAAAGAAAAAAATAAACAGTGTCCAATTTTACAACCAATGCTTATATACACACCTTCATTCATTACTGCCATTACAATTTGAACCTGATGATGTTCATGTTATTATTGTTTGTAAAATACATGCATTACTTTATGTATGAATCTCTTAAATAAGTATCTGTTTGGTTCCTTGTAAGTAAATTTTCAAAAAGACATACAGACTGCCAAAAATAAGCAGACTGCCAAAAGACATGCAGACTGCAAAAAGATGAGTAGCCCTGATGATTTTATTACTAAGTTATATTCCCTCAAAATAAACATATACTCTGTTATAGTTCATCTTAAACGACAAACAGATTGTAGACTTATGTTTCGGTCAATAAATTTATTTTCAGACCTTGGATAAAAAGTTATTTTCAGTATTTATATAGCTTTCCTCAGGTCTGAAAAACAATACATACTGTAGGTCTTGACAAAAGACTGTAAGAGTATATTTTAATACATTATATACATAAACAAAGAGCAACTTGACATGAAAGTTAAGTACCACATGTTGGAACTGCAGACGTCCAAGTTCCATCGCTGCGACATGAGCTGGTGGCATCCCCCACCATTGTATAGCCAATATCACATGTAAATACAGCTGTAGTTGTTGATCCATCAGTAGTGAAGTTGTACACAGCATTTGAGGCAACTAGGGTATCACAAGCATCTGGGAATAAATTCATTTTAATAATAATTAAACATTTCAACTTCCAGAGAATCACATTTTGGGTCAATCCAAGCAACATTATACATATATACTAGCATTAACCCTTAACCTGCTGTATTTCTATAATGGATCTGTCCTGCTTTGAAACTGAAACAATCCATTCACAGTTCAAGGGATTTCAATATCAAAATACAACAAGAGCTGTCCGTAAGACAGCGCGCTCGACTTTTTTATTGCTTGCCAATAAAAAAAGTTTTTGCAGTAAAAGGCAATACAACAATCTCTGTATTTTTAAAGTGAACTAGTTGTTTGATACCCTTGAATATTACAGCAATGTTTATATGACATAATTTATGGTAAAGTGAACAAGTGGATAGGAATGAATTTTTTTAGATTTTTTAAGTTTTTTAGTGCTTGCCTATAATACAAAACATTGACAGTTAAGGGCCATAATTCAAATAAAATCTTTGACAGAATTACCTTCTCCTGGACATGTTTGGGAATCATGATTGTAAACAAGTATTCCAACTTTCAAATTAATATCTCAAACAGTTCAGTCAAAAAGTGGACTGGTACTAAAAACTTAACCAAGATTCTAAGTCGATAAAAGGCCTTAATTTTTAAAACAAATCCTTGACAGAGTTACCTTCTCTTGCGTACAGATGGGGGTAATGATGTGAAATAGCATTAAAAGTTTCAAAGCAATATCTCAAAGGGTTAAGGCAATAAGTGGATTTTACCCATATTCAATGTATTTTCTAAGTCAAAAAGGGGCATAATTCTGTCAAAAACCTTGACAGAGTTATGTCCTCTTGTCTGTTGATGAAGGTCGTGATGGTAAACAAGTATGGTCAGTTTCAAAGCAATACCTCCAATGGTTTTGAAATAAAGTGAGGTGGTACAAAAAACTTAACCAAGCTCAATACACTTTCTAAGTCAAAAAAGGGCCATAATTCTGTCAAAAACCTTGACAGAGTTATGTACTCTTGTCTGTAGATGGAGGTTATGATGGTGAACAAGTATGGTAAGTTTCAAAGCCATACTTGTAATACTTCTGAAATAAAGTGGGGTGGTACGAAAAACTTAACCAAGGTGTGACGCCAACGCCGACGCCGGGGCGAGTAGGATAGCTCCCCTTTTCATAGAAAAGTCGAGCTAAAAATTGAGCTGCCCACAGTATAGAGCCTGATTAGACTGATCACTTTTGGTTCCAGCAGGTTAAGGGTTAATATAAACCTAATGAAAGTCAAAGATATATTAATAGTTCTGTACAATTACTTAACTCACTGACAATAATGTCACACCAAATATAAGTAATAGAATATTGCTATGCCATATTTGTCATTAAATGGGTAAAAATGCATCTATGCATGGAATAAAATTAAGTAAGTTAACATTATTTAATTCAATTTATATCAACATTACTTTGAACACAGCCTTGTTTTCTGATCAATTAATTATATTTGTTTTCAAGAACAAATTAAAACAAAGCAGAAACTACTACTCACTGCATGTAGGGACTGTTGATGATGATGTAACTGTACTCTGGGATCCACATATTTGTTCTGTGTCTCCACTTATAGTAAAACCTGGATCACAAGAGTATGTGGCTGACTTCCCATCTTCAGATACCAGTATATTACCATCTGATGGCTTTGAAAATGCTGTACATTCTGTAACAGAGGAGAAACTTATATTTTAATAATAAGAATAATGGTCACGTGTCTCTGCAACCAACAAAAAGCAACATGGCCTTTAAATTTACTATTCTGAGCTTTAGCAACTGCATAAGAAGAAAACATGACTTGATTTTATCTCGACAATCCATACTTGAAACCCTTACAATAAAACTAGGGAACACTGCACAACTACTGTTTATTGTGCTTGAAAAAACATTAAACATAAACATACAATGAAAAAAGTTAAGAAAGACAACACTAACTGGCGTCTCTTACAATAATATCAAAATTTTATCACTTTTTGATGGTGAATTCTATTAGGAAATTGGACTAACACAAAGTTTGGGAGTATTTTTGGTCTCCCAGAATTTGTAGTACAATCATCAGCTCATTCTATTTCTACAATCTATCATCTCAATTCAAAGTTGTATATAAAAGAAGGAAAAAATAAGAAACCTTTAAAGGCCTACTATGCTTCAGAAAGCTATCATTTTAATTTCACAAAAAAAAACCCATTAATTTTGGTATCTTGGTACAGTTTCAAAAAATTAGTCTTTTGCCAGGTATGTGAACTATTTTTTGGCAATTGGTATAATTATAGTAATTTAGTGCATTGTATGGAAGCCAAAATACTATTTTGTTTACAATTTGCTTCTTTTAGGACACATAACTGAACATTCAGTGCCACCTTCTTCAGTTCTTAAATGCTATTAGTCTATTAATCAAAACAAATGTTTTACAATTCTAAAGAATTAAAAAATAGTGAATTCCTGAGGCATAATGTGCCTTTAAGCAGTCCTAAAAATTACATACCACAATATGATGGCGAGTCATTCCATAAACCATTGATGCATATCAAGTGTTCACTTCCTATAAGACTATAGTTGTCATCACAAATGTATGTTGCCATTGTTGAACTACCATTTGTTGCTATGGTAACATCACCATTGCTAGGAGATTCTAAGGCTGGACAGGAAACTTTAAGAAAAAGATGAGTTTTTTATCATTTTTATTCTAAAATTAAAGACTTCCAATGAATTACCCAAAATAAAAAAAGTTATAAATAAAGGAAGGGATTATGTTAACTTTATGGAATTCTTGAAAAAATTTGAAACAAGTTAGGCTTCTACATTATTAAACTTTTGTTTTCACTAATTCACATAGCCAATTTATAAATATAAGAGCCCAACATAAGAAAAGCAACAGGACTACCTTTAAATTAATGTGAATAGGAAAATTAAAATAAATATATTATTATAAACATTATTGTACAAACCACATGTGGGTGCTGATCCTGTAACAGATCCATCTGTTGAACAGGAGAGAGAAGAACTGCCAGTTAAAGAATAACCAACATCACAGGAAAACACAGCTTCTGATGATATGCCATCTGTCACCCAGTGGTACGATCCATTTAAAGGTAGTGATACTGATTCACATACAGCTGTAATCAGGTAATACAAATTACATATATAATAAACATGTACCTTTAGAATAAAATCTTTTATGTAAACTCTTTTACCATGCTTGTATTGAATGTCAAGAATACATTGTATTATGTCATACATTTATAATAGCCATTATTTCACAATGAACAAAAGGTAAAGTTAATGATATAACAGGCACTGTTTCTTTGAATCTAGAAAGGACATTATATGCAGGTGTTATAAGTACATCTTGAAGACTCAAGACTAAGACAACATAATTATTGTCCTACATTTAATCATCGTCTATACTTTTAAAAGAATGATGATAAAAAATTAACAAAATCTAAATTGATGAATTTAAATTGAGTTGATTTTAAAACTTACTACAAGTAGGTTGTTCCATTTCCCATGTACCATCTTCCAAACACTGTATGACAGAATTTCCAGACATTGTGTACCCACTGTCACATGCAAATGTTGCTGTTGTTGTGTCACCATCAGTTGCTATGGTAACTGTACCATTATATTGTTCTGACAAATCACTGCATTTGTCTAAATTGAAATAACACATAAAATAAAATTAAAGTTGTGACTTAACCATTCCAATGCAAGTGGAAATTAACAACTTTGCCTATGTCACCAGCATAGGGTCAGACCAGCTAGCACATCCTATAGTTTTGAAGTCTCTATACTTTTGTCTGCTTTTAATTTTCAAAATTCCACTTAAACTCAGTTCCCAAAACAAGTTCCAAATTCAAGGCAATAAAGTTAAATATACATATAAGGCATGGTATTACCTTAAGGATTTGTTTGTTTGGTTTTTCATGGTGCACCAACATAATTTAGGTAATATGACGCTAAAACAGGAAAGATGATTTTGGCTAACCTTGGTTGTTACAAACTTAAAGCAACATCAGGGATCAAAGCCACCTCACCTGCTGGAGCAAAGAGATGCACAGACTCCAGTAATTCCAACTCATTTACTCACCTCTTACAATCACACAGGGATAAATAGTGGCTACAATTCCTAAACCTTTAAAGGCAACCCCTTGAAATCAACTACAGAATGTTCATATATAATGAATTTTTAATAACTGCAGTAATTACATTTGATGATGTCACAAATGAAAAAAAAAAACATTCCCTAAATTTTGATGACCACAAAATTGGCAGCTTATCAACACACACAAAAAATAAAACTTACAACATTGAGGCGAACTTCCACTCCAACCATCACCACTATTATCACATGTTCTTGTGTTAGAGCCATTCATAGAATAACCAACATTACACGTATATGTAACAGAAGAACCATTGCCAGATATCATAAATTGACCATTGTCAATGGTGTCTGGTTGTTCACATTCTGCAATGTTAGAAAATTTTAACACTTTTAAGGAGACAAAGTTACTTTTTTTCAATTCTGCCACAACTTTGTTAGAACACATTTAACAACTTTTTAGTATGCTTGCCATGTAATCCTTAAAAAACATTATAATAATTTAACAATTTTGCCCTTTGGGAAAGTTTTATGAATGTTTAATTTTTTTATGTTTATAAAAACCCTTTTAACAGTAAGGGGGCCCGCAAAAACATGCCAAAAGTGTTCAAAATATGTAAAAAGATGCTAAAAATTAGAAAAAAAACATATATCAAAATTTTAAAAAAGAAACCCTTTTTTTAAAAAATCATAATTAAAAATTTCCCAAAGTACAACCAAAAAATGTAAATCTTACTGCATGTTGGCATGACAGCACTCCAAGTCCCATCTGTGCCACATGTCATATCAGAACTTCCATCTATATAATATCCCTGGTCACATACAAACATTGCTATAGTAACTGACCCATCACTAGTTATATTAATATATCCACTGTTTGGTGCCTCAAGTGTGGGACATTTAACTACAAAAGAGTGAAACATTATAATATATTTAGATATTACAATAATTATTAGCATATTACTATAGATGTAAGACTCCACTGAGGGTTTTTGACATGACGAGACTCAGGAAATAATTTTTCAAGATTAATCCTCAGTTTTATGTAGGTCTAGATATGTAACTTGTGTGCAAAATTTTAGATCATTCGCTCTCGTGGTTTATCCAGGATAATTATTCAAATTGTGAAAAATGACCCAACATTGAAAAGCGTTTAAATGCTTTTCACTCCAATCATATTAAAAATAGCACAATTTACGCTTTTCAATTCATTTCTGTGTATATTTCTTAATTATTATTTTTTGCATGTCTTGATGTTTTACGTGCCCTAGCTAATCTGTGTAAAAATTCAAATTTTATGATTTTAGTCTTTTGAACCTCTGTGGAGTTCCTTTTAGGTCCTTTCAAATCATACTATTCAGGTTTTAGATTAACTAACATGAGACAAAATTATACATTGTAAGGGTATGTAGATTTAATGCAAAAAAACACAAAAAAACAAACAAATACATACTTCACCTTTTCTTTCATTATTTAGAACAAAGTTAGTACATGTGGTCATTATGTCTTTTCTTAAAATAAACATGTGGTCATTATGTCTTTTCTTAAACAAACATAGATTAGAATATATATATATATATATATAATATCTGATATACCGCAAGATCCTGCTGCAAAATTCCATGTCCCGTCAGCTTTACAGGTCAAAGTTTGTGCCCCTATTATAGTATAACCTGTGTCACATGTGACTGTTGCTATGGTAACAGAACCATCTGTTTCAAAATTTATTCTTTTACCATCAGTAATTGCTAGTGTTTCACATGATACTGCAAATAAAAAAACAAAATAAAGATAAAATTACATAAAACTTATGCATAAAGTGACCGAAACAAATTGACCAAAGTGATTTTCAACTGCAATGCCATCTGAGCAATGCTCCTTACAAATCAATTGTGTAACATATCTTTTATCTGGAGGTTGATTCTAAAAAAGAAACTTTTAATTTATTAAATTTTGTTTTACAAATATGAATGTAAGTATAAACAAGCAAATTCGTTGAATTTATATCCCCCGCCGAGTACTGGTTATTATTAACACAACAACTGAAGACATAAGGCTTTATTTATATATTAATCATGGCATAAACTGTAAAATTCTTTGAACTTGAAGCCTTGTTCCTTCAAACAAGAAGAGTTTTTAAGTTTTCACTATATACATATAAGGAAAATCTATGACCCCCTGGAGTGGGGCCAATTTTGACCCCACGGCTAAAATTTGAACAATTTTGGCAGAGGACCTATATGTTATATCATATACCAAATATCAAAGCTCTAGGCCTTGTACTGTCAGACAAGATTTTTTAATTTTGCATTTTTGAAACTCCTTTTCTGGCCCCGTGTGACTGATGATTGTGATTGAAAATTACAAAATTTTACTAAGTCAAGGGCAATAACTCTAAAAATACTAAAAATATCCAGACGAAAATACCCAGGTGCACAACTTCACATGCTGATCAACATTCCCATAAAGTTTCGTTGAATTCCAGCCATTAGTTGCAGAGAACTACTCCGGAAACGAAATTAGGACAAAATTTTACTGAGTCAAGGGCAATAACTCTAAAAATACTAAAAATATCCAGACGAAAATACCCAGGTGCACAACTTCACATGCTGATCAACATTCCCATAAAGTTTCGTTGAATTCCAGCCATTAGTTGCAGAGAACTACTCCGGAAACGAAATTAGGACAAAATTTTACTGAGTCAAGGGCAATAACTCTAAAAATACTAAAAATATCCAGACGAAAATACCCAGGTGCACAACTTCACATGCTGATCAACATTCCCATAAAGTTTCGTTGAATTCCAGCCATTAGTTGCAGAGAACTACTCCGGAAACGAAATTCGGACGGACGGATGGACGGACGGACGGAAGGACGGACAACGCCAAAACTATATCCCCCTCCCGATTTCATCGGCGGGGGATAAAAAGAAAATTATTGTAGAAGAATTTCAAGCAAGCTACTCAATTAACAACCAGATATTGTATAGCACTTTGTAGTAAGGCAATTAGTATATGAGATACAGTAGAAGTATCTTACCACAAGAAGGTGGCTGCACATTCCAGGTACCATCATCTCTACACTCAAGGTTTGTATCACCCTGTATAGTATATCCTACACCACATTCGTACACAGCAGAGCTTGTTACACCATCAGTAGATATGTTAAATGATGCACCAGGTGAGGATGATAGTGTTGAACAGGCAACTATAATACAAGATACAGACTTTATATCTATTAAAGGCAATTGTAAATCATGTAAATCATGGAAATTGAAATAAGAATGTATATCTGAAGTCATTTGTATGAAGAATGACACCAAGATAAAAGGACATACATGACAAAGTATGCTTCCCATTATTAAAGTGTGTATGTGTTGGTGTGGGGGTGGGGGTATATATAAATTAGGCAAGAATTGCATAGGAAAGAATTGTTAATGCAAAGAGGCAACATTTATCTTTCTAATGACATGAGTTAACCAATGTCTGAAAACATATCAAAAATCTAATGACAATTCATTTCATTCTATATATATTATATAACTTTATTTCATAAATGTTATCAAATTTGTCCTTTACCACAGTCAGGTACAGATGTATTCCAGCCTGTACCATCTTCCTGACAGAATCCTTCTGAGTAGCCTTGCAACGTGTATCCAGCATTGCATGTATATTTAACAACTGTGACATCACTTCCATATGCAACATTGCCATTCAATGAAGCCAAAGGCAATGAACAATCTACAAAGTTGTAAACAAATATGTTGAACACAATGCTTAATTGTAAAACTGACAAAAGTAAAAAGATATTCTTCATCAATAGTTAACAATTAAATCAAAAGCAACTTCATATAATTAATCCAAATGGAAGTCAACCAACTCAATAAAATAAGATGTAATGTCAACTAGTAAAAGTGTGAATGCTACTTTACAAATAATTTCTAATTTTACAAATAATATCTGAATCAGACTTAAAACTGAAAGAATATTTATGCAGAAGAACACTAGTGAAGGTAGAACTCTGAGCATTATTTCCGACACATGCTGACACCTGAGTAGAACTACTGACCTTCTGAAAGCTACCTTGACTTCTGTTAAAGCTAGCTGGATAGCTTCCTCACAGGGCTTAAGGTCAACTGTTTCAATTTCAAAGTAGGAAAAAGCCACATTACACAAATACAGAAGGTTAAGGGGTAAAACTAAAATATTCAAATATACAACTGACAGCAAGTAGGTTGTTCAGACGACCATGTGCTGTTAGTCAGACATTCTCGTACACTATCACCACTCAATTTGTAGCCAGCATCACATGTATATATAGCAGAGCTGATTGTTCCATCTGTAGTCATGGTTACTGAACCACTAGATGGAGCCACCAAATTTGAACATGAAACTGATAAAAACAGAATTGATTATCTAATAAATGCATACAACAAACCCCCATCATTTATGATTACATGTATATTAATACCAGAAAGTAGGTGGCGGCATGGCTGAGTAGTTAACGCATCAGACTAGTAATCTATTGATCATTAGCCGCATGGGTTCAAACCCCGTCAGGGGCAAGTCGTTGTTTCCTTGAGCAAGAAACTTTACACTCATTGCTCAGTACTGGTTGGTTCCAGGAACGAATTCGAAAGTGTGTCTATAAGCTTATAGTTTTCTTCACAATCGAACTAAAATAAATTCTGTATAAACCAAACGAACTTGATGTATATGTGCTGTTATTGAGGAAGAAATCAAGAGAAGCAAAAAACCTTATATTTGATTTGAAGATTAAATAAATTAGACAAGAAAGTAAGTTTATATTGACAATGTTTTTCTACTCATTATATTTTTTTTTTCAACAATAAACCTCATTAACAATGAAAGAAGCTTTACATATTTTTATATTTTAAGAACTAAATTTCCACTGAACTTTTTACTCAGACATTTTTAAACAATTCCCTCTTTAATATGTTGACAAATAAATAAAAACATTTATTCTTAACAGAGATTTTATAATGAGAAAAACTATAAGAAAATCATCATAAGTTTAAAAGAAACAACAATAACCACCAAAACTTACCACAGTTAGGTTCTGAGCCAATCCATTGACCATCTGTACCACATTGTCTTTCAACTGTACCACTCAATGTGTAGCCTGGGCCACATGTATAGGTTACAGTTGATACAGAGCCACTAGTTGACATATTCACAAAACCTGATGAAATTTCAGATAGTTGCTCGCACAGAACTGAAAATGAGAAAATATAAATAACAAGAATGTCGAACATCACATATACCCCCCTTTCTAGCCATTGACTCACATAATTGGTAATTTTATTACAGAAACTTGCTAAAAATGGGTACATGGAAGTGTTCAATTATGGAAAAATCAACGGAAACCAATTTGACATTTAAGGCCCATGTGACATTTACCTATGACCTAATGACCCCAAAATCAATAGAGGTCATCTACTACTTATGACCAATAACTAGGTGAAATATGAAGACTTTGTGATGAATACTTTTCAAGATAATCAGCGGAAACCCTCTTGACATTTAAGCCCCTGTGACCTTTGACCTAGTGACCCCAAAATCAATAGGGGTCATCTACTAGTTATGACCAATCACAATGTGAAATATGAAGTCTTTGTGATGAATACTTTTCAAGATAATCAGCGGAAACCATTTTGACATTCAAGGCCCCTGTGACCTTGACCTTTGACCTAGTGACCCTAAAATCAATAGGGGTCATCTACTAGTTATGACCAATCACTGTGTGAAATATGAAGACTTTGTGATACATACTATTCAAGATAATCAGCGGAAACCATTTTGACATTTTAAGGTCCCTGTGACCTTAACCTTTGACCTAGTGAACTAAAAATCAATAAGGTCATCTACTAGTGATGACCAATCACTATGTGAAATATGAAGACTTTGTGATACATACTTTTCAAAATAATCAGCGGAAACCATTTTGACATTTAAAGGTCCCTGTGACTTGACCTTTGACCTAGTGACCCCAAAATCAACATGGGTCATCTACTAGTGATGACCAATCACTATGTGAAATATGAAGACTTTGTGATACATACTTTTCAAGATAATCAGCGGAAACCATTTTGACTTTTAAGGCCCCTGTGACCTTGACCTTTGACCTAGTGACCCAAAAATCAATAGGGGTCATCTACTAGTGATGACCAATCACTATGTGAAATATGAGGACTTTGTGATACATACTTTTCAAGATAATCAGCGGAAACCATTTTGACATTTAAGGCCCATGTGACCTTGACCTTTGACCTTGTGACCCCAAAATCAATAGGGGTCATCTACTAGTGATGACCAATCACTGTATGAAATAAGAAGACTTTGTGAAACATACTTTTCAAGATAATCAGCGGAAACCATTTTGACATTTAAGGCCCCTGTGACCTTGACCTTTGACCTAGTGACCCCAAAAGCAATAGGGGTCATTTACTTGTTATACCAATCACTATGTGAAATATGAAGACTTTGTGATAAATACTTTTCAAGATAATCAGCGGAAACCATTTCGACATTTTAAGGTCCCTGTGACCTTGACCTTTGACCTAGTGACCCCAAAATCAATAGGGGTCATCTACTAGTGATGACCAATCACTGTGTGAAATATGAAGACTTTGTGATACATACTTTTCAAGATAATCAGCGGAAACCCTTTTGACATTTAAGGCCCATGTGACCTTGACCTTTGACCTAGTGACCCCAAAAGCAATAGGGGTCACCTACTAGTTATGACCAATCACTATGTGAAATATGAAGACTTTGTGATAAATACTTTTTAAGATAATCAGCGGAAACCATTTCGACATTCTAAGGTCCTTGTGACCTTGACCTTTGACCTAGTGACCCCAAAATCAATAGGGGTCATCTACTAGTGATGACCAATCACTATGTGAAAGATGAAGACTTTGTGATACAAACGTTTCAAGATAATCAGCGGAAACCATTTTTACATTTAAGGCCCCTGTGACCTTGACCTTTAACCTAATGACCCCAAAATCAATAGGGGTCATCTACTAGTTATGTATGACCAATCACTGTGTGAAATATGAAGACTTTGTGATACATACTTTTTAAGATAATCAGCGGAAACCATTTTGATATTTAAGGTCCCTGTGACCTTGCCCTTTGACCTAGTGACCCTAAAATCAATAGGGGTCATCTACTAGTTATGACCAATCACTTTGTGAAATATGAAGACTTTGTAATAAAAAGTTTACGAGATAATCAGCGCAAACCATGTGGTCTACAGACGGAAAGACCGACAGTCAGACAAACCGAAATTAGCAAAACAATATACCCCTCTTCTTCGAAGGGGGGCATAAAAATTGTTTACAGAATCTGATGTGTGTTATTATGCTATAAAATCACTGTTTGGCGTTCTATATTTAGACATGTGACGTAATCATTATACATGTGACGTAACCACTAAAAATGTGACGCGCTGACAATAAGTACGGAAACAAATCAGGCGTAATTTAGCTTATTATCATGTACTTCAGCATTTATTTGTTGATGTCGTGTTAGAATCGAAATAATATATCAAAATCAGTGATTTTATTGCTTGATAACATCACTGTCGTTCGGATGCGCATCATTATATCTTATATATAATTCCCCGCATCCGAACTCCAAACAGTGATGTTATTGAGCAATAAAATCACAGTTTGGGATATATTATTTCTTAAATAGACTTACCACATGATGGTGTAGAACTATTCCACCCAGTACCATCTGTAAGGCAATATGACAAGCTCTCTCCAACCATCGTATACCCAACATCACATGTAAAACTGGTGACCATCAAATCACTTGAAAGTGTTGAAGCACCATTCAGTGGCTCAGTCATGGAATCACAGACTAGATGTACAATAATGTAAACTTTGGTCACATATATTGTAAGTTATATTTATCATAGTTGCAAACATTTAAGTTTAATCTCAGTATAACAAATTTTAATGTTTATACAGCCATTACACTTATCAGCAGTATATTAAAAGAAGATTTTTTGGGAAAAAATATATTTCTTTTCAAATAGGAAAATGAATTTGTACCAATTATAATTTTTTATTTCTGTGATAATTTCAAGATAATTTTTGAAGCCCTCCTTTCTAAAATATCAAAAATTATATAAGTTACATAATTCAAATAGCCATCATGGTAAAAAGTTTAATCATTGAAGGGACTACAATGAGGTTTTTTGACATGATGGGGCAGGAAAAAAATTCATGTTCCATTTGATGTAGGTCTAGCATAAAAACTTGTGTTCAATACTTTAAATTATTTGCTCACACCTTTTTTTCGGAATAATAATTCTTATTGTGAAAAAATTACCCTAAACTGAAAAGTGTTACAATGCTTTTTGCTTAAATCTGGCTAAGAAAAGCACAAAATTAAGATTTTTGTTTTATTTTGTTCTATATTTTTTCTTAATTATCTTTTGCATAATTTTCTGTTTTAAGTGCCTAATTGATCTATGTTAGAAATTCAAATTTCATGTTTTTAGGCTATTGTACCTCAGTGGATTTCCTTTAATATCATTGTCTTCTTACATAGAAAAAAAACTGATTGTATTAATGGGTCTTAACTTACCACATTCAGGAAGAGCATTTTCCCAAGATCCTCCACTGCAACTGACCAATGAACTTCCAGAAGAATGATATTCATTGAGACAGTTCACAGTTAATGATGTTGTATAACCATCACTGCTGTACTGTATAGATTCATATGACAGACTAGGTATATTTACTTGTGGGCATGTTTCTGTATAAAATAAACAACTTTTTGTTAATAATCATCAAACACACACCTCAATTATTGTTATAAAAATCTTGATATCATACATATACCTAGATATTCTTTCTCAAATACCTTCAGCTATATAAATCAGGTTTTTTGGCCTTTGCTTCTTTATTTGTATGGCAATAAGGGACAGAACCTAAGGTTTTTAGACTGGCTTCAACTAAACAACATGGCTGCCAACTAATTTGACAAAATAGCAACTGCATCATAAAAGATTATCACATAGACTCTTATCTCTCTCTAGGAAAGTGGACTTCGTATATGGCAACAATACAATATGAAGGAAAAAAGGCAATTTATCCTTAAAACATGTTATTTTGGTTTAAACATATTTTATTCAAAATATATGCAATGTATATAATTCATACAAAAGTTAGCAGCAATAAAGAAAAAATGGACCGAAAGCTGAAAGTTAGCTCATCCTCTCCTTGTAATTGTTTTGTAATGAAGTTGTCATTTTGTAAAGTTTGCAAGCAATTCACTTTCTTCAAACAAATATTATTTCCCTTTCATATCCTGCCCCATTAGAAATGTCACGGGCAGTAACCATCTTGTGCAATTTAGTACATGTATATCCTCTTTTACAACAAAAAGAGAGAAAAAAGACCAAAAACAGACTTATAGACCATAAAGCAGCATTAATTACCACAGACTGGAATATTTCCACTCCACAGTCCTTCATCTGTACACTCCAACTCAGTTGCTCCAGATAGAGAGGTACCAAGGTCACAGGTAAACAATGCTCTAGTCAATGTACCATTTGACTCAAGTGAGAGAGTACCATTTGTGAGAGGCCCCAATGTTGGACAAGACTCTGACAATGTAAATAGCAGTAATGATTAGAGTATTCTCAAATAAAATTTAATATATGTATAATGGTTTACATTGCACCAACACAGTATAGGTCATGTTTTACTCAGGTGCCCCTCATTGCAATATTTTCAACATGAATGGGCATAGCTCCCTCACATAAAAGAATCCAAAGTCGCTTTCAGAACTGAACCCACAGTGGTAAGGGGCAAGACTGGTTTGAAGGCAACAACCTTTAAAACCACTTGGCAATGGACACTAAAAATTTCACATACATTTTTTTAAAGCTTAACACTTACAAGAAAAGTGAAGTATAGCATTGATATTTACAGGGTATATTAATTACCTTGTTATCATAAATACATATCTTTAGCACTTTACTGTAGTATGTAAGTCTAAAATAGTATATAATAATATTGTTTATGACCCAATTGTTTGTATTTTTTTCCCATCACAAGTGAAACCTGGACAACAATGAACATCAAGTAATTTAAAATACAGAAAATAAAATTGTTAAGTAAAATACAAACAATGACTCACCGCATGTAACACTGCCTTGAATTTCCCACTCTCCATTATTTCCACAGGCTATTTCTGCTGTTCCACTGATAGAAGAGCCAAGGTTACATGTTACAATGACAACTGTTACTTCATTGTCGGTGGCGTAGGACACTGATCCATTATCAGGAATGCTGAATGTGTTGCATTGAACTGAAGATCATATGTAGCTCATAAAGTTTAATAACGATATATGAAAACTGTGGTACTGGTACTAGGCTTAATATTTCACATATCACAAAATATTTTACTTTAAATAAAATAAAATTGTGTCTGCTAAATGAATATAAAACATTTATGATATAATCAAAATATGTATCATAAGTACATTCTAGTACGTATTACTAAGAATTCTTACAATCAATGAAAAGGTAAATAACAAGAGCCGTCTTTATATGACACTCAACTTTTTTCTATGCTTGCCATAACTCTGTAAAAAGGTTACTCAAGAGTTGTGGGACCTTGCCCAGCATGTTACATAATGACAAAAATATAAGTGTGTGAAGTTTCAACCCATTCCCTTCAGTAGTTCTGATGACACCAAGTTTGCTTGCAAAAACCTTAAAGTGTGACAGGGATATTGATGCCCAAATGAGTACAATAGCTCTCCATATTCCTCAAATAGTCAAAATAGGGTATTTTTAGAATGATTTAGACAAAATGGGAAAAACTGGCAAAACATTGTAACAAGAGGGCCATGATGGCCCTGAGGTCGCTCACCTGTATATAGGCCCCCCCCCCCCCCCCCAACGTTGCAGGGCCAATTTAACCCAAGGGCTTTTATTTGCACAAACTTGGTAGACACCCATAAGAAGATGTTTCATGCTAAACATCTAACGAAGCTCTAGCTCATTGGGTTTTTTAAAAGAAGATTTTTTTAAAGTTTTTACTATACACATACAGTTAAAAACAATGACACCCCTGGGGCCGGGCCAGGGCTTTTATTTGAACAAACTTTGTAGACACTTATTAGAAGATGTTTCATGCTTAATATCTAAACTCTAGCTATTTGGGTTTTTCAAAGAAGATTTTAAGTTTTTGCTATACACATATAAAGGAAATCAATGACCCCCGGGGCGGGGCCAATTTTGACCCCAGGGCTTTTATTTGAACAAACTTTGTAGACACTCACTAAAAGATGTTTCATGCTTAATATCTTAACTCTAGCTATTTGGGTTTTTTCAAAGAAGATTTTTTAAGTTTTTGCTATACACATATAAGGAAAATCAATGACCCCCGAGGCGGTGCCAATTTTGACCCCAGGGCTTTTATTTGAACAAACTTGGTAGACACTTATTAGAACATGTTTCATGCTAAATATCTTAGCCATAGCTCTTTGAGTTCTTTAAAAGAAGATTTTTTAAGTTTTTACTATATGCATATAGGGAAAATCAATGACCCCCCGGGGCGGGGCCAATTTTGACCCCAGGGCTTTTATTTGAACAAACTTGGTAGACACTTATTAGAACATGTTTCATGCTAAATATCTTAGCTCTAACTCTTTTGGTTCTTTAAAAGAAGATTTTTTAAGTTTTTACTATATGCATATAGAGAAAATCAATGACCCCCTGGGGCGGAGCCAATTTTGACCCCAGGGCTTTTATTTGAACAAACTTGTTAGACACCTATTAGAACATGTTTGATGCTCAATATCTTAGCCATAGCTCTTTGAGTTCTTTAAAAGAAGATTTTTTAAGTTTTTACTATATGCATATAGGGAAAATCAATGACCCCCCGGGGCGGGGCCAATTTTGACCCCAGGGCTTTTATTTGAATTAACTTGGTAGACACCCATTAGAACATATTTCATGCTAAATATCTTAGCTCTAGCTCTTTGGGTTCTTTAAAAGAAGATTTTTAAGTTTTTACTATATGCATATAGGGAAAATCAATGACCCCCCGGGGCGGGGCCAATTTTGACCCCAGGGCTTTTATTTGAACAAACTTGGTAGACACTCACTAGAAGATGTTTCATGCCAAATATATAAGCTCTAGCTCTTATGGTTTTTTAAAAGAAGATATTTAAAGTTTTTTCTTTTGGTTGCCATGGCAACCAGAGTTCTGCATGGAATTCTATTCTTTGAACAATTTTTAAAGGTGACCATCAAAGGAACATTCCTGTGAAGTTTGGATGAAATTGGCTTAGTGGTTTATGAGGAGATGTCATTTAAAGTAAAAGTTTACGGACGGACGGACGGACGGACGGACGCCGGACGAAAAGCGATCACAAAAGCTCACCCTGTCACTTTGTGTCAGGTGAGCTAAAAACAGAGAAATCAAATATTTGATTAACTAAACTTCTCTTATATTCCATTTGTTAGCACATATTACAATTTGGAATTAAAGATTACATTTTTCTATAGCACAATGCATTCAAATGGAACAAAATGACAATAATTTTACAACAATTATTTTGGTTTCTTGATTTGTAAAATTTCTTCTTAAAATTGGGAAAAAAAACAACATACTTTTTGGCATTTGATACATGGGCAAATATTGGTAATCTGAAATGGGCAAGAAAAAAACTTGAATGATATATTTAAAGAGAATATAATTTCAGTTCTCACCACAAGAAGGTACAGTTCCATTCCATCCTGTCCCATCTGTATAACACACGAGAGTAGCACTGCCAACCATAGTAAAACCAACATCACAAGAGAAGATAACTCTATCCCCTTCTGCTAACACTACAGCAGATCCATTTCCAGGCACATCCAGGAGGTCACAAACTGAAATATCACATATCAATGACTCAGAAAAGTTACATTTTTATTAAATAGGCTTTGGGAGGTCATATATAAGTTAAGGGCATACAGATCTGCCAATGAATGTAAATACATGTAAATTTTACATAGATCTACCAATTAATGCATTAAATTATATTTTTTATTAAAAAAGGGCTATGGGAAGTCATACAAATACATTGTAAATTATATACTGATCTACCAATTAATACAAGACATTGCATTTTTATCAAAAATAGCTATGTTCGGAAATGGGAAATCACACAAATAAATTACATGTCAACAAATGAAAATAGCTATATAATGCACAGAATAGGATTGATAAATCTTGTTTGAAAATGTTTAGTAAATCTTTAAACAATATTTCCTTTCCAGGTATTACATTTGTTGGTGTGGTTTCTTTATTATGACCTCACGTTTTATAATATTTACTGTGCATTATAGGTCCCATATGATATTTTAAATACATAAATTACCTCTTAAATTAGATAAATGGTGTGAATAGCAAAAGAATAACAATTAAAAAATCATTAGATATAAATAATATTGAATAGCAAAAGGATAACAATTAAAATCATCAGATATTAATAATAATTATCATATTACTCACTGCAAACAGGTTTTGATCCTGACCAAATACCAGCAGTGTCACAAGTTCTATTACCATCACCTACTAAATGATATCCCACAGCACATGAATATTGCACATATGTAGCTGTACCACTGGTACCTACTGACATATCGCCACTGTTCATGTTTTCTAATGCCTCGCACAGAACTGAAACACATATATACCTGTTATAACGTCTTAGTTTATACATAACTTTAGTTTGATTGTATCTGAAGCTATAACCTTATAGACACACTCTGGAGTCTGTTCCTGGTACAAACCAGCACTGAGCAATGGGTGTAAAGTTTCTTGCTCAAGGAAATAACATCTTGTCCCTGACAGGGTTTGAACCAATACAACAAGCCATTCTTAAAGTACATGTACTTATCTTTAGATTATTAGCCTGATGCACTAACCACTTGGCCATGCTGCCACACTTCTTATTCAATTATCAACTTCTTATTCTTATATTTTAATACATAGAAACTTTTATCATAAAATAATATCAAGTATTTAACCATTTAACATTTATCTGATTTTGTGTAATGAACTTAATGCCATATCTTTACTTTTGGAGTAGCTTATTGAGGAATTGTAAATTAGAAGAACTTAAAATGGCAACAGCATAGTCTTTTAAGTCTGCTAAGGGCAGTACTTTACAAGGAATCTTCAAATTAGTAAAAAGTAGCTTTTAACTTAATATGAAAAAGTACAAACCACAAGATGGCTCAGAGAAATCCCAACTTCCAGATGATCTACATGACAACTGTTGAAAACCTTTCAAAGTGTAACCAACACTACATTGAAAATTAGCATATGTTACACTGTTCATTGAGCTTAGAGTTACAATGCCATTGTCAGGACTTGAAACTGTCTCACAGGACACTGAAATATTGAAGCAAAAAATCAGGTACAAGTAATTCATGTAAGAAATTGTTTACAAAATATTTCACATCTCATTTCATTTGCTGTGTTTGATATCCTATTAAGCCTTAAAGGAACTCCACTGAGGTCCAAAAACTTAAAAACATAAAATTTGAATCTCTTACATAAATCAACTTGGGCACTTAAAACAGAAAGATGTGCAAAGATATGTAAAAATATGCTCAAAATCAATTAAAAAAATGTATTTTGTGCTATTTTAGCCTGATTTGAGTGGAACAGTATTGAAAGGCATTTCAATTTCTAATTATTTTTCACAATTTGAATAATCATTCTGGAAAATTGGTGCGAGCAAATTATCTGAAATTTTGCACATAAGCTATCGGTCTAGACATACATCAAAAGGAACAAATTATATCCAGTCATGTCATGTCAAATAAAATCCGTGGACTCCCTTTAATTCAGATTATACAATACAATTCAGAATACACAATGTAATACAATACTTATACAGTATAATATCAATACTAATTCAGTATAATATAAAAAATTAAATCTTGTAATTTGTCCAAAAATACCAACAATACAGATTCAAACTTCAGTTACCATAGCTTTTAGCATTTAAGCATAAATTATAAAACATTAATATCAAATAAAAAGAAGAAAAAAAACAACAACATACAACATCAATACAACACCTGAATATACATGTATGAATTCACTCTTTTGATTATAACTAAATTATTTTTACCACAAACAGCTGTAGAAAAATCCCATGTTCCATCAGAGCGACATTTCACTGTTCTGGTACCACTGATGGTGTATCCCGTTTCACAGGAGATTTCAGCACTGGTTATCAGTCCATTAGTTTCCATAGAAACATTACCCCCTGATGGTGAATTTAATGATTCACAAGTAACTGAAAAGTAACATGAAACATGGCAATGTTATGAAACCAAGTTTTCAACAATAGCCACTGCAAAGGGGGTCAGGTTGTCATTCGTCATACCCCCTCAGGCCCTTTTTTTTTAACAAAAAATTTTTTATTTTGGTGAAATAATAAAAAGGGCCAAGGCCAAAATTTTTAAAAGACTCAATTATGATGGGTTTTTCTAACTGTGACCTTGACTCTTGGGTCCGAAAAAGCAATCCAAAGCCATGTCTCTGTATAAAGTATGATTTTAATATATCTCATAACTAAACTCTAATTATATACTGAAAACCACTAGACCTTGACCCGAAGGGGGGGGGGGGGCAAAAGCAGTCCCAAGAGGTCAATACAGTTATTGCCCTTGTAACATTCATCTGTTGATTTTCATAGATTTTGAAAATTATTTTCTACCTTTTTATGAAAGGAAATACAAGTTTAAAAATGGCTTACCAGTATATTTCTCATTTGAGTACAAAGGATATAGAAGTTTGTCAAAACTAAAAGTTCATTTGTGTTCAAAGGAAATACAAGTCTGTCATAACCAAAAGCTCATTTGAATAAATAGGAAGTACTAGTCAGCAATATTCAGTACAAAGGAGGAACACATCTGTAGTAAACAAAAGCTCATTTACATACGAAGGAATAAGAAATCATCATAACCAAAAGCTCATTTAAGTGCAATGTGTAACAAATTGTTATAACCAAGAGCTCATTTCAGTTCAAAGGAAGTACGAGTCTTTAATATTGAAAAGCTCATTGGAGCACAAAGGAAGCAAAAGTTGAATTTGTGTCCAAAAGGAAGTCAGGTCCGTAATATTCAAGAGCTCAATGAAGCACAAAATTTGCACAAGACTGTCATAACAAAGAGCTCATTTGTGTTCTAAAGGAAGTACAAGTGTACAGTAAACTAAATAAGAAGCATTTCAGCCCAATGTAATGCCTATCTAAGTACAAATACAATATCTCTTATTTATTTTTGTTTTACATACCACATGTAGGAGCAGTACCATTCCATCCTGTACTGTCATTGTTACACACTCTGATATATTCCCCATACAAGGTATATCCAGTATCACATGTGTATGTTGCTAGGTAACCATTACTAATTACATCACCATCAACCAGATTTGTAGGATCAGCACATACTAAAATAAATCAAAACTGGTACTTTTATAACATTACATATAACATAACTTTCATATCCGAGTAAGCAGTAAGTTCATATGTAGTTTCAACTGTATTTCTAGTGCATGCTAAAATTATATCAAATAGGACATGGATATCCTCACATTCCACTGTTTTGTTACTCTAGCAAAACAGTACTGTGACATCTATAGAGCGATGGACTGACTACGGCATATCTATATTCCCCATCCCAGCATCAAGTATTGTGAAGGGGCATAAATACTGTGAAATTCATAAAATTGTTTAATATCTATGTTGGTTTTACTTCATTTTGGGCTCTTTATCATTCATTTTGTGCTTTGTATCAAAAAATGCTTAACACATTATTTCAAAAGTTTCTGATGGTTATATATAGATGTTTAATGAAACAACTATTGTGAGGTAAGAGTAAATGGTAGGTAAGTGGCAACACTCACCACATTCAGGTGTATTTGACGTCCACTGACCACCAGAATTACAACTTCTCACTCCCTCTCCAACAAGAATATAACCTGTATCACAACTATAGGTTACTGTACTTTCTGTACCATTTGAGGAAATGACGAAACTTCCACTAGAAGGTGCACTGATCTCTTCACAAGAAACTTGAAAAAGAAAGAACAAATCAATAGGTTTTATGTACAAATGTGATAAATATATAATATTTCTTTTTATCCACAGTCAAATACCTATTCTATGCAAAAAAACTCACAAAATTACAAAACAGTAAATCAAAAGACCAAAAGGCTTTTATTTCCCTTATGAAACTGATATGACACATTTTTTTAAGTATAAAATACATATCAAACAATAACAGAATTAAAATTCAACCAAACTTCCTACTGGGCTCACTATGTTTGCATTTATTTAGCATAAAATGTAGAAAAAATTCACAAATTTGTGTCTGCAGACAGTGCACTCAATTTTCTGCTGGTTATCTAAAGAAACAAGAGGGCCATGATGGCCCTGAGGTCGCTCACCTGTATATAGGCCCCCCCCCCCCCCCCACCCAAACGTTTCAGGGCCAATTTAACCCAAGGGCTTTTATTTGCACAAACTTGGTAGACACCCATAAGAAGATGTTTCATACTAAACATCTAAGCTCTAGCTCATTGGGCTTTTTAAAAGAAGATTTTTTTTAAAGTTTTTACTATACACATATAGTTAAAACAATGACACCCCTGGGGCCGGGCCAGTTTTGACCCCAGGGCTTTTATTTGAACAAACTTTGTAGACACTTACTAGAAGATGTTTCATGCTTAATATCTAAACTCTAGCTATTTGGGTTTTTTCAAAGAAGATTTTAAGTTTTTGCTATACAAATATCAAGAAAATCAATGACCCCCGGGGCGGGGCCAGTTTTGACCCCAGGCCTTTTATTTGAACAAACTTTGTAGACACTCACTAAAAGATGTTTCATGCTTAATATCTTAACTTTAGCTATTTGGGTTTTTTCAAAGAAGATTTTTTAAGTTTTTGCTATACACATATAAGGAAAAATCAATGACCCCCGGGGCGGTGCCAATTTTGACCCCAGGGCTTTTATTTGAACAAACTTGGTAGACACCTATTAGAACATGTTTGATGCTAAATATCTTAGCCATAGCTCTTTGAGTTCTTTAAAAGAAGATTTTTAATTTTTTACTATATGCATATAGTGAAAATCAATGATCCCCCGGGGCGGGGCCAATTTTGACCCCAGGGCTTTTATTTGAACAAACTTGGTAGACACCCATTAGATCATGTTTCATGCTAATATCTTAGCTCTAGCTCTTTGGGTTCTTTAAAAGAAGATTTTTTAAGTTTTTACTATATGCATATAGGGAAAATCAATGACCCCCGGGGCGGGGCCAATTTTGACCCCAGGGCTTTTATTTATACAAACTTGGTAGACACTCACTAGAAGATGTTTCATGCCAAATATCTAAGCTCTAGCTCTTATGGTTTTTTAAAAGAAGATATTTAAAGTTTTTTCTTTTGGTTGCCATGGCAACCAGAGTTCTGCATGGAATTAAATTCTTTGAACAATTTTTAAAGGTGACCACCAAAGGAACATTCCTGTGAAGTATGGATGAAATTGGCTCAGTGGTTTATGAGGAGATGTCATTTAAAGTAAAAGTTTACAGACGGACGCCGGACGAAAAGCGATCACAAAAGCTCACCCTGTCACTTTGTGACAGGTGAGCTAAAAATCAACATAAACTAGAACTGCCACTATCATGGCATGAATACCCCCGCATACCACTTTGTCAGAATCAACAGTGGCCATTTAGAACTCAAGGACAACCTCCCTGCCAAATCTGAGGTTACTTAACCAGTGCATTGCTAAGTTATGTATTCTACATGCTTCAAATGTGAAAATGTCAAAATCAATACACTCTGGACAGGCATTCTGAAGCAATTGAGGGGAAAAGCTTTATTTTGACAAGGTCCCTGTGACCTTGACCTGGTGACCTCAAAATCAATACGGATCATTTAATAATCATGACTAACCTCCATGCCAAATATGAAGACTGTGGGTCATAGGAATCTTAAGTTATTGGGCGGACAAAGCTTTTTGAAGTCAAGGCCCCTGTGACCTTGACCTTTGACCCGGTGACCTCAAAATCAATAGGGGTCATCAACTAATCATGACTAACCTCCATGCCAAATATGAAGACTGTGGGTCAAAGGAATCTTAAGTTATTGGGCGGACAAGCTTTTTGAAGTCAAGGCCCCTGTGACCTTGACCTTTGACCCGGTGACCTCAAAATAAATAGGGGTCATCTACTAATCACGACTAACCTCCATGCCAAATATGAAAGACTGTGGGTCAAAGGAATCTTAAGTTATTGGGCGGACAAGCTTTTTGAAGTCAAGGGCCCTGTGACCTTGACCTTTGACCCGGTGACCTCAAAATCAATAGGGTCATCTACTAATCACGACTAGCCTCCATGCCAAATATGAAGACTGTGGGTCAAAGGAATCTTAAGTTATTAGGCGGGACAAGCTTTTTGAAGTCAAGGCCCCTGTGACCTTGACCTTTGACCCGGTGACCTCAAAATCAATAGGGGTCATCTACTAATCATGACTAACCTCCATGCCAAATATGAAGACTGTGGGTCAAAGGAATCTTAAGTTATTGGGCGGACAAGCTTTTTGAAGTCAAGGCCCCTGTGACCTGGTGACCTCAAAATCAATAGGGGTCAACTACTAATCATGACTAACCTCCATGCCAAATATGAAGACTGAGGGTCAAAGGAATCTTAAGTTATTGGGCGGACAAGCTTTTTTTGAAGTCAAGGCCCCTGTGACCTTGACCTTTGACCTGGTTGACCTCAAAATCAATAGGGGTCATCTAACTTATCATGACTAACCTCCATGCAAAATATGAAGACTGTGGGTCAAAGGAATCTTAAGTTATTGGGCGGACAAACTTTTTTGAAGTCAAGGCCCCTGTGACCTTTGAGCTGGTGACCTCAAAATCAATAGGGGTCATCTACTAATCATGACTAACCTCCATGCCAAATATGAAGACTGTGGGTCAAAGGAATCTTAAGTTATTGGGCAGACAAGAAAAAACCGCCGGACAGCCGGACAACCTGATTCCAGTATACCCCCCTTACAACTTTGTTGTGCGGGGGTATAAAAAGGGCGCATAATTCTGCAAAAAAATAATATTTTATCATTACCTGCCTTTTTGAAATTGCATCTTTTTATGGCAATAAACATGCATACCAAGTTTGTGGTGAATAGCTTTGAGAGTTTCTGAGAGAATGAACCTAAATGAAAGCTTTTCAAAAGCCAATGCCGATGTGTGGTTCATGACAATAGATTCATTTTTTTATTGAAAAGTGGAGCTAAAAAGCAAAACAGTGTAATGATTTTGATACAAAATATTAGTTACCACAGGTAGGAACGTTATTGCTCCAAACGCCATTTTCATTACAAGTTATCTGACTGTCTCCATGTAACGTGAAACCTGTCACACATGTAAAATCTACCTGTGATGTTGAACCATTAGTTGAAGAAGAACTATCTCCATCTATAATATTGTCTACATCAATGCATTTCACTGAAAAAAAAGGACAAAGTTAAAAATACAAATAATGATATAAGCACATTTCACTCAGGAAGGTTAACTTGTAAGAGTTTCATTAAAACAGAATATTTTCAAATGGTATTAGACTTTCAAGTCCGAACAACCAACATTTAAAACAAGAGCTGTCAACAGGACAACAGTCTCGACTATTCTCAGTGCTTTATAGTATATTCTAACACGACCCTTATTTTTTCCCTTTTGAATATAGAAGAACCCAAAGTGTGTCTTATTATGCAACAAAAACACTGTTAACGTTCTATATTAAGACATGTGATGTAATCATTACACATGTGACGTAACCACGTAACCACTAAAAAAGTACGGAAACATATCAAGCGCAGTTTAGCTTAAAATCAGGTACAGCTGTATTTATTTGTTAATGTTGTTAGAATCAAAATAATATATCCAAATCAGTGATTTTATTGCTTGATAAAATCACTGTTTGTCGTTCGGATGCGCATCATTACATCACTCAGGCGAGGCTTTTCTGATATGATTCCTCGACTCCAAACTTTAAACAGTGATTTTATTGAGCGATCAAATCACTGTTTGGGATATATTATTTCTTAAACAAGAGCATTGCAATAAATTATGTATAATTTTTTTAGTTCAAAAAGGGCAATAATTCTGTCAAAATCGATGTTAGAGTTATGGGCCTTGGACAGTGAGTTTTTTATTATACTCTCAAATAAGTGTGTGAAGTTTCAACCTATTCTCTTCAGTAGTTATGGAGATACAAACTTGCATGCACAATCTTAATTAAAGTGACGCCAACACAGGGTTTAGTTCAATAGCTCTCCCTATTCTTTGATTAGTCAAGCTACCAAAATTGTTGCTCAAAGAATATGTAACAAACTGAATAACATTGTAAAATGGAAGTTTTACCACAAGATGGTGCAGTTCCCAACCACCCTTGCCCTGTGTAACTACACTCTCTAGATATTTCTCCATCCAGGGAATATCCTACTGAACAGCTATATGTCACAATGGTACTATCAGAAGAAAATGACAGTGCTGCATTCACAGGTGTTGCTGGTGAATCACAAACTAAAAATAATATAAATATTTGTTTGAATTCTGGAAAGTATATGTATAAGATAGTGCCAAGTGTGCACTATTCTAAATTCAAAGTAATCTAACAAATTTACAATTAAATACTGTGTTCTGTTTTTTAAATTTGTCTTGAACTGCATTCAATGTTATATTGTTCATTTTGGTCTTACTGACTAATGAAAAGTTTTATACATATTTGTTAGAACAATAATCTTCACAAAATTTATTGATTTTATAATACTGCACACTTTTAAATCAAATTATGCCTCACATAAAAATATTATTTTCTTTCCTTCTTTAAAGGCACATTATGCCTCAGCTATAAATATTATTTTCTTTCCTTCTTTAAAGGCAGATTATGCCTCAGATACAAATATTATTTTCTTTCCTTCTTTAAAGGCATATTATGCCTCAGATACAAATATTATTTTCTTTCCTTCTTTAAAGGCAGATTATGCCTCAGATATGAATATTATTTTCTTTCCTTCTTTAAAGGCACATTATGCCTCAGATACAAATATTATTTTCTTTCCTTCTTTAAAGGCAGATTATGCTTCAGATACAAATATTATTTTCTTTCCTTCTTTAAAGGCACATTATGCCTCAGATACAAATATTATGTTCTTTCCTTCTTTAAAGGCACATTATGCCTCACATATGAATATTATTTTCCTTTTTACAAAAGGTAAACATGAGTTTTATTATGTTCAAATAATGGTTCAAGACTCTAAGATGCATATCACCTGGAGAAGAGCTCTAGATGCGAATTTATTTGTCATAAAAGTATCAAAATGTAAACATAGTAAAATTTTGACTTCCATATAAAATACTACAAAATTATAACTATGTTATTTGCTAACAAGCAACAGAAGCAAAATACAGGTTCAGGTATTTGACCAATAAATAATTTTTTTGAAACTTTAACAAGACACTAAAAACAATTGATTTTCTAATGAAATAAAAGCATTTCTGGGACAAAATGGGCCTTTTAAATAACACTTCAAAGTTATGTTTATAGTAACTTAGTATATATGTAAATTTATTTTAATTAGTTTTTGTATTTATGTAAATTTTATTATAATAATGTCATGACTTACCACATGCTGGCAAAGATCCATTCCAACTTCCATCAGTTTGGCACTGGATGACAGAGTTGCCTACAAGATGATAGCCACTGATGCATGAAAACTCTATGTATGAAAATAACTTGTCTGTAAAATTGTTCCTGTATCCATTAGCTGGTGTCATCATCTCTTCACATGTGACTGAAATAAATGTTAGATTTTGTATAAAGGTATCTCAATTGAATATGGCCCCATCAAAGCAGTTACAGTACTTATAATTCATGTTTATTTTATATAATGGTATCTCCATTGAATTTGGCAGTTACACTATTATTTATGTTTATACTGTATTCTTAGAAAAGATTTTGCACGTTTTAAGTTAGCTCCTTTTGCCGTAGGCATGATTCCGCGAATCTTAATAGTCGCGAATAGTATCACTTATAACAAATCCGCGAACATTCCAAGCTTCAACCAAATAAAAACATAAATGTGCAGAATATTTTTTATAATCTACTTACAAAAAAAACATATAAACACAGGTGCTATAGGAATGTGTAAAGAATTATGTAAAGATCATCTCCTTGCTAAATCACTTCATGTTTTAGCTTGTAATCCATATTTACATTTTGGATGAAAAGTAAAAATTTGTTTATACGCTTTTTTAATTAATCAGACAGTGCTCCCATTTATGGGTTTGTCAAGTTTCAGTTTTTTAGTAAAGTATAGAACTGTATTAGCATTTCCGTGTAATGTTGCATATTTCCCAACCTCCGCCCGTGTTTCCTCATCATAATTTGCATAGTTCCCCCGTTTATGTTTAATGCCTTTTTTGATAACATCTTTCACTTACTCATTCGCAATTCTATCACAGAATCATGACTCATACTACAAGACGGTAACAATGTCTCCAAAAGATCAGCAATTCTTTCTGATTTTTCAAAAAATTACGTATCGACATTTTGAAGATAAAGTCAGTTATGATTCAAATGAGAATAAAGGCTAATGGGTCTGACTAAATAGAGGATATTTGTTTAGTTCAGTGTAAGATCAGAATATATTTCACCGAGTGGGCACCAAAAGGTATATTTCACGAGTGGCGCAGCCACGAGTGAAATATGAACTTTTGGTGTTCACAAGGTGAAATATATTTCGATCTTACACTAAACTAAACAAATTTTCTTTTTATTACATGCAAAGAAACGTTTTAAAAAGACATTAAACCTAAAACTGAATGAAAAGCGCGCCAAATGATTATACAACGTGACGTCATTTACGACGTCACGTCATAAAGTTGGTACCCAGTACTGTTTACGCTGGTATTTCACTGAAACAACGTAAGGGGCTTAAATTCAAAACAGTGAAATTATCAAAGTGGTAATTTCACTGTTTCAAACAGTGAAATTACCAATTTTATATCACTGATATATTTCTATAAACCACCAAAAAGCATGTAATAAATGTAACTTTATCACATAGTGAATAGTGGAAAAAAGGTAAGGAAATAAGTAAAAAGTGTTCACAGAACAACCGTCTGTGTTCGATTAGTCAATAGATGGAAAGGTATCAAGTAACGTGGCCCTTTAGGCGCGACATGTCAAAACAAGAGGGCCATGATGGCCCTAGATCGCTCACCTGAATTATCAAACTCATCCAAACAATTACCTAGACAAGCATTCTGACCAAGTCTCATGACAGGTGAGTCAAAAATGTGACCACTACAGTGTTAACAAGGATTATCCATATTTGAGCAGTGCGACCTAGTTTTTTACCCAGGTGACACATATTCAAACTTGACCTAGAAATCATCAAAACAAACTTTCAGACCAATTTCCAGGATACTTGGATCAAAACAGTAGCAACTAGAGTGTTAACAAGATTTTTCTATTTTTAGCTCCGGTGACCTAGTTTCACATGCGATTTCGAACTAATCCAAGCAATTACCTAGACAAGCATCCTGACCAAGTTTGATGATAATCGAGTCGAAAATGTGACCACTAGAATGTTACAAGGTTTTTCCATATTTGGGCGGTGTGACCTAGTTTTTCATCCAAGATGACCCATGTTTGATCTTGACTTAGAAATCATCAAAAAAAAACTTTCAGACCAATTAACAGAATATTTGGATCACAACAGTAGCCACTAGAGTGTTTACAAGATTTTCTATTTTTAGCTCATGTGACCTAGTTTTTCATCCGAGATGTCCCATGTTCGATTTATTCCAAGCAATGACCTATTCAAGTTTCCTGACCAAGTTTGATGACAATTGAGTCAAAATTGTGACCACTAGAGTGTTAACAAGGTTTTTCTATTTTTAGCTCCTGTGACCTAGTTTTTCATCCGAGATGACCCATGTTCGAACTCATCTGAGCTATCACCTAGACAAGCATCTTGATCAAGTTTGATGATGATTGATGCAAAAATGTGACCGCTAAAGTGTTAACAAGGTTTTTCTATTTATAGCTCCGGTGACCTAGTTTTTCATCCGAGATGACCCATATTCGAACTCATCTGAGCTATTATCTAAACAAGCATCCTGACAAAGTTTGATGATGATTGGGTCAAAAATGTGACCACTAGAGTGTTCACAAGGTTTTTCTATTTTTAGCTCCTGTGACCTAGTTTTTCATCAGAGATGACCCATGTTCGAACTCATCCAAGCAATTGACTAGACAAGCATTCTGACCAAGTTTGATGATGATTGGTTCAAAAATGTGACCACTAGAGTGTTCACAAGGTTTTTCTATTTATAGCTCCTGTGACCTACTTTTTCATCCGAGATGACCCATGTTCGAACTCATCCGAGCTATCACCTAGACAAACATCCTGACCAAGTTTGATGATGATTGGGTCAAAAATGTGACCTCTAGAGTTTTCACAAGGTTTTTCTATTTTTAGCTCTTGTGACCTAGTTTTTCATCCGAGATGACCCATGTTCGAACTCATCCGAGCTTTCAACTAGATAAGCATCCTGACCAAGTTTGATGATGATTGAGGCAAAAATGCGACCGCTAGAGTGTTCACAAGAAATTGTGGACGGCCGGACGGACGACGGACGACGGACATTCACCGATCCTAAAAGCTCACCCTGAGCAAGCTCAGGTGAGCTAAAAAGATAAATAGAGGATATTTGTTTAGTTCAGTGTAAGATCGGAATATATTTCACCGAGTGAGCATCAAAAGGTATATTTCACGAGTGGCGCAGCCACGAGTGAAATGTGAACTTTTGGTGTTCACAAGGTGAAATATATTTCGATCTTACACTAAACTAAACAAATTTTCTTTTTATTATATGCAAAGAAACGTTTTAAAAAGACATTAAACCTGATACTGAACGAAAAGCGCGCCAAATAATAATACAACGTGACGTCATTTACGACGTCACGTCATTAAGTTGGTACCCAGTACTGTGCACGCTGGTATTTCACTGAAACAACGTAAGGGGCTTAAATTCAAAACAGTGAAATTATCAAAGTGGTAATTTCACTGTTTCAAACAGTGAAATTACCAGTTTTATATCACTGATATATTTCTATAAACCACCGAAAAGCATGTAATAAATAAAAGTATCCAAGAGAAAAGGTCATTCATCTAAACCGTAGCCTTCAAAAACTATCATTTATGCAGTAGCGACTTAATATTCTCGGAATTCGCAGTCACTACAAATCAGCCAAAGTTTGTCTATGCGAAAATACTGACGTTGTGAAAAACACGAAATATTGTATCGGCGAACATTTCTAGGAATACAGTATTGTGGAAACTTGACTGAATATTGCCACATCATTTCAGTTACAGCATTATTCATGTTTATATTGTATAAAGGTAACTTGATTGAATATTGCAACATCAATACAGTTAAGTTATAACATTATTCATGCTTATATTGTATAAAGGTAACTCGATTGAATATTGCAACATCAATGCAGTTAAGTTATAACATTATTCATGTTTATATTGTATAAAGGTAACTCGATTGAATATTGCAACATCAATGCATTTAAGTTATAACATTATTCATGTTTATATTGTATAAAGGTAACTTGATTGAATATTGCCACATCATTGCAGTTATAGTATTATTCATGTTTATATTGTATAAAGGTAACTCGATTGAATATCGCAACATCAATGCAGTTAAGTTATAACATTATTCATGCTTATATTGTATAAAGGTAACTCGATTGAATATTGCAACATCAATGCAGTTAAGTTATAACATTATTCATGCTTATATTGTATAAAGGTAACTCGATTGAATATTGCAATGAAGTTATAGTATTATTCATGTTAAGTGTACCACAGTCTGGTTGGTTTGAACTCCAGCTTCCATCCTCTTGGCATGTCACCTCACTCTGACCACTTAAACTGTAGCCTAGATTACACTGATATGTTTTACTGGTTGTATGTCCATCTGTGTTTGTTGTTGTTGTTCCATTGGCAATGTCTGCTATATTTTCACAGCTTACTAAAAATGGATAAAATATTAGGAGCAATGAGGACTGTGCAATTAATTACAATAAAATTACTATACAATGAAACATGTATAACATTGTTAAAGAATATCATTTCACAAATATGTTGAATTGTAATTGTTTGCTCTAAAATATTGAACAGAACAGAGGTGACAAAGAATTGCTGGCTGAAAAACTGGTTGTCAGATCTCCCAGCTACCAATATTCTTAGAGTTTTGAGCTTATTGACTTTTGATAAAACATTGCTCTTTTAATAATCAGATAACTTTTACGAGCTGGATCTACCAGATTCTGAAAAGGTGTAGGTTTTGATAAACAATGTGTTTGCATTTGAAACTTGTTCATATCTCCTAACTTACCACATTCTGGAAATGTAGATAACCATACTCCATCACTACCACACTGGACAGAAGTATCTCCCTTTATACTGTATCCAGAGTCACATGTAAACTCAACTGTTGATGTGACTCCATCAGTTTCCATAGAAACAAATCCATCTGTTACTGGTGGAACTGAGCCACAACTGACTACAACATAAAAATAACATTTCATGATGTATAGTGAATGTAATACATGTATAATGGTTTTATATTGTCAAATCCAATACTTGACTCAAATTAGACTATTATAATTTTAACACTCCAAGATTGGGCCAAACTCTAGTTTTCTTTTTTTCTTATGTTTAAAGTCAAACAAATCGGGCCTAGAAAATTGTATAGACTTCCTAGAAAACAATTTAATTGTACAAAATAAAACTCAAAATTTATATTTGACCTTGATGGTCAAGGTCAATTTAAAGTAAGATAAAGTAAGGCTAGTAAGCAATCAATCAAGCAAGCAGAGGCTTTATTTATCAAGGGAACATATTTTGTTTCAAAATCTTCGATGTGGGCCTCTCAGAAAAAAAAAATACAAACTGTAGTTTTCCTAATAAAGCATTGCCTTAACAATTATAATCCCATTACATCATGAAGTTTCAATGTTCACACAAAACAACATCTTTATCCTAACAGGGACATTGCAAGTACATGGGTGAAAGTTGGAAATTTTTTGAATCTTGAAAATTTAGTTTTTTCTGGTGGGTCCAGGCCAAAGCCCTGGTAGGGGGTCCAGGGTGGCGAAGCCCCCTGGAAGCACCTGGGAATTAGTGGTTTTGAGTGCTTGTACAGCGCTTTTCCAGGATCATATGATTGCCAAAGACTGACTTTATTATCATGCAGCGAATGCATGATTTTCTGTTAACAGCTCTTGTTCATGGATATACCCTAAACATACTCTTTGATGTAGATTTAGGAAGAAACATAACCTTCAAAATATAACAACTTTTTTATTCTTGTTTCCATGTAATTGATATCAACATTATATAATATGTACATGCAAAAAATGCACGATATCACCATTGATCATAGGTTAAGAGTAGGAAGATTAGTAACTTCTTTTAATTTAATTTCACATGGTCAAGCACATTGTTCAACAATTTAATTCAGAAAAAAACACTGGAACACATTCACAGTTACATGACTGATTGACTCTAATTCTTTTCCAGGGTCCCTTTTTACTGGAAGATGGTCCCATTTTTTTTTAATCGAATCCCCCATTTCTCACCATTTGTGTCACATTCAGATAGCCATGCCCATCTCCATTTGTTAGTTTTTTTACTTTGTAAGTCCTTAGTGTTGTATGCTGGGGGAAAAAAACTTCATTTTCAATATTTTTGCAACGATCAATTATCACAAGAATATTGTTGTTATTTTTTTTCAAGAATCACCTAACCCCTTAAAGACCAGCTATTGTATTGGACTTCAGTGTAAAGCGAGCCAATCAGAATTGTCGTATTATATCGTAATTCATCGCTACCTTAGTCTGGTTCCCGTCGTACTATAAAATTTAGTACGGAGAGAAAAGGGCAGGTAATCCAGACTTCCTCTACCTAGTCGTTTAAAAAGCGTCTGCAATGTCTTGATGATCGTGAACATTCCTGATTGGGAGCGATTGGCTTTCCCATTAGGAACTTATTGGCGGAAACGGTCCAACCAAGCTAGTCTATTTACGGCCGTAGCCGGCTATCTTCGTGAAAACCTGAAAACGAGCACCTTGCAATGACGAATCATTACTAAAAATAAAGCGCAAAACAGATCGAGTCACACTGGAATTTACTTTCGTTTTCGTTTCAACAGTTTGAAAGTCGAAGTCTTGGTTGAGGTAGGCCTATACAACCTACGCCCCCACCCCTCTGAAATCTCAACGGATTTACACGTTTTGGAAAAATGATCTCTGAGGACATCGAAAATCCGGAACTTCCGTAGCAGTCCGGAAAACTTCCACCCATGCAAGTAACATATCCTTGCCATAGAGCAAAGTAGAAAAATCTATTTTTAGCCTCAGTGACCTTGGCCTTCAACAAATCAACCTGAACACAAACATCTTTCCTTCAATGACAGAAAACCATGCAAGATACCAACATTCAAAATATCTCAGAGAAACAGACAGTACACATGTTTATGGCAGTAGAACAGATGGAAGGAAAACCTGGCAATTGTATGCATCCTTGAAGACATTTTGGGAAACATGATTACTTACCACAAGTTGTATCATTATTTGACCAGCCTGTATAGTCATTTTGACAGGTGATATTGGCTGAACCATACAATGTATAACCTGGGGAGCATGTGTACATAGCCATCATACCGTCATCTGATACACTGACATCACCATCACTGATTGAAGCAGGAACTTTGCATACTGTAAATGTGGATATTCAAATATTACAAAGAACTTCAGGTAAACCTATCAGGCTGTGACACAAAAGAAATTGTCTGTTGATTTTATCTGGCCTGGTTTGTAACTCGTTTCAGACCTTGTTTTTCATTATATAAATAACATTAAGCATCTAGTTATGGTATTGAGCTTAAATACTGATACAATATGGTAACCTTAAATACTGAAATAATATGGTAAGCTTAAATACTAATACAATATGGTAAGCTTAAATACTGATACAATATGGTATTGAAGCTTAAATACTGATACAATATGGTAAATTTAAATACTAATACAATATGGTAAGCTTAAATACTGATACAATATGGTATTGAAGCTTAAATACTGATACAATATGGTAAGCTTAAATACTGATACAATATGGTAAGCTTAAATACTGATACAATATGGTAAGCTTAAATACTGATACAATATGGTATTGAAGCTTAAATACTGATACAATATGGTAAGCTTAAATACTGATACAATATGGTAAGCTTAAATACTGATACAATAATATATTAAGCTTAAATATTGATACAATATGGTTAGCTTAAATACTCATACAATATGGTAAGATTAAATACTGATACAATATGGAAAGCTTAAACACTGATACAATATGGAAAGCTTAAACACTGATACAATATGGTAAACTTAAATACTGATACAATATGATAAGCTTAAATACTGATACAATATGGTAAGATTAAATGCTAATACAATATGGTAAGCTTAAATACTGATACAATATGGGAAGCTTAAACACTGATACAATATGGAAAGCTTAAACAGTGATACAATATGGTAAGCTTAAATACTGATACAATATGGTAAGATTAAATGCTAATACAATATGGTAAGCTTAAATACTGATACAATATGGGAAGCTTAAACACTGATATAATATGGTAAGCTTAAATACTCATACAAGCTTGTCATAATTTCTTATTTTAGCATTCAATTTCTTTTGTTAGCAATCAACAATTTTTCTTGCAGTTTCCAAATTTATGACATATATGTTGCTGAAGAAAAAGAGTAAAAATAATATTGTTCATACTACAAATAGGTACTGGATTACTCCATGCCCCAGATGAACTGCAAGCTGATGAGCTAGACCCATCTAAATAATAGTCTGAGTGGCATGAAAATGTGGCACTACTTGTTGATCCATCAGATGTTATGCTAACATATCCATTTGTTGGTGAAGTTATTACTCCGCATTGCACTGAAAAAATGATATGTTAGTTATTTGTCTATAATACCCAACAAATGTTTTCATTTTAGAGAAGTTGTGAAAAAAAACACTTTCATGTGGCTTCAAGACGGAGTGGTTAACAAATTGTCAAGACACCTAAAGTTTGCAGGTTTAAAACCCAATTAGAGGCAAGCTGTTGTTCCCTTGAGCAAGAAACTTTACAACCATTGCTTAGTACTGGTTGGTTCAAGTACTCTGTCCCATAAAAAGTTCTATAGCAAGAATGAAGTATAATTTTGAAGATTGTACACCTAACAATAAAAATCCTTATTTTCTTCTACTTATTTAAGAAAGTACAAAAATCTGCACCACAATTGGCTTCTAAGAAATCCATGACCCGTCACTTTACAGAGTTAACTGTGCAGGGGTCCAATTTGTGTTAATTTGATTAAACACCTCATCACAGCGTTACATAGTGATCATCTCTTCTTATAATCACATGTCCAACCAGATAGAATGAACCCGAGCTGAGGCATGTAACTGGGTAAAACAAAAGACAAAGGGAACAAAAAAAATGTCCAAAAATTGCCTTTTTAGCTCAATTTTGAATATCATAAGTATACAAGTGTACCAACGTAATTGTCTGCGAAAGAAAAAATTTTTCACAACAAACCAGTATTTTGTGTAGCATGACAAATTTACCCATATGTTATATATTTTGGAATATGAAATAAATTAAAACAGAAGACAATGTAATATAAATGATCAAAATACCTAAAACTTACATTGTTTTATACAGGCAGACACAACAATTACCAGTGCAGCTGTTGTATTGAAAAGCATAAACTGTATAAACCGTAGACTGTATCATTTTTCAAACAAGTCAAGTACAAATGATAAAAACATAAATAAATTCTTCCCCTTTTGAATACAATGATAAAATGACCATCTGTTACCTCCACAAGAGGGCGTTTGTATATCCCAGGTGCCATCAGAACCACATGTTAATGTAGATATCCCAGACATTGTATATCCAGTCATACAGGAGATTGAAGCTTTAGTTACAGAACCATCAGTTTGATATTGTTACATTACCACCGTGGTACTGACAACAACTCACATTTTTCTGAAAAAAAAAAAAAAAAAAAAGAACAAAAAGTTTGTTTTTTAAATAAAAGTTTACACAATTTTATCATCAGTACAACTGAACCCTACCTGTACCAGTTTAAAAGCTTGTAGACTATGGGATGCAGACAAATACTTAAGAAACAAAAATACTAGAAACAAATCAAATGATTTAAAGCAAAATATTGTTGGGCATATCTTCTCAGAAACAAAGTATTCAACATGATAATGGTAGTAATTGTATCATGTTTTTGTGTATATTATCAAAACTCTTCTGGTGCTATAAATGACATTTAAAAAACAGAACATATGACCATATTATGCACAAATAGAGGAAAATTTACAGTTCACAAAATAACTTTATAAATGACACCAACCAAAGAAAGTACACCAAAGGTTTTATAAATGTAAAGAAAAATGATACAAAAATCAGTATACCACATGATGGCTCATTTAAACTCCAGCCCAGTCCATTATCTTGGCATACTCTTTCTGATGCACCATTTAGAGAATAGCCAGAATCACATGTGTATGATATAACAGAACCGTTAGACTGTGCCACTCCATTTGCAAAGAACAATGATGATGAGCATACTAGAAAAAAGTTAATACAGTCTATATTAAATAAAGTGTGTGAAACATAGCATATATAAACAATATACATGTTTTTTTCAAAACCTAATTAATTAAGTAAGAAATGCTAGGTTTAAAGTTACAACGAAAGTGTTCAATTCATAAAGGCATATTTTTCAGATAAGCTGCTAAAATATAAAACATCAAATGCCAATAATGCAATTTAATCAGGTCACCCACAACTCTTATGATGACCAATTAATAAAAGTCTTACCTAAGGGAAAATGATACCAAGGGGGCCCCTAATTAAGGGTATATGTAATTTAAACCCTAACTCTTCTTTATAAATTTAATTTTAAAACCCATCAAATTCCAGTCAAAAATTGGGGCCCCAAAAAATTTTAAAATTTAAAGATAAATGTTTAAAAATGGATTAAACTTTTGGGTTGGGGAAAAATTTGCCAAATTTAAAATTCGGGCATTTTGCGTGAGAAAATTAGCAAAAAAATTTTGGGGGGGGAAAGGGTCGAAATTTAATGACAGGGTTGGTTTTATATTTTGCAGAGGATTTAATTTTGGGGATTTTCGTTAATCGTAAATACCCAATATTTTCCCAGTCCCCTTTTCAAAACCAAATTATACCCTTTAAAGTGTTTAGTATGGAATATTTAACAAGATTTTTTTCCCCGAACATGCCTTTTTTTTAAAAATTTTTTTTAGAGAATTTTCATTTAAAAGAAAAATTTTAAATGATTTGAATAAAAACACATACGCAAAACTGGAGGGTCTCCACTCCAAAAGCTCCCTCCCGAATTCTTATAGTATCACCAAAAAATAATATCATTTTGACATTATATTTGCCCTTTTGTTTCTGTCCATTATGGGTTCCCCTTACAAACCCATCTGTATAGATTCAATAGAGGGGGATGCAAATGTTTAAAAAATATATAATAAAACTATGAAAAATTTAAAAAAAAAATGTAAAAAGGGAAAAAAGTTTCATTTTTACGCATTCAAAATTTCCCTTTTGATTAATTAAATTTTAAAGGGGAAAAATAAATATTAAAAATTTTGTATGATATTTTTCTTTTTAATTTTAATTTTAAAACTATAATTTTTGAAAATGCAGTCAAAACCAAAAAAAATCTTTTTCCCTTCCCAATAAGCTCCCCAGAAAATGAAAAGTTTTAAACCCCATTTAAAAGAAAACCTTTAAAAAATGACATTGAACATATATGTCAACTTTATCATCTTACTGTTTGTTTCTTTCATTTTACGCCTTTTCCCAACAGTTTTTCATTCATATAGGTCATATATATCCTAACCATTGTTCCTGGAGAGTTACACAAGTACTAGACTACCTACCTCCATACTAAACTACCAAAGCATCTCCCGGGGATCGAACCAACACCAGAGAGGTAACTGGATTAGAAGTCATCGACTCTAACTCCTCGACCACTGAGGCCATTTTTATCATCTTACAACTGTACATGTTTTTATTTATTTTAATAATTGAAATAAAATAAAACGACTATGAGTAACATTTTCATATTTAATTTTGTTATATGTATATGACTCATACATGAACGCTTCAACAATGTTATTGCAAACAATAAAGCAAAATATCGCACTAAATACAATTCAAGGTTGGATTGTGTTTGGCCGCTCAAAATTTGACAGGGTATTCCCGTGTCTAAATAATTCGACCGAGAGGAGATCAGACGTGCTTTATATTACACATTTACTTTTTTGCTAAAGTCCAAATACATACAAAAACACGCCAACAGTATCATACAAACGCAACGCAACGCAAACGCAAAACACAGTGTTCAACAGTCCAAAAGATTACGCAAATGACATCAAATTGAAGATTCCATTCATCGCTGGGAACCCAAGCGTATAAATAGAAACCACAACTGACGCCATACACTGCAACGCAAAAAACAGGAATTGCCAAGTACTACGGGCAAAACCAAATAACGCAAACTGCAGTCCAAACACATGGACAAACTGTATGATACTTCCAAAATTAATTTCCTGATTATAGGTCGGCCTACCCTGACGGGTATTCCGTCACGAGCAGTAGAAACCATACACAGGGTTTTAAGTTAAAATGCCAACAAAACAGAATACAATGTCTGATCTCCTCTCGATCGGAAGAATTTTACGCCACTGTGAGCGACGATATCAAAATTAAATATGAAAAAACAGTATAACATATAAATTTCTGTGAGTCTATGAAAGTTTATTAAACTACAGTTTTAAATTCGAATTTCAAGTGTCCACATTTTTTTATTTAAGTCTAAGCTAGCACCGAAACGTAATTCTATATACTTATTATTAACCAGTCACAAAGATGTTTTCTGTAATTTATAAAGTACACAGTCTCTTCACATTAGCTGGTTTTCACTTATAACACACAATGTTTTTGCTCCCAAGTGTTCCATCAGGGTAGCATCCAATCTCTGCGTTCAGGTGCGTAGCCAACTCTTGACATTTGTGGACAAACACAGGTTATTGACAAAACTCAAACTCAATCCTGCAAATAGACAAACAGCAGCAGTAATCTTGTACAAGCTAAATATCAAATCAATACACATAAGCTTAACAGTCAAAATATTTAATTAAAAGTTTCGATCTTAATGAACCTGCCTATTAACTTCTTAATATATTAGCCTAAACAGGGTGTGGCGGGCGGGTAATTGAGTGTGTTAATGCTTCGTCGTCAAACAAAAACTGAGAAAGTTGCACGAGAAACTCGGGCTTTTATATTATTAACAGCTAACTCTTTATACCCGGCTCTATATAGAAATGATACGATAAACACGGTAACCAGTGTAATGTAAACAATCTATAGATAATGACCGAGGTTTGCCGATTGCCACGTAATGATAGCTTTACACAAGGTAGCAGACGATTATTTCTCTAAAATAAATGGGATTATTTTAATTCTAAAATAATCTTTATTATTTTAATAATTGAAATAAAATAAAACGACTATGAGTAACATTTTCATATTTAATTTTGTTATATGTATATGACTCATACATGAACGCTTCAACAATGTTATTGCAAACAATAAAGCAATATCGCACTAAATACAATTCAAGGTTGGATTGTTTTGGCCGCTCAAATTTGACAGGGTATCCCGTGTCTAAATAATTCGACCGAGAGGAGATCAGACGTGCTTTATATTACACATTTACTTTTTGCTAAAGTCCAAATACATACAAAAACACGCCAACAGTATCATACAAACGCAACGCAACGCAAACGCAAAACACAGTGTTCAACAGTCCAAAAGATTACCGCAAATGACATCAAATTGAAGATTCCATTCATCGCTGGGAACCCAAGCGTATAAATAGAACCCACAACTGACGCCATACACTGCAACGCAAAAAACAGGAATTGCCAAGTACTACGGGCAAAACCAAATAACGCAAACTGCAGTCCAAACACATGGACAAACTGTATGATACTTCCAAAATTAATTTCCTGATTATAGGTCGGCCTACCCTGACGGGTATTCCGTCACGAGCAGTAGAACCATACACAGGGTTTTAAGTTAAAATGCCAACAAAACAGAATACAATGTCTGATCTCCTCTCGATCGGAAGAATTTTACGCCACAATAAATTTATCAAAAAATTTATCCCCCAAATTCTTATTGGGAGACTGGTACATTTTTAATGATAGAATCTTTGAAGTAATCTAGGAGGAATTCCAAACCAATATCATTGAGATGAACCCCGTCTGCCCGAAAAAATGCAGTTTTAGCATCAATGTCTGGCTTAATTGTGTCACTTTTACCCGATGAATGAACTAATTGACGGCCTATCCTGTTAACTCGTTTGCGTTTATTTTCCATAGCAACCCAACCCCCCGTGGCATTATGCCAGGTCTGCCTCTGTAATATATCTACCCAAATTAGTACCGTTGTAGGGAAAGCTTCACGTAAGTAAAAAATTTCATCCCGAATAACATCTTTCAAATTTAAAATCGGTAAATCTGCCAAATCATTACCTCCTAAATGAACAATAATAATGGATGGAGGTGAAGAAAATAACACCTGTGATTCAATAGAGTGGCGGAAAGACTGCCAACGTAGGCCTCGAACACCCCACCAGGCTATTGTTAAATCTTTCAATCTCAAATTAGGCTTTCCTTGTATTCTTTGCCCGCTGTCCAGCCCAGAACGGGATCGAGTCACCCAGGACCCAAACATCTAAATATAAATAAAAGATTACACAGCGTAAGATAGTGATTGAGAAGAATCAACATTTAAGGACGAATATAAAGTCGAAACGCTTGAGATGTCCACCTTCCCAGTTTCATTATTACTGATGAAGGGTAACCTTTTGTAGCTAAGTCTGTGGCTCTGCCTATTCTAAAGCTATGGGAGGTGAAATGTGCGTCAGACAAATTAGACTGATTGACACACTTAGTTAGTACTGCCGAGAACTGGGTTCTAGTTACCGGCGAACCATCAGCGTGACAAAATAGAGGGCCCTTTGAACGAGGCCTGATTGACACAAATTCAAATAGAGCGTTAACAGGGCATAAATCACCAGTTTCTCTAGGTATTTTCAGAAGAACAGGAGTCCCTCTTTGATTTGTTTTAAAATGACGCAATTTAATAACTGCATATTCTTTTTGACCTACAAATGTCAAATCCGATAAACTGAGCACATTTTCAGCTTGCATGCCGGATGACGTAACCAATTCGCTGACCCGAAACAAACCATAATAGGCCAAGGTAAAAAGTGACTCGAATAACTTGTTTTCGTAAATATTATAACACACGCTCGGTAGTGAATCACACACCGAAACCAATGTGCGTATTGTTAATGGTGCCCGACAATCGTTAGTTATACGATTTCTGCGACAACCTTCTAATAATTTGTTGACCATAAAAACATTATTTATGTCATAAAAACCATATAATTTATGGTAATAATTCAGGCCAGCGATATAAGTTGTAATAGTTTTTGGTGAATGGCCTTTCTCAAAACAAAATGCCATAAACAAAATCACGTGATTAATTGGAATAGGCCATTGACTTAGCATTTTGAATGATAGTCTAAATTTCTCGAACATATTGACGCTAGTTCGGTAAGTTGATAAAGAGTTTGATGCTAGTCCCGATTGTAGCAGTTGTACAACTCTAGACTGAATGCGTTCCATAGAAACTCTGGAACCTGGCAAGGGGTGGGGTCCGCTTCCGGTGCCAACTCCCTGAATCGAGATAGCTGAAACCGAGACAAAGCATCACAAATATCATTTTGACAGCCAGGGAGATGACTAGCCTTAATTAAAATGTTGAGTCTTAAACAGCGTAATGCTAAAATTCTGACAAGACACATGACTGCCTCTGATTTTGACGTTAACTTATTGAGTATATGTACAACTGCAAAATTATCACAATTAAATTTTATTTTTCTGTTCACTAATTCCTCGCCCCAAATGAATAATGCGACTAAAATGGGAAAGAGTTCTAGAACAGTAATATCCGTGGTGATACCTAATTCATGCCACCACGTTGGCCATCTTGCATTGCACCAATGACCCTTGAAGTAAAGACCAAAACCTAAACCTATACCCCCGGCACTATCTGAAAATAACTGCACATCCTCATTTGAGACCCAAAATCTGTCATGAAAAACGGAAATACCGTTAAATGATTCTAAGAAAACTAGCCACATAGACAAATCCAATTTTATTTCTTTTTTTATTCTAATTCGATGATGAGATTTAGTAAGCCCACATATTGAATTAATTAAGCGGCGAATAAATGGCCGACCAATAGCTATGGCACGACAGCAAAAATTTAAAGATCCAATTAAAGATTGTATCTCTTTTAATGTTGACTTTTTATGAGATAAGATATTCTTTATTTTTTCAACAACCTCGGTTATTTTAGTCGTGGGTATCCTCACAACCATTTTGCTTGAATCTAACTCGAGGCCGAGGAAAACGAGGCTCTCCGTGGGCCCCTCGGTCTTATCTTCGGCTAGGGGTACCCCTAACTCCGACATTGTTCCTCTAAATATTTGTAATGCCCTATTGCAAGAGTCCATCGACGTATCACCTCCCAAAAAATCATCTAAATAGTGAATTAATTTGCCTGATTCAAAATTAAATGTAATGCAAAATTCCAAGAATCTTGAAAATCTTTCGAAGGTTATACAGCTTACAGATGCTCCAAACGGAAGTGCCTTATCGAAATAAAACTTATCATTATAACGAAAACCAAGCAACTCAAAATCTGAAGGTTTAATAGGGATCAGACGGTAAGCACTTTTAATATCGGATTTAAATAGTTTGCAGTGCTGACCTAGATCTTGAATCATTTTGATTGCCTGATCGAAACTGGTGTATTGAACCGTGCACAAGGCCGGATCAATATAATCATTGATTGATTCGCCCGGCGGATATGACAGATGATGAATCATTCTGAACTCCCCGGGGGTTTTCTTCGGGACCAGACCAATCGGGGATACAATTAAGTTTGGTAGTGGACGCTTATTGAATGGTCCAGCTACCCGGCCAGCTATAATTTCTTTATTAATTTGACTGTTAATTATTTCCGGATTTAACAGAGTAGAACGCAGATTATTGGAATCACGTGCAACACGGGGACCGGAATACTGTAGTGGAAAGCCATTCTTAAAACCATCATATAAAAACTCTGCTTCAATTTTATTATAAAATTGTAAATAATATTGCATGGCCGAAAGTTTAATTGGTGATTTCGCAATATTATGAATATCTGGATTTGACTGTTTTTCTGATGTACAACAATGATTAATCGATTTACTTGTTTGACTGCCCTCTATTGTAACCTCTCCCTTTTGAATGGGACTGAGACCCCCTTCCTCGAAAATTACGTTGAAAAGCTGGTGTACGACTTTTCTGTGTATAACCAACTGAATTTGAAGAGAAACAGTTTATCTCAGGATGGGGCGCATTACACTTCGCGCATAAGTGGGGAAATTTGCAGTTTTGCCACGTGCATCTACCATTATTAAAATCAAGACACGTGTACTTAAATTTTGAAACGTTTTGGGCTTGATCTGGCTGTCTAACTTGCATACACCGCCACCATAGGTCATTGTTGATTTTAGACCATGGTGAAGGTGTAATAGCCTGGCGTAAGCGAAACTGCTCATCATAAGTTTTCCAGGCTGACCCGCCTTGTCGCATAGCGCATTCTCTTATATTGTACATATAATGTAGCAGTTCATAAACTTTGTCTGAATGATTTGACAGGTATATGGAGGCATATATGATGAATGCGTTTGTCCATTTTTCGATATCATAAATCTGATCTTTACACTCCTTTGGAGCCGAAACCAATTGTAACTCGGAATTAACCGTAACAATACCGCCCCTAAAAAATTCGGAGATAGCTCAATTGCACCCTTGAGCAACAACGCAAAATTAACGTACTCGCCTCTACAGATTTGCTGTTTGAGAACTGTAGGGATATGAGCCGCTAAGTCATCGTCTGCTAGGCGAACAGACGGTGCTGAGCATACATTAGCTGGTGAAACATTTGTCAGCGGCCTAGAATGAACATTTGCATTATTACTGGTTGTGTCGGACCCCAGAAAATGATCATTATTTACACGTGTTGGAAAATCTTTATTTGAAATAATACCCGATGCACTCAAAATTCGCTCGAAGTCGATAACATTGGACTTACCCGCTTCAGTCTCTAGAAGCCTGACATCCACCATGTCGTCCAATTCGTCGGCTTGGCGCTTCTGACCCCTCGGTTGTCTGGCATCGACGCGCGGGTTATCCTGCACGTGCTCTTGACTCTGCTGGGGCTGGGCGCTACCACAATCATCAACTGCTCTACCTGCACGACGTGGAGTTGAATTTTGTTGACATTCGACGGTCCCTCGTGCATTTCTCTGCAAACGACGCTCCCCTAGAGGAATTTCAGGTACTGAAGCTGCCTGTCCTCTCTCGCTGCGTCGCATGGCCATTTCTCTTCTCGAAGGTTGAATCCTTCGGCGTGTACGACCTCGTGGCATGGCTAATAAATTTCAGCTTACTCTAATTGAGTGTGTTAATGCTTCGTCGTCAAACAAAAACTGAGAAAGTTGCACGAGAAACTCGGGCTTTTATATTATTAACAGCTAACTCTTTATACCCGGCTCTATATAGAAATGATACGATAAACACGGTAACCAGTGTAATGTAAACAATCTATAGATAATGACCGAGGTTTGCCGATTGCCACGTAATGATAGCTTTACACAAGGTAGCAGACGATTATTTCTCTAAAATAAATGGGATTATTTTAATTCTAAAATAATCTTTAATATTTATGTACCAGAGTTTATGCATCTTTATCTAATAAGGCAATAGTGGGAATTATATAAGAGTTACAAATAAAATCTCAAGATGTTAATAAAATGTAATAAAAAATATGCTAACAACATGAGGGCGCGGAGATATCCCAGTGTCCATTATCATCACAGGTAGCAGAGTAATCACCAGAGACACTGTAACCAAGGTTACAAGTGTAAGTTACAGAGGAAGTACTTCCATTTGTTGTGATCATCACATCACCATCAGCAATTGATGAAATATCCTCACATTTATCTGAATTGAAAAATAATTTTGTTTGTTTTTTTTATATGTATTTTTTGCTGATTTTAACACATTTGTTTTAGTTTATTCTCTGTCACTTCACCACCCAACAAGCTTTCCTGGATAACAAACCAAGACACAGTAGTAACACATATTAAATTTAGATAAATATATAAATAATCATACAAAATCACTTAGAATTTCATCCTCATTTTTTTCTCTCAAGTATTTCATCAAAATATCCAAATAATATATTTCTAAATGCTTATTGTAGACCAATCCACTTTAAAGATATTATGTATAATTATGAAGATAACGAAAGCTTGAGTCAGTTCAGGTGAGCTATTAAAAAATCATATCAAACTTACTGCATGTAGGAGGTGATCCAGACCAACCAGAGGAGTCTGTGGCACATGTTCGAATATTTGAGCTGACCATTGAAAAACCCACATCACATGTATATGTCAATGTCATACCATCGGCACTAATTGTGTAGTTGCCATCAACCAATGAAAGTGGTGGGTCACAAACTGCCAAGAGATATTACATGATCAAAAGTAAATACTTTACAATACAAGAGCACAGCATGTGGTGTTTACATTTGTCTGTTACAAAAAAATCTATGTAATAAAAAAAAGAGTCATAACTCCAAAATTATTGTTTACAGAATAATGCTCCTTGTAATGATTGATAATCAAGTTTCATGTTAATATCCCTTGAAATGTTTGAAAAAATAGACTACATTAAAAGTTTTGAACAACGACTGTTTCCATCGAATCTTGGGAAAAACACATGTAATAAAGAAGAAAATGTCAAGACAATCAACGGCTTTGCAAACGCTGAGCAAACTGTTTGACCAAAAATCAGAAAAAAAAGTATGTAATCATTTTAAGTACAACACATATTAACATGAAACTGTTATAAAAAAACATACCACATGTTGGTACTGAATCATTCCAGCTTCCATCTGATCTACAGACCAATAATTCAGATCCTTTTATTATGTAGTTAGAATGACATGTGTATAGAACAGATGTTGACAGTCCATCAGACATAACCGAAACATCGCCGTTATCAACGTCACCCACTGTAGGACATTGAACTTTAAAAGAAAAATATACAAACATGTCAACAGTAACAGACAGAAACATGAGAGCTGAGAAAAAACAACAAAAAAACAACAGAAAATAACAGAGCAGTAAAAATATTAAAAATAATTATTTACTTGAATATTATAGTATTTCAACATTTGAGTGCTCTATTGTTCATGCTTTATTAGTTATATTGGTTAAGAAAAAGTATGGATATCTTCTGGATCTGAATATAATGTGGTTATAAGCAAATGGTTTGACTATAAAACAATTTTGTTTCTTAAAAACCTTCCTATGTATAAAGCAAAAAGAATTCGATATTAAATAACTATATTCTGACAAGATGTTGTTCACATTTTTACAAATACATTGTATTGGTTAACAAAAAAGAATGAACAAATTTTCAACAACAGCATAAAAGTTTTAACAATATGTAATGAATTGAAGCCAACATTTATAATTATATAATAGCTTAAAGACCGAGATATCAAATTACCACAATTTGGCGGAGAAGAGGACCATGTTCCGTCCAAGTTACATGTTGAAACTTCGCTTCCAGAAAGTGTATAACCTGTATTGCATTGGAAATTTGCTACAGACATTGTACCATTTGTGCTGACGGCAATATTACCATTCTCTGGGGCTGATATATCCTCACAGGTTTCTGAAGAAATAAAAGACTAAGTAAAATTCTGGAACTAAAATAATTAAATTATCAAATTGCTGTTAATAATTCAGTATAATTTCAGAAATTCATTCCTTAAAACTTGATGTTTGCAACAAATCATTTTGATTTTAGTATTATAATTTATTATCTCTATGACATTAATAAATTCAATAAAAGCCGTACATACTCAGGTAAGAATTTGCAATATAATTACATAACATTAATAGTACACTTACCACAAGTAAAGGCAGACACTGACCAGATGCCTGTATCCGTGCATTCAATGTTTGGCTCCCCAACAAGTGAAGTTCCAACAGCACAGGATACCTCAGCAGACGTTACGGAACCATCAGATGATAACTCTATAGAGCCATTCTGAGGAGAATTCAAACTGCCACACTCAACTGCAACAAAAATAGTGACTGGTATATAAGGTAGGTATTTAATTGTAAGTATTACCAAACAATTTTTGTTTTTGAAGGAAAATATTAGGCTGAAATGGGGTTATAGTTTGATCATTAATACATATCCTTCTCTAGATGAGAAATTGATAGTCAATTATGGGCTTTATAATACAAAAATGTGGTGATCTGAAGCAACCACCAACTACATAAAACCTGGTCAGAATGCAGGGTAGTCTGACTCTGCAATGGTGGAACTTGCCTATCATTCAAACACCTTTATAGTTTAGATAGCATATGATTCAATTCCCAAACCAGTTGAAAAAAAAAAAAAACAACCTTAAAACATTCATTAAAATTCTACTATACCACATAAAGGCTGAACTGAATCCCAGCCAAGTCCATTGCTTTGGCACACTTGATTTTTCTCTCCATTCATTGTAAACCCTTCCAGACATGTATATGTAATGATAGATCCGTTAGAACTTATATTGTAGTAACCATTTGTAATAGATGGAGGCAGATCACATCCTTCAATATGAAAATAAAACATATTTTATAAACAATTTGTTTATAGGTGTTATTTACAAAAAATAAAAATATGTTGTCAAAGGACTCCAAAGGACAAACATATTCCTTGAACTCAAGTTAAAATCAATCTAACTTGCCGGTTTAGGTTAACCTCGGACGTTCTCACAAATTGATACTTATGTGACTATGTTATTGTTCTCTCCACTTTTCTTTTAGCCACATAAGAGCAAAGTTTAGCCATGTAAGAGACTGAATGAATAGAATTTACAGTTATGTATTGTCCTCCTAACCACATAAGTATCCAAATGTATGCTCATACAGACAGATGGACAGACAAACTGAGGGCTGTAGAAATTTTAAGAATTAAATTTAAGGTAATGTTTCAAACATGTTTATTCATAACAGGAATCAAGATGGTACAATAATAAAGTTAAACACAATATGAAAGATTTGTAAGTATTTTTATCTATCGACATTCATCCTCTTTGAATAGACATAAAAAAAATATGTCACTTTAATTTGTATTCAAACAAAAAAAGCCCTTAACATATTTAAAGGCACTTACGACACTCTGGCTCTAACCCATTCCAAGTTCCGTCTGTGCCGCAACTAAGACTAGAATCTCCATGGAGATGATATCCTGCACTACAGTCAAAGGTTACCATGGTAACAGTACCATTTGTCGATCTTGTCATCGAACCAGATTCTGGTGGAATCAGGGTGTCACATTGTGCTGGAGAGTTGAGATAATTCACACATGTTCTTATATATATTAAAAATTGATATACATGTATATATATGACTGTCAACTCCAAAGGTTAATATCAACATAAAATATTTCCTTACATATAACCCATTTTTAAATAATCAAAGTTTTTGGGACATTAAGTCTAATGGTAAAATAAGTTGAACACTTGCAGAGAAATAGATAATTACTGATTATTTATCAAGAAAAGCAGTTTAGGTGAACCAACTGTCGATATACGACCAAAAAAGTTTTGAAAACAGTATTAAAACCACACAAACAAACATCATATTCAAAGTTAACAAACTAGGAATATCATGTATGACAGCTGATCTACTTTAAAGTACAATGTTTGTTTAAAAATACTTATATTAGCCAATCTGCACTACTGAATACAGCTCACAATAGACAAATCAAAACTTAAACTCAATGAAAGCTTACAGCAAGTTGGTTCAGAAGCATCATATTTCCCTGATACAGCACAAGTTGAATCACTTGTTCCTTTTAAAGTGAATCCCTCATCGCACGTAAAAATTACAGTTGAAGTTTCTCCATCTGTGACTGACGTGAAAGCACCATTTTGTGGTGTGATAATATTGTCACAGAGAACTGAAATTATATTGTGAAAATGTAAAAACATTCTATTCTATAACCCAAGTTTGCATTCTTTTGTAAAATACTGCTTCAATGTAATCATCAATGAGGTTAACAAACACAGCGGACTTCATGTCCGAAGTCTAAAGTTTTTCTAGAGCAATTAAAGAAGATGTTTATGAAAAAAACTTCAGACACTGTAATAAATTAGTTTTATAAAAGAAATAATAAAACAAACCACTCCACAGATCTTTGTAATATTCAGGTAATGTTATCAACAAAATATTCAACAAAAAACAATTTGAAAAAAAAGATTATTGTTAAAACAAATATTTAGAATTTCACATTCAAATATTCCATAGAGTTTTGAATATTCGAACATTCCAATATTGGTTATCATCCCTAGCTATCCTATTAAAAATCATTCCCTCTGAAAAAAAGAGGGATTTATGACCATTTCAAATGCAACACTAGACACCATGTTTTATTAATATCCAGATCTAGTTGAGAATTTCTCAAAACTACCCCATAAGCAAAACATAACTTGGTTTGTTAGATCAAAAGATACCAAAAGAAACATACCACAGACAGGTGCTGAAGTGTTCCATGACCCATCATCCCTGCACACTGTAGTTGAGCCTCCATCCATTGTATACCCAGCAGAACATGAGAACAACGCAACAGTCACCACACCATTGGTTGATAAACTGACAGCACCACCACTAGGATGCGATACAGTATCACATAAACCTTTGAAAAATGTACAAAAATTCTTAAAGCAGCATGCCTTTAAATTCATGCTAATTTTCATGAAAATTTTGAAATTGTATTTAAGGCATTTTAGAGTAAAATATTGTCAGGAGAACAAAGGAAGTAGTTATTACATTGCAAACAGCACTAAACGTCCAAATAAATTACCAAAAAGAGGTTCAAATAAGCAAGAAATGAAATCCAAAATGGAGGAAATGAGTAGCAACACTCTGTGAATTTGTGACTGTTAAGATTTACATTTTACTTGGTCTGTTTGTTTGGTTTTAAGGCGCACCAACACAATATATGTCATATGGCATCAAAACAGGAAAGTTGATTTTGGCTAACCTTGGGAGCTAAGAGATGCATAGACTCCAGTAAATCAGACCCAGTTAGTCACCTATTAAGATCAAACAGGGACAAATGGTGGCTGCAATTTCTTATGTCTCAACAATTAAAGGCAACCCCTCAGTCACAAGGGGCTTTTACACAGTTTATCAAATTATCATTTCAATATGTTTCTGTTAAAGTTAGATAATTCTATGCTACAACAAGATACAATAAATTTGCTTATTATGTTCAAAGTTTTTGTTATATTAAGATAATTCTATGCTAATAAAATTTGCTTATAGTGTACCACATAAATATACAATCAATAGAGGATATTTCAATACTTAATTTATTGAACAAGTTGAAAAATTTTATTTTATTCAATCAGTTCAATAAATTAAGTAATGAACCTACACGAATATACATGTATATTCTAATGATGTTTTATCACATACCCAAAATAAAGACTATCTAAAGTGAAAAATAATTATTTTTTTAATAATGTGCCTTATAATAGTGTAACTCTAACATTATGTGTGTCTTTATGTTTGTTTGTATATGGCAAATGACGTCACAAAATATATGCATGTCCCTGCATACTGTTTTTACAGAGTCACAAAAGCAGCACGGGCGTGTGATAATGTATACATTTTATTCCAACATTAATTTCACATATGTTAAGTGAATATACTAACTACAAGTTGGTGGTACACCAGACCAGCCAGTTCCATCTAGCAGACATGTTCTATTTCTTTCACCATATAATGTATATCCAACATCACAGAAATAAGTGGCTACTGTCTTATCACTTGTAACAATGACTTCACCATTTGCTGGAGGGTCAGGATCAATACAGTCTGGAAGTTTACAAATATAAAACAATCTTATACATTTACATTCATTTCACTTTTAAACCTTACCATGTTAAATATCTTAAAGTGGCATTATGCCAAACAGATAAAACTCAAAAACACTTCAAATTTTTTGCCTAAGTGAAAAGTTGAGAATTAACAAGTTAAGACAGCTGGGGTACGGAGCCAAAACATCCTTATTAGCAGGGCGCGGGGTGCCGCTTATTAGCATGTTTACGCTCAGTGCCCTCGCCATTATAATTTGTTAATTCTCCACTCTTCGCTTGTCAGGGTCGCGGGCCAAAAACACAAATGGTATACCAAATAAATGTTTTCATGTGAACATGTAAATATGGTTTAAAATGTATAAGAAGCTTTCAATCTCTTGAGTTAAAGTGGAAATCTAACAGTATCACAAAACATTTTAATGACATTACATACCACACTGAGGTTCTGTAAGTGTCCATGTACCATTGCTTAGACAAGTTCTAGTTCCACCACCCACCAGATTGTATCCAGTAGCACATGTATATACAGCAGTGGTTACTGTATCATCTGTAGTTAACTGAACTGTCCCACTGGCAGGGTTAGAAAGTTCCTCACAAACAACTGGTATAAAACAAAAATAAATATTTCTTAAAGTATATTAAAATTAAAGCATAGTACAGTTTGATTGTATGAATCAAATAAATCGCCTAAAAGCACAAAAATTAAAATATAAGAAACATTATGTGCAAAAAAATGTTTGCTTCTGATGAGTTCTTGCTGCACCAACAGCTAAAAGTTCTTAAATAAATGACATAAAACATTCCTGTTTGACAATATAGCCATACAGATGAAAAATACAATATATATATATACCACAGGTTGGCACAGATGATGTCCATGTACCATCAGAATCACAATAATTTGTAACATCCCCATCCAGCGAGTATCCAATAGGACATGAGTATGTTATAAATGACTGTTGCCCATCAGTAGAAAGTAGAGCTTCACCATGCGTTAGACTGCTTAATGTATCACACTGAACTGGATGATTTAAATATACATGTATATAAAACCGTGTAAGTACCTAGACTGACAAACTTAAAATTCTTTTTTTATTTCATTTAAATAAAATAACAATTAAAAAGAAACAAAAGTACATTGAAATCAAAATTTTCTGGGCCTGTAATTGGAAACTTAATCATTTAGTTTATTGATACAGTTAGGTGGCATGGCAAGTGGTAAACATGTCAGACTAAATATCTTAGGTTAACTGGAAACAGTGGATTCAAACCCCATCAGGAGCAAGCCGTTGTTTTCATAAGCAAGAAACTTAACACTCATTGCCTAGTATACATACTGGTTGGTTCCAGGAATGGATCTGAGTCATGTGAGTGTTTCAATAAGCTTATACATTGTTATAGCTTCCGACACAAGCTAAAATAAATTTGTATAAACTTAATAGTTTCTTTTGCTGCTTTTTTTCTCTCTTTTTTTTAATGAAAAATATCATTCATTAAATTAATGATATTTAATGAAGGTGTAGCAGTATTGTTGTCAATGAAAAGCTGACATGGTCAACAACTCAATGGTATTTCTCAGCAAACTCAAGACATCAGCTTTGATTCTATAATTATCCTTACTGCAAATATAATATATTTGTTTCTTTGTTTGAAATTCATTGAACAATCAAATACTGAATCTGAGTGAAATATAATCCAGTAACTAAAATCAGAAGATCTCATGTAGATTATTAAATAAAAAATTACCACAATTTGGACTTTCTAAAAGCCATCCCTGGCCATCTGGTCTACAAATGGAAAATGTTGTCCCATCCAGAGTAAATCCTGAGTCACATGTAAACGTGGCTAAGTTACCGGTCGAGTTCACAGCACCATTTATTGGGGTGACAGGATCTTCACATACTTAAAAAAAATGTGATTATTACATTAAATATAATTTTATAAACAGTGTTAGGTGGTGTTCACACATTTATCACAAAAAGTAAATTTTATTGATCTCTTTATGATACATTGTAAACATTTTCATACAGGTTAAAATTTCCTTTTGTTTATACACAATAATCATTTGATTCATATCAAAATAAGAAAATTTCATATTTGCTTTCTCAACTGAAAAGTTTCATGAAAGAGATGCATTTATTATCACCTTAGTGCAATAACAGGTTTACTCCTTATATAATTTAATTGTAGTTAACCCGTTACTTAACTAAGGTAACATTATGTTAAGGGGATCAGGTGCCTAGTTGGTAAGGTGTCTGCCTCTCAACACAGGGATTATAGGTTTAAGCCCTACTGAGGTAAGACCATGTTTCCTCACATGAACCCAATAATGGTTATGTCCAGAAAGTTTAAACACAGCAGTGCTTTAAATAAGCGAATAGGCTTTATATAGTCTTAACTTAATAATTTGCCAGTGTACTTCATTGAGCTAAAGAAGAAAACTATTCTGACCCACATAATAATTATATTGTATGTTGCATAATATTATATCAATATCTTTAAAATATAAATTTTGTTTTAAAAACATACGGCAAGAAGGTGAATCTGACCAGGCTCCACTCTGTAAACATGTCACTTCAGCTTCTCCAATCATTTGATAATAATCAGCACACTGTACAGTAACGTATGAAGTAGTTCCATTAGAAGTCATGGTATAAGAACTACTTGAAATCGTTGGAAACTTCTCACATAATTCTAGAATAACAAGCAATTATCATAGTATTGCAAGCAATCCATAAGTCTCCTACTGGTTAGAACCCCATGAACATTCTGAAGGGCCAATTTGGCCATTCACTTATGTCTCTATTTTAAGTAAATTTGTTGAAAAAGTTCTTTAAAAGTGATGACAGGAAACAGTTTTTATGTACAGACAGACAGACGGACTGAAGGACACTCTAAAGTTATTTTTTTAAACAACCCTGTTATCAAAATATAACATTTTTAAAAGCAAAGTTCTTAAAAAGAAATAATGATGCAAGACGTCAAAGAGTGATAAGAGTGTAACAAAGAACAATCAGTAATGAAGGTGTTGATAATGAATGTTTATTTTCAGTATTTTTTGAGTTATCGCGGGATCCAGTTTTGTGGACGGACTGACGGACGTACTTACCAAATGGTACTTATGTGACTTTTCCTTTGATCTTTTTAGCCATTTTTAGTCACACAAGGCTTAAAAAAAGACACACAAGTAAAAACGGAATGAATAGGATCAAAGATAATTTACTGTTACCCATTGTTATCCAAATCACAAAAGTACCTCTGGGTTTGTACGGACGGACAGACGGACGGTAAACCTTAACTGGTAGGGGACTAATAAAACAATTATTTAATACAAGTTTAGATTCAAAATAATTAGATATGTGTTATTGGGGCTAAGAGACTATGATGATTACTGGCAGTCACGTGACCTCCCGTTAATAAGACAAATGATCAGCCGTCGGATTAACCGAACAAAGACACTAAAATTATGAATTTATTTCAAAAGAAAATATGTATATATATCTATTTACAATAAATAAAATAAAAAACTTTGACATAGTAATAAAGGTCTTTTTAATCACCATAATTATTCCAAACACATTAAACAAGAGCCCGGTTTGAGCCGGGTGATTCTCCCAGAATAGGTTTTGGACACAGGAAAGTAATCCTCTTGTAGTTTCAGAGTTATGTCCCTGGAAAAAGTTCAAAGTGCAATAATTCCAAAATTAGGCAAGGCAGAATTATTGTTCTTTGCACTGCACTTCTAACCAATGCGATCTATCAACCTACAAAGTTTCTTGTTGATATCCCTTATGGTTTCCGAGTTATGTTCCGGACAAGGTTCAAAATGTAAAAATGAACAAAGGGCAATAACTATAAAATTTGGCAAGGCGAGAGTTCAAGTTCTTGTGCACTGCACATCTACCCATTGAGATCCATCTACCTACAAAGTTTCATGTTGATATCTCTTGTAGTTTTAGAGTTATTTCCCGGACAAGATTTTTTTAAAAGGGGAGATAATTCAAAAATTGGGCAAAACAGAGTTAGTTTTTTTTTTGTACTGCACTTTTACTCAATGAGATCTATCTACCAACAAAGTTTCATGTTGATATATCTTATAATTTTAGAGTAATTTCTTAGACAAAGTTCAAAAAGTAAAAATAAGCAAAGGGCAATAACTTGTGCAAGGCAACATGATTTGTGAAAAAACTCAAGGTAAAAATCTTTAAGACATTAAAACTAAACCTTCAAATTACAAGATAGTCAAACCTGTTTATGTCAACTACTTTTGAGATATCATAAAACTGTTATAATGTCAGTGAAAATCAAAGCAAAATATACAATGTACGAGTTAACAAACTTTGCTTTGTATTTCTCATTGAATTGAATTATCAAAGCTAATTTAACAACCTTAAACAAAAGCTTCAAATGACTTTAAAATAATTCAATATGGTAGCCTTTTAAAACAAGGTTTGACTGTAATAATGAAATAACCAATAACTATCAATGAAATACATTTTGTCAAAATTACTAATAGTCAAAATTCTATGTTGCATAACTATAAAACAACACAATATTCAACATACTCGACACAATAGCTGAATGGGCATACGTAAATATTTATATAGAAGATAAGTGTACATATAAGTTTATATATTCATTTAAAAAAATATGATTTGTGTTTTATTAAATCAGAGTTTAAGTAAGTGTTGAGCCACGACAATCTACCAAATATATCAATTATTTCCTATTCTATATCAATAATGGTAAACCAATATCTTATTAAAGCTGCATTAAATAAATCTGTAAAAAAAATTTGCAGTCGGCCTAAAAACATGCAAGCATTATACAGTTTCATTAACCTTTTTAACAGTATTGTTGTAAATCTCATCAAACATTGTTGATAAATTACAATTATAAACGGAAAACCCCACGGAAACACTAAAGTTCGTATACGAATTTTAACATGCAAATGAAGACTATGATCAGTTTGTGTATGTGCTATGTCACAGTGTTAAAGTTGTTATACAGAACACAGCAAATACGAGATTTTTGTGTGCAAATACACTTTAACCGTTTTAGCTTCACGGTGCACTTGGCATGGCGTTCAGGAAAGAGTTATCATCTCATAAAAATATTAAATTTGTATGAAAACATCCGTTACAATGCGGAAATATACTGTTATATTAGGACTGCTACTTATCGCCATGTTTGTTAATTTAATATTGATGTACGGATAATCCAAAGGCAGAGTTTCTTATGCAAACAGAAATTGTACTTCCAATTTCGCCACAATGAGGTCCCAGATATGTATGCTTATCAAACTCACTTTTATTGTCTTGACACCATAATAAGATCTGGAGTCAATATAAAACCCAATTTATCAATTAAAATTCACTATTTCTGTTTTTATGAAATTTATTTAATGTACCTTTAATGAGATATAATCTATATTAACCCATTGCTTCATGAGCATTTTGTGAAAAATGGCTGTTTTCATTGAAAAGTCTCCCGTTACAAGTTCAAATTGCTATAATACTATAAAAACTGCTTCAACACTAATCAAACTTGGCACAAATGTTGACTGGACCATTGTCCTTGCAACAACATGCTCAGACTTAAATTTTCTGTTACCATGGCAACGAGGGGACATCTCAAAATTGCCAAAAATCACTATTTTGCATTGATTTTTTCCATCAAAATTGATTTCAAAGTGCTGCAACTTATCAATGGATTGAGATAGAGTCAAATGCTTTTCAGCGTTGGTTACACGTTACCTTATGATCAATCTGGGGTCATTTACAGCCTCTCACAAGTCCAAAATTTTCTTGGCGATGAGGGGGACTCCGCCCCCCTTCAAACCCCCCAAAACAGAAGGGGGCACATCCCCCTTCTGGCAACCCCCTGATGTATCTTTTGGTTGGGGGCCGCGCCGAAAAAGAGGTCATTTTTTTTAACAACATTTCTCAAACAAAAACAAGTGTTTGGGGCCTAAATAAGGCATTTTTTCATCATTTGAGACAACAAAAAAAGGGGGGGGGTGAAAAGGGCGTTAAAAGGCGTGTATATGAAGTAATGGGTTAATATCACTCTCCAGAAAACACTGACCAACAAAGCTTACTGTTCATTACATATTTCACCCTTCATGGTGCAATATATTTGCAATTATTAGTGTGAACAAACAAAATTTAATATCCCTTTTCTTTGTATACAATGATGAATGATATACTGTATTTCATCAGTGTGATATATCATATATCACTCTCCTTCTATAAACTACAATGTAATTGTTTCTTCATACAGTTTTATCATAAATATGATATGTATTAATGGGAAAACCTTTAACCGTATTCTTATTATGCTGAACTTGCCATCCCTTTAATTTGGAACTGTTTTAAAAAATATTTAAGTATTTATGCAACATTCTAACACGACTCGCATTTTCCCTATTGAACATAGAAGAACCGAAAGTGTGTGTTATTATGCAATAGAGTCACTGTTTGACGTTCTATATTTAGACATATGACGTAATCATTATAAATGTGACGTAACCACTATAAAATCTGACGCGCTGACAATAAGTCTGGAAACAAATCAGACGAAATTTTGCTTAATAGCAGGTACGGCAGCTTTTATTTGTTTATGTCGTGTTAGAATCGAAATAATATATCCAAATCGGTGATTTTAACGCTAGATAACATCACTGTTTGTCGTTCGGATGCGCATCATTATATCACTCGGGCTACGCCCTCGTGATATAATTCCTCGCATCCGAACTCCAAACAGTGATGTTATTGAGCGATAAAATCACAGTTTGGGATATATTATTTCTTAATTTTACACTACCATTGCAAATAGGTGACATTAATATACACTTGAATGGAAACTTGCTGCAGACTAAACAAGAAACAATTGGCAATGCCATGAAACCAGGTTTTCAATTATCACCATTGTAGATAAACATGTTGTATTTGAAATACAAATACAAGCAACAAACATTATGTAACTATGTGCAATGTAAAACATGAATAATGTAGGAGGAATTGCCACAGAAGAAGTGTTCACTATATATTCTGTATAAGGAAAACAAACAAAGGGCCATAACTAGGTAAAAAATTATCAAATCACAAAACCCCGACAATATGCGCCAAGGCACTTGATGACAAAGCTTCTGTGAAAGTTTGAACAAAATCCGTTGAGAAATGTAGGAGGAGTTCAGCACAGAAGAAATTGTTCACTATATATTCTGTATAAGGAAAAAAAACAAAAGGGCCATAATTAGGTCAAATATTATACAATCACAAAACCCCGACAATATGTGCCAGGGCACTTGATAACAAAGCTTCTGTGAAGTTTGGTCAAAATCCGTTGAGAAATGTAGGAGAAATTGCGCATGGTAGAAATTGTTCACTATATTCTGTTTAAGGAAAAAAAACAAAGGGCCATAATTAGGTCAAATATTATACAATCACAAAACCCTGACAATATGCGCCAGAGCACTTGATGACAAAGCTTCTGTGAAAGTTTGGTCAAAAACCGTTAAGAAATGTAGGAGGAGTTGCGCACAGAAGAAATTGTTCACTATATAAATCTATATAAGGAAAAAAAAACGAAGGGCTATAATAAGGTCAAATATTATCCAATCACAAAACCCCGACAATATGCGCCAGGGCACTTGATGACAAAGCTTCTGTGAAAGTTTGGTCAAAATCTGTTGAGAAATGTAGGAGGAGTTGCGCACAGAAGAAATTGTTCACTATATCTTCTATATAAGGAAAAAAAAACAAAGGGCCATAATTAGGTCATATATTATCCAATCGCAAAACCCTGACAATATGCGCCAGGGCACTTGATGACAAAGCTTCTGCGAAAGTTTGGTCAAAATCTGTTGAGAAATGTAGGAGGAGTTGCGCACAGAAGAAATTGTTTACGCCTGCCCGCCCCCCCGCCCGCCCGCCGACATACCTCAATCTAATAACCAGTTTTTTCCTTCGGAAAACCTGGTTAAAAAACTAGAACTGCCACTATCATGGCGTGAATACCCCCGCATACCACTTTGTCAGAATCAACAGTGGCCATTTAGAACTCAAGGACAACCTCCCTGCCAAATCTGAGGTTACTAAGCCAGTGCATTGCTAAGTTATGTATTCTACATGCTTCAAATGTGAAAATGTCAAAATCAATACACTCTGGACAAGCATTCTGAAGCAATTGAGGGGAAAAGCTTTATTTTGACAAGGTCCCTGTGACCTTGACCTTTGACCCAGTGACCTCAAAATCAATATTGATCATTTACTAATCATGACTAACCTCCATGCCAAATATGAAGACTGTGGGTCATAGGAACCTTAAGTTATTGGGCGGACAAGCTTTTTGAAGTCAAGGCCCCTGTGACCTTGACCTTTGACCTGGTGACCTCAAAATCAATAGGGGTCATCTACTAATCATGACTAACCTCCATGCCAAATATGAAGACTGTGGGTCAAAGGAATCTTAAGTTATTGGGGGAACAAGCTTTTTGAAGTCAAGGCCCCTGTGGCCTTGACCTTTGGCCTGGTAACCTCAAAATCGATAGGGGTCATCAACTAATCACGACTAACCTCCATGCCAAATATGAAGACTGTGGGTCATAGGAATCTTAAGTTATTGGGCGGACAAGCTTTTTTGATGTCAAGGCCCCTGTGACCTTGACCTTTGACCTGGTGACCTCAAAATCAATAGGGGTCATCTACTTATGATGACTAACCTCCATGCCAAATATGAAGACTGTGGGTCAAAGGAATCTTAAGTTATTGGGCAGACAAGCTTTTTGAAGTCAAGGCCCCTGTGACCTTGACCTTTTACCTGGTGACCTCAAAATCAGGGGTCATCTACTTATCACGACTAACCTCCATGCCAAATATGAAGACTGTGGGTCAAAGGAATCTTAAGTTATTGGGCGGACAAGCTTTTTGATGTCAAGGCCCCTGTGACCTTGACCTTTGACCTGGTGACCTCAAAATCGATAGGGGTCATCTACTTATGATGACTAACCTCCATGCCAAATATGAAGACTGTGGGTCAAAGGAATCTTTAGTTATTAGGCGGACAAGAAAAAACCGACGGACGGCGGACGGCCAGACGGCCTGACGGACAATCTGATTCCAGTATACCCCCCTTACAACTTTGTTGTGCGGGGGTATAAAAAACCTTTCATCTTGTGGAGAGATATATTCAGGAAATTTATCTGAAACAAGTTTAATTATATTTATTGTCCCTATGATTACAATTAACAAGGAAATGTTATTAAAATCTTACTCAAGTTATTCCAGTTAACATAATCCTACACTTACAATATATTTCTGTTTCAAAAACTTTTCAAGGAAGTTTATATGCTTATAACATATCTGTTGTTATCGAGATTACTGTTATTTTTTCCAGATTATTTCTACAAAATACTGTAAATACAACATTCAAAGTAAGTTTAAAACTTTATTTTAAATACTTAGCTTCTCATTTATACAAAACAAATTATGTAAGAATGTAGTTCAGGCAATATTTTAGACAGTGTTTTTAATTTTTTTTCTCCCTTTCATCAATCTCAAAAAAAAAAATATTTGTTTAAATGAATTATGTATTTCATTTAAATAGAAATATACATAATAATATTTTACATCATAATGTATTTTTCACAATATATTGTCGTGTTATATAAATTTCCACATATCTGGTCAAATGAAAAAGAAATTTTTTCTCTTGATTATTATTAAGAAATTTAAATAAAAAATTGAAAAAAAAAGTTTAAAACTTCATTTTATATACAAAAGTTTTCATCAATATTGGATGAATTATGTAAGAAAGTGTTACATGAGTATATAAAGCGTTAAATTTTAGTGTCTCCCTAGCAATATTCTTGATCAATTGATAACTTTCCGAACTTATTTATATTATGTTTCCTAATGTCCAGATTAAGGCTCTCTTGTTCTGTTCTGTTCTAGGACATAAAGGATAAATAAGTAACATGTGATAAAACTAATAAGACTGCTGACTGTATATTTTTCACATTACCTATACTGATTCTTATTTTGTAAGAAATCAAATATATATACTTGTATTATTGTAAGGCTAGGATGCTCCACGACCCCTATTATGCCAATGACGGGGAAAATAAATGGGGTTACCCCTTAACTGGGCGCCCGAAACTGAAAAAAAAAAAAAAAAAGACTGCTGACTGAAAAATTTTTCTTTTTAACTAATTTATTACAGAATGTTTCAAGAACCTGACTACAGAGAAAACTTATCATTGATGTTATCAGAGGTTTTACATGACATTGGTGTCAATGAAAGAATGGTGATGGGAAGGAGAAGAGGACTCATGCTGATAGAGACTATGACTAATATCTCAAACAGGTCAACTGATATAAATTTAACTCACTTTTTCCTAGGGAGTCAAAGTGAAGGTACAACTACTATAGGACTTGATTCAGACGTTGATATACTGGTCTGTAATCATGATTTCAATATAATACAAGACTGGTCAGAGTGGGAACATGGCAAGTTAAACTACCTCATGATACAGGATGAGAACACAACCCCCGGGTATTGTTTCTTACAACGACTCAGAGATGATGAACCTCTTCCTGTAACTGTCATTCTTGATGAACACTGTATTACTGATAGAAGAGGAAGAATATTGTATAAAAACACAGTGATAAATGATTATCTTGAGGGTGATCAGCAGCATCGCCAGCATGGACCATCTATTGTTGAACAAGGACAACCTGGATTCAGTGATAGAGACATGGTGATTGCTTTACCCTGTAAATCCTGGCCTCAATCAGCATCAGGTTGGTCAGAGAGACAAGGTATTGGCAGATGGCCAACACAAGAAATGAGAAGATATGCAGCCAGTACTGGGTGTTTAGTTGTTCCAACTAGAAGTAAGGTCAGTGAATATCCTGAACTGGAATGGAGAATATCTACATCATTGACAGAAAGATGTATTATGTACAATCTAAATATAACACAAATAAGGTGCTATGTGCTATTGAAAATGATTCTTAAGTCCTTCCTTAATCCTCAAGATGAAATCAACATATCAAGTTTCATGTGTAAAACAGTTCTATTACATTGTATAGAAAACACAGAGTCACAAATATGGAAAGATAACAATTTATATACATGTGTAACATACTGCTTATTGGAATTACACAGTTGTGTACAAAATGACTGTTGTTCACATTTCATTATACCGGAAAATAATTTGATGGCAGGGCAATTTACAGCTGAGACAAAACATGAACTTTCAAAAAATATTTGTGATTTTATACAGAATGATAGACAACGGTTACTTAGTATTGATATTGATGATGTTGGTCATAGACTTCAAGTTAAACTGAACAGGGTACCACATGGAATTAACTATTTTCCTTCTTCCATGTCTTCTCTTGAAATATATGAACGTGTTTTGACCTTGGGATATGTAAACATTGCAATCCACATAAGTAGACATCATCAGCTTACTTTAAGACATTTACACAATAAAAACATTAGAACAAAAAAACAATATGTATGTAATCTAATGACCTTCAGTGACAATGGTAATAGATTAGAACATAGTGCATTCAAGCTTCTAGCACCTTTTCTTTTTACCACATACGGATCTATCCTAGCATCATCAAGCATTGGTGAAAATAATCGAGTGTCACCTCAAGCATTGGAATGTTTATCAGCTGGTTTAAACTCAGATATCTCATCTAGCAGACTTAAATTGGCTTCAGTGTTTTACAGTACAGGAGATATGGAGAAAGCTGAACTAATTCTGAGACACACAGAACAACAATATTATTCTAATCCTGTTTTAACTATCTGTGGCTGTCATAGACAGCCCCCAGCAGTAACAGAAGAATTCATGAGGGCATATAATGAACAAAGTGAGGACTGTATTAAACATATTACAGCTTTTTGTGTCAGATTTATACAGAGAGAGATCAACTGTGTTCCTCATGAACTACAATATGAAATGTTCAGATCTACACAAGATGACATGATACACAGACGTAGAATAAAGGACTGTTGGATGGACTGGGCTGTAGTTGATTCACTACCTCTATTGTACTTCCTACAATACAAGATTTATCGTCATCTACAAAGACATCAAGATAAACAACAAGCACTTTGTAAACTTATAAGAACTATAAATACAGGTGAAAACCTTGGACATAGAGAAACAGCTCTAAACATTTTAGGACAATGTATGGAACAAGAAAAAAGACCTCAACAAGCATTAAAATGCTACATGCTTTCTCTTCAACAAAGGCCAAGAAACAATGCAGCAAACTTCCATATATGTAAGCTCCTTTCTGGCTTACTGGTTAGCCAATAAAATTGGAAAAAAAAGTATGAAGACTTGAGTTTTCAATGATATGATTATCAAACAGATTAAAATGTCAATAAAATGTCAAAATATAGGCATTACACTTTTTATTACATATTATTTTGAAATACCATTAAACATGCTAAATTGAAAGAAAGATTCTAACTTCAATGACTTTGAATATTTGACTTTTACAATTAAAAGTTAAGAGCCTCAAGTGAAAATGACAATATTGCTTATGCAAATAAATTTTAAATCTTTGTTTATAAGATGAAGTTTTTTTCTAAGTTTTTTTTTACAGTAGTCAAAACAGTTTTAGCTGTCACCTACATATATATTTAGTCTTCTATTTTTAGCAATAACTATTAAAGTCTTGTTTGATAAATGTACCCTGTATATAATCTTGTTCTTATGTAATATATGTACCCTGTGTCTGTATTGCCCGTGCTGTATATTTTTGTTATGTTCCTGTCCATGTTTGTCTCTGTATATATATTTGTTATTGTCCATGTCCCTTATTGTTTTCCCTAGTTATTTCTTAAATTCATATACTCATATCTCATATCCAATAGCCGTTACCTATACATAATAGTACTTCATAACCTTTTCAACCTTTTTGATTATCTTTTCTCACTAATTTTTACTTTATCCCCATTAATCTGCACAACACATGCCTACCTAAATTAAGGAATTGTTGGTGCAGGCCACGGTTTTGTTGTAGCGAAGAATAAATATTTTGAGTAGGGCATACTTGTCATTTTACAAATAGACTTTTGCAGATGGTGCCATTATTATTCATAATATATCTTGCTATTCTCCAATTTTGTGATTGTTATATTTGCACTTGAATTGAGAAATTGTTGGCGCAGGCCATCATCATCATCAATACAGGTTTTGTTGTAGTGAAGAATAAATATTTTGAGTAGCGCATATTTGTCTTTTTACAGGTTTTTGCAGATGATGCCATATTTATTCATATTTATTTTGCTATTCTCAAATTTTGTGATTTTTATATTTGCACTTGAATTGAGAAATTGTTGGCGCAGGCCATGGTTTTGTTGTAGTGAAGAATAAATATTTTGAGTAGCTCATATTTGTCTTTTTACAGACCCCTCTACCCCAGGTCCAGAACTTACAGCAATGTCAACGAGCCCCTTTGTTTCGTTTGAGCTGCCACACCTGTATATAACATGACCTGCTATGGAAAGTCAGCAGCCACTAATGTCTCAGGTCAATAAGAACAATGTAATGGTCAAAAACAAAACAAGAAGGCAGTAATGGCCTTATAGCGCTCAGCTTACATTCATTTCTAGACAAGAGCCGGTTGACCAGTTGAACCGGGTGATGCTTCCAGAGTAGGTTTTGGACACAGAAAAGTATACCTTTTGTAGTTACAGAGTTTTGTCCCGGACAAAGTTGAAAGTGCAATAATTCCAAAATTAGGCAAGGCAAAATAACTGTTCTTTGCACTGCTCATCTACCAAATGAGATCTATCTACTTACAAAGTTTCTTTTTCATATCTCTTATAGTGTCAGAGTTATGTCCCTGACAAAGATCAAAGTGTAACAAGAGCTATCACAGGATAATAAAATACTGGACGCAGTAAGGAAGACAAAACTATGAAAAAAATCAATTATGTATGATTATGTATAGTAAAAAATAACATTGTTAACATAAATTCCAAATCAAGGGGAATAATTCTGGAAATAGTCACACTAGAGTTATGAACCTTGTCACACAACATGTGTGTAATGATAAGAAATATATTTTAAGTTTGTAAAAAGTAAAGAAGTTATAATATTTCTTTAAGAAAATCCTAAGTTCAAAGAAAGATAAATATAGAGATATTGCAAGAGTTATGAACCTTATCACATAAAATGTATTTGATGATAAGGAATGAGTATTTGAAGTTTGAGGTTGATACCTTTAAAACTAAAAAAGTTATAGTAAAAAATAACATTTTTCAAGTAAAATAATCTAAGTTTATGGGGAGATAATTCTAGCAATATTGGTGCTAGAGTTATGAACCTTGTCACATAACAACATGTGGTTAATGATAAGGTACAGATATTTGAAGTATAAAGTTGATCCCTTTAACAGTAAAAAATAAAATTTGAAAGGAAAATTTTTTCCAAGTTCAAGGGGAGATAAATCTGAAAATATTGGTGCTAGAGTTATGAACCTTTCCACACAAGATGTGGTTGATGATAAGGTACATATATTTGAAGTATGATGTTGATCCCTTAAGAAATAAAGAAGTTACAGTAAAAACAGTATTTTTTAAGGAAAATTCTAAGTTCAAGGGAAGATAAATCTGAGAATATTGGTGCTAGAGTTATTAACCTTGTCACATAAGATGTGGTTGATGATATATAACATATTTGAAGTTGATACCTTAAGAAATGACAAAGTTATAGTGAAAAATGTTTTACTGCACCAAAACTTTAATCTGAAATCTGGATGCGGACGCCGGGGCATGTAGGACAGCTCTCCATTTACTTCCTATAGTCTAGCTTAAAATAAACAAAGGGCAATTACTCCAAAATAAGGCAATGCAGAGTTATGGTTCTTTTGCACTGCACATCTACCCAATGAGATCTATCTACCTATAAAGCATCAAGTTGATATCTCTTATAGTTTTCAATTATGTCCTGGATAAAGTTCAAAGTGTCAAAATGAACAAAGGACAATAATTCCAAAATTTGGCAAGGCAGAATTATGTTTTTTTGCACTGCACCTTCGCCCAGTAAGAAATATCTACCTACAAAGTTTGATGTTGATATATCTCTTATAGTTTCAGAAGTATGTCCCAGACAATATTCAAAGTTTAAAAATGAACAAAGGGCAATAACTCCAAAACTAGACCTATCACTGAAGGTGATTAATACCCCCACCAACAACTTTGACTTTTTGAAAAAAAGTAGTCTGAAGAAAAATTTGAACACAAACTATCAACTGTGTACAAAGAAATATTTCAATCAATTGTAATTGCAACTGGGGTCTCGAAATAAGCTTGCTATACACCAAGTTTGATTACAATATCTCATTCCTAACTCTAGTTATTGTCAAGAAACCATTTTTTCTATTTTTAGTAACACTGTAACAGTGACCTTGACCCTAGGAGGTCCAAATGCAATACCAACCCAGGTCTTCATATAAGCTTCCTATACACCAAATAAGATTACAATATCTCATTCCTAACTCTAGTTATTGTCCGAAAACCATTTTTCTTAACGGTGACCTTGACCTTGACCCCAGGGGGCCCAAATGCAATACCAACCAAAGTCTTCATATAGGCTTGCTTTACGCCAAGTTTGATAACAATATCTCATTCCTAACTCTTGTTATTGTCCGGAAACCATTTTTCTATTTTTAGTAACACTGTAACGGTGACCTTGACCCTAAGGGGTCCAAATGCAATACCAACCCAGGTCTTCATATAAGCTTCCTTTACACCAAATTAGATTACAATATCTCATTCCTAACTCTAGTAATTGTCCGGAAACCATTTGTCTATTTTTCCTAACGGTGACCTTGACCCCAGGGGGTCCAAATGCAATACCAACCCAGGTCTTCATATAAGCTTGCTATACACCAAGTTTGATTACAGTATGTCATTCCTAAGTCAAGTTATTGTCCGGAAACCATTTTTCTATTTTTAGTAACAGTGACCTTGACCTTGACCCCAGAGGGCCCAAATGCAATACCAACCCAGGTCTTCATATAAGCTTGCTATACGCCAAGTTTGATAACAATATCTCATTCCTAACTCTAGTTATTGTCCGGAAACCATTTTTCTATTTTTAGTAACGGTGACCTTGACCTTGACCCCAGGGGGTCCAAATGCAATACCAACCGGAGTTTCCATATAAGGTTGCTATATACCAAGTTTGATTACAATACCTCATTCCAAACTCTAGTTATCGTCCGGAAACCATGATGTGGACCGACGGACGGACGGACGGACCGACCGACCGACCGACCGACAAGCTGACTCCTATATACCCCCCCTAAACTTCGTTTGTGGGAGTATAATAAGGCAATGTCGAGATAAAGTAATTTTGTAATGCACAGTTACCCAATGAGATCTGTCTTCCTACAAAGTTTCATGTTGACATCTCTTATAATTTTAGAGTTATGTCCCAGACAAAGTTCTAAGTATAAGAATGAACAAAGAGCAATACCTCCAAAATTAGGCAAGGCAAAGAATTAAGTTACGGTTTGTTTTGCACTGCACATCTACCCAATGAAATCTGTCAACCTACAAAGTTTCATGTTGATATATCTTATAGTTTTAGACAAGGGATGGCAAAGAGTAAACGGTTAACCGAATACTCGATCGAACGTCCGAATATCAGTTAACAATACTGATATTCGATTACTCAGAAAAAATATATAATTAATATTTTTTTTTCCATTTAGAAAGATTGGGGTGTCCAAATAATTCAGAAATTCGGAGATATGCATGTATCTTCATAAATACCTGTTAAATGCAATCAAACCATCCTTGCAGAGGTGCGAAAAAGATATCGTAAAGTTAACAAGGCGATCAACAGTTTGACATGCGCACCTGTGTCGCTTATGTCATCCAGCTCTTATGATATTCAATTACCTTCAGTTTGTAGCGGAAGTAACTATTTTGAAAAAAACAAATGGCCGATAGCTTTTATGAATGTAAGACTCAGGGTAACTAGTAATAAGACCAATTTTAAACTTTTGTTGCCGCCGTCTATATTATTTCAAGACGAAAAAAGATATATGGTAACTGTTAAACGTGTTTTAAAATTGCATTAATTAAAACGTTGTAAAATATTATGTTGTTGAATTAATTTCAATTTATTTGTCTCCTGTGCAAGCCTATTTATAGTTATGAATTCTATTAATTTAAATAGAAAACGAAAGTAGCATGCGGATGGTGTTGATTCTGTGAGATAAACTTTAAAAATCACTGAAAATCAACCGAGTAACCGAGTACATGTACTCGATCTGAAAAATGACCGAGTACTTGATTATTGATTTTTGTATTCGTTGCAATCCCTATTTTAGACTAACAAGAGAATTTCATGAAATTGACCTCTATGGTCTTTGCCAACTGGAAGGTGTCTTTGCCAACTGGAAGGTGTTTTTGTCCCAAAAAAACATATCTCCCAAAACTAGGTATGGTACTGATCACTCCTATGAAGTTTGGTCAAAACCTTGCCAGCAGTGTGACCGGTGAAAGCCAGACAAGATTTTTCTTTTAATAGCTCTAAAAGCCACTTAGTGCAGCGAAGCGGACCATGCAGGTGATATGCACAACTAGGTATGGTACTCATCAATCCTGTGAAGTTTCATTGAAATCAAACTAGCATTTGTGCGGCAAAGTGGAGTGTGCCAGCGATATGCACAACTAGAGATGGTATTGGTTTCTCCTGGGAAGTTTCATCAAAATCTCACAAGCAGTTTGATCTGTGAAAGCTGGACAAGATTTATAGCTCTTAAGTGGCTATTTTGTCCAGTAAGCCAAAAGTGCAGGTGATATGCACAACTAGGAATGGTACTGATCACTCCTTTTAAATTTGATTAAAATCCAACCAGCAGGATTTTTATATTAAAAGCTCGGGCAGCAATTCTGTGCAGTGAAGAAGAACATGCATGATGCAGGCAATATGCATAACTAGGGATTGTTCTCATCACTCATGTGAATTTTCATTGAGATCCTGTCAGCAATTTGATCTGTGAAGGCCGGACAAGATTTTTCTATTTATAAAGCTGGCGGCCATTTTGTGCAGTCAAGCAGAACGTGCCAGTGATATGCACTGTTAGGAATGGTACTGATCAATCCTGTGAAGTTTCACTGAAATCCCGCCAGCAGTTTGACCTGTGAAGGCCGGTCAAACTGAATGCAGACTGACAGACAGAAGGCAAAAACAATATGTTTCCCAACAATTTTGGGAGACATAATTAAAGGTCAAGGACACACATAAACTAGATATGTTTATAATACATGAATGTCACCTATCGTCAGCCAATTAGTCATGTGGCCAGGTCATTGTGACTGACTTTTGAACTAGTGACCATAAAATTAATAGGGGTCATCTACTGGTCTTGACTTGTCACAAGGTCATTGTGACCATTAAGGCAGTGTGCAGCAATTTTATGACAATTTTATCACAAATCTTACCATATAATATATGCATAAATTTTATGAATGATGAAGACCTTCTTAATGTCAGTCAATTTGTAATATAACATTAGACCTTGAAAATTGTATACCAAAATTATTCTTAGTTTAAAAATATCAACCAAGTCAACTTTAGTTACTTGTCAGACACCATTTTTACTTACAAGGTCACTGTGACTGACCTTTCATCCTTAAGTCAATAGGGGTTATCTACTTGCCAAGACCAACGCATCTGAGAAGTTTGAAGGTAAAGTGCCCATGAGTTGTTGAGATATTGATCAGAAATCGTTTTTTATCTATAAGGTCAATATGATCATGACCTCTGAACCATTGACCCCAAAAATCCATTGAGGTCATCTCCTGACCAAAAGCAATGCATTTGCGAAGTTTGAAAGTCAAAGGTCCATGGGTTGTTGAGTTATTGTTAGGAAACTGTTTTGACATGAAAGGTCAATGTTACTTTAACCTTTGACCCCTGACCCCAAATTCAATAAGGGTCATCTACTGGCCAAGACCAATGCACCTATGCAGATGGGGGACCAAGGGTCCATGGGTTGTCAAGCTATTGATCAGAAACCGTATTTACCTACAAGGTCCATATGACCATGACCTTTGATCCCTTAACTCTAAAGACAGCTTCCATTTAAGAACATAAAATTTCCGTCAAAATAGCTCCCAAGGATATTTTTTTGTACATATAAAATAATTGCAGTTTTTTTAATATATATGATAAGATTGCTATTATATTAGGTCAAAAACATGAAAATAAAAATTATAGCAGATGTATTTTGAGTTTTAATCATGTTTTAAATTTCATGTTGCTAACGTCATTATTTGACAGAATATTTGACGGATATTTTTACGTTCACAACATTCAGAAATTGGAAAAATTAAGCATTCTCTTTATTATAATTAGCAACATTTTATTCTAAGTAATAAAAGATTGAAAACTGTATGTAAAGGAAGTACTATCTCTGCAGAGAACAGGCCAGATACAGATTTATTCATTTTTGCTGATGTTGCTAAACGTCATTTATTGACGGAACAAATTGTTGCTAGCATCATTTTTGGACGGAACAAATTGTTGCTAGCATCATTTTTGGACGGAACAAATTGTTGCTAGCATCATTTTTGGACGGAACAAATTTTTGCTAACATCGTTTTTGGACGGAACAAATTGTTGCTAGCATCATTTTTGGACGGAACAAATTGTTGCTAGCATCATTTTTGGACGGAACAAGTGCTTGATAACATCAATTTTGACAGAAACGTAAATGGTAATATCATTTTAAACAATGCTAACCAAAGGCCAACAGCTTAGTAGTTTAACTACCCAAATATATATGCCACTATCTTTTTTTTATCACTGTTGCATAATTTATGGTGCATTAATTAGCATGTGTTTATGCTTGCTGCTGCAGCACTTGTATATATTACCTGCACAAATTTTGTATAATGTGTGTATTCTCCTGTTGTATGCACCTATTGACTATTAACACCTCTCTGTAGAATGCTAACCTGCATAGTAACATATCTGCATGGGTGGTGGTCTCCTCATTACCATTTTAGTCATTAACCAGGCAATAAAAGAGGCAATTGTACCTGGGGGTTCAGGTTAGGAACAGGTAACAGCATGTACAAAATGTTCAAAAGAATGCTCTGGACACTAGCATAAAAGGTAGTCTGGAGTGGCATTTGACACTTTCGACCCAACTGCTTCTTTGTTTCTGTGTTGTTTTACCTGTACATATGAGTGTTGTTTACCTGTATATGTACATTAATGCCGTAACCCCTTCCTTCATATAGATGCTTTCGGATGACTTTTTGAAAACATAATGTCAAAAGAAGAAATAGCACAAAACCAGTTTTTGTCATAGGTTGTCCATTCAAATATAATGGAGTTTTTTCTATTGTTTGACAAGTTTGTCAATGTTCAAAGTCATCTGCTGCAGAATGGCAGAATTTTAATACTCTCTTAGAACTCAGATGGAAGGTAATTGTGGCTTTGATTGTTATCATACACAATAATATATAAGTGTCATATTTAGTTATAAAACTTTTATTATGTCAGCAAGTTATGCAATGTACAGTAACTGGCCAAGATGTAACTATATTAAATGCATACACAGTACATGCAGTAACTGTAACTTAATGTGTAACATTATTAAACCACTAAACACTTAAAAAACATTATTTGTAAAATTTTAACAGTAATTGTAACTTAATGTGTAACATTATTAAACCACTAAACACGAAAAACATTCTAGTTTTCTTCAAAAAGAAAAACCTGTGTTAAAACTTCTATATAAGCAGCATATTTTGCTACAATGTTCTTTCACAATTTCTAAAGTACTTTTTCGCAATGGATACAAGAAAACAAATGACAACAAGTAAAAGTTTTCAAAAAGCAAACAAGTAAATTATGTAAATTTACTTGGACATTATCCGAAATTAACTGTCAAAACACTGGCCATCAACTGTTCTAGGCACTAAAGAACGTATTTTACAAAATAATCTGACAATGGCTATTGAAACTTTTCAAAAGATATATTATATTTCTAACAGTTTTTGTAAGAAAGTATGAAAACAGTCTGCACCAAATTGGATGTAAAAGCACCAGTCACCATGTCGGCCTTTCTGATGGGCTATTAAGTGTAACTGTACACCAAACACTCAAAATTTGTAGTATTATCTAGATCCATGCATAGACAGTAAAGGTTCAGCAACTTGTTTAATGATATCCTCCCAACAAACAAAGAAAGATTTCTCCTCCAATGTCCATAATTGTCGCTTTCCTTTCTTATAGAACTGGACCCACAATCCATAGACTTTCTCCTCTCTGTGCAGCTCATGGGTTTGAACAACCTGCAAAATGATGTACAATCAATGACTTGTTGCACCAATAACATTTAATCAATTACCAGTATCTATCAAAGAGGTCAAACTGGACTCAATGAACCAATCAAATGTATTTACCAAGTATTCACAACTGGTAATGAAGTCAAGCTGATTGACATTCAAATGTTGCTTCATATCATCACACTATTAACCGGAAGAAAAGACTTAAAAATGCATATACACTACATGTATAAACAAATAATATTTGCACATGAACAGACAACTGCTCTACCGGAATAGTAAGGCTATATTATTAGTTATAAAGATTTTTGACAGGTTATATGGCCCTATATAAATGGCTGTTTGTAAAATATAACCCAATCGCTATAATCACTAGCAAGGATTATTTTTAGAGGAATTAAGCAAGATTTCTTTATTAATCAACAATAGCCGTGTCACGTGTATAAAACACTATATAAACGTCAAGATTATCCAATGAAAAGCGACGTTACAAACATGCAGTATTATAAAAATTATTTAATAATTAATCTCGCCCTTTCTAGCCCATATCAGCCTCGCCTGATAAAATTGATATCAAAAGACAGTAGCATGTTATTCTCTATATGACTGGGAATTCAACTCATGTTGTATGGCTAAGGCTTAATCTCATGAACTCCGGAGATTGATATCTGACTGCAAATCTTGTCAGCAAGAGTGCCTTATATTGGGTTTTAACATATATTAAATGTGATGAAGACAAAAAAACAACTTTTTAACACACAAGTAACAATTTTTTTTAAAAAACATAACTTCCAAAGTAACAAAAATGGAACAGCACAATACAGGCCAAACAAAAGTAATGCATTGAAGAACAAAGCCAGTACTTATTGCTTAAGCTTCTTATAAACGCTGATAAATCTTTGTCCATTTCCGGAAAAATTGAAAAAAAATACTGATTGCACCTTATAACAGACAACTGACGAATTTGCTAGTTTGCATTTCCTTTTTTTTGTGTACTGAATTTAACCAAACTGTTCAAACATTACTACTTACAACAGCATTAAAACTTTCTGATCCATTTCTGATGAGAAGGTTAGTTCCTACAGGGTACCTGCATGAAAAGTTGTTGAAATGTAGACCTTTAAAAACTGATAACCATGCCTTTAAAAACTGATTCAAAAATTAACTTGTGCACACACTCTCCATATCATTTTAGACATATTACCTCTTCTTCTGCCTCACTTGAAACAGAGGTGCGAGACAAAAGACTTAGGACACAAGGTCTTTTATCAATTGGTCAGAGAGAAATGGCCTGACCGAGAATCAAAGCTACAACTCTCAAAATGAAAAAAAAAGTGCATTTACCACCGCGCCATCATGCCCGGCATTTTATAGGGTGGGTATACAAAGAGAAATTGTTTCATTTACTATTCATAGTTTACCTTTGCTTGATAGCAGGAATACCAATGTCTTCAATCAAACTGTCCGCCAAATCATCGCCACAAGTCTTCAAATGCTTCGAGTCACTGCAAACAAACAAGATTTTTACATATAAAGTAAATCTTAAGTATTCCTACATGTATCATTATAAATGCGGAATTTTTAGGTATACCTTTCTACAAACTTGTAGAAACATAACTTTTAAAGACATTTTAATGAGAAAACAGAAAGCATTAATTTGTAATAACGCAAGTTATTCATAGTTTACCTTTGCTTAGTAGCAGGTATACCAATGTCTTCAATCAAACTGTCCGCCAAATCATCGCCACAAGTCTTCAAATGCTTCGAGTCACTGCAAACAAACAAGAGTTTTACAAATAAAGTAAATCTTAAGTATTCCTACATATATCATTATAAATGCGGAATTTTTAGGTATACCTTTCTACAAACTTGTAGAAACATAACTTTTAAAGACATTTTAATGAGAAAACAGAAAGCATTAATTTGTAATAACGCAAGTTATTCATAGTTTACCTTTGCTTGGTAGCAGGTATACCAATGTCTTCAATCAAACTGTCCGCCAAATCATCGCCACAAGTCTTTAAATGCTTCGAGTCACTGCAAACAAACAAGATTTTTACATATAAAGTAAATCTTAAGTATTCCTACATACATGTATATCATTATTTGGAATTTTTAGGTATACCTTTCTACAAACTTGTAGAAAAATAACTTTTAAAGACATTTTAATGAGAAAACAGAAAGCATTAATTTGTAATAAGGCAAATTATTCATAATTTACCTTTGCTTGGTAGCAGGTATACCAATGTCTTCAATCAAACTGTCCGCCAAATCATCGCCACAAGTCTTCAAATTCTTCGAGTCACTGCAAACAAACAAGATTTTTACATATAAAGTAAATCTTAAGTATTCCTACATATATCATTATTGGGAATTTTTAGGTATACCTTTCTACAAACTTGTAGAAACATAACTTTTAAAGACATTTTAATGAGAAAACAGAAAGCATTAATTTGTAATAACGCAAGTTATTCATAGTTTACCTTTGCTTGGTAGCAGGTATACCAATGTCTTCAATCAAACTGTCCGCCAAATCATCGCCACAAGTCTTCAAATGCTTCGAGTCACTGCAAACAAACAAGTTGTTTACATATAAAGTAAATCTTAAGTATTCCTACATATATCATTATTGGGAATTTTTAGGTATACCTTTCTACAAACTTGTAGAAACATAACTTTTAAAGACATTTTAATGAGAAAACAGAAAGCATTAATTTGTAATAACGCAAGTTATTCATAGTTTACCTTTGATTGGTAGCAGGTATACCAATGTCTTCAATCAAACTGTCCGCCAAATCATCGCCACAAGTCTTTAAATGCTTCGAGTCACTGCAAACAAACAAGATTTTTACATATAAAGTAAATCTTAAGTATTCCTACATATATCATTATAAATGCGGAATTTTTAGGTATACCTTTCTACAAACTTGTAGAAACATAACTTTTAAAGACATTTTAATGAGAAAACAGAAAGCATTAATTTGTAATAAGGCAAGTTATTCATAATTTACCTTTGCTTGGTAGCAGGTATACCAATGTCTTCAATCAAACTGTCCGCCAAATCATCGCCACAAGTCTTCAAATGCTTCGAGTCACTGCAAACAAACAAGATTTTTACAAATAAAGTAAATCTTAAGTATTCCTACATATATCATTATAAATGCGGAATTTTTAGGTATACCTTTCTACAAACTTGTAGAAACATAACTTTTAAAGACATTTTAATGAGAAAACAGAAAGCATTAATTTGTAATAACGCAAGTTATTCATAGTTTACCTTTGCTTGGTAGCAGGTATACCAATGTCTTCAATCAAACTGTCCGCCAAATCATCGCCACAAGTCTTCAAATGCTCCGAGACACTGCAAACAAACAAGTTGTTTACATATAAAGTGCATATATTTTAAGTTTTCCTAGAGATATCTTTAGGGAATTTGTAGTTACCTACTATATGTTGTATGAAAGTAGGATAAAAGTCTTTAACTCAAGATTTAGGCGTGATATGCTAGTACTGGCCAGTTTTTAGTTATATACCTTGAAACTGATTGGCAAAATTTTGTAGTTTTATACCTTGAAACTGATTGGCCTGCTTCAACATCTTCCTGCATATTAACATCGGGTATCGCTGCATTACCATTTAATAGCTCTTCGTAGTTTAGATCTGCCCAAATACTATTAAAAGTGCTCGAGTCCAGTTCAGGCAGCTCGTTGTCTTCTTCAAACAATTCCTCGACAAATGACGCACTCTCCGGAACTGTGGTGTTTACTACTGGTACGAAGTGATTCGGTATCCAATTACTTGCAGTCATGTCTTGCCTTGTAGAAGACCACATTATATTGCCAATCCCTGAACCATCATCTTGCTTGGGAATAATCAATCTGTTCAATGTGGTACTGTATAATTCCGATCCCAGCTGAGGGTACATTGAAAATAATTGACAATGTAATACCGAGCTAAGAGCAAAGATGTGCCAAATACCCATGTATGTTTTGTCCTTACACGCCTCCATAACTTCTTTTTTAAAGATAGTTCTTGGTACCAACCGTGTTCCAGGGATGTAGTGTTCAGAAAACATTGCATAAGTCTTTACAAGTTGCCGCGCCTCTTTTTCAACTAGGACTGTCCCATTTTTAAGGTGCTCGTCACTCAAATAAAGATCAATGTTTGTTACCATTTCGATGACAATTCGGCAACGTATTTCAGTGTGATGATCTTCGTCCCCAAATGACAAAATGCTCCCGGACCGTGGTAGGCAATTTCCATCTCCCTGAACACATACTGGAAATTTGCCCAATGTTGCTTCAACTGTCCGATTGTTTAAAGGTTGTTTATGTGCCACTCTGTCAACTGTAAGCCCATGACTAACTACATTGATGTCAGGGTTGAAGTTAATGTCTCCGTAGAGTTCTCTTACCTCATCCTCTATTTCAGGCACTATGATCTGCAAATCACCGAAGGATTCACACAGACACATTTTACTCAATATCATTTGAAAGTAGTCTTGCCTGGAATATGGATTTATGACTGGTGATTCCAACTTTTCCGGGCTTTTACTTTCATGATGCTTCTCCGAGTTTACTTCTGGCACTGCAGGGTTGGCACCATTCTCCTCTGTGTTTACAACGGTCACTTCATTTCGTTGTAGTTGTTTCTTTGCATACTTTTCTACATATTTCCTATTTAAGCAAATAACCGAATCCCCCGATTCACATTTCTTGCAAAAACAGGATAAACTCCGTACACTTAACAAACCTGGTTCTTTTGTACTGTTCAAGATCTGGTGGAATTTTCTAGTACTAGGCACTGTTTTCACATCAGTTTCGGGTCTGTTTCTATCGATCTCTCCATTCTTCACATAGAAAAAATTGCGCGTTGACAGTACATCATCTACTTTCAGATGACTCTGACAGTAATTATAAACATCTTCTGCACTGTTCAGAACTACTTTATTTCCAATAATAGCTCTATCCAAAGACCTATTCAGTACACCAATCTCTCCATCGCACTCACTTTTCCCGTGCTCTGAACCAAAATAGTTTCTGTTTATTTCAATTCTTTCATTGGCAATGTCTGCAAACGGTCCCTTTGATTTATATTGAGCACTGCACCCATCACTAAATATTATCCGTCTCTTTGGCTTTTCAATGATTTTTTCTATGTGACTATTAACTATATGTGCAAAGTGATTTACGGCATGATAATCATGGCAATTGTCCTCTGATATAATAATGCTTGAATTACGTACTAAACCTACATCAGACTGAAAGTAGGTCACTACTGGATGCATTGTCACTTGCCGAGCAGTGAAAAAAGCTCCTTTGATTTCACTTTGGTATTTGATTTGCCGGTTTTTTTGCAAAATCCATCACTTGCAAGACTGAACCAGCTGGAAGGTTAGCTTTAATTTGCTTGAATTGTTTGTTCTGCCACTGAGCTGTGAAAAAGTGCTGAAAGAAAGTGTACCCTTGTGCCGGCTTCTTAATGTCCTTTTCAACCATCTCTTGAATAAGTTTATTTTTACTACCTTTCTCAGTTATCACCACTTTCTTTACCATACCATTATCACTATTTGTGTCATTTGTCCAACGGTTCCATGTAAGGATTTTGTCTTCAGGAATCTGGTTATAAAATTCCTTCAGTGTTTTCTCATAATCAAAACACTGATTACAACCACCATTTATGCATTTTGCATCATAAAACTGTTCACTGTCAGCCTTTGGGCACAGCAAAATGTCGACAATATCATTTTCATTTGTCTTTTTACATTTCTGGTCAGGAGATACTCTACTAAGTGTCAAAAGTTTAAACCTTATGTTAGTACAGTAGGGGCAGCAACAGTAATCCCTGTGACTTAGGGATAGCAGGCGTACATTTCGTTTTCTCAGTGCTGCGAACTTGCCAAGACTGACATTTTTATGATTTTCAAAATTATACTTCGCATGAGCAGTCTTTACAGATACTTGCATTGCATACCCAGGACCTTCTTTGGTAGCAAATCTCTTCTGTGGAAGAATTCGTGATATGTCTTCCCGCAAGTAAAACATCTGGATGCCTTTTACGTCAACTCTGCTTTTGCGCTTCAACATGGCCCGCTTTGCAAGGTAAAGTCGTGCTGCAGGCTTATCTGAACTGAGTTGAATTTTAGTACTCTTCTCATTATTTTTCTGTTTTGGTGAATTAACTGTCTTCATATCTTCTTTCTTCTCGACCATTTTCTTTTTCGCTAAATCATCCTTCAAATCATTTAATGCCTGCCTTTTTCTTGGGGTGGCCCTCTTTTCAATGTTATCAAGCACTTTTGCAAATTTTTTTGGTGTTTCAGGCATCATTGCCCTAACTTTACTTGTAATGTTCCATTCAGTTTTTTTCGTCTTGAAAGGGCTTGTCGATTGACTTGTTACACAAATGCTTGCCTTTTTACTCATTCTAGATTTAGCTTTTCTTTCTCTGTCCTTTTTCCTATTCCACATTCGTTTCTGGTATGACATCTTTGCTCTTTCTTCCCTTTTCTTTACTCTGTTATAGTCCCTTTTGGCTTGTATGCTGTGTCTTGTTTCAACAGCTGGTTTTCTTACTGACTTCAAAGGAGTATTGATAGAACCATTCATCTGTCTTTTTTTTTCTAAATACCTCCTTTGTCTTTCTCTTTGCAACTGTAATTCATGTGCCTTTTTCTGCTTTGCCACTGGATTTGGATTTTTCTTTTGCAATTCTTTCTTTAACTGCTCTCTTCTTTCCTTCACTCGTACCTTTTGCTTGTACAAGTATTCTTTATATCTTTCAGGATCCTGTTCCTTCATCTGTTTTCTAAAGACTACAGATCTGTCCATCTTTAACTTGCCAATTAAACTGAAAATAATGAAAATATCTAGAGCTGTTCAAGCATTTAAGATATTTTCATGAATAAAGGGCTCGGGACTAAGACTTCGAATTATCTGGTGCTACTTATGGATTTCACAAAGTTCTACTCTTCATAAGGATCATGTGTATAAAGTTTCTTTATAAGTTATATATATTAATAGATCGGACTGAAACGGTACTGGTATGAGACCAGTTTCGACAAAAAATCGAGATTTTCCGTATATTTTTTCGTATATGTGTGACAGTGTCTTGTAAGTCAGATCGGCCCCAAAATATGGCAATACATACTGGAGAAAAGAACTATTATTGCGATATCTGTAATAAAGCATTTACTCAACATTATTATATTAAGAAACATATGTTATTACATACAGGTGAGAAGAACTTTAAATGTGGAATCTGTGATAAAACATTTTCACATAAAGCAAGTGTTACAACACACATGAGAATTCATACAGGAGAGAAGAAGTTTGAATGCGGAATTTGTGATAAAACATTTTCATATGAAAGCAGTGTTACGACTCACATGAGAGTTCATACAGGAGAGGATTAAGAGATATTGTTGCGAAAATCTGCAATAAAGAATTCTCTTATAAACTTTCCTTTTAAATACACATGACAAACCATGCGGGACAGCTGAGAGTTCATGGAAACAACAGAAAACAACGACAGCATAGTGTCGGTTGAGTGTGAAAGGTCATACCAGGAACCAAATGTCGTGCATACAAATCAGTAGAAATCGCATTGTTATTTAAAGGGATATTACTTACATTTTGTCCGCCTCTTTTTTGTCAACTCTTCTTTTAAACAAATCAAACACTTCCGATGCTTTCTGAACGATATATATTTATTATCTGTTGAAAAGTCTTATCATGGCAAAAATGGAACGTTAATTTGACTTATATTTTAGGTGATGCGTGCTCCGTTCATCATGCTTTTGACGATTCATGCATTTGTGCGTAGGGGCGATTGTTCGAAGCAGGTTCCCGACCGTATACTCATGAAGGGTTGTTCATTCCATTGGGGCCAGGCTGTTTGGCGTCATATACAGGTATAGACTTTTTTTCGTTCTTATTTATTCCGCTATATTTGTATCCTATTATATGTTTTTGAGAGGCTGTGATTTAGAAGTTGACCATTTTTTTCTAAAACGTTTATATTTAATTAAGTTGTTTGTGACTTTTCATTCTACCTCCGATAGTTATCCATTCATGTATCTCATCCAAACGAAGAGAATAAATATTGTTTTAAAAATACACCTTGTAATACATGTTAAAATCATTTGTTTATAATTTAGGGACTTGGGTTGTCCACGGAATACATGAATAACCACGGGACGTACTCTCTTCTGCGCATGATATTCTGTCTGCCTTTTCTACCCGCTGAACACATCATCGAAGTGTTCGACAAGATGGAAGATTTCAACACATCTGAACATCTTGAACCATTGTTCCAGTACCTCAGAAGAACGTGGTTCGAATCCTCAACGTGGACGGTAAAAAAAACTGGAGCGTATTTGGACAGTCCGTCCGAACAAACAACGATTGCGAAGGTAAATTTAATATTGCAATGTATATTGATATATAAATTTTAGTAAAATCGTAAAAGTAAGCGACATTGGAACATTCGACATTGGAACATTCGACCGATGTCCAGGATTGTATTAATAAATGTAGCAGCTAAATATTTTGTTACAAACATTTTATTCCAGTTAAATATATAGGGGTCTGTATGTTGTTTTTAAGATTTATAACTCAGCTAGAAACATTATTTATTATTTTGTATATTTGCAGGATGGCATCGTCGTCTGAATATCAGAGCTGGGGTGTCGCCGACTTTCTACAATTTGATTAAGCTATTGTACAAAGAAGCAAGATTCGTGGAATCACAAGTGCGGTTTGTGTCTGAGATGAAGCTGCGACGAATGCAAAGAAAGATTTACAGATCGATGCAGTCGCAGATATTTCAAGCTTGGGACAGGTAAATGTGATTTTTTTTTGGTGTCTTATACTAAAGTGACATAACGACCATTTTTTTCGATGTCAAGTTGAATTTCATTAGTAATATATTTTGAACAGAGGCTAGTATAATGATCACAGACTGATAATTGATCATGAAAAATGTGTGTGATACAATGTAAATATAATTAATGTTAATTTCTAATTTGTATAATATCATTCAAATGAATATACATTTATATTATAATTGTTGACTGTTTAATACTTCCATTTAATTTTTCTGCTTGCAGCTATCGTGCGAAACAACTGTCGGCAACGGCCCTGCTGAAGAAGGTTTCCAGTCTGTATCAACCCAGGGTGCTTAGACAAGAAGTAGAGTGATGCTCGAATAATGTTCATGCAGTGATATAAGAAGTGAAGTGACAATTACATGAAAAGTGACATTTACATACTGTTCATATGTTTATAGACAATAAATAGTTTAGTACAGTGAAGATAAATGTTATACTCAGACAATTAATTATATTGATTATTATGTTTTGTTCTGGTTTTCTATGTTACAATCCATTGTTAGTCATTTGATATTCCAAATTACACATTTTTTTTAACAACAACGATCTGACTTGAGGCCGATTTGACTATTTTGGGGCCGATCTGACTTGGGGCCGATTTGACTGTAATTCAACTCAATCCATCTCTCACTCCCACCAGTATTACTGACTACAATGTTTACATGTAGATTTATTATGTTACAATCCATTGTTAGTCATTTGATATTCCAAATTACACATTTTTTTTAACAACAACGATCTGACTTGAGGCCGATTTTGCTTGGGGCCGATTTGACTATTTTGGGGCCGATCTGACTTGGGGCCGATTTGACTGTAATTCAACTCAATCCATCTCTCACTCCCACCAGTATTACTGACTACAATGTTTACATGTAGATTTATTATGTCAAAACATTTACGGTTGTCAAAATATGACGATCGCATCATTAACAGCCGTCAAAGAATGACGATAGCACCAATTGTGTATGTCGATAAATGACGTATGCAACAAGAATGTCCGTCAAAAAATGACATTCGCAACAGCTTTAAGCGTAATCAGTCATTGGAAGCAGTAGACGTCCGTGTATTCGTCTATTTCCTGCATACAACTCGACTTTAATATGTTTTCTCTTCTTTAAAATATATAAAAATATCTATATGTACTTATTGTTGCTATCGTCAACATTTAAAACACTTGACAGACACAAACTTACTCAAAATAATTTGGATCATGTAATCGAGCGTCTCAATTCGGCCATGTTTTTGCATTCGGATACTTACGGATTTAATCGTAGTTTCTTGTCAACTCGCAAAAAAGGGAAGTAACAGCTATAAACTGAGGAACAAATGTGCGAACGTCATTCACTAAAATTGACAGAAATTACGATCGCAACCCTTTTTCAATTAAATTTCTGGTTATGGCTTCAAAACTTAAGAAACCACCTGTAAAACCAGAAAGTACCAAGTTTAACACTAACTTTGAATCCCCACCCAATACATAATCACACAATAACCGAGTCGATGGACAGTTTTTTGCAAACGTTGCTTTTTTGACAGACATTCATTGTTCATCATCTACATTATTCTAATTCCTTTATTTTGCAAAATAATTGAAAAACACATAAACTAATCAAATAGAATGAAAGGCAATACATACCCCAACAATAAATTGTCTTTGTTGAAATAAAACTTCCAATATTATTCGAAAATGCGAGTATATATCCGACCTGGTGAAGAAGCTGGGAGTTCCGTCCGTCAAAAAGATGATGATTTCCAATTTAATTTTTAGTTATTTTGTTCATTTCAATATAAAATAAGATCGGGAAATTGATTTTTATTGATTTTATTGATGTACTTTATTCAAATAAATGCATGTACTTTTCAGGTGCTCTAATTTAACCCCAAAAAATCACATTTCATAAAATTGACGGAAATTTGACAGAACTTTTACGTTCTTAAATGGAAGCTGTCTAAAATCAATAGGGGTCATCTTATTGCCTAGACCAAAACCCTACAAAGTTTGAGGGCCAACAGCCCATGGGTTGTCAAGTTTTGATTGGAAACAGTTTTTAACCTACAAAGCCAATGCGACCTTGACCTTTGATCCATTCACCCTTAAATCAATAGGGGTCATCTACTGGCCAATACCAATTCATCTATGCAGTTTGAGGTTCAAGGGCCCATGGGTTGGAAACCATTTTGATATTCAAGGTCAACTTGACCTTTAACCTAAAGACACCAAAAACAAAAGGGGCAATCTTCTGGTCATGAACAATATCCATGCTAAATTTGATGTTCCTAGGCCTAAGCGTCCATCAGTTTTTGATCTGAAACCATTTGGTCTATCAACCGACGGACCGACCAACCTTCTGACCCACCAACAGACAAATGCAAAGCAATATATGTCCACTTCTTTGAAGGGGTGGGGAGGGGAGCATGATTATACAATGTTTGTTTGGTAGCAAGTCTTGTTTTGTCAGAGTATAAATTAAATCTGTACATAACAAATTATGACAAATCAACCAAAGTTCAATATTTGTTTGTTTGTTTGTTTCATTTTACGCCTTTCCCAACAGTATTTCAGTCATATAAGTTGGTAGTTTCCTAACCATTGTTCCTGGAGAGTTACACCAGTACTAGACTACCTTCCTCCGTAACTGGATTAGAGGTCATCAATTCCAACCCATCGACCATGGAGGCGGTTATTTTAACCTTGACAGTAAAGGTCATTTACGGCTCAAGGTAACAGTCAGTTCAACCCTTAAAAGGTCTTGTCCAAAAGGTTCTTTAGTTTAAGTATGAAGATAATCCATTCATAAATTACCAAGTTAAAGTCAATTTGAATTATAACTCAATTCACTAATTTAACCTTGAAGGTCATAGTCCTACATGAGCCAAGGTCAATTTGAGTTTGATATACATGAAAGTCTTATCCTAAAGAATGCTGTGTCTAGATATCAATTCAATCCATTCATAAATTACAAAGAAGTTATAGATAGTTACAGCAACAAGAGGGTCATGATGGCCCTGAAATCGCTCATCTGTATTTAAAAGCTCTCCATGACAAGGTACAATTAATATTGCAAACTTTAATAAACAAGCAATTATCATAGTATTGCAAGCAATCCATAAGTCCCCTACCGGTTAGAACCCCATCAACATTCTGAAGGGCCATTGGCCATTCACTAATGTTTCAATTTTTCTCTATTTTAAATAAATTTGTTGGAAAAGTTCTTTAAAAGTGATCACAGGAAACAGTTTTTATGAACAGACAGACGGGCTGAAGGACACTCTAAAGTTAATATTTGAAACATCCCTGTTACCAAAATATAACATTTTTAAAAGCAAAATTCTTAAAGAGCAGATAACTCTTGAATTAAAGATGCAATTTCATAAAAATTTTCAGCTCTTTTTGACTAATCACAAATATTGTTATATTTGCCATGTTTTAAGCCTATTTGTTGCCAAGGCAACCAATATTTTTTAAAAATAGGAAGAACAGATAAGACATGCATAATCTCAAGACTGCCCTCTACCCATAATTGTCAAGTTTCATAAAAATATTTCCAGTACTTTTTGAGTTATCACTGGGTAAAATTTGCCATATTTTCAGTCTATGTGTTGCCATAGCAACCAGAATTTTCAACATAGGAAGAAAAGAAAAAGACGTGCATAATCTCCAGACTGCCATCTACCCATATTACAAATTTCATAAAAATATTTCTATTACTTTTTGCGTTTTCACTGGATCCAGTTTATGTGTAAAATTGCCATATTTTCAGCCTATTTTTTCAACATAGGAAGAAAAAAAAAAGACGTGCATAATCTCCATACTGCCATCTATCCATATATCAAGTTTCATAAAAATATTTTCAGTACTTTTCAAGTTATCGCGGGATCCAGTTTTGTGGACGGACTCAGACAGACGGACGGACAGACGGACGGACTGAGGGTAAATCTAAAGTCCCCTCCGGTAAACCGGTAGGGGACTAATAATTCATAATGCTGCATTGAATGTTAAAATCAAGAACAAACAAATGGGACATCTTTTTGATATATTTTTATACAGAATGTCGAGACCTTGTAAAGATCCTGCCCTGCAGAGACAGATAGTGAAATCCTTGCACTGCCATTTGGATATATCACTGGCCATATTGACACAAAAACAAAACCTATGCATTGCAGGGACATACAAAGGGTAAAAAAAAACTCTGCTCATTTCCCACACTACATGTATTCTCCAGCCACCCCTTGTTACAAATGACTATTATTATTTAGAATTAACTAGTCTAATTAAGTCAATTCAGATAGAAACTGAAGAAGAAGTGTTTAATAAATTATGATCATCAAAAATATATACTTAGGAAATAGATATCAAAAGGCCTGAGTGAGTATATAATTACAAAGCATTTGAATGATATACCAAGCATTATAATTATTACAGAGCAATAAAAATTGGTATCTATACAAACATGCAAAAAATTTTTTTTTTTAGAAATATCTTGAACTAAAATGAGTGTAAATGTAATTTTCCTGACATCATTAAATTTTGCTGTGCACATAATAATAATTGTATAATTATGTGCTTCTTGTGCCTGACCACCCTGTCAGTTTAATAGGAAATTAAGTGGAGTGTTAGAATGTTTAATTCTTATTATGTACAGTTTTGCATTTTCAAACAGAGTTGATGTACAAGGTAAGTAAACTAAACAAGGAAAATATGAAAACTTAAACTGAACATCAAACTTACGGCATGTTGGTACATCAGACGACCATGAGCCATTAGCAAGGCAATAAGATTGCTCATCTCCCTTCATGGAAAAGCCAACATCACATGTAAATGTTGCAAATGTTTGTGCTGCATTTGATGATAACAAAACACTTCCATTGCTTGGATCTTGTAAAGGCTGACACTCAACTTGAAAAAATATGTTACTCAAGAATTATTTAGTAATTAGAAATGATACTTGTGCAATTTTTGAAAAACATGTCTTTCTCTTAAAATGATTATAAGCAGGGATCATTCTGGTCAGGATTTTTAGTGAGAGATTTTCTCTCATTTGAGAAATTTTAATGAGAGAAATTAGATTTTCTTTAGAGATTTAATTTTCATGATGGGCGAGGTTAAAAATATGGAAATTTCTAACTTTTTAAAATCACTGTACATATAAACATTGTTTATCTAATGAGGATATAGATGTAGCTCTGTTTATTACAGTGATTTTTGTTTTCACTCATTGATTCACCCTATGCCTTTTTTTGTGAATTTTTTAAACATAATAAAATTCTAATTGTGAAAAATAACTAAAACACTTTCATTCTGTAATATAAAAGAATTATACATGGATATCTACTACAACTATTTATTATTTGCAGCCAATGTTCCTAATGGACAACACTGTACTGTACAGTACAGAAGTGATTGTTGAGATTTGAAGAATATTTTTGATAACCTTACATTTTGTTTTCTTTATGATTCTCTTCACACACCTCCCTCCATTAAAAAATGTTCATTGAATATATGGCCTGAACACATAATGACAAATATCTCCATATCCACAAATATAAACAATATCTAAAGTATTTTTTATTCATAAACATCATTTTTAGTGTTATAAAACACCTTTGAATAACACTCGGCTTCCTTTAAGTATGTTTTTTTAATCACGACATCGCGAAAATATGTGACAAATGAATATTTGTCTGTTTTCCACTGAAACATTCAAAATTCTAGCTGTTTTTGATTGCAATTATATAAAATCAAATACTTTTGTTCAATAAAAGAATATTTATTATCGGTTATTTCATCAGGAATCGTAAAACAAATTTTTTTAATTTGTTCTTTACGGCAAAATTTACCGTGATTGATGTGACATTTAGAAGACAAATTTTACCGATATTTGGTTTTGACATGTCCATTTTTATGTTAGTCTGTGTCTAACAATTTTTATTAAAATCAATTAAAAGTGTTATGTGTAAATTCTCGACTTACACATAGATAAAGGTTACAATAGCCATCAGACCGTATTTCTGTATGGTGAATTTGCGGTCTCCGATCGGCAATTATTTTAGGCTAAATAATTCAAAGTGTTGGACTACTTTTTGGAGTATTTTACACCGATTTCATTAATAAACAATTTGAAATTAAATTCTTGATGGGAATCGTAAATTTTTCATCTTATTTTTGTGTGATTTTAGCATTCTTTAGATTGTGATTAGACATTTTCCGGCTCAAAATGCCGTGCAAGATTTTCTCTCATTTCACAAATTTCTCTGAGATTTTGGTGATTTTTTTGCGAGAAATCGCGGAAATCGTCCCCTAGAATGATCCCTGATAAGCACAAATCTTTCATTACTGGTATTTATCATGAACATTTCAAAATGAGGATATAATTTTGATATATTTCTTTTCAATTTGCTTGGGAGGAATTTTAGAAATTCAAATCCTGACTATGGAATACTTAGTATATTAAGTGAAATATATCCCTTAAGACTGGGACTATTTTTTACCACAGGAAGGCACTATATAGTCATATGTCCCATCCGGCTGACAGGAAAGTGATGTTGCTCCTGCTGAAGTAAAACCTACATCACAAGATACTGTAACAGATGTTATAACACCATCTGTTGTGATATCAAGGGAACCATTAGCTGGTGTTGTCAAAGTGTCACAGGTTACTGAAATAACAGAACAATAATATACAGATTTCTATTCTTTTATTTTAAATAACTATATTTATATATCTAACTTCATTTTGAAACAGTCACTAAGTAAATGAAAGCCTGTAAGATAAATAAAATGCAGACTAAAATAATACATTACTGAAACATTTGTCTCATTCCACTGTTCTTCTATGGTTGTTTTATTTTATAAATTAATTTTGTCAGGTTCTATGTCAATCCTTTTCAAAACCAATAAAGAACCGTAAGTGTTAAATGATGCCTGAGGACAATCATTGGTACTTAATAAAGTACCATCATCTTGTGCTGACTTTTTTTAAGGTTGGGTTTTACATCACATCAACTAAGTAAAGATCATATGGCAACTTTTCAGCTTTACTGCCGGGTGGAGGAAGACCTTAGGCCCTCTTCATTATTTCAGGCAGGAATGGGCACCCGAGTAGAACCACCACGTCCAGAACTTAAGCTGTATCATTTTCTCACATGAAAGAATCCAAAGTCCCTGTCGGAATCTTGTAAGCTGGATGTCAGATTTCTTTTGGAAATCATGACAGCCAAGGTCAAAAGTTCAAATACACTGTCCTTAACGACACTGTCTTTGGAGCACTTTTTAATGTGTGTTTTACTTCTTGCATCATAAGTCAGAAAGAGATGATAAACAAATCATTTGTATTGGCTATTTAAGAGAGCAGTTGTGCTTTCAAACTAAGGCTAACCTTGGAGAGAAAAAAAATTGCCACTTTCAATTCATACTTTATGTTTGGCAAGGTAGGTTTGCAATTTCTTTTGCCTGTCAAACAACTTAAGGTTAAAGAATACTGGTAGTTTGAACTAAAGCGACATTATGCCCATCCAAGGGGGTATAGTGAGTGTACAGGTAAAAAATCTTTTAATAAGTTTTCATTTTGCTTTAATTCCTTTCAATTTTATAAATTACTTCTCATGAACAATAGATAATTCACATTGCCAAAGGAAATGTCTACAAATATCCATCTGAATTTTCCTGTAAGTGAAATTAATAAAACAAGAGGGCCATGATGGCCCTGAGGTCGCTCACCTGTATATAGGCCCCCCACCCCCGAGCCAATTTTTACCCAAGGGCTTTTATTTGTTTATTTGAACAGACTTGGTAGACACCCATAAGAAGATGTTTCATGCTAAACATCTAAGTTCTAGCTCATTGGGTTTTTTAAAAGAAGATTTTTAAAGTTTTTACTATACACATATAGTTAAAACAATGACATCCCTGGGGCAGGGCCAGTTTTGACCCCCGGGCTTTTATTTGAACAAACTTTGTAGATATTTACTTAAAGATGTTTCATGCTTAATATCTAAACTCTAGCTCTTTGAGTTCTTTAAAAGAAGATTTTTAAGTTTTTACTATATGCATATAGGGAAAATCAATGACCCCCTGGGGGCGGTGCCAATTTTGACCCCAGGGCTTTTATTTGAACAAACTTGGTAGACACTCATTAGAAGATGTTTCATTCTAAATATCTTAGCTCTAGCTCTTTAGGTTCTTTAAAAGAAGATTTTTAAGTTTTTACTATATGCATATAGGGAAAATCAATGACCCCCTGGGGCGGGGTCAATTTTGACCCCAGGGCTTTTATTTGAACAAACTTGGTAGACATTCACTAGAAGATGTTTCATGCTAAATATCTAAGCTCTAGCTCTTATGGTTCTTTAAAAGAAGATTTTTTAAGTTTTTACTATATGCATATAGGGAAAATCAATGACCCCCCGGGGTGGGGCCAATTTTGACCCCAGGGCTTTTATTTGAACAAACTTGGTGGACACTCACTAAAAGATGTTTCATGCTTAATATCTTAGCTCTAGCTCTTTGGGATCTTTAAAAGAAGATTTTTTAAGTTTTTACAATATGCATATAGGGAAAATCAATGACCCCTGGGGCGGGGCCAATTTTGACCCCAGGGCTTTTATTTGAACAAACTTGGTAGACATTCACTAGAAGATGTTTCATGCTAAATATCTAAGCTCTAGCTCTTACGGTTCTTTAAAAGAAGATTTTTTAAGTTTTTACTATATGCATATAGGGAAAATCAATGACCCCCCGGGCGGGGCCAATTTTGACCCCAGGGCTTTTATTTGAACAAACTTGGTAGACACTCATTAGAAGATGTTTCATGCCAAATATCTTAGCTCTAGCTCTTTGGGTTCTTTAAAAGAAGATTTTTTAAGTTTTTACTATATGCATATAGGGAAAATCAATGACCCCCTGGGGCGGGGCCAATTTTGACCCCAGGGCTTTTATTTGTACAAACTTGGTAGACACTCACTAGAAGATGTTTCATGCTTAATATCTAAGCTCTAGCTCTTACGGTTCTTCAAAAGAAGATTTTTTAAGTTTTTACTATATGCATATAGGGAAAATCAATGACCCCCCGGGCGGGGCCAATTTTGACCCCAGGGCTTTTATTTGAACAAACTTGGTAGACACTCATTAGAAGATGTTTCATGCCAAATATCTTAGCTCTAGCTCTTTGGGTTCTTTAAAAGAAGATTTTTTAAGTTTTTACTATATGCATATAGGGAAAATCAATGACCCCCTGGGGCGGGGCCAATTTTGACCCCAGGGCTTTTATTTGAACAAACTTGGTAGACACTCACTAGAAGATGTTTCATGCCAAATATCTAAGCTCTAGCTCTTAGGGTTGTTTAAAAGAAGATATTTAAAGATTTTTCTTTCGGTTGCCATGGCAACCAGAGTTCTGCATGGAATTAAATTCTTTGAACAATTTTTAAAGGTGACCACCAAAGGAACATTCCTGTGAAGTTTGGATGAAATTGGCTCAGTGGTTTATGAGGAGATGTCATTTAAAGCAAAAGTTTACGGACGGACGACGGACGGACGGACGGACGGACGCCGGACGAAAAGCGATCACAAAAGCTCACCCTGTCACTTTGTGACAGGTGAGCTAAAAAGTGGGACAATCTTTTTATATTTTAGACATGATTTATATTTCATCCCAAACATTTTCCAATTTAAACTGTTGGTCAATTACCATCAAAACAGTCTATTTGCAAAAATTTATTGTCAATTCAGCTCACTCAAGATTAGCATGATTTTACTTTAAATTGTAAATATCGTAAAATTTTACCACATTGTGGAGTTGTTCCATTCCAACCAGATGCATCAGCCGCACAGTATCGTTGAATATTACCATTAAGTGTATACCCTACATCACAGCTATATGTTGCTATGGATTGGTCCGTTGATATGGTAAATGAACCATGCGAAATTGATGATGGTGTTTCACACACTGATGATAATAAAATTTATGTTTAAACATAGGACACGGGTGACCCCAGACTCAACCAATTTGCGTCTCTAGGACAAATTTTTTTTTATGCACAAGTTAAAAACTAAAAATCATTTATTAAGTAAAGGGCAAATACTACAAATACTGAATAAATCCACAAGAAAACCCCAAGGTGCATAAGTACACATGCTGACAAACATTCTTGTAAACTTTCAGGCCTACAGGTCAAATACCTTTTTAGTTACCTGCGCCACAAGTTGAAAATTGGAAATTTTTTACTCATTCAAGGGTAACAACTCTAAAAATACTAAATATATCCACACAAAAATATCCAGATGCACAACTACACATGCTGATCAGCATTCTTGTAAAGTTTCATGACTTTAGGTCAAATAAAGGGGACACAAAAAGTAACAAAGGGCAATAACTAAGTAAATAGTCCAAAAAGAGTTATGGTTCTCGAAAAATGCACTTCATTTCACTTCTCTTGACCATTGTTTGAAGTTGCATTGAATTCCAACCATTAATTTTCAAGTTATGAACTGGACAATTAAAAGTAACAAAGGGCAATAACTCTAAAATGAGTCAAGAAAGAGTTATGGTTCCTGTGCTCAATAGACTTGACCATTGTAGAAACTTGTAGTTGTATTGAATTCCAACCAGTACATTTCATGTTATGCTCTGCGACAAGGAAAAGTAACAAAGGGCAATCACTCTATAATTACTCTGGAAAGAGTTATGGTTCTTGTGCACTGCACTTCCACTTATTGTGCTTGACCATTGTGTGAAGTTGTTTTGAATTCCAACCCTTAGTTTTCAAGTAATTCTCCGGACAAGGAAAAAGTATCAAAGGGCAATAACTCTGTAATTAGTTCAAATGGAGTTATGGTTCTTGTGCACTGCACTTCTCTTAATGTGCTTGACCATTCTATGAAGTTGTATTGAATTCCAACCAGTGGTTTTCAAGTTATGCTCTGAACAAGAAAAACAATGGAAAAGTAACAAAGGGCAATTACTCTGTAAGTACCTTAGAAAGAGTTATGGTTCTAGTGCACTGCACATCCTCTTATTGTGCTTGACCATTTTATGAAGTGGTTTTGAATTCCAACCTATACTTTTCAAGTTATGCTCTGGACACGGAAAAGCAACAAAGGAAATAACTCTGTAATTAGTAACAAGAGCGATCAGTAATCACATGTGTCGCCTCATGATGGCCAATTTCATGTTGGGACAAATTTTGTGACAGACGGACAGTGCACAACTAGACTTGGTACTGATCATTCCTGTAAAGTTTGGATAAAATTGCACCAGTAGTTTATTAGGAGTAGTCCGGACAAGCTTTTGCGTATCTGGCAACACACAAAAAAAAAAAACACCTTTTTATCAAAGGGCCATAACTCGGCCAAAAATCATTCAACCCGAAAAGCCGTGCAATATGCGCAAGGACTTGAGCTACAGATCAATCCTGTAAAGTTTCATTGAAATTGCATTAGTGGTATAAGAGAAGTAGTCTGGACAAACTTTAAAAATAACAAGATATGTTTGTAAAACATGTATGCCCCCTATCAGCAGCCAATTAGTCATGTGATAAGGTTATTATGCATGACTTCTGACCCAGTGATCAAACAATTAATAAGGGTTATAAAGTATCTACTGGTCATGACCTTGACCTTTGACCCCTTGACCCAAAACTCAATAGGGGTCATCTGCTGGTCACGACCAATCATCATACAAAGTTTGAAGTTCCTAGGCCTAGGCGTTTTTAGAAAATTGATCAGAAACCGTTTTTACCTACAAGGTCAATGTGACCTTGACCTTTGACCCCTTGACCCCAAAATCAATAGGGGTCATCTGCTGGTCATGACCAATCACCATGCCAAGTTTGAAGTTCCTAGGCCTAAGGGTTCTCTTATTATTGATCGGAAACCGTTTTAACATACAAGGTCAATGTGACCTTGACCTTTGACCCCAAAATCAATAGGGGTCATCTGCTGGTCATGACCAATCACCATGCCAAGTTTGAAGTTCCTAGGCCGAAGCGTTCTTTAGTTATTGATCAGAAACCGTTTTTACTTAAAAGGTCATTGTGACCTTGACCTTTGACCCCTTGATCCCAAAATCAATAGGAGTAATCTGCTGGTCATGACAAATCACCATACCAAGTTTGAAGTTCCTAGGCCTAAGCGTTCTTGAGTTATTGATCAGAAACCGTTTTTACTTAAAAGGTCAATGTGACCTTGACCTTTGACCCCTTCACCTAAAACTCAATAGGGGTCATCTGCTGGTCATGACCAATCATCACACAAAGTTTGAAGTTCCTAGGCCTAAGCGTTTTTAGTTAATTGATCGGAAACCGTTTTTACCTACAAGGTCAATGTGACCTTGACCTTGACCCCTTGACCCCAAAATCAATAGGGGTCATCTGCTGGTCATGACCAATCACCATACCAAGTTTGAAGTTCCTAGGCATAAGGGTTCTTAAGTTATTGATCGGAAAGCATTTTTACCTACAAGGTCAATGTGACCTTGCCCTTTAACCCCTTACCCCCAAAATCAATAGGGGTCATCTGCTGGTCATGACCAATCACCATACCAAGTTTGAAGTTCCTAGGCCTAAGGGTTCTTTAGTTATTGATCGGAAACCGTTTTTACCTAAGAGGTCAATGTGACCTTGACCTTTGACCCCTAGACCCCAAAATCTATACCGGTCATCTACTGATCATGACCAATCACCATACCAAGTTTGAAAATCCTAGGCCTTAAGGTTCTTTAGTTATTGATCGGAAACCGTTTTTACCTACAAGGTCAATGTGACCTTGACCTTTGACCCCTTGACCCCAAAATCAATAGGGGTCATCTACTGGTCATGACCAATCACCATACCAAGTTTGAAGTTCCTAGGCCTTAAGGTTCTTTAGTTATTGATCGGAAACCTTTTTGCTTTCAAGGTCAATGTGACCTTGACCTTTGACCCCTTGACCCCAAAATCAATAGGGGTCATCTACTGGTCATGACCAATCACCATACCAAGTTTGAAGTTCCTAGGCCTTAAGGTTCTTTAGTTATTGATCGGAAACCGTTTTTGCTTTCAAGGTCAATGTGACCTTGACCTTTGACCCCTTGACCCCAAAATCAATAGGGGTCATCTACTGGTCATGACCAATCACCATACCAAGTTTGAAGTTCCTAGGCCTAAGGGTTCTTTAGTTATCACTCGGAAACCATTTGGTCTACGGACCGACGGACCGACAGACCGACGGACCGACAAGTGCAAAGCAATATACCTCCTTTTCTTCGAAATGGGGACATAAAAATTATTAAAGGGCCATAACTCAAACAAAAATCATTGAACCGGAAAATGCTGACAATATGCACAACTAGACTTGGTACTGATCATTCCTGTAAAGTTTGGATGAAATTGCACCAGTAGTTTATGAGGAGTAGTCCGGACAAGTTTTGTGACGGACAGCCGGACAGACAGACAGACGGACAGACAGACGACGGAGAAGTGATCCCTATATGTCGCCACTACTCCGTAGAGGCGACACAAAAATGGAGTTATGGTTCTTGTGCACTGCACTTCCTCTCAATGTGCTTGACCATTCTATGATATATTTTCTTTACACAAGGAAACACTTTCCAGGGCTTAATTACTTAAAACAATGAAACAATAATCACATGTATTTTAATTTCCAGTGTCAAGATGTTTCCCAAGTATTTCTCTTTATACAGATTAACATGATATAATTATATAAATCAGAATAAACACTTCAAAGTAAATAGAATAAGGAAGATATCACATGAAGTGGATATCATTGTTTAATATAACGGACACTCAGAATGTGAAAAGTAAGAGACAATTGTTATGTGAAGTAGATGTGTGTGTAAGACGCCTGAACTTGTTGAAATACCATCCTGCTACATGTATATAAAACTAAGGGGAAAAAATAAACTGAAATATTTTTGTCTTGATTTTTAATTTGATGTTAAACTAATTTATTGAAAATGCCAAATTTCAAATTTTCACTGAACAAAGACATGTCTATGAAAACTGTAAAGAAAAATCCGTGAGAAGACTATATAAAGCTGTACGTGTAGTGCAAGCAGAAAAATATTAACCAATGAATTTATGTAGCATTCGATAATTAGAAGATTTTGTAAGTAAACAAAATACTATACTTGAATGATTCACAAAAGATTGCATTATGAGAATCTTTAAGAAAAAGCTAAATGTCAAATTTGACCACTAATTGTTGGAAATGTCATGTCATGGCTCATATATACATGTATATAAACATGTTTAAGCAAACATACCGCATATTGGGGTGGTAGAGTTCCATGAACCATTATCCATGCAAGCACTTAAGGCATCTCCGACAACATGATAGCCTGTTGCACAGGTAAAAACAGCTGTACTTACAACACCATCTGTTGTGATACTAACAGAACCACTGTCTGGGTCAACCACTAGTGGACATTGAACTGTGAATGATATTTAATGAACCTATAATACTTATATATTTAATGAATACAAAGTATTGAAATCAAAGATTTTTGCATTTTTTTTTTCACTAGAAAACTTAAGAGGTATATAAAATAATTATAATAATGATACTTATTGAACACAACACTTAAATATTAAGCATTATATTAAGAGATTTCATACACAATGTGTTACAGTTGTTAATGGTTTCTAACATACCATTTTATAAAATGATATAATTAAAGGCTTGCTTAGAAAACTGATATTCCTTAAGAGTTCCATTGTCCAAAAAACACACCCGCCATGATATTATACATGCTAATGGCAATTTTTCCCTCTGACCACAAGGTGTGGCCTTGACCTTTGGCTTATTTACTTCATGCACTAACTGTCAACATATAGACATTTTGTCATCTCTAGTGACCTTGACCTTGGCCCTAGCAACCTGCATTGTGTATGCAACACTTTGTTTCACAATGGTGAACATTTGTGAAAAGTTATATTTAAATGCCTTAATATTAAATTCAGTTTATAAAGTTGTCTAATATCATTCATAGGACAACCATTAAAGACAAACATGTATACATTTACATACCACATTTTGGTTGTGACTTTGACCAAGATCCTAAAGAAGAGCATATTGCACTAGATGAACCTGATAAACTGTAACCTTCATCACATTCATATGTTACTTGTGTAGTTTCTCCATCTGTACTGTAACTGTATGAGCCACCATCTATGGCCAATAAATTGTCACAAAGTACTGTAATATGAAAAATAATATTAAACATAAAATCTTTCTTCTGCAAAATTACTGTTAAAAAAAGATATGTTTGTACAACATGTATATCCCCTATCAGCAGCTAATTAGTCATTTGGCCAGTTTATTGTGACTGTGACCAAAAAATCAATAGGGGTTATCTTCTGGTCATGACTAGTCAGAAGGTCATTGTGACCGTAAAGGTTTTGTGCAGCAATTTTATCAAATATCCTTATCAGGCTTTGAACCCACAGAAGTGAGGGGCAAGCAGTTTGAAGTCAACGACCTTTACCACTCGACCACAGAATGTATTTCTCAGCAGAAGTTGCACTGTATTTTATCAATCTCAATCACTTTTGAGATCACCACATCCACCCAGTAACGCAACCTGGATTCTTGAAAACCATTTGGCCATTTATGCCCCAATTTTCATTCATTCTCTAGATCATATCTTAGCAGTTTTTACATGTCCCTATAAGTGATGGACTTAAAGACTGACCAAGTCTATTACTAATGAGCCAGCTTTCTGATCCAAAAAGTGATTGTTAGTTGATCAATTTATTAATAATATATTTATTTCAAGGCTTCAAATTCCTTAATTGTCTCAAGTTAAGTCTTTCTTATTTATTCCGCAAAAACCCATAATAAAACCCTTAACAATGTGAAGCCTTAAAAACAATGTTTATTAATACAAGTTGAGATAGTCTTACTCACAACATATAAATTCAATTAGTTTTTCCCACAAAAGGCACTTGTAAAAACTAAATAAAATAAATTGACATCGTTGTCCGGTTGAACATGCTACTTTACAAATCATACAATGTAATCAGTGTTAACAAGGAATTAAATATTCAATTATCAAAAGTCCACATATCCAATATCAATAGCAAAATATTAAGAGACCAAGTGAGGATTAAGATTTCAAGGTACAATATTTATTAAATATCTTAATGTCTACAAAAATTACTCTCTAACAAATACAACTTAGTGAGCATTATTATTTTATTATGCTTTTTTTAAAAAAGGAAGTTAAATATATTTTGATACACAAAGTCATGGGTCCATTGGGTTGGAAACAATTTTGACAACAGGTCTACAAGGATTCAGGATAAAAAATTAGTTTTCTTTTTAATTTTGTCCTCTTAATTGATATGAAAGTAAAAAAAAAACTGATTAAGTAAAATTGGTATGGTGAAGAAACACCTAAAAGTTATCAGTGGTGGTTTAAGTAAGCATAAATTGAACAAAGAAATATAAACAAAACTATCAACACGGACAATGTTTTAAAAAATATAAGGTCACAATTACCTTGACCTTTGACCGCTCCATCCAAAATTCATTAAGAGTCATGTGGAATTTGAGGGCCAAGAGCCAAAGGGTTGTGATGTTATTACAGTAAACTCTGCTTATAACAAACTCATTGGGACATTCAAAATCTGTTCCTTATATCTGGAGTTCCTTGTAAGCATATATAGCAAATTAGTTCCTTATATCAGGAGTTTTTATAGCAACAAACTGGTTGTTTATCACTGTCCTCCATCTGAAGAAAAATAAACTCATTTGGACTCATCATTGATGTCTCCCTTATATTGATTAAGTAAAAAATAAAAAATAAATAATTGCAATGTTTTTTGTTTTTTTTAAATATCTATCTACGGATAGTCAGTATTTTTGGAGTTTCTTATAAAAGTGTAATTTTCTGTACTTTTACCTTTATTAGGACGTAATACTGACTTCCATATAAGCAATAATTCCTTATAACCGTGTTTACTATACAACTGTTTTTTTAATATCAAATAAAGAAGGGCAAAATTTGGGCAAAAATAATTGTTTCTTATTACCGGACGTTCGCTATAACCATATCAGCTATAAGTGAAGTTTACTGTAGTCAAAAACCAATCAAAAACTGTTTTGACAGCAGTCAATGTGATCTTAACCTTTGACACTGCGACCAGAAAATTAAAAGAGGTCACATAAGAAATTAATTAAACTTTGCCATTGTTTCAAATCATCTTTGAATCTTGAGTTTTATGTATTCACTAAAGGACATATGACAAACATGTAATACATATAAATATATTATAATACATTTTAGGTAAAACTAGGCAGTCTCAGGAAAGAAAGCATCAAAACAGTTTTCATCATCTACAACATCCATGGCATCAGATGAAGATCTTCAAATTTACTGCCAGCCTTGTGACAAGAAAGGAACTAGACTACCTGCCCATGGTTACTGCACTGACTGCAAGGAACTCCTTTGCCAGACATGCCTTTAAAGCCCATAAAATAAACAAGTCTTACCAAAAGGCGCAGTACATTTCTGGGATGCAACAAGTATGCCTAAAGTTTTGCAGCAACTCTCATCACCACACCCACACAGGCCAGTTGATGTCCTGACCTCACCATGCCAGTAAACATCCACAAGAAATGATCAAATTCACTGCAATGGATCATACAGAATTACTCTTGCAGTGTTTGTGTGACCTTGAACATCAAGTTACATCCTGCCAAAGTCAACTATATACCAGACATTTCTAGTGCATTATAATAGACAGCCAAAGAATATCAAGTAATCTTGAATGCAGTAAATACCACTTCTGACAAATTTCAACAGATTACTTTTAAAGATGTATAAGGACATGACAAACAAATCAAACAGCTCTCTCAAAGATGCATTAATTGACATTAAAAAGTTCCGCCAAGAAATCAACCAAAGACTAGATGAACTGGAGAGACAGGTTGAAATGCAGCTAAAGTCATAAAACAAGAAAATAAAAAACATCTAAAAGCAGCAGAAGAAATATGTGAAAGAATATAACAAAATCTTTGAAGAAATCATCAGACAAAATCAAACAACTTAACACAACAAAAAAAGCTGAAAAACTCTTTCATTGATTTAAAACTAGCAGAGAAAACAATCAAAGATATGGATGAAAAAACTACTAAACCTGTCATCATTTGATATCAAAGAGCACAACTTTCAATCAAATGATGTAATATTAAATTTGCTTAAAACAAAGAAGTCACTGGGTGCATTGACACAGAAAGCTTTTAAATAAAGGAATGTCAACCTGTCACAAATAAAGTCTAGACACTTTTCATGTCAAGGAGAAATTTGTGTGATGGCATCAAAAGATAAAAATAAACCATTGCTATATAACAGGAATGACTCTGCTGGCTCCTGATCTTCTTTATCATCACTGACTACTTTAAACAATGCTGTAAAGATGGTGGACACCAGCAGTCAATCTGTGTTCTGATTCAACTACATCTAGATGCTGGACCACAGGATATCAACTAGATTCACCAGTTCTGAACTTGCTGTCATACTTCCAGACATACAAACAATACGAATTTATATCAATCTCATCGAAACAAACTCAAAAAGAAGCACACTATGAAGGTTGGTGGAGAATGTCGTAGTATAAGCTGTTAAATCAAGGTAAACTTTTGTGTCATTACGATCTCCTGCAAGACTTCAGATCCTAGTATGAATGGCACTATACTGACAACAATTGATGCGAAAAAAATATTTTCAAAGATCCATGGTATATCACATGTAACAGAAGTTCGTATCTATGTATCTGACAGTGACATGAAGACAATAAAAAGATTTAAACTGGCAGGTGAAGTGATTGGTAGTTTTAGATGGTATGGGTTACCCTACAGCGAATGTCACTGTCAGATGATGGTACAGTCTTTGTGTGTGATAATGGAAACTGTGTTATAGAGAGATATCAGGAAACTGTTCTACAGGAAAGGTGGTGCTTGCAGGATCTGAAAAAGACCATGGGCTGTATGCTGGTGTGGAAAAACAAAGAAGCTGTATTATAGCTGCTATGCTTGGGGTGAAAAATATGGCAACTACCTTCACATCTATAACCTGTCATAGAACTGAACAGAGACGAAAACAGAGTTGATGACAGTTCTTTAATTCATCATTCATTCTTCTAACACTGGTCTTAAAGTGAAAGCATGATGAAAACTTAGCAAGATACTTTTATGTCAGAAAATATTTTCATCTTTAAATGTTTATTAAAATTTTATGTTATCAAGATGAATGATTTAATCTATCCATTTGTTGCATTTTTATAAATGGTTTGGTGAGAAACTAGGAAATTTCTAGGGTGATGCTGAGAATACACTGAATAACAAAGTCTGTTATGGGCAATTACTATCAATTACGATGTTTATAGATATTTTATGTTAAAAAGGGTCATAACTCCTAAAAATATTTTTTTTTTTGGATAAGATTTATGTTATGGGGCATAACTACAAAAATGTAGCTTTAAGTATAATACCCTTCTTATAATGCCTAGTCTATTAACTGTATCTTGATGACACGTTGACAACATTGTGCATCAATTGCAATAGTTTTGTTTTTTTTCAAAACAGACAAATTTGCATCAATTCATAAACTGACTGTAATAGGTAACGCATCTATTATAACATTTAAAACTAAGATTAAAAAATTTCTATATTCTTATTTTACATAACAATATGATTCATCTGATGAGTTTTTTTCGTTTGTTATTATCAAATGCACTTAATATTTAAATTGTTATGTGTCCTGTTTCTAACTCATATTGTGTACTATAAGCATTTGTAAAATTTTAAAATTATTCAGATTACATCAATAAAAGTCAGCATAAACTGCTTATTGTTGTAAAAAATAAGTTAAAACATAAGAATACTGTATTGGTTAAAAAAATTAGTGACTGCATACTTATAATAGAGACAATTGTAACATAAGGAGAGAAATTATATTATATATTGATATAATTGGAACAGATACCAGGAGGCTGCTCTACAAGAAAGTTGTGTTGCAGATATGTTATGTTTTCCCTGATCTTGATGTTTATGTGATGAAATGAAGAAGCAAGTGGTTTAAAGTTAACAACCTAAACCACTGGAATGAAGACCTCTTTTAAAGTTTAAGCAGAACAAAGTAACCTCAAAATGAAGAACAATTGTCTGTAAAAGCCAATTGTTTGGTCTCTCTATAAGATGATCTTTGTTCACAAGTTTGACTGTATCTCTATATATAGTGCAACCTGAGCAAAGTTGACCTCTTCAGAGCAAGAGCAAACAACAGTATTAAAACTCTCTAAACTAGGGCAGCACCTCTAAGCAACAACCTACACCTTTGTCTTCAAGAGGGTGTTGCTCAGCAGAAGTTGTACTGTACTTTATTAATCTCAATCACTTCTGTAATCTACCTATTATGCACTTTATCTGAACTATTTGATCATATATGTGTTTTTATTACTAGATCATCTCTTAGGTTTTTACATGTTCTAGTGATGACTTTAAAGACTGACCAGTATTACTCTATATGTGATCCCAAAATTAGTAGTTGATAAATATTTATCAAACTTCAACTTCTAAATGTAAGTCTTATTAAGTCTTCCAATTAGTCCGACAAAAAACCATCATAAAACCATTATAACAACGTGAAGCTGAAATACAAGTTGGGAAGGGAAGTATCTTAATCATTCTGTTTTTAATGTTGTAACTGAATAATTTAAAACCACTTATATATCATTTTCTCAATACAGTTTATGATTGTCCGGTCAACATAAAGTTTAAACATTTACACATCGATAAACTAGGGGAGATAACAATTAAAATTTTAAGCACTGTGGGATAAGAACAACTTTAAATTTCGAAAAATCAGGACTTTATTTAAATTCTGAACAGTCAAAAAACTGATTGACAAACACAACAATAAAATGCAAACTTAATGCACTAATTATTAGCTAAATAAACAATTGATATCTATTCAGTTTAAACTTGTAACTTTGTGTTGTAATACAAGGAAGTAATTATCAATTTTAAATTCCACGTATCCAATATCAACAGCAAAATATTTACATTAGAAACCTGTGAGACAATTTGAGGATTACAATGTCAAGGTACAATATTTTTTATTAAATATCTTAATGTCTACAAAAATGACCATCTTATAAAGGAAACAAGTGAGCATTATTATTTCATTATGCTTTTTTCTAAAAAAGGAAGTTAAATATACATAATATATTTTGATACACGTTATGTTATGGTAGTGAAATTTAACTTCTCGACAGAGTTCTCCACTTTTCTCATTGCTAAAATATAAATATAACTTAGAAAAGAAGGGATATTTAATTCTGCAAATGTGATTAGCAGACTTAATACGCTTGATAGTCTACAAGAATTTCAAGTTTAAAGTTAATTCAATTTTTTTAGTTATAAAAGAATTTAAAGATTATCTGCCCTTTTGAAAATTAATGGTGTCCTTTCAAGACAATAAACAAGTACACCAAGTTCAAAGTAAATGATTAGCTATTAATTATTTGCTGAGAAAATAAAGTATTGTTCATTCTTCATAAGTAAATATTAAAATTTTATATGAATTACTCTTTTAAGCATCATGTGTTAACCAAAATAAAATACAGTTTGCACTAGATCTTTATTGGCCCCTAACCTGCTGAACTTTCAGTCCACCTTCTAGAACAGTCCATTATCAATTTTGTTGATAGATACTGGACATGACTAGTCACAAGTTTGAGGTCATAGAGCTACTGGGTTGTGAAGTTCTTAGTCAAAAACTCATTGGCCTCGACGTTTGACCCTGCAAGAGGTCATTTTCTGCCCAAGACAATTAAATGCTTCTACCAAGTATGATTGTCAAGGTCTCATTGGTTGTTACTGATCAAAAACTGTTCTGACATTCAAGGTGAGTGTTACCTTGACATTTAAAACTGCAACCCTAAAAGCAATAGGGGTCATGCAGAGGCCAAATACAATGTACCTATGAAATTTGACGGCAAATGAACCATAGAACTTGGCCATTTTTTTTCGTTTTCCATATGATCAAGCGAGAACTGATTTTGTCCATGCAGTGATTCTTCTAAGATTTCTGATCCATTAAGTGTGAAATGTCTGCTGTAATTATACTTGCAGACAACTTTTACCTTTTACATCACCTCACATACATGGCTGGTTAATCATATTGATATACAGTCCGACCCTGGTTATTCTACAACCCTTTATTGGAATACCCAGCATTATCCGAAGTAGATCGGCGGTCCCGTTTTTATCTCTATATAAATCAATATAAATAAGAGCGTATTATTCAAATGAATTATCAGAATACCTCCTATTTTTCCAAGTGAAATTTCAGTCCCGATTATACAATTATGAAAGAGTTTCACACCTCAGGGTCAAAACACCATTTTTGGGGAAGGGGCCTCATCCTTTTTCTTGGGGAAAATATGCGTGATTTTGGCATACTTTGGATAAAAGGGGTCTCAAATTTAACACAAAATTTTAACAAGTTCTTCAAGATAGAAAAGCTAAAAGCACTGGGAAATACTAGGCAGTAAAAGACCTTAATTCAACACCATCATTCAATTTTGTTCTAAATTCTATGGGAAATTTCAAAAGACTGGGGAATTTTGAGGACCAAACTGGGGGGAAAAAAAGGCTAGTTTGGTTGTGGAAGCAGCCTATATTCGGCCTCTACAAAGAAGGGTTTTTTGGCCCTGCACCTATTATTCGAAGCCAGCCTAATTATCATTCGAAGCCAGACTTATTGGCGCAGATCCACTCGCTGACCGGTCCACTTGTGAAAAATATCAACAGTCATGCGTGCATTTAGACAATCATGATAATAACTCTTTATCAACTATAATTACCAAAAATGAAAAGCTTCACACCATGTCCAATTTTGTTACTGTTATTGCTTAAAGATTATAGACAGCAATAATTTTCATACATACCGTATATGTAAATTTGTCAAAACATCCAAAACATCTTTTTCATTAGTTGTAACGCTACAATTGAGAGCCTTTATCCTAATCGAAATACTGCGAATTCACTTATATGCGTGGGCATGAAAGTCCGTGGTTTTCTCAAAACGGGCATTTTCGTGGGTTCTTAAATTCGTGGATTTTCGTTTTCTTGTTCAGTAACTCAGTAAATTCAGTAACCTAATGCAAAGTAATATTAATCGCGAAAATTTTTACTTACAACATGTACATATCTTTACTTGTCACACAGCGGTTGTCAATAAATTTAATCCTTGCCTCTGGGCATAACTCTAATACAGCACAGTTACTGCCGATAATTGACTGCAATTAACACATTTATGTGACATGATATGCACCTCCATTGGACACACTGCCCCTGTAATTCGCCGCATGTAAACATCGCATAATTTATACGACACCTGGCCATGTTTTAACCAGCGAGTTTAAAGGTTTACACTTAACATATTTGGACAGTAACTACACGCATACGTCACAGCGACTTGTTTTAAAAATTACATGCATGTAAGTAACACGAGTATATGTGGATCTTTATAAAAGTCGGCGGTGGCGTCTTTGGTGTTTTACGGCAATAGCATTCGCACAAATACTGATTAATTCATATAAAACTGGCCAGCATTTAAAAACAACAAAGAAAAACATACCAATAAATCTGTTTAGCGATTGTTTATTTTTTTTTATAGTTTGGTTGTACTTATTGACATATAATATCAAAGACTTTTTTTTTTAAATTAATAGAGCAACTTGACAATTTTTTATTAGCGCTTTTATTATTGCACTGCCTAAGGATTCCCATATTTACTCGATTATTGTCCAAGTATTCTTGTTAACACATTCAAGTCCTAGTAGACTACAACGATCAAGTATGTTATATGCGACATTTGTGACAGTAAATTGAGGACATAATTATTATCGAGTTTTCTTTCAAGTTTCTTAAATATTGCAAACGGATTTAATATGTCACTAACCTGGTTATCTGTCTGTACTTACATCCATTCCGGAAAAGAGCCGATGCATGTTTGTAATATATAGAACAGAGACAGGGTAAGAAATATTTGTTGGGATAAAAGTTTGTCGGATCTTAAATTCGTGGATTGACCTACCCACGAAAACCACGAAAATTCGTGCCCCACGAATAATAATGATTTTACAGTACCAGAGTTTAGCTGTCAATACCGTAGTGACAGCCATTATCAAGGCGAAACGAAATGATACATAACGTAGAATAAAATTAAAGAATTTATGTCTATAATGTCAATACAATAATTTTTCGCATCTTTTCTTTAATAATTAATTTTGTCAATTGATTACAGGTGATTACAGGAAGTAAATGTGTTATTAACTGTAGTTTTGCTATGATTGGTCTAAGTGGAGTAGTTTTCGTCTATCACAATATTCTGATTTTGATTATTCGAACCCATCGATTATTCGAAGTAAATATTCAGTCCCAGGCACTTCGAATAAACGGGGTTTGACTGTAAAATAAATACACATCAGACATGCTCTATAACATAGTACACTACAACCTCATTATAAAGCTCATGTTGGGGTCCAATGTCTCAACACCGCGTTCTAACGTGGCTCTCATTAGAACGCTCATTGCGAAATTACCACATTACCCAACATTGACAGGTAAAACAACAAATGAGCAGATGAACGCTAACCTGGGCATGTTTTTCACAACTCTGGCGCTCATAAATGTTATAATTACAATTGTTTATTGTACTTGACTGTCAAATTTAACAACCATTATAGCAGATATGGCACACTATAAATTGATCTACATGAATTTTTTTTTCTTTTGGAGCCAAGGTCTATGAGTGGCGTTATAACAGAGAGCGATATATCGAGGCTACAGTGTAATAGCTAATAATCAATATACCATCCTACATGAGAGAAAAATATGAACTTACATGTATTCAGAGTCAGTTAAACCAGTTTTTTTTTTAATAATCTCAAATTATTTTACACAAAAAAAGACAGTATTAAATGGAGATAAACGTAGGACGCCAACGCTCCCGCCCATATCACCTATCTGCAAGTACTGGTGGCATAAAAGCTTTTAATAATTACAAAGCATGACATCAACTTTCATTACAATAAAAACAAAACATCAATATGAAATGAACAATATATATACTGTGTCTTCATAGTTCACAGTACTTTGAAACAAGAAGGGAAACAATCAATGAACTCTCTCTACAAAAAATTGTCATAAGCTACAGCATTTACATTCTTTCTGCTGTATACTGACAAAAGGTAACAATAACATATTCAATCAAAATCAGATTTAATGATCAAAACAAAGATCACAGGTCGGCAATTTTGAAAGCAATACTTCGTAATTAAAATCGCGACATATGGTGTTACACCTTATTTTTCATGTTTCAGTAAAAACTACTTACTGTTATATTGTTGAAATTCAAATTAAAACTAAAACTATCTTTACTTTGAAACTAAAACACAAGAACATCATAAAATGATGAATGTTTCATATGTGTACAGTACGGTATCCGGACAATTCCCCTCCCGGACGATTCCCCTCCCAGTAAATTTGAATGTTTTTTCGAACAAACCCTGACAATCCCCTGCCGTTATTTTTTTACGGCGGACAATTCCCTCCCGTTAATTTTACAGGGCGGACAATTCCCCTCACGTTATTTTAGCAGAGCAGACAATTCCCCCTCCCGCTGTTGTCAGAGCGGACAATTTCCCTCCCGTGGCTGTTGAACATATATATGTTATATATATTGTTTTATTTAAAAGGCAAGACCATGTCGATTTTTTGTTTAGCTTATTTTTGAAGTTGCAGTACATGAGAAAAACGGGCACACATGACAAATCAGCACATAAATAAAACATTATTAGTGTTCCGTGTATATACATCTTTTCTACGTGTCATACTTCCTTTCCTTATTATACAATGAAATTTTATTTGATGTGTTATCCATCGCTGATTTTGTTTTTAGAAGAGAATGACCTGTGCATGTTCAAAGAGGGTACCTTTTGAGCAGATTTCGCAAAGAGGGTACCGATATGGATATGCACCGTGATTTCTGCAGTGGTAAAATAATTGTATTTAATTGGTTTTTTGCAATCAAGGACAACATTTAATTAAGGGCATCATTGATTAAAGAATTTTTTTATTGACAGTTTGTTAATCTTAAGCACGGCAGCAATGATTAAAGGCAGTATAATGTTCACCTTTTGTGCAAATAATGCTTCTTTAAAAAAGTTCCAATCTTTAACAGTTTGTTGTTTAAGAGTAAAAAACTGTCCATCTTTTAATAAGAATGGTTATAGATTTTTTTTATACACAGTGGCGGTTATGGATTAAGGGCCGTAGAATGTCATGTTCCGCTCTGTGAAAAAAACGGGAGGGGAATTGTCCAATCTGCTAAAATAACGGGAGGGGAATTGTCCGTCTTATAAAATTTACGGGAGGGGAAAAGTCCACCCTATTATAATAACGAGAGGGGAAATGTCCGGGTTGTGAAAATAATATGGAAGGGGAATCGTCCGGGAGGGGGATTGTCCGGGATTCGTACAGTACACATTTTAATTGATGACTGTGGCTTTTTGCAGAAATGAGTAAGAAGTTGTTTTGTTTTATGTTAAAGACTACAGATTTAAATATTTTGCACAAAAGCTTTGATGTTTAGGTGTACGACTAGATCACGCAAAACTTAGTGATGTTGAATATAATTGCTTGAATATTTTTCCAACATAACTTTTCACCATAAAAAAGGTCATATTAGAAATAATTAGACTTTGCCATTGTTTAAAATCATCTATGAATCTTAAAATTTAGTTTCATGTATTCACTAAAGGACATTTGATAAACATGCAATACATAGTAATCTATTATAATACATTTTAGGTAAAACATGGCAGTCCCAGGAAAGAAAGCCTCAAAACAATTTTCATCTTCAAAAACATCCATGGCATCAGATGAAGATCTTCAAATTTACTGCCAGCCTTGTGACGAGGAAGGAACTAGACTCCCTGCCCATGGTTACTGCACTGACTGCAAGGAACACCTTTGCCAGACATGCTTTACAGCCCATAAAATAAATAGGCTTTCCAAACAGCATACACTTCTGGATGCAACAAGTATGCCTAAAGTTTTGCAGCAACCCTCAACATCCATTCACACAGGCCTGTGTGATGACTTGACCTTGTCATGTCGTAAACACCCAAAAGAAATGATCAAGTTCTACTGCAATGATCATACAGAATTACTCTGCAGTGCTTGTGTTACCCTTGAACATGAAGCTACTTCCTGCAAAGTCAACAATATACCAGACATTTCTGGTGATATCATAGACAGCAAAGAATATCAAGTTATCTTGAATGCAGTAAATACCACTTATGACACATTTCAACAGATATTAAAAGATGTCAAGGACATGACACACAAATCAAACAGCTCTCTCAAAGATGCATTAAATGACATTAAAAAGTTTCGCCAAGAAATCAACCAAAGACTAGATGAACTTGGAGAGACAGGCTGAAAATGCAGCTAAAGTCATAGAACAAGAAAACAAAAAACATCTAAAAAGCAGTAGAAACAACATGTGAGGAAGTTACCAAATCTCTAAAGATATCATCAGACAAATCAAAACAACTGAACACAACAAAACAAGCTGACAAACTCTTCATTGATTTAAAACTTTCACAGGAGACAATCAAGGATATGGATGATACACTACTAAAACTGTCATCATTTGATATCAAAGAGCACAACTTTCAATCAAATGATGTAATATTAAATTTGATTAAAACAGAGAAGTCACTGGGTACATTGACACAGAAAACTTTAAATAAAGAATGTCAACCTGTACAAATAAAGTCTAGACAATCTTCACATGAGGAAGAAATCTGTGTGAAGACATCAAAAGATGAATACATGTGCTATATAACAGGAATGACTCTGCTGACTCCTGATCTTCTTATCATCACTGACTACTATAACAAAGCTGTAAAGATGGTGGACACCAGCAGTCAATCTGTATCTGAACAACTACAACTAGATGATTGGCCATGCGATATCACCACAGTAACCAGTACTGTACTTGCTGTCACACTTCCTTACAAACAAACAATACAGTTTATATCAATCACCTCAAACCAACTCATAAAGAAGCACACTATAAAGGTTGATGGAGACTGTCATGGTATAAGCTGTTATCAAGGTAAACTTGTTGTGTCATTAGGATCTCCTGCAAAACTTCAGATCCTTGATATGAATGGCACTATACAGACAACAATTGATGGAAAAAATATTTTCAAAGATCCATGGTATATCACATGTAACAGAAGCTCAATGTATGTATCTGACAGGGACATGCAGACAGTAATAAGATTAAACTGGCAGGGTGATGTGATAGGAAGTTATAGTGGTATGAGTAAGCCTAGAGGAATATCACTGTCAGATGATGGTACTGTCTTTGTGTGTGATATGAAGAGAAATGTAATAGAAGATATATCAGGAGACTGTTCTACACGAAATGTTGTGTTGAAGAATCTGAAAAGTCCATATGCTGTATGCTGGTGTGAGGAAACAAAGAGGCTGTATAATAGCTGTCTTGTTTCTTATGATAAATATGACAACTTCCTTCAAATACATAACCTGTCATAGACTTAAAACAGAAGACTTAATATTTAAACAATGTCAACAGTTCTTAAATATCAATCATTCAATTCTTTTTAACTGGTCTAAAAGTGAAAGCATAATGAAAGACTAGCAAGATACTTGTGTTCTAATTTTGCGCGCATGAAGAGTAACAAAGATTAAACTGGCAAGGTGAAGTGATTAGTAGTGTATATTTGGTATAAGTTTCCCTCAAGGAATGTTCACTGTCAGATGCATGGTACTGTCTTTGTGTGTGATAATGGAGAGAAATGATATAGAAGAGACATCAGGAGACTGTATTACAGGAAAATTGGATTGTGGCTGCAGGCTCAGAAGACACCAAGGGCTGTATGTTGGTGTGGAGAAACAAAGAGACTGTATTACAGCTATGATTTCAAAGATGGAAATTTTCTTCAGATCTATTAACTGTAAAAGACTTTTACACAAAGATAATACAAAAAAAATTCAACAATTCTTAATGGTTAACAAAAAACTTTTCATTATGCAATCTACAAAACTTGTGAATAAAAATTTGCAACTTGCACTTTGTCTCAATGAAAATTTTCAAGATTTCAATCTATTGAAGTTTAAGTTATTATTTCAGATATAAAAATGTTCTTTTTGACCTTATTGGTCTGGACAAAAAGTAGCAAGAAAATAACAATAACAATGGGGAATAACTCAAAATGATTGAAGGGGTTAGAGTTATAATTCTTTAGTTTTGCATCTTTCTTAATGTGGAGATGTATCTATCTACCAATGAAGTTTCATGTTTGATATCTCAAATACTGTTCAAGTTTTTTCCAAGTCTTATACTTTAGCGAAAATATAGAATGGCAGAAGGATTGAATGACTAATGGAGACTATTGCCATATTCTCTACTGTCTTTTTCGCAGTAGGATAAAATATCTATTCTAACACGACCCGCATTTTTCCCTATTGAACATAGTTGAACCAAAAGTGTGTGTTATTATGCAATAAAAACACTGTTTACGTTCTACATTTAGACATGTGATGTTATTATTATACACGTGACGTAACCACTAAAAATGCAACATGCTGAAAATAAGTACAGAAATAAATCGGGCGAAGTTTAGCTTAATAAGGATATATGGCAGCATGTTATTTGTTGAATGTTGTGTTTAGAATCGGAAATAATATATCCAAATCTCAGTGATTTTATCGCTTTGATAAAATCACTGTTTGTTCTTTCAGATGGGCATCATTTATATCACTAATGGGCTACACCACAAAGTTGATAAAATTTCCTTGAATCCAAACTCAAATATTTGATTTTTATTGAGTGATAAAATTCACTTTTTGGATATTTTATTTCTTATAATGGTGTTTAAGGATGAATGATATGAGTCATCCTTGTACTCTATGATGATACATAGTTTGCTGAAAACTATGAAGACTTAAACAAGATTGCATGCTATATCTGTGATGGTTGTGATGCATGGAATAAGGAAACAGAATATGAACATTTGTTGTTTATTATATGTCATGTTGAGAGAACTTTTAACAATTTATCATATTCATACTATTAAGCAAAACTTCTGCCTTTCATTTTACACAAGGGCTTCAAACAAAGGGCATAACAAAACTGTTGTTATATATCCTACACTTAAAGTTTTATTTTAACACTATCGGATTTTTTTTCTATAAAAACAAAGAAGGCCCGAAGCGTGCATTATTCTACAACAATGCACTTCTTATTATCTCCCCGTGTATTATCACATTGAGGGCGCCATTTTGTTTAAAAAATCTGATAAATAAAAACAATTTTTTGTCGAATTTTGTTGTGAAAGCTATCTAGAATGAAAGAAAATGGTCTAACTAAGAAAATGAATCCGAACACCAATATCTTTAATTCAGTCGTTAACGCTGTACAGACTTTTAAAGTGTTGTTTACGTGACGTCACAATGTAGCGCCAAACAGCATGTGCAAAACAATCAAATCAAGTACGCTATTTTAATGTCGCAAACAAGTTAAGTTTTACATTTATTTCACTTTTAATAATTTGTATTTCGCTTGAAAAATTATAGAGTGAAATAAAATAAACAAACAAAGTTTTATGAACATTTTCAAAGTTCGTTATTCTAAAAATGTTTCTACACACGGTAGATTTAACGACAGTTTTTTTCAACCCACTGGAACAGCCTTTAAAGAACGTTTCTATGGGAAACTCTCAGGCGAAAACAAATTTAACCACCAAACATAAAGTCCAACTTTATAATAATAATTATATTTCTTCTTGACGTGTTAGAATGGAAATAGATATTAATTCTTCATGCATTATTGTATAATAATGCACGTTTTTCGTTCAAATGCTTTGTAATTAATCACTCGGGCCTACCGGCCTTGTGATTATATTACTACGCATTTGAACTCAAACCGTGCATTATTCTACAACAATGCACTCAGAATTGATATCTATTTCCTAAACAAAACATATTTTTGTTATAACACATGCCTTGCTACCATGAAACATTTGTTACCTTTACATTCAGGTGCTTTTAATAAAAGTTCATAACAGCCTCTTGTTGTGGTGAAAATGAATGAAAAGCTTTGTTTTAAAAGAAGGTATTATTTCAAAGTTAAACTGACCATAACTCTTTATCATCTATATATGAGTGAGACTAAAACAAAAATTGGAGCACCACACTAAATACCATATTCCAGTATATACCTGACAAGGCACTTCAATTCTACAATATAGCCTTTTCACCCAATGGAATGAACTTTAAAATGTCTAATTCACCAATTTATATACGGTAATTAATGGAAAATGTAAGAATCAGCGAAAAAAATATTTTGTAATCATGATTTCTGCAAGCGTCTAGAGGTACTGCTCCAACACTGTATTGAGTTCAGTCATCTTTAGATACAAACACAGATTAGTTTTATCTTGAAAGGTTATACAAAATTGTCTTACCACATGATGGTGTATTAAAATCCCATGTCCCATCACTACGGCATTGTAATTCTGACTGCCCGTCCACGCTTAACCCAGCACTGCATGTAATATTGGCAAAGGTAGATTCACCATTACTCCATAGCTCCATAGAACCTCCTGTTACTGAATTTAATGTTTCACATAAGACTGAAAATATTAAGAATATGTAATTTTAAATTTGCTCATGTTTCACATAAAATTCAAAACTATAGAAATTTTTTTGTTCTTTTGCTCCTTTTTTACTGAATGTTATGTTTCACATAAAACTGAAAAATATAGTTGCTACTGTTATGAAATATGTTTCACACAAGTCTGAAATATAGAATATGTAATTTTTTACCCCTGTTACTATATGTAATGTTTCACATAAAACTGAAAATACAGAACATGTAATTTTTTTGCTCCCGCAGGAATTTTTTCCAGGATTTTGGGAACATTACCCATACACATGGCATTGGGAATTTCATCAATGTTTCGTTAAAAAATGGGAAAAAAATGCATGACTAAAATTTTGCAGTGATGAAACGAATGCAAACAATTACTGTCTAGGATGGCATCTTCATATATTTAAGCACTAGTACAGCAAAGACGCCATAATTTTCAAAGATTTTAGAATTCTTTATTCAGTATTTTAATTTTGTAACTTTCGATTGGGAATATTTTCCTGTGGATTGGAAAAATAATATACTATTTTCAATTGGGAATATGACCAAATAACGGCTATAAAATAAGCCAAAAAAATCCCTGTCCTGTTACTGAATGTTATGTTTCACATAAAATTGAAGATATATAGAATATGTAATATTTTTGGTAGTGTTACTTCCGGTAAATGTTAATGTTTCACACAAGATTGAAAATAAAGAATATGTAATTTATTTGCTCCTGTTACTGAATAGAATGTTTCAATATAGAATATGTAATGTTTTTGCTCATGTTACTGAAAGTAATGTTTCACATCATAAAGACTGAAAATAAAGAATATGTAATCTTTTTGCACCTGTTACTGACTGTAATGTTTCACATAAAATTGAAAACGCAGAATATGTAATTTATTTACTCCTTAAAGTGTAAAACATGTAATCTTGTTGGATATTGTTAGAGTATTATAACAATTTTCTAGGACTGACTGATAGAAGATCACTGATGCACCTACATGCAATACAAAACTGCTGGAACCAAAATCTTATAAGGAAATGTAAATCAGAATTATTTTTGTTAAGAAATTAAGAATATTTTATGATTTTTTTTTAACTTTGCAAATGTAAACAAGTATTAGATAAGTTATGTATGGTATGTAAAAAAAGGTGTCATTTTTACAAACCTTACAAATTTATTTATTTACCACTGTTCTTTTATTAATTAATAAGATTTCACCTCAAACTATATTGTATCATTGTCATTATTACTTAACAATAGGTTCATACATTCTTCAGTAATTGTCAACAAAATGATAATTATAGGATTTCTATGAAGTTTATAATTATAGTTTACAATCAGTTAGTAAATTCAATTAGATATATCGTTAACGGGAAAAAAAACATTTCAAGTAAAACATTTCGGTACTTTTCATGTGCCTAAGTGTAAGTACTTTATATGCAATTTATACCATTCCCCACTATAAATAATTTGTAAGAATAAAAATTAAGAAATATTAATTTATCTTGTTTATTTTGATAGTTATCAATCTATATTGTTATCGAATTAAGTTTTTTAGATTTAGAAATATCTAAATGAAATGTATATGTAATATTATGAAATCCTTTATAATATAGTTAGTTTCAGATACATATACATTACTTGTATGATTTCTTTATGAATGATGTTTGGTGTTTTGTATTGTATTTGACACATACTAAATTGACTGAAAAAGAATAAATCTACCAGAGATCAAATATTGTCTTCTTATTATAACAGACACAAGCATCTCAAAATGAAATTTTACACCACTTGGATATCCATATGTAAAATTTGAGTTGAATATGTAACACTGTTTGGGAGATAATGAACAGAAACTGAAAAATTCATATTATTTTCAAAGTGAAAGGGGCATTACTCTGCCAAAAATCATAGAACCATGACCCAATTCAAACTTGGCCTGTGCATTCTTTTAACGCATACATATGTAAAATTTGAGTTGCATGTGTAATACTGTTGGGGAGATAATGAAGGGAAACTGAAAATTTCATATTGTTTTCAAAGTGAAAGGGGCATAACTCTACAAAAAATCATGGAACCATGACCAAATTCGAACTTGGCCTGTGCATTCCTTTGACATATCCATATGTCGAGTTTGAGTTGAATAAGTAATACGGTTGTAGAGATAATGAACGGAAACTGAAAATTTCATATCATTTTCAAAGTAAAAGGGGCATAACTTTGCCAAAAATCATAGAACCATGACCAAATTCAAACTTGACCTGTATTTTCTCATGACATTTCCATTTATTAAATTTGAGTTGAATGTGTAATACCGATGGGGAGATAATGAATGGAAACTGGAAATTTCAAATTATTTTCAAAGTAAAAGGGGGGATATAACTCTGCCAAAAATCATCGAACCATAACCAAATTTGAACTTGACCTGTATTTTTTTTCATGACATATCCATTTGTCAAGTTTTAGTTGAATGTGTAATACCGTTGGGGAGATAATGAATGGAAACTGAAAATTTCATATTATTTTCAAAGTAAAAGGGGCATATTTGAGTTGAATGTGTGCAACCGTTATAAAGATAATGAAAGGAAACTGATGATGACGGAATGACAGAATGATGGAAGGAAGGAACAGGGTAACACTATATGCCCCAGTCATTATATGGCGGGGCATAAAGACAAAGTGTAACTAGAAATGTGTTGTCACACCATGAATGCCCCCAAATGTGTACAGTTGTTGGGGCGAAAATGAATGGAAACTGAAAATTTCCTCTTTTTTTTTTAAAGTTAAGGGGCATAACTCTGTCAAAATGAGACCTGTACACTTTTATGGCATATCCATATCTTAAGTTTGAGTTAAATGTGCATAACTGTAAGGGAGATAATGAACAGAAACTGAAAATTCCTTTTTTTAAGGTTAAAGGGGCATAACTCTGCCAAAAAACACCAAACCATGATCAAATTTGATCTTGACCTGTGCATTCCTTTGACACATCAATATATCAAATTTGAGTTGAATGTGTACTACCATTATGATACCGTTATGATCTAATGAACGGAACTCAAAACTTCTTATTTTTCACAAAGTGAAATGAGCATTACCCTGCCATGGAACCATAACCAAATTTGAACTCATGCGCATTCCTTTGATGTATCCACATATTAAATGTGAGTTGAATGTGCACTACCGTTGCGGAGATAATAATTGGAAACTGAATATTTCATCAAGGGAAATAACTCTGCCAAAAATCATTGGACCATGACCAAATTAGAACCTGACCTGCATTATCCTATGATATAGCCATATGCCAAATTTGAGTTGAATGTGTGCAACTCTTACCAAGATAATGAACGGAAACTGATGATGACAGAATGATGGAATAACAGATGGATGGAAGGACAGAATGATGGAACAGGGTAACACTATATGCTTCAGCCATTTTATGGCAGGGGCATAAAAATGAACAAAGGTAAATAACTTCAAAATTAGGGAAGGTTGAGGGGTTACTGTTCTTCTGCACTGCACTTCTACTCATTCAGATGTATCTACTTACACAGTTTCAAGTTGATACTCTTTCTTGTTTTTGTGTTTTGTTCCGGACAAAGTTCAATTAGAATATTGGACAAACAAGGATTAATAATTATACCCGCCGACAAATAACTTATGCGGAGTATATAAAGGAGTCAGTTGGTGGTCAGTCTCTTGTCCGGGACATAACTGAGAATGTACAAGAGATATTAACTTAAAATTTTGTATGTAGATAGATCTCATTGAGTAGAAGTGCTGTACAAAAGAACTGTAACTCTTCCTTACCTAATTTTGGAATAATTGCGCAATTCAATAAGACAATTAAATTTTATTTACCACAAGAAGGTTTCTGGTCACTCCATCCAGAGCCATCAATACCACAAGACCTCTGAGTTACACCATTTAAAGTATAACCTGTATCACAGCTGTATGTTGCTCTCATAAAGTCATCTGATCTAAAAACTTCACCATTTGCTAGAGCAGTTGGAATGTTGCACACTGTGTTAATTGAAATAAGGACAAAGTTTCAATTTAATACTATATTGTTTTTTACAGTTTTTTGTTAGGTTAGGTTTTTTTTTACATTTCACTAACATAAAAGAGGTCATAAGTTATGGTGACTTTCCAGTTTTAGTCATGGAAGACCCCAGGTGCCCCTCCATGAATTATTTCCAGCACAAGCAGACTGCCCTCAGTAGAACCACTGATGTTGCATCAGCTAGCTGGATAGTTTCCTCACATGAAAAAATTTAAGTCCCTGGTCGGAAATGAGCCTACAGCAATAAGGGGGCAAGTGATTTGTATTAAATTCTAACAATATTCATTGTGTTTTCTGTGTTTTTCAATACTGATGCAGACCAAAATTATCTAACTATAGGAAATCTGTTATATAAGGCAGTAGCAAAGCTCTGCGGAATTACCTCTTAACTGTTACCCGAGAGCCAGACATTCTCATTTGTTCAAGTCGCCAATGCCTTTTCTTGCATATTTTTAACAGTTAAAATATTATTCATAAGGAATTAACAACATCTTTATTCAACACCTTTTTCTTATCATATGAATTAATTCATTTGAAAGCTAATATGGCTTTTGTAGCACAATGACATCAATCAAAGCACATGACTGATAAGTAGTGAAGTAGGATGACATTTTCTAGCACCATTACAAACAGTCTCTTTGTACTTGATATCTCACATGTGTGTTTAAATCATTGTCAGCAAAGAAGAACATCACTAGAATGTAAATAAATAAATTCTCATTCAGATTTTTGATAAAATAATTGTGAGAAAACATATAATTTGGAATTGTTGTCAGTTTACAAATGGAAGGCAACAGTTAGATTACCACACGAGGGAGCAGTTCCATCCCAACTTCCATTGGTTAAGCAGTTTCTGTGGGTGTGGCCTATAAGTGTATACCCGCTCACACATGTGTACTGTGCAATGCTATATGACCCACTGGCTGATACATTTACAATTCCACTGTCTGGAGAAGCTAAAGATTGGCATTGCACTGAAAAGTCAATTGAAATATAAATTATATAAATTATGAATATATTTCAGACATCACAGCAGTCCATATATAATGTATAATAAATTTGAAATAGAAAAAAATAAATAAATAAATAAATTATAAATATAATAAAAAAGGAGAATGGTAAAATAATAAGTTTATTTTTAGTAGAAAAGCATCTCCCATGTAGGTAATAAACAAGCAAATTCGTTGAATTTATATCCCCCGTCGAGTACTGGTTTTTATTAACACAACAAATGAAAACATGAGGCTTTATTTATATATTAATCATGGCATAAACAGTAATATTTTTTGAACTTGATAAATATTCAGGGCAATAACAGAGCCATAACTTTGTGTTAAATAGTAATATCTGGAAATGCCAATGAGATGTATGCATACTACATAACTAATCAAAGGCCATAAATCTGAGTTATAAGTATCTGACCGGAACAAGGCGACTATATGCACATCTCCTCTTAGTATCCCATAAAGTTTCATTGAATTCCAGCCAGTAGCACGGAAACGATTATTGCTCTGGTTGTATACTGCCTAAGTTATCAAGGGTCATAACTCTAAGTTAAAATGTCTGACCCGAACAAGGTGACAATATGCACATCTCCTCTTGGTATTGAAGGTTCCAATAAAGTTTCATTGAATTCCAGCCAGTAGTTGCAGAGAAGTAGTGAGGAAACTAATATTTTTCTATATGGATACTGCATAACTAATCAAGGGCCATAACTCTGAGTTAAAGTGTCTGAGCCCAACAAGGCAATGATATGCGCATCTTCTCTTGGTATTGAAGGTTCCGATAAAGTTTCATTGAATTCCAGCAAGTAGTTGCAGAGAAGTAGCGCCGTAAAGATTTTTGCTCTTTATGCATACTGCATAACTAATCAATGGCCATAACTCTGAGTTAAAGTGTCTGACCGGAACAAGGCAACGATATGCGCATCTCCTCTTGGTATTGAAGGTTCCAATAAAGTTTCGTTGAATTCCAGCCAGTAGTTGCAGAGAAGTAGCGCTGAAACAATTTTTTCTCTATATGCATACTGCATAACTAATCAAGGGCCAGTTAAAGTGTCTGACCGGAACAAGGCAACGATATGCGCATCTCCTCTTGGTATTGAAGATTCCCATAAAGTTTCGTTGAATTCCAGCCAGTAGTTGCAGAGAACTAGCGCGGAAATGATTTTTACTCCATATGCATACTGCATAACTAATCAAGGGCCATAACTCTGAGTTAAAGTGTCTGACCGGAACAAGCTGACAATATGCACATCTCCTCTTGGTATTGAAGGTTCCCATAAAGTTTCGTTGAATTCCAGCCAGTAGTTGCAGAAAACTAGTGCGGAAACGATTTTTACTCTATATGCATACTACATAACTAATCAAGGGCCATAACTCTGAATCAAAGGGTCTGACCGGAACAAGCTGACGATATGCGCATCTCCTCTTGGTATTGAAGATTCCCCTAAAGTTTCGTTGAATTCCAGCCAGTAGTTGCAGAGAACTACTCCGGAAACGAAATTTTACTCTATATGCATACTGCATAACTAATCAAGGGCCATAACTCTGAGTTAAAGTGTCTGACCAGAACAAGCTGACAATATGCGCATCTCCTCTTGATATTGATGATTCCCATAAAGTTTCGTTGAATTCCAGCCAGTAGTTGCAGAGAACTACTCAGGAAACGAAATTCGGACGGACGGATGGACGTGGGTTCTCACAGGACAGTAATTATGTGGCTACTCTATTGTTCTCTATATTGTTCTTTTTAGCCACACAAAAGAAAATAGCCATATAAAAGCATTACGGAATGAATGACATCAAAGAGAAAGAACAGTTACCTATTGTCCCTCTAGCCACATAATTCTCTCCTGTGAGTGCGGACGGACGGACGGACAACGCCAAAACTATATCCCCCTCCCAATTCCATCGGCGGGGGATAATAATAAATACTTCACTATTTATCTGAGACATACCGTATCATACATAAACTGAAGTCCCATATGAAAATATATACATGATAATATAGTATTACTTAAAAAACACCATAAAATTACTGAAGCATGAAGTGTTACATTAACGTAATGCTATGAAACTTCATCCCATAAAACAATACAATTTAGTTTAGTGAAATAGTGTTTAACCTTACCACATTCAATCGAAGTTTGATCCCAAGTGCCATCACTATTACAGGTGACAATGTTATTCTCATTATTAAGAGAGTACCCTGCCTGACATGTAATAACAGAGTATGTCATCGTACCATCTGTTGAAACAACTCTCTCACCATTTATAGGGTTATAAGTTGTTTGACATTCAACTGTTAATGTAATTGTATTATGACATTAGACTAGTTTATGTTTTTCACAAAGTAATTCAGGTCATATTGATTATTATCAAAATTCAGATTCTGAAAACATCATGACAAATAGTCCTTAATAGTCCATATTTTTACTAAAATATATCAAATTCATATTCATTCAAAAAAACTTCACATGAATTTTAAATGTAAATCAACTAGGGGCTCAGAGAATCACATGGGACACAATGACTAGTTAGAGATACATTGGTTAAAACACATTTAAATAATGCTTTTTGGTGTAAAAAATAAAAATCAAACAAAAACCTATCAACATTACCACATGTTGGGTGGGAATATTGCCATCCAGTGCTATCATTTTGGCATGTATTCATGCCTGCTCCGTCTAAACTGAAACCTTCATCACAGAAATACTTCAGAGACATGCCATCAGCTGATACCCATAAATTACCATTCCCCGGGGAATTTGGAGGATTGCAAACTGAATAATATTAATGTGTATGAAATGTAAAAAAATTATGGTAAACTGTTTGTCCTTAATGTAACTATGGTATCAAACATTTAAATTTATGAATTGTTCAAAAGTTCTGTTGTCTTGGAAACATGAAGACTGAGTCATAGTGACATTTCCTTAAATAATGAAAGCAACAGTAAGAAATTATGTAAAGAAAATGTTGAATAACATTCTGTTTATAACAATACATAAATTTGACTTTATCACATACCCATGCCAATTTTTTCAGCTCCGTAAAAATGGTATTTCATGGCTGTGCATATAGTTTGACATGATGTCATTTGTGTTTTACAAACATAGTGTAAGACACACTAGTGTTACACTATATGTGTGTCAATGAAAAATGATTTCTTTTAACTTCAAACAGTCTTTATTTTGGGTATGTGATAAATACAATATTCATATAGGTTCATTACTATAAGCTTATGTGTCTATTATGTAATGTTATCATCCTGCATATCCTTGCATTGTTCAATTGTTTTACATAAATCATAATTAGTTTATAGCTCTTTTATAATTTAAGCTTCCTGTAACAGACCAATACCAGCGCTGTATGAGGAAGACATTATCATGACTAATGTTGGGCTCAAACCCATGATCCACGGGTTGGGAAGCAAACACCTTGGCCAGTGCTCCCCCGTTTTGAGAAACATTTAGAAAATCAAAAATATATTTAAATTAGAAATAGTTAAATAAATAATGCATATAAAATGTTTACCACACTTGGATTGGTCCTCATCCCAAGTGCCATCTTGCATGCATGTGATATTTGTTGCTCCACTCACGAAGTAGCCAGTGTTACAAGAGTATGTTGCCGTGGTTACCAGCCCATTTGTGTGGTAGGCTATGTTACCACTGTCCACACTACCAAGTTGGTCACATTCAACTAAATAATGTAAACAATAAAGTACATTGTATCATGATGTTTATATGTGTTTTATATTGTGAATAGAAAAAAAGAAACTTTTAATTGACATTTGATAAGCATTCAAATCCATTTATATCCTTACCTAGTGTTATATAATGATCGTTTTTATCTGTTTATAGTTTTGACCAGAAAACACATATTCAAACAAAAGTGGTTAAGAAAGTCAGGATGGAATGTATGCACTGTTAATGAATATTTATCAAATATCATAAAACTTTAGTATACACCATTCCATGCTAATGTTGCAGTACAAACACAACTATATTTTTTACTTCATATTTTTGAAGATTTTTTAAAATATTTCTATTCCCGTCTTTGGACAGGGTGGAAGCATACTGATCGATGCACATGCGCGGAGCACAATTCTCATTTAATACTGAAATTAATTCTATATACCTACTTCTTATTTTTGAAAATTTTCTTTAAAAAACCTGGTCATTTTTTTGTGTGAGGATTTTGAAGAAATACTGTCAGACTTAAAACCTAGGTCACTCAAATTCTTGTAGGTTTTCACAGTGTACTGTTTTTCTTATTTTTCTTAAAGAAATATAAAATACAGCGAGATTAAATTTCAAATGAAATTTAACAGTTAATATTAAGCATGTATTATAAATAAAAAGAAAAAATTTTCCCAAAACAATGAAAAGGTTCCACTAAAAGTTCCAATGTCCCGTCAGTCAGACTTTTGAAAATCTCTTTCCCCCTTTAAACTGTAAAAATTCCTAGGCCCACACGGAAAAAAACCCCAAAATTTAAAATAACCATCAGTCTGAAGCGACACATCACCACTAGTTGGTGGACTCAGAGCTTCACACTCCACTGAAAACATTTATAATTACATCATTAAATAGAATAGATCAGTCAATGTAACTCCCCAATCAAAAAGGTACATCAGGGGGTTGTCAGAAGGGGGATATAGCCCCTTCTGTTTTGGAAGTTTGAAGAGGGGCAGCAGCCCCCCTCATCACCAAGAAAATTTTGGACACGGGACAGGCTAAAATGGCCTCAGGTTGATCGTAAGGTAATGCGTAACCAACGCTGAAAAGCCTTTTACTCTATCACAATCCAATGAGAAGTTGCAGCACTTTGAAATCAGTTTTGATGGGAAAAAAATGCAAAATAGTGATTTTTGGCAATTTTGAGACGTCCCCCCGTTGCCAATGTTACAGGAAATTTAAGATCGAGTACTGGTTGGTTCCTGAGGAACAAGTTGAAGAGTATGTCTATAAGCTAAATATAGCTCCCTTCACAATCAAACTCAAATCAATTCAGTAGAAACTAATGCAAAGTACATTGCGTTCCTTCTGAGTGAAATCTGATAAAACTGATGAAAATTCTCTACAATGTTATGTTAACAATAACTATCTTTCCTAAACTGAATGGAGTAACCCACCACACATCACAATGAAATAAGTAAAACATGTCACTTTGATTAATAAACTTCTAATTTTTCCTCACCACATGAAGGTTGATTCATTGACCAAGTTCCGTCTGTCTGACAAGCCATGGTTCCAGACTCTGTAATACTTGTACCCACAGAACAATGCAAGGACCATGTTGTTGTTGAGCCATCTGTGATTATGTTCACTGAACCATTAGTAACTGAGGCTAATTTTGGACAACTCACTTTGAGCGCAAAAAAAAGAAGGCATAATTTCACTTTATTAGTACTGAATTTCATGCTTAAATGTAAACAAAATAAAAAGAAACTAGAATAAAGAGCATATCAGTTCATTGATCTAGTAAGTTATCAGCATTATATTCTAGTGAGTAGGGCACATAGTTATCTATATTTCTGGGCAATAACCTTTACCCTGACAAGTGGCACAAGGGTGTCATTCTGAAGTATGGCCTTACTTACATTTAAGTGACTCCAGGAATAATTTTTCGAGATTAATGTTCCACTTGATGTAGGTTAGAACAATAACTTGTGTGCAAAATTTCATCCATTTGATTTTTAGAATTGTTAAACAAATTGTGAAAAATGAAAAAACAATTGAAAAGCATTGCAATGCTTTTCACTCAAATCTGGCTAAAAATAGCTCAAAAATTGGATTTTCAATAACTTTCTGTGTACATTTGCATATCGATCTGTTTTAACTGTTGATCTATGAAACAAATTCTAATTTTATATTTTTAGGCTATTGGACCTTCCTTTGAGTAAGGTTAATTACCGCATGAAGGTGTACTGCTATCCCATCCTGAGCCATCTGTAGAACATGAAGAAGTTACACTGCCATCAAGGGTAAACCCAAGATTGCATGAAAACATGGCTGCCATACCGTCATCAGCCAATGTGGTACTTCCATTAAAGGGGTTTGTTGGTGGACTGCACACTACAAATATAAAGCACAGGTTCTAATAATGGACAAAAATAAAATGGTACACCTTTTATATATATTAAGAGGGCAATAAAAACATTTTACATTGAAGTAAAAAAAAATTTTAAAGTAAGAATTGATTTGTGCACTACAAAATATCTTGCATAAAAACTGTACACCCAGAAAAAAAAAATTAAAAGGGGTAGAAGATAAAACGCCCGGGAAAATTTCCCTTTGTTTTCACCTCCTTTTAAATATGCCCGACTAAAAAGGGCCCCCCTGTTGAAAAAAAGTAAAATGCCAAAAAAGTTTTCGCAAAAGGTTTCCATTTTAAAAAAAAAAATGTCAATGTTTTTTGTAAATAGGCAAAAGTTTTAAAAACCCTGACAAAAAGGTTTTTTTTATAAAAAAAGGGGGATAAAAACACACAGAAATTTAAAAGAATCAGAAAAAATAATTTTATGAAAAAAGCGCTAATGCCTCTTTTCTTTTGACTAAAATTGCAGAAGGGCCCCCCAAAATGAAATTTTAAACCAATTTTCCCTGTTTGGTTTCCCCTTTATATACTCCTCTGCTGTTGTTTTTTTATAAACACAAAATTGCATTAATTTACACTCTACTCATAAGTCTATTATTAAGATTTTTGACAGGTTATATAACAGTATACCGCAAAATCCTGATTTAACGCCCCTGTGGACTTAACATTTTTTGGGTGGGGGAGGGGGGGGGAAGGGGCATTTAATTAAGATCAAGCTGTAGTGACTTTAATGATTCTCTTTTCTCTCTCTTCAAATGATGTAAAAAAATCCACAAAAGTCGTGTTTAAACACATCATCATCCTGTCAACTTATGACACCTTTGATCTACACCGCAAGCTCTCTCGAATTTTACTCCCAAAAATTCCTTGAGATCCAGCTTGCAGTTGACACCTTTGATCTTACCGACAATCTGATGTCATTGATGCTACTTGCCTTATTTACAAATTGTGTCAACATGCCCCACTTCCAGATCTATGTAGTTGTCCACACTAGAGTGTAAAATTGATGCTCTATCGGAGGCTTAAAAATCAAATTAACGAATCACGTAGCACTACACGCGTGATTAGTTTCTGTACCGAACAGTTGAGTTACTGTTTTCAAGTAGACTACACTCTGTTTAAAGTGTTTAAGTTTTGATTCACAGATATTTTTCTTAAATGGAATTATAATTATTGAATATATTTAATCACCAAACTAGTAAGAGAGTTTCTTTATTTTTTTTGTTTAATTATATACATGTTTTCAAAAGTGGGTGGGGGCATTAATTAGGGTGTGGGCGTTTAATTGGGATTTTACTGCATAAATAATTGTTATATATTAACCCTTATTACTTACAACTTAGTTATATTGTCAGCAACATAACCAAGTTAATAAAAAGTAATTATATGACTGTTATTCAAAGAATATTTCAATCTTGAAACATTTATTATTCATAACATATAAAGGAAGAATTATGATAAATTTTACCACAAGTAGGAAGCTCATTATCCCAAGAGCCATCTGCATTACATGTTACAAGGTCAATTCCATTTACATAGTAGCCCTCCACACAAGAGATTGAAGCATATGTTGCGTAACCATCTGTATACACATCTATCATTCCAGCATTCATAGCCGCCAGGTCTGTACATTTTACTATAAAGCAGAAAATTTAATACAGATTTCATTTGGATGAAAAACAACAACAAAAAATCAATTATTTCTTTTAAAATGTGAACAAAGTACAAGTGACTTTTCATGGTATTATATAAGTGAAAACCCTCAATGCATGTATATACTTACAAATCTTTCTTACTTAATAATTTGCTGATAATATATTACCATTTTGTAGGTCACAGAAGAACCTTGTCATTTGCTTTGAACATTCCTCACAACAATGCTTATTTTTCACAGCCCCCCCCCCCCCCTTTATAACTTTGTTTTGAACACTACCCTATACAGGGATATTCAGGCAAAATAATGACAAAAATATTAAAATGATCTTATGCACTCAAACTACGCTAGAATGGCATATATTAAAGTTTCAGCATGAATTTCTGTTTAAATTCTATATATTTTGGGTTTAAAGCGTAAATATATCTATATATGTTGAACAAAATTCAGACACCAATAGAATCACCGAATAGTTCAAAAGTAAGTCAGGTGACTTGAACAAACCCTTGAAGTTACAATAAGTTCAATAACAGACATTGTGGATTATATTCATTTTGAGGGCATTTGCAGAATAATGAATGAAATATTCAAAACTAAGAAATGAAAATAGTTAAAGGAAATCTTTGACCATATACATCATCATAATTTTATCATATTCCACAAATTAACATAAATCTTACCACAAACTGGTTCAGTGAAATCCCAACTTCCATCTGCCCTGCATGCGAGAATACTTGTCCCGGCCAGACTATATCCTGTCTCACATGTGAAGTTAGCCTTTGTAATACTGTTGTCTGAATAGAGATTTACTGTACCACTTGTTGGAGTGCTCAATGCAGTACATACACCTGTAGTATTTCAGAATAAACAGTAAAATTAAAGACATCTTACCTAAAAAAAAAAACTTCAAAAAATCTTTAAGCATGAACAAAGCATGCTTCATAAAATTAAAATTGAAATTTCGATAAAAATGTAAAAATCAATCATGCCAAAAAGAAACATGCAGGAACCAAAAACAGGATGAAATTTGTTTGACTGAATTACAAATAATTTACAAAAAATTTATACTAAACAACAATGTACTTACAAATCTGAATCTGTAAAAGCTTTAATTTGGTTTTCCAGAATTGTGACTTTTTTAGTCATTATAAAATAACAGTAATCAGGGAAAAATATCATGTTTTTAGGAATAAAGACAATGAATTTGTTTACCAGTAAAGTCTCAAACAGGAAAATTTTAATCCTATTTTGCAAATTGCCACCTGTCCAAAAAGTTATCCTTTATGACTGTACGTATAATCCACATATTCATTTCTATTTTTATTTTGAAATCAACATAACTTTTTAAGAAGAAAAATAAAAAAACCCTACCACAAGATGGTACAGATAAATCCCAAGTGCCATCTGTCCTGCAGGTAAGTGCAGAGCCACCATTTATAGTATATCCAATATCACAAGTGATTTCAGCAGTCGTGATGCTGCCACTTGTTGTTATACTAAGTGATCCACCAGACGGGTTGGACAAAACATCACAAGTTTCTGTAGAATAAAAATTTTGAACAAAACCATTCCATGATAGTAATTTAAAAAAAAATTAATTACTTCTCAATCTAGATCTGTTGAAGAATTAAGTTTGTATATATAGCTACATAAAACACTATTTTTTTTTTCGTAAATTTCTATATCACCAAAAATATAACTGCAAAAAGTGTTTCGGTTAATATTGCACTGCAGCAAAATATATTTTTGTTATACTGTTTATGTGCTGTATTGTTTTTCTAGTCATACAAGTAATTGAAGTTTGAAAAATTTCCATTTTTATACAGACTAAGTGATAACACTAAAACTTTTAAAAAACAAATTCATTCATATTTAACAAACTTACAGTCATTAACTCCAAAATATGCATTTCTTTTTTCAAGTTACATCAATTTTTTTTTTTTTTTTGAAAACTTATAACGACAGATCTATCTACAGGTATTCTCCTTTTTAAAATCTTCTTGAAATGATTTACAAATTGAGGAAAATATACAAAAATAATTGAACAAATGTTTACCGCAACTTGGTTGATCCTCATTCCAGCCAACACCATTAGTCTGGCACAGTCTTGTAGTGACACCTTTCAAGGTATAACCGGCTGAACATGTAAAACTTGCTGTCAGTCCATCAGCTGATATCTCTACCTGACCATTTGTTGGTGTAAGCGGTGGGAAACATACTAAAAATAACAAATTTGTTTCATATATAAAAATTAAATTGTATCTACTCTAAATGCTAGCAGGAATAAATAGAGGATATTTGTTCAGTTCAGTGTAAGATCGGAATATATTTCACCGAGTGAGCACCAAAAGGTATATTTCACGAGTGGCACAGCCACGAGTGAAATATGAACTTTATGTGATCACAAAAGAAGAGTAATAACAATAATTATAATAAGAGTTTAGGACCACTAGACGATTGTTAATAATCAAGAGCAAATTTACTCTAAATAATGAAATCATAAAAATCACAATGACTACTCTTAAAACAATGACTGTAATATTGATAGCTTAAAAGCAACAATGAATTGCACTAGCTTTCAAAGGAAGATGTTGATATGGCATAGCGTAAATAAATACATATTTCTTGTAGTATTCCTTGCCTTTTGAATTAAAAAGCTAAAAAATTATGATGCAGGAACATTTAAATTGGAGAATGACATTCAGAGATTGAAGAAAATAGGTATTTTATCACAACTGGATTTCTGTCTTGTTTAAATTCTGATGTTTACAAAACATAATGTTACAAAATATAATACACATTTTTATATTAAGGAAACAAATTTACCACAAGTTGGATTCACGTCACTCCATTGACCATCAGTTTGACATGTTAATGGACTGGTACCACTAACTTTATATCCTGTAACACATGTGAAACTGGCTACAGTCTGTTCTCCATCTGTTGTCAGTGTAACACTTCCACTGTCAGGATCATCCAGGCTGGCACACTGAACTGGAAAGCATATTTAAACATAACTTCAGAATGTTTATAAATGTTTATTAATAAACTTTTCAAAAATATTAGGCAAGTTTTCACTTCAAATGTAAGACTTATATGAAGTTTACCACAACATTATGAACATAAAACAAGGCCTTTATGCAAAAAGGACACCTTTATGTGAAATTCAGCTATTATGAGACTGGAGGATTTTGATTGGCTCTCCAGCTTGACCATTATGAATCTGCTTCTTTTTTTTTTTTAATTGAAAAAAGTCACCATTTTGAATTGCTGCAAGGAACTTAGGTTTCCAAGACATTTTTAAAACAAGAATCTCATTTGCAATACTTCACAGCAACGGCATTTACATTAGTTATTTTTTTGTTCACAAAGTAGTTAACTTTTTTAGATTATGTGTAGTTAATTGCATATTATTGATAAAATTATCAATAATTATTTTCATAATGGGCTTGTTATTGGGCTTTAGACTGTCATATTAGCCTTCGGCCTTTGGCCTCAAGCTAATATGGAGTCTTCGGCCCAATAACAAGGCCATTATGAAAACACCTAACTACTAACGTTATAATATTAAAGTATATAAAATATTTATATAAATTAAGGTATATCCAAAAAAGTTATTATATGCTTGTAAACAAGTTAATCACATATTTGCTATCTCTAAGAGATAACCACATTAAAGGTGATCTTAAAAGGCATTTTTAACTTAATTTTAGTTTCAACAAATGGTTAAAGACAACATAGATTGCACAACAGGTCATTGTGGGTATCACTTGTAGTTTGTTCTTCAAAAAGAGGGCTATTGGTGTTTACATACCACAAGAAGGTGTAACACTGTCCCACACTCCGCTAGAGGTACACATGGCTGTTGAGGTTCCTTGCATGGTAAAGCCTAGGTCACAGGCATAATATGCTGTAGATGTTAGCCCATCAGTTGCCACAGTTACTGATCCACCAGAGGGAGACACCAAAGAGGGACAAGATACTGGGGAAAAACAACATAAACCAATCTGGTAAAACCTAAATGAATAAATCAAATCCCTCAATGATAAGCTCATTTACAATGGTACCTCATACTCATAAATTTTGATCCTAGATAAGCATCAATATAAGGCTTTGCTGCACAATGGCTGTAACTCATAATGACAAAAAGAAAGAGTTACAACTGTTTGGTAGCAAACCCTCCACATGTTTTTTTCTGTGCACATATATGAACCAGTCATGCAGAAAATACCAGAGTTTCTTGTAATAACTTAATGGCACATTATGCCTCAGAAATCTATATTTTATCAAATCTTCAGAAATGTCAAACAGGTGTTTAATAATGTAATAATGGATTATGAGCATGCTAGATGTTTAACAAATGCAGAATTAGAGCTGATTGTGCAATAATGTGTTGTAAAGGTAACATTATGTAAACAAAGTAGTAGTTTGACTTCCATACAAAATACTAATTCACTATTATTATACCAATTGTCAACATAACAAAAGCAGCAAAAGATAGTTTATGTAGATGGCAAATGAGTAATTTTTGAAATCTGTAAGAAGATACCAAAAATAAAAAAGTTTTTAAGAGATTAAAATGATAGAATTCCTGATACTTAATGGGCCTTTAACCAAATATTAGTAAATATACTTATAAAACAATATCATAAAATATAATAAATACTGTACAAGGGATAATTTCTTGTAGAGCAATGAAAACAAAACTTCAACTGATTGGAATTGCAGGCTGTTTCATTGAAAAATTCTGTAAAGGAGAGATCCCTTAAAGGCAATGAATGAAAATAAGTGGTATTTCATGGGATCACTTCATTCTCAAATAGTTACGCGTAATGGATGAAAACAAAGCATACTAACCACATGTAGGTTTTACTCCTGCCCACCCTGTGCCATTAGTAGAACATGTTTGAGAATTTTGTCCCGATATCGTGTACTGAGAATCACAACTGTAATAAACTGTCATGTTGTCTCCAGACAGTGATAAACTTCCACCAGTAGGGGGTGCTGGTACATCACATACTATAAATAGCAAATGCAGCTCATTAATATTATCAATTTAACACATTTCCACCAGTACCCGGGGCCTTGGTACATCACATGCTATAAATAGTACATACATCTCATAGATATCAGCAACTTATCAATTTTACGCATATCTAATGAACTTTATAATACAAATAATGATAAAAAGCAGCATAAGTTAGTAACCTTTTAATTGTTAATATTCATCTGTAATTTACTAAAAAGGTCCAATGTATAAGTAAGATGATTGATTGAATTAATAATAACTTCATAAGTGTTATGCATACCACATAATGGTTCTGCTCCATCCCATAAACCATCTGTTTGACATGATATGATTTCATCTCCAGCAATATGGTAACCAGTACTACATGAGAACTCAGCTTGTGATAACGTTCCATTCGTTGATAAAGTCACAGACCCACTTGAAGGATTTGATATATCAGGACATGTCACTAAAATATATAAGCGTTTTAGATTATCAGACAACTCATGAAACCTTAACTTAAAGTGTCAATACTGACTTGACTATTTACAGTCTACTGTTAGATAATTGATTTATTGTATTAATGACACATAAATGACAGACCATAAAGATTACAGCAGCATGCCATACTTACACATACATATACATTATAAGTGACATCTAGCCAGTACACGTATTCAAGAACTTTATGTTACAACTGCCATATCCCAATACTAGCATGTTGCCCTTGATGATATCCAGGCATTTTATCCCAATTACAGCATGTTGCCCTTGATGATACCCAGGCATTTATCCCAATTACAGCATGTTGCCCTTGATGATACCCAGGCATTTTATCCCAATTACAGCATGTTGCCCTTGATGATACCCAGGCATTTTATCCCAATTACAGCATGTTGCCCTTGATGATACCCAGGCATTTATCCCAATTATAGCATGTTGCCCTTGATGATACCCAGGCATTTATCCCAATTACAGCATGTTGCCCTTGATGATACCCAGGCATTTTATCCCAATTACAGCATGTTGCCCTTGATGATACCCAGGCATTTATTCCAATTACAGCATGTTGCCCTTGATGATACCCAGGCATTTTATCCCAATTACAGCATGTTGCCCTTGATGATATCCAGGCATTTTATCCCAATTACAGCATGTTGCCCTTGATGATACCCAGGCATTTTATCCCAATTACAGCATGTTGCCCTTGATGATACCCTGGGGCCGTATTCACAACTGAACTTAAGTTAATTTTTTGACTTAAATATAAGATTTTTCTTATATTTTGAGAAATTTTCTTAGATTTAAGATAATATTTCGCAATTTACTTAAGTGGTATTCACAACTGTTTTTTATCTTAAGTTTTGTCTTAAGATGGACAATTTTTGTCTTAAATATAAGTCAGCTACTACCCTATCTTAAAGTTAAGAAATTTCTTAACTTGGCAGTAAATCATCTTAAAAATGGCGGACGGTAAACGTCGATTCGATTGAAAACTTGCGTTTTTTACTAGTATTAGATATAGCATTGAGGTAATCAACGCCAATAATTACAGCAATAATGATTTCGTTCAAAGTAATTTATACACACGATAAATGTGAGTAAAACAAGGGAGTTAAATCGGCAAAAAATTGAAGACGCAAAGGAGACGCTCATTTCACAAACCGGAGTATGATCGTCAGTTTCTTGCTGGTAAGTACTTGTAAAGAAAATATTTGTGCACAGAAAAATGTAAAATGTCGGTTTGTGTGTTGTTCTTTGAGAAAAACATAACTGCTAAACGCTTACGAGTGTTTATTTGGAATGTCACTGGTTTTCGCGAGAATCAATTATGACTATCACTGAAAATTGCGGATAAGCTACAACTTGCAATGCTTAGCGGATAATTTTAATTGAATAATTTACATATGCAAATTGATAATGTTCCGTATTACCGATGTATTTATTGAAAACCTGACACATGCTGAATTGATAATGATTTGCCCCTCTGATGATTCGCCCAAGAACGTTTCGCCCCACTTTATTGATGGTTCACTTCAGATTAGAGACGATCTGTCCTTCTTTAGAATAATCCTTTTAAACGTCCTTTAGGTTATCAAAATAAAGAAATGAAAAGATGAAATGTTTCTTTTGGTAACCGTTTATTTGTGAAATAAAAAATGTGTTATGTATTTAGCAAGTGGGTTACCATACGCCGCCCGTACTGGGTGCCAGAAGTTCTAGCTGTATGTGAGTCACATATATCTATCCTATACACACTGTTGTGGCTAGCCGTACAGTAGTTTTTCAATAATAGATAAATGCAATGATGAAGTCAGTAATTTGCAGGTCTTATTACATTTTCACACAGAATGAACATACATATTTAAAAAAAATAATATTACTGATGATGTTCGGCCATTTATATATTATCATGATGACAAGATATCGAATAGATCCAGCATTTTTTTCTCTCTACTTTGGTTATTGGTGCCGGTACCAGACTGATAAGGAAAAAATGCGTTATTTTGAATCAATTTTATTAAGCATCTTTTCAGCTACAAATAAGATTAATCATAATGAATAAAGACAGTTAACATCTTCCAGTGTCCAGGTAGAACTATTGAGTGGTAATTAATATAAATATAATGATTTTAGAGAAATATCATGGCCTGAACAGTCATTTTGAGAATTTTCTCACTAGAATTTGGGAATTTTCATGTCTTTTTTACCATTGGGAACAGTACCTTTTTCGAGTAGTAGTTATATAAAGAAAAAAAAACGCTGTGATCTATCAGAAATAAATTCGCCTTTAATTGAAGAGTTTTCGTTAGCCGATAGAAATTCTGTACATGTTATTTACAAGTTTTAATTATTAACATTACTTTGTCATGATCTTCATGTAACTACTGCTGGATATTGACCCACAGACTTTAAGGTCAATAATACAGTAGTGTTCTTGTGCAGTCGTGAAAAAACAGGTGTGTTTCATCTTGTATTGGTGAGCAAACAACCAGCTTGTCATTTTCAATGCCCGCTAAAAGCGTTCGAGATAAAATTTTATTACAAATGTATTATAAATATGTTCCATACAAATGATATAATATTGTTTTCAGTTTTTTTTCTCTTCATTTTGTTGATTAGTATGGTTTAGGTTTCCGCTCATAATCTTGAAAGCAATTTATCACAAAGTCTTCATATTTCTAATTTTGATTGGTCATAACTATTAGATGACCCCTATTGATTTTGGGTCACTAGTTCAAAGGTTAAGGTCACAGAGGCCTTTAAAGTCAGAATGGTGTCTGCTCATTATCTTGAAAACTATTTATCACAAAGTCTTCATTATTTTTCTTTTTCTTTTTTCCAATTAACTGAACTCTTCCAAGTACCCATTTATGGCAAGTGTCTATAACAAAATAACCAATAATGTGTGAAGGGCTAGAAAGGGGGGCATGTGTTGTTTGACATTTCTTGTTAAATTTATTAGTTTTAACTCTAAAAGTTTGATGAAATATACAAGTGGTATTAGTAATTGTAAGTTCCATTAAACGGATATTTTTTTTTTAGTCTATCTCTTAGTCTATATAAAATGTTATCTATGCCAAATAAATGCAGAAAATACCCAAACCATAATCTTTTTTCCATCAAAATGAATTAAAAAATGTTTATATTTAAATATATTAAAGCTAGGAAAAATCGTCGCTAAAGTGGGGCAAATCGTTACCAAAATACATAGGCACTCTCCGGGATTTAAACCTCAAACTTTTTGATAACAAGGTGCTAAAGGGTTAACGCAACAGCACGGCTGTTAGAAGTGGCCTATGTATACAACTGCATTCACAACATGTTGATTTTTTTTTATAAAATAAAATCAATGAATGTCCAGCATTTGCATTCATCAGCCAGTGAGTTTCAAATTTAGTCACTCATTATAGCCTAACATATTGTGCGCCAGGGTTTGCTTTATAAATGATGCTTTGTGACATCTATGTTATATAATTTTTTAAGTATTTTTACTTCAAATAGTTATCTTTTCTTAGTATCTCTGAGATCAAACAACAATAAAATGAATAGTTTTCATGAATCTTCCAAACCACCCTTTCAAATACTCCTGCCTCATATTTAGGCATTACTCTTAATTCTTATCACACACCCAATCCAATCTCAAAGCATTCATTAATGAGCTGTTTATTTTTCACTAGAAGCGTCCTGGATTATATCAAATTGTGTGCACAAAAGCTTAATTTTTGATAGACATGTATGCTGCTGTCAAATGAAAACAATGCATAGAAATGTTTTTTTTTTCTTTAACCCATCTTTTACTAAAAGGTTCTTGTTGCTTAAATACATAGAATAGGAAGCAGGTTGACAGTCATAAAAAGCAAGAAAACAAAAGCAGCCCAATCTATCACAAGGAATTCAAAGAAAAATAAAAAATAGATTTTATGATGAAATGAGTATTATTATGTTGGTCAATCTCAATAGTCTATCTAAAGAAAGGTTTGAAAAAAATTAGACATTGTAAGCTTACTGACACTAGGGTATCAGTCATCAGTTTGTTTAAAGCAGGGTGTTCACTAGCCATGAAATCATGAGGGTAATTTTGAACAAGTTTTACAGACTACAGGGTCAAATCCCAATGATTTTTACAAAATTTGACCCTCCAGTTAAAATCCTGAGGGTCAAATCAGGCCTTTTGGAAATTTGAAGGGTCTAACGGACACCCTGTTAAAGTTTTCCATGCACCATCAACATTAAATTATTCAATTGAAACTTAACACACATTTTTTGGATCATAATTGGTGATTATTATCCAAGGCTCATAACTCTAGCATGTATTTTGCCAGAATTATAACCCTTTTTGAACTAGAAGTTCCTGATGCTACATCAATCTTCATAACTACTGAGGTATTCACTTAAAACTTAAGATTCAGATTTAAAATTGGAGTTAACCATCCAAGACCCATAACTTTACTCTAGCATGGATTATTGCAGAATTAGCCCCAATTTTCATAAAGGAGATAGACATGTAGTTCAAAACACTGCCAAATATAAACACATACCATTATTATCATATTGTCTGTTCAAGGTTATAAATTGAACACAAACTTGTGTCACTGTTGTTCAGTGTTGTTTATGGTTAGACACTTAACCAATCATAAAACTATCCTTCTGTTTATAACATTTTTAATATCATGTTGAAGGTGTGGTGAATTGTCACATCTGTGGTGCGAAATCTCATTTATAGTGGGGTTTGTTGTTATTGGTAAATGATATAGAAATTTGTTGATATTTTATATTTACTTCAATAAGTGACAACATAATTATGCTCAATTTGTTTGTTTGAATGATATTCAGAATGATATTCAGTTAAAACTAAAACTGCAATTTTAGTTTGACTATACAAAGTATATGGAGAGCTGAACTACTCGCCCCGGCATCAGCCTCCAGATTTCAGGTTAAAGTTTTGGTTTAGTAAAATATTTTTCACTATAACTTTTCATTTTCTTAAGGTATCAACTTCAAATATAATTATGTTCCTTTTCATCAACCACATCTTATGTGTCAAGGTTCATAACTCTAGCACAATATTTTCAGATACATGTATCTCCCCTTGAACTTAGAAATTTCCTTAAAAAATACTAATTTTTACTGTTACTTATTTATTTCTTAAGGGATCAAGTTCATACTTCAAATATATGTTCCTTATCATTAACCACATGTTATATGACAAGGTTCATAACTCTAGCACCAATATTGCAAGAATATCTCCCCATAACTTAGATTTTTTTACTTGAAAAATGTAGTTTTTTCTATAACTTCTTTAGTTTTAAAGATATCTACCTCAAACTTCAAAAACTTATTCATTATCATCAATTACATCTTATGTTACAAGGTTTATAACTATTGACGCAATATTGTCAGATTTATCTCTCTTTGAACTTAGGATTTACCTTAAGAAATACTTCTTTACTTTTAAGGTATCTACTTTAAACTTCAAATATATATTTCTTATCATTACACACATGTTGTGTGACAAGTTTCATAACTCTAGCATGACTATTTCCAGAATTATTTCCCCTTGAACATGGAATTTATGTTAACAAATGTTATTTTTTTACTATAACTTAATACATAATAATAATTATACATAATTGATTTTTTTTTCATAGTTTTTGTGTTCCGTACTGTGTCTAGTATTTTATTAGTCGAGCTTCGCTGATGCCTTTGAAAGCTTTTGTTGATTTATGTACCTATATTTTTCTTAAAAAAACATTTTTTTTTTATATTTTCAGATGATATCACACTATTCATGAACCTCGGATTTTGTAGTCATCCAGACTGACAGTAGTATGGAGAATAAAGATATCAACATAGTAGCAACATGTTACATAATTTATAATGCTGCTGAACATAGCACTACTTCATTGACCAAATACATGGAGAATGAATCGGGATTAATGTGTAGTGACTATATACTACCATAATGTATCAGATTTTCTATCTGACAGGTCATGGCATATAACATCAAATATCACCTGTTGCAACCTTAAATCATGGACACTAAATACATGAAAAACACATAGGAACAATGAAGACTTAACAGTTACTGTGTTCATAAACACTGGAACACATCAGTGGAATCAAACTCTAGAAGACCACTAGTAATCCAAAAGATTCATACCTGGGTACATCATCAAGGAGCCTTATTGTTACTAACTTTTATGCAGGACATGTCATTATCAAATTTCTTGTGTGATAAAATGTAAAATCTATCACTGCCGATTGTGTTCATAATGTGCAAGAGGAATTGGTCCAATGTTTTCATCGAAAAACACATGAACATTCTAACTTGTGAGAAACTTGAAGACTATCAAAAGGATAACTATGAAAGAAAATTTCATTCATGGAAAAAGAACTGTGTGAATTAAGATCAGAATTAACATTTCCTAGTAATTGTTTTAAGTAAGATTATCAGCACCACTTTTTATAGAAGAAAAAATGAATGTTATATTCATTCGGTATGACTGACCTGTTGGTGTTGTTGATTTTCATTATACAATACATGTACTTACAAATCTATTACATCAAAACTTTATATGTGGATGAACCTTGATGAGTTCAACCTGAACCCCTCATTTTCAGGTCAAAAGGTCAAAGTCACTGACTTGTGGTAACCAAACATAAAACTAGCCATTTAATAGGCATTTACTGAGGAACATCAGACTTTGACAAATTGTATGTACCAGATTTAATCATGATGAGTTGTACCTGACATGATACTCATTTTGTGTCAAAAGGTCATGGTGATGGTTCACAATGACCTGTGTTGATATTTTTAATAAGATTTTTAAGGTCAAGAACACATATTGAAATGTGGGCACAGCCTGCTTAGTCAAAGTTAAGGTCGATGTGATTTTTTATTCAAATTATCTATTTTTGTAGAAAATATGAAGTTTACTATCCAGATAAGCTCTGAGAAAACTGGAGTGCACTGCTCTTCTGACAGCTCAATCTTACTTGTTTTTTTTTTTGCTATCCTTGAACTATTCATGAAAATTGTTTGGAATTTGTGAGCATTTGAATGAAATTTTCTGTATAATTAGAACAGTCAAAACTGCAGAACTGGAGATATAAGCTTGCATACCTCTTAATTTTCTAAACTACTATGCCGGCAGCTTTCAGTATGTCTAAAAACATTAATCTGCAGTGCAAGCACTATCATAATGTCAAAAATAGAAAGCATTGGCTATGTACTTGGTCACAGATTCTGAAATATGTATTTTCTTCTAACATGTATGTGTGATTTAAAAAAAACTGTTCATGTAAAGTTTTACATTTGATATTGCAATTAAAAAGAAATAAATAATAAAAAAAACAACCTGTGTCTTGTTTACACACTAGGTGATTTATCATTTAGAAGCAGAATAGCTGAAAAGCATGACATGTAATTTAAATGCCTTCTTTTTGTATTATTTTAAAAGAAATTTTATCGCAACATTTCAATGAAAAAAAAATGAAATTTTAGCCATCTGTCTGTACTAGGTTTAACTTTCCATGCATAAATAAGTTCTACCTTTACCATGGGCTTCATACACTTATTTATACAAATTTAAGCAAGTCACTTCCTCCCTCTCCATTATTTAATTTTTTTATCCTATGTAATGGCTAGCCTAACCCATCAAGTTCAGTCATCTTATAATTGAGCCGCGTCACGACAAAACCAACGTTATGCGTTTGCGACCAGCATGGATCCAAACCAGTCTGCGCATCCGCACAGTCTGATCAGGATCCATGCTGTTCGCTACCAGTTTCTCTACTTGTAATAGGGTTTGTAAGCGAACAGCACGGATCCAGATCAGACTGTGTGGATGCGCAGGCTGGTCTGGAGCCATGCTGGTCGCAAACCCATTATGTTGGTTTTGTCGTGACGCGGCTCATATGTGCAATTGAGTTTTGCCAATACATAGGCCATGGCCTTGACAAGTAACATAAATGGAGTATCCATTTCCCCCAAATTGATTCCCATTTTAGGCTATAAAACTTAATATAGTTTTATACTTAGATATAGTTTTTCATTTTATAATTCATGTTGCCATCCCTTCCACATAATCTACATCTTTTAGTTTTATATGGTACTTTGACATGTTTTCAGCTGGATTTGACAGCGTATAAACACCCGGTTCTAATTTTAGACATTGAAGAGCACTTCCGTTACTATTTTTAGTAACGGAAAACCCCTCTTTCATTAGCAAACCGACTTAAGAATTTTCTTAAGTGAAATATTTATTACTTAAGATATTTTCTCAATCTTAAGAATAATCTCAGCTAAGTTTTTCTTAAGTCATTTTCAGAATACGACTTAATCTTAAGATAAAAAATTTTCTTAGCTAAGATTTTTTTTTCAACTTATGTTTTAACTTAAGAAATAACTTAAGATCAGTTGTGAATACGGCCCCAGGCATTTATCCCAATTATAGCATGTTGCCCTTGATGATACCCAGGCATTTATCCCAATTACAGCATGTTGCCCTTGATGATACCCAGGCATTTTATCCCAATTACAGCATGTTGCCCTTGATGATACCCAGGCATTTATCCCAATTACAGCATGTTGCCCTTGATGATACCCAGGCATTTTATCCCAATTACAGCATGTTGCCCTTGATGATACCCAGGCATTTTATCCCAATTACAGCATGTTGCCCTTGATGATACCCAGGCATTTATCCCAATTACAGCATGTTGCCCTTGATGATACCCAGGCATTTTATCCCAATTATAGCATGTTGCCCTTGCTGATACCCACGCATTTTATTCCAATTATAGCATGTTGCCCTTGATGATACCCAGGCATTTTATCCCAATTACAGCATGTTGCCCTTGATGATACCCAGGCATTTTATCCCAATTACAGCATGTTGCCCTTGCTGATACCCAGGCATTTTATCCCAATTACAGCATGTTACCTTGATGATACCCAGGCATTTTATCCCAATTATAGCATGTTGTGCTTGATGATACCCACACATTTTATTCCAATTACAGCATGTTGCCCTTGATGATACCCAGGCATTTTATCCCAATTATAGCATGTTGCCCTTGATGATACCCACACATTTAACCCAATTACAGCATGTTGCCCTTGATGATACCCAGGCATTTCATCCCAATTATAGCATGTTGCCCTTGATGATACCCACACATTTTATCCCAATTATAGCATGTTGCCCTTGATGACACCCACAAATTTTATCCCAATTACAGCATATACAGAAGTGTATACATAAATGGTAAGGAATCTCCTCAATACTGCGAATCTACTAGTCCACTCTCTATATATAAATTAGTAAAGCAAATGATTCTTTCCTAATCTTCTATTTTAGAAACAAACATCACTTTCGCATTATAAATAGCTCTCCGGATGCAGTTTTGAAGAAATCTTTTTTCTTTACCATATTATTTGTTAGGTAATCATTACAAGGAAAAATAAATATTTATTTCTAAAATTATAATGTCAATACATGTTAAAAGAAAGTACCGCATTTAGGTGGGTCTAAATCCCAGGAACCGTCAGATTTACAGGTCAGTACTGAATAACCATCTAATGAACTTCTAGTGTTGCATGAGAAAACAGCTGTTGTTACTGAGCCATCAGTATTTAAAGTCATTTGTCCATTTGTAGGTGTTGTAAGGGAATCACAAGACTCTGAAACAACCAGAATTGTGTGACGTTATTATGACTTTTCTTAATATTACATAACATATAGAGGGGCATTGTTATATGATATTTTATATTATTTGACATAATGTATAACAATGTTATTTTATTTCTTTGGGTTTTGCATTGCACTAACACAGTAAAAGTCGCATGTCAGTTTTCCAACTTTACTGGCGGAGGAAGACCTCAGGTGCCCTTTCATGCATTATTTCTCCAATAAATGGGCATCTGAGCAAAACCACCGACGTTCCATAAGCTAGCTTGATAGCTTCCTCACATGAAAAAATCCCTGTCTGGATTTGAACCCATAGCAGTGAAGGGTAAGTGGTTTGAAGTCAGCAAACTTAACCACCTGGCTACAGACACCCATACTAACCATGTAATGTTTCACATATGAGTCACATGACTTTCTTTACAAAATTATGACATAATCAGTTGTGAATGGCTGCAATAATATAATTACTGAATTATAATCAGATGTATATTTTAGTTTTAATTTCTACACCTAGCTAGCTGGGTAATAATAGAAAATTATTTGATCAAGATGCTTTCCTGTTTCTTAAAAAATCAAATTGCATAGGTTAATTTAAATAGTTATTTCTGTAATGCTCTTTATGGAAATCTCTGTTTAATTTGATTGTGTTGGTTTAAACAGACACTTATCAAAGATTTATATCTAAAATAATTCTGAATAATTCTTAAAAAATATATATATACCACAAGTTGGTTGAGTTCCAGACCAGCCTGTTCCATCAGCACCACATGTACGGACTTCTGAGCCACTGAGTATAAATCCTACATCACAACTGATGGTTAAGGTCATATTGTCATCTGATATAGACATCTCACCATTTGATGGTACAGTAGGGGGTACACATACTGAAGTACATATAAACAATTTACATGATAGTTTTCAGGCAGGCCAATCACACATTTCATGTTTGCAGTTTAGCTAACATTCCATAAAAACAAGCTCTATATATAGCTAACTGACTAGCTTTTCCATAAAACCAGATATAACAAAATAGCTAATTGACAAGCTTTTTCATAGCAACCAGGTATAACCAAATAGCTAATTGACCAGCTATTTCATAGCAACCAGGTACAACCAAATAGCTAATTGACCAGCTTTTCCATAAAAACAAGATATAACCATGATGTAATTAACTGTCACTAAACTAAACAAATATCCTCTATATACCTCTGCTAGGAGACAGAATATTTTACAATTTTTCTGATTTGAAAAAAAAATATCAATTTTAATTGCACAAAAAAGTATGAATAACTTTTGTATAAAAATGATGACAATCATACTTACAACAAGATGGTAAAGAGCTTGTCCAATCACCAGACGATTTACAAGTTGAACTTTTTCCCCTACATGTAATATTCTTCACACATTAAAAAAATTCCTACTGTTTAAACCATCAGTTACATGACACAAAACCCACTTGGATGCTAAAATTTGTCACATAAACAAAAATAAAAGAAAGGAGCTAGAAAAAGAAAACTTTTAAGTTGACATATGCTTCAAAATAATAATCATTTACAGTCATTGAGTATTTTCATTTTTTTGTGTGTGTCACATTAGTCACTGGTGTTGCATCCGTCATATAGGTCCCCTACCTTTTTCCCCCTTTGACAGTAAAATACAGCAATGTTTTAGCAAGATCTTCATGTAACAATATGACATGCATTTTAAAATCAAAATATTGTCACTGATTCACATGTTAATCTTGTAGAGCAAATGTAAAAAAAAAGAATACTTGCATAATGAAATAGTAAAATAACTTGTCTTTAACCCTTTACCACATATATACGCGAAACAACGCACTTTCGACCCCCCCCCCCTTTTTTAGGCCTCAAATAGTGAAAAAATGTCCTATTTGGGCCCCAAACATAAGTTTTCTTTTGAGAAATGTTGCTAAAAAAATTGAGCACTTTTTCGGCGCCGCCCCCCATCCAAAAGATACATCAGGGGGTTGCCAGAAGGGGGATGTGCCCCCTTCTGTTAGGGGGGTTTGAAGGGGGCGGAGTCCCCCTCATCGCCAAGAAAGTTTTGGACTTGTGAGAGGCTAAAATAACCCCAGGTCGATTATAATGTAACGTTTAACCAACGCTGAAAAGCCTTTGACTCTATCTCAATCCCTTGAGCAGTTACAGCACTTTGAAATAAATTTTGATGGAAAAAATCGAGGCAAAATAGTGATTTTTGGCAATTTTGAGATGTCCCCTCGTTGCCATGGTAACCGGAAATTTAAGACTGAGCATGTCGTTACAAAGGCAATGGTCCAGTCAACATTTGTGCCAAGTTTGATTAGTATTGAAGCATTTTTCATAGTTTCATAGCAGTTTGAACTTGTAACAGGAGGCTTTTCAGTGAAAACGGCCATTTTTCACAATATGCTCATGGGGAAAGGGTTAACTAAAAAAATTATAAATGTTACAAAACAACAATTTTTCACCAAAATTAGGTGAAAGACCACATGTTATCATGGAAAAACTAGTTTTTAGGTGATTCCAAAGTTTTTCATCATTTTTGTTAACCCTTTACCACATATATACGCGAAACAACGCACTTTCGACCCCCCCCCTTTTTTAGGCCTCAAATAGTGAAAAAATGTCCTATTTGGGCCCCAAACATAAGTTTTCTTTTGAGAAATGTTGCTAAAAAAATGAGCACTTTTTCGGCGCCGCCCCCATCCAAAAGATACATCAGGGGGTTGCCAGAAGGGGGATGTGCCCCCTTCTGTTAGGGGGGTTTGAAGGGGGGCGGAGTCCCCCTCATCGCCAAGAAAGTTTTGGACTTGTGAGAGGCTATAAATAACCCCAGGTCGATTATAATGTAACGTTTAACCAACGCTGAAAAGCCTTTGACTCTATCTCAATCCCTTGAGCAGTTACAGCACTTTGAAATAAATTTTGATGGAAAAAATCAAGGCAAAATAGTGATTTTTGGCAATTTTGAGATGTCCCCTCGTTGCCATGGTAACCGGAAATTTAAGACTGAGCATGTCGTTACAAAGGCAATGGTCCAGTCAACATTTGTGCCAAGTTTGATTAGTATTGAAGCATTTTTCAGTTTCATAGCAGTTTGAACTTGTAACAGGAGGCTTTTCAGTGAAAACGGCCATTTTTCACAATATGCTCATGGGGGAAAGGGTTAACTAAAAAATTATAAATGTTACAAAACAACAATTTTTCACCAAAATTAGGTGAAAGACCACATGTTAACATGGAAAAACTAGTTTTTAGGTGATTCCAAAGTTTTTCATCATTTTTTGTTAACCCTTTACCACATATATACGCGAAACAACGCACTTTCGACCCCCCCCCTTTTTTAGGCCTCAAATAGTGAAAAAATGTAGAAATGTTGCTAAAAAAATTGAGCACTTTTTCGGCGCCGCTCCCCATCCAAAAGATACATCAGGGGTTGCCAGAAGGGGGATGTGCCCTCGTCTGTTAGGGGGGTTTGAAGGGGGGCGGAGTCCCCCTCCATCGCCAAGAAAGTTTTGGACTTGTGAGAGGCTATAAATAACCCCAGGTCGATTATAATGTAACGTTTAACCAACGCTGAAAAGCCTTTGACTCTATCTCAATCCCTTGAGCAGTTACAGCACTTTGAAAATAAATTTTGATGGAAAAAATCGAGGCAAAATAGTGATTTTTGGCAATTTTGAGATGTCCCCTCGTTGCCATGGTAACCGGAAATTTAAGACTGAGCATGTCGTTACAAAGGCAATGGTCCAGTCAACATTTGTGCCAAGTTTGATTAGTATTGAAGCATTTTTCATAGTTTCATAGCAGTTTGAACTTGTAACAGGAGGCTTTTCAGTGAAAACGGCCATTTTTCACAATATGCTCATGGGGGAAAGGGTTAAAAACAAATAATGTTGAATTTAGAAGGAAAAAAAATGATACATAAAACAAAATATCATTTACAAATTTGCATGATTTAAAAGCATAATTTTATTTTATTAGGCGATTCACTAAATTTTAAATCTCTATACTTAACTATTCAACATCTTTCCTTGAAAAATACATAACCAGTATTAAATAGTGTCACACATAAAGCAGTCAGTTAATTCTTATACAGAGCAATTCTTAAACACTTGTACACTTGAATAACTGATTCTGTGTTGCTTTACTATTTTTGAATATGCTTTATAAGCATAGTTAATATTTAATACTGTTGAAACATAAAATTTGATATTATTAAAAAATATAAAATATAACTGCATATAATTATGCAATAAAACATAACTGAGCCATGTCATGACAAAACCAACATAATGGGTTTGCGACCAGATTATTCATTACAAAATATTTGTTTAATTAATTATGAATTTTATTATTAAAGGTGAGCACAAACAAGAAGTTCTAGGAAACACAGGCAGTGGACTTAAAAACAGACATGGATTAAAGAAATAGTAATTTAAATAATAAGAAACATTTGAAACAAATTTATGATTGAAACACTTCCAGCAAAATAATTGCAAAAAAAAAACAACAAAGTGTTGGATTCTAAGATTCCAAAACCTGCAGCTAGAAAAAAACTGTTTGTGTTATAGTGAATGTAGGGTATTCTATTCTGTATTTGGACTTAAGGATATGATATTTTTTTTATTAAATTTTGTGAAAGAAAAATTTAATGTGATTCATTATTGATAATTTTATCCCAAAATATGTGATCATGATAAAACTCATAAAATTCCGCCCCTGAATTCTGTCACAGAATTCCGCCCAGAATCTTGTTTGACAATTCCGCTCCGAAATTCCGCCCCAAGGTTCCGCCCCAAGATTCCGCTTCAAAATTCCGCCCCAACTCATTTGCATATTTCGTCCCAATTCCGCCCAGAATCCGTTCCATTTCCGCCTGGAATCCGGCCGGAATCCGTGCCAAAAGCAAATGGTTTAACACTTGTATATTCGTGGGAGAATTTAAATTTCTGGGCGGAATCTGCCTTTGAATTCCGCCCCATTTCCGTGCAGAAAATTTCGTACAGGTTTTTCTTCTTATTTTGAGAATAATTCGTATCTAAGAATTTTGAATTTAAGAATATTATTATTATAAATATTATATTATATAATACTATATTATTATAAATCCAAAGCTTAAATATAGCTTACCACAAGTGACGGACACATCACTCCATGACCCATCACTACTGCAAGTGATTGATGTTTCACCAGTTACACTATCCAATGTGTAACCTACGCTACAACTAAAAGTAACCTCTGTTACAGTCCCATTACTTGTATATCCAATGTTTCCATTACCAAGAGATGGTACAGACTCACAAGAAACTGCCAAGAAAAAGAATATTTCAGTTATACAAAGAAACTCTAACTGTGACAAAGCAAATGTATAACTTAAGTATTCTTTGGTATTATACTAAAGGCAAACAGTAGTCTGCCAGTAGTTTGTGTTCAATGAGGGTCAATACACCAGTCAAGGCATGAAAAATAGCTTTTGCTATTAAGTACTGAGTACAAACCCAAGACATGTCCTCTGTCATGTCCCTGAAAGGTTAATTTTGCAGCATAAAATGGTGATAATTAAAAAAGTACTTCCTTGCAATTTCCATGGAGTACTTACTATATATACTTATATTTTATAAGTCAGTTAGTTCAAGCCTCCATGTTTTGGATACAGTACAAAAGAGTCCACAATTTTGTGTTATTTTGATATTTAAATCCCTTTAAACTGGCAACTATCAGAACAAAGTTCATTATGCAAATGTAACAGTGATAGTTTTATATACAACTATCTATTTAGAGTGGAGTTATATCTAATATGAGGTCAGATGCCTTCTATGCAGCCAACTGATTTAGTGAAGATATTTCGAATAAAAAACTTAGTGAAATTAGTTTTGGTAATAGTCAATTCAGATATTCTGTTACAAAAATATGATTTTAAATTTGTAGTATAGCCCTGTCGTGAAATACATACATTTCAAATACTCTTACAAAAGGATATACTCAGACACAATTTATTTTCAAAATTGTTTTAAAATAAATGTATACTTTTCACTTTCATTTTGATAACCTATTCATTAGTGATTTATCATTATTGGAATAGAAATTAATGTAAAATCAACTGTAAAGAAATGTAAATCAAACCACAAGATGGGGGTGATCCATTCCATGATTGTCCAGCAACTTGACAAGTTCTTGTATTGTCTCCATGAAGAGTGTAACCTACATTACAACTATATATTACCGTGAAACCATTATCAGATATTGCCAAGCTTCCATTCTCAGGTGATGTTGGCGGGTCACATTCTAGATATCAAAATTAGAGAAATTAATTTATTTAAAATTCATATATTATATGAAAAACATTTTTGTTGTTTCAACTAGTTAACATAGGTCCTTATATTTACATTAAAATACTCCTCCATAGGTTATAGTAAATAAAATATATTTCCACTTAAAATCAAAGTTAAATTTCAAGGCACATTTTCATCTTGATGGAAATGTATCAAGGTAATACACATATTAATTAATAATTTGTACAACATTGTTCTTACTACAAACAGGTGTTTGGTAATCCCATGTTCCATTTTGACCACAGGTCAGCAGACTTTGACCATCAAGGTAATATCCAGCAACACATGAAAACAAGGCTTGTGTACTGCTCTCATTGAATGCTAAAATCATTGAACCACTGTCAGGACTTGACAGAGTATCACACTTAACACAAAAATAAAAAACTTTAAATATCTCTTTGAATAATTTTATATTTTTATTTTTTTAAATAGTAACCCTTAACCTGCTGATTTTTAAATGGATCAGTCCAGCTTTATTAAACATCCATTCCAAGTTTTAAGGGATTCAAAATCAAAATAATAATTGAGTCCAACAGATAACCCTGGTCGATTCACGGGGGTGCGGCTAGCTTTGGGTCTATCTGGTGGGTGATTTCACTTTGTTCCAGCAGGGAAAGTAAAAAATAAAATTATTTTGGAAAAAAATAGCAAAATAACATCACATGTTTCATATTGCATCACATATCAAATGTTATCAATTGAATTATTTCACACATTTTAAGTGAGCAAACAATTCTCGCCTATCGAACTTGGTCATATGAAACTGGCATATACTGTTTCATTCATACAGTTTATTAGTATTTTCATACAAGCTTCAATTAAGGGTGTCAAGATATATATCCCGAAAGACAAACAATATTATTATCCCACCCCACCCCCTCTTAAATTTTCGAATAGCAATAGAATAACAGTATAGTTACAGAAACGTATATTAATAAATGCACTTGATTCTTTCCAGTGTCCATAAAACTAGATGATTCTATCTTAAGTTTTAAACAAGAGGGCCATGATGGCCCTGGGGTCGCTCACCTGAACATAGGCCCCAAGGGCCGGGCCAGTTTAAACCAAAGGGCTTTTATTTGAACAAACTTGGAAGACACCCATTAAAAGATATTTCATGATGTTAAGTTTTTACTATACACAAATAATGAATAACAATGACTTCTGCCCCCTCCCCCTTCTCCCTGGCAGGGCCAATTTTTACCACAGGGCTTTTATTTGAACAAACTTGGTAAACATCCATTAGAACATGTTTCATGTTAAATATCTTAGCTCTAGCTCTTTTGGTTCATTAATAGAAGATTTTTACTTTTTTACTCTATGTATATAGGGAAAAATCAATAACCCCTGGGACAGGGCCAATTTTGACCCCAGGGCTTTTATTTGAACAAATTTGGTAGACACCCATTAGTTCTAATATGTTTTCATACTAAATATCTTAGCTCTAGCTCTTTGGGTTCTTTAAAAGATTTTTTTTAAGTTTTTACTATATGCATATAGGGAAAATCAATGACCCCCTGGGCGGGGCAAATTTTGACCCCAGGCCTTTATTTGAACAAACTTGGTAGAACACTGATAAGAAGATGTTTCATGCTTAATATCTTAGCTTTAGCTCTTTGGGTTCTTTAAGAGAAGATTTTTTTGAGTTATTACTATATGCACATAGGGAAAATCAATGACCCCTGGGGCTGGGCCAATTTTGACCCAGGGCTTTTATTTGAACAAACTTTGGTAGACACTGATAAGAAGATGTTTCTACTTAATATCTTAGCTCTAGCTCTTTGGGTTCTTTTAAGAGAGATTTTTTTGAGTTATTACTATATGCACATAGGGAAAATCAATGACCCCCTGGGGCTGGGCCAATTTTGACCCAGGGCTTTTATTTGAACAAAACTTGGTAGACATCCATTAGAACATGTTTTACGCCAAATATCTAAGCTCTAGCTCTTTGGGTTTTTTAGAAGAAGACTTTTTTAAGTTTTACTATATGCATATAGGGAAAATCAATGACCCCCTGGGCGGGGGCAAATTTTGACCCAGGGCTTTTATTTGAACAATCTTGGTAGGACACTTATTAGAAGATGTTTCATGCTTAATGCTTAGGTCTAGCTCTTTGGTTCTTAAAAAAAGAAGATTTTTTTTTTTTTAAGTTTTTTATTACTATATGCATACAGGAAAATCAATGACCCCCTGGGCGGGGCCAATTTTGACCCAGGGCTTTTATTTGAACAATCTTGGTAGACACTTATTAGAAGATATTTCATGCCTTAATATCTTAGGTCTAGCTCTTTTGGTTCTTTAAAAGAAGATTTTTTTAAGTTTTTACTATATCCATATAGGGAAAATCAATGACCCCCTGGGGCGGGGCCAATTTTGACCCAGGGCTTTTAATTTGAACAAACTTGGTAGACATCCATTAGGAACATATTAAATGCCAAATATCTAAGCTCTAGCTCTTCTTCTGTTTTTTTAGAAGAAGATTTTTTTAAGTTTTTACTATATGCATATAGGAAAAAATCAATGACCCCCTGGGACGGGGCCAATTTTGACCCAGGGCTTTTATTTGAACAATCTTGGTAGACACTCATTAGAAGATGTTTCATGCTTAATATCTTAGGTCTAGCTCTTTGGGTTCTTTTAAAGAAGATTTTTTTTAAGTTTTTACTATATGCATATAGGGAAAATCAATGACCCCCTGGGGCGGGCCAATTTGACCCCAGGGCTTTTATTTGAACAATCTTGGTAGACACCCGATTAGAAGATGTTTCATGCTAAATGTCTTAGTTCTAGCTCTTTGGTTCTTTAAAAGAAATTTTTTTAAGTTTTTAGTATATGCATATAGGGAAAATCAATTTACCCCCAGGGGCGGGCCAATTTTGACCCCAGGGCTTTTATTTGAACAAACTTGGTAGACATCCATTAGAACATTTTTCATGCCAAATATCTAAGCTCTAGCTCTTTCGGTTTTTTAGAAAGAAGATTTTTTAAGTTTTTACTTATGCATATAGGGAAAATCAATGACCCCCTGGACGGGCCATTTTGACCCAGGCTTTTATTTGAACAATCTTGGTAGACACTCATTAGAAGATGTTCATGCTTAATATCTTAGCTCTAGCTCTTTGGTTCTTTAAAAGAAGATTTTTTAAGTTTTTACTATATGCATATAGGGAAATCAATGACCCCCTGGGGCGGGGCCAATTTTTGACCCCAGGGATTTTATTTGAACAATCTTGGTAGACACTCACTAGAAGATGTTTATGCCAAATATCTAAGATCTAGCTCTTTGGGCTTTCTAATAGAAGATGTTTAAAGTTTTTTCTTTTGGTTGCCATGGCAACCAGAGTTCTGCATGGAATGGAATTCTTTGAACAACTTTGTTAAGGCTACACACAAGGAACATCTCTGTGAAGTTTCATTATGATCTGCCTTATGGTTTCAGAGGAGATGTCGTTTGAAAAGTGTGAACGGACAACGTACGACGGACGACGTACGACGGACGACGGACGAAGAGTGATCCTAATAGCTCACCCTGAGCATATGCTCAGGTGAGCTAAAAAACAGTTCTGTGTGAGATCAAATTGTCCCTCATTTTATGTTTTTGATTTAAAAAAAAAAAACACAAGAAACAAAACAAACAAAAAACAGATATTTAAAAGATTTACCACAGCTAGGTGACAGATCTGACCATGATCCTAATGAATTACAGGTACGAATTGATGATCCTGAACCATCCAAGGAATATCCTATGTCACAAGTATATGTTGCTATGCTGTTGCTTCCATCAGTTGCTATGGTTACCAATCCATCAACAGGGTTGGTCAAATCATCACATTCAACTTAGTAAATGCAAAACAATTAATGTCTCAAGATATCAAACCTTTTAAAATATCATCAATTTTGTTATCATTTGCAGAAGTAATCATGATTTTCATTTAAAAATTTCACCAGAAAAGACAAATTTAAGTTTCATTATAACAATCTTTCACTTTTAAATCTTAATATTTTTATTGTCTTGTTCATTGTGTATCAGATTATATTTTAAATATTCAGGGATTACCACAGCTCATTTAAAACTTATTTTATATCTTAACAATATGATGTGTTTATGATAAAAAAATACAAATATATTAAACTCAATTAGAATTTAATAAGAAAATTATTTTAGTTTAAATTGTTTTAAAATAATTGGAATAAGCAACTAAATCTATGGCTAATTTCCTCCTAATTTTTAGTTTTCAAAACTTACAATAAACAGAAATAATTAGCAAAAGAAATATACCACAAGTTGGTGGGGATTGATCCCACCCGGTGCCGTCTTCCTGGCAAGTGATGTTTGCAGCACCATCCATACTGTATCCACTGTTGCACTGATAAAACATCACCATACCATCTGAGGAGACACTCTCTGATCCGTCTAATATTGAAGTTGGTGATTCACACTCTATATATATCCAAAAAATAATGGCACATAAATTATAATGTATTTTTTCAATGCACATGTTCAATATGACTTAATAATATGTCGTCTTTAATTTTTCGAATACAGACATTACAACTATTAATAAGCTACCACTGCAAATTTGATTTGATTTTCATTATACATGTAGTTTGGATTATATATACATTAAGTATCAAATGCAGAAATGGCAACCTCCCAATGAGAAACAGCACATAACATTTTTCTAATGTATTTAGTTTCTTTACTCTTTTTATGTGTTATGAAAATTTATCCTAGTGCAAAACAATGACATTTTACAACAAACTAAACTAAAAGGGCAACAAGGAGTAAAAAGTGGCCTTGCTCCAATATATTCCATTTAATGGTGTTCCATTATGGCTACAACATCTTAACTACATTATAAAATTTAAATGAAAAAATGCAATATTATACAAAATACACTTCCAAAGAAATATGAATTAACGAGTAATACACGTCAAAAACTAAAAATACACTTCCTTTTAATTTGTAAATCCTGTATCATTATTTCTTTGTCCTTCAGTATCATTATTCAAATGTAATATATTTGAATGAATTTCATTATTATTTTAGATACAGTAGCTTCTATATCAAACATTTCAGTGTAGGTTTTATCAATAAGCTATATTATATTTCTTTGCAAAACTTACTGCAGCGTGGCTCTGTGTCTGTCCAGAAGCCCGAGTTCAGACAAGTCCTGGTGTTCACGCCAACAAGCTCATACCCGGTCACACACAGGTAAGTTGCCAAGGTAAATGTCCCATTAGTTGATACAGTGACCTCACCACTTGATATATTTACAAGCTCTTCACATGAGACTAGAAAACATGAAACACCAACATTTGTTAAGAAATATGCAGTACTTATCCCTTAACCTACTATATTTCTATAAAGGATCTGTCCAGCTTCGAATTTGAAACAGTCCATTTAAAGTTCAACAGGGCTTTTAACATCAAAATACAAAAATTTATCTACCAACAGTATAGAGCCTGGTGAGACTACATGGATGTGCAAGCTGGCCTGGCTCTATACTGGTGGCAAAGGCTGGTCAGTTTTGGTTCCAGCACTGGTTACGGGTTAATCAGAAAACAATTAGATTATACCTAAGCCAACATTATAGAAAACTTATGAGACACACATTTTTGTCATCAAATTAAAGTTACATAAATTTAAAATTCTCATTTTTTATCTGATTTGAAACAGTACACACACAGCTCTTTTAGAGAATGTAAGAATGTAATGATCCTTTTTCATATTATGAATATCAGTAGGTAATAGAACATATAACTCATAACATATTTAAAGATTCTGTATGCTGTAGTCAAGGTTGCTACCTCACCTAAGTGAAATTTTATATATGTATATAATTATGCTTATAAAACAATTTTCAAACATCCAAGAATATGTAAACTATTTACTGCAAATATTTGTCAACAATATGTAATCATTAAAATATATGCATTCATTTCTTATTGAAAAATTTGACTTAGACTTTATAGAAAATAAAATTCTAATTACCTCCCTTGATTTACATGAAATGTTAAATTCAGTAATATCTTTATGAATAATGCTTTTTGGAAACCGCTGTTAGGTCATGGTTTCGGTGAGGTATGTGCACAGGGCATTTCAGGGGAAAATATATCATTTTTAGGGGGAAATAATCAAATATACCTATTTTGGGCTAGGGGAATATAACAGCCTTTATTTTGGCTGTAAAATATATGTGGAAAAAATCATTAGTTAGCTGCTAAATCTAAAAATTTCAATACTGAAATATTTAAAACTTCAATTGGGCAGCTCCAAAATTCAAGAGCAACTGCATTTATATATATTTTTTCCACCGAGTAATGGGTAAAAACTCTTATTTTAGGTTGAATCCATGTAAATTACTCACTGCATTCTACAGTTGCCGACGCCCAATTTCCACTCTCATCACATTCTGACATCAAAATTGCTGCATCATTTATTGTAAAACCTATGTCACAAGAGTGTGTGGCTATAGTCTGTAAACCATTTGTTGTCAGTGAAACTGCTCCATTATTTGGAGACTGTAATACATCACATATTTCTGAAAAATAAACATATTACAAATTAATTTAAAATGTTCATGCTATGAATAATAAAAAAAAATTGTAACTGTAATAAAAATCAAATTGATTTAAAGTTAATTAATTAATTAATTAATATTAATTTACATTAAAATAATTATATTTTTGTCAAATCTATTATGTAAATTTAGCATAAATTCAGGATTCAAACAAAGTGACTATAAAACAATAATTACTGGAGTTCACATTGCTGTAATTAGATTTACGCAGACCTTAAATGATTTTCATTGACAAACTCTTCATTTCCAAATAATGCACATGAACTAGATATGCCCAAACTGATTTATACCTTTCATAATGTCCTATTCAAATAAACATTTGCACTAGGTTTCGTCATTGTCATTAATGGATATGTTACATAGAGGACCAAAACTCGGTGGAAATTGTTTTAAAACTTTATGCACAACATCTTACTCCAACCTTCCTTTTCTCAGAGCAATTCATACAAAATATTTTCATTCAGAACCCTGTAATTGTTTATAGACAAGAGAAGATGTCTTTGACCAAAATTCCTACTTATGACAATATGGAGCATTATTTACCCACAATCCATCAGGTTTGCATGTACGTGAAGCCACGCCTCCAAGGGTGTAATGTCTTTGACCAAAACTCATACTTATGACAATATGGAGCATTATTTACCCACAATCCATCAGGTTTGCATGTACATGAAGCCACGCCTACAAGGGTGTAATGTCTTTGACCAAAACTCATACTTACGACAATATGGAGCATTATTTACCCACAATCCATCAGGTTTGCATGTACGTGAAGCAACGCCTACAAGGGTGTAATGTCTTTGACCAAAACTCATACTTACGACAATATGGAGCATTATTTTCCCATAATCCATCAGGTTTGCATGTACGTGAAGCCACGCCTACAAGGGTGTAATGTCTTTGACCAAAACTCGTACTTACGACAATATGGAGCATTATTTACCCACAATCCATCAGGTTTGCATGTACGTGAAGCCACGCCTACAAGGGTGTAATGTCTTTGACCAAAACTCATACTTACGACAATATGGAGCATTGTTTACCCACAATCCATCAGGTTTGCATGTATGTGAAGCCACGCCTACAAGGGTGTAATGTCTTTGACCAAAACTCATACTTACGACAATATGGAGCATTGCTTTCCCACAATCCATCAGGTTTGCATGTACGTGAAGCCACGCCTACAAGGGTGTAACCAACGTCACAAGTATACTCTGCAGTTGTGTTTAATCCAGACAAACTTGTAAATGTTATACTTCCACTAGCTATATTCGACAAAGGCTGGCACATCACTGGATACAAATGATAAAATATGCTCAGATGTACATCGGTAACATTATAATTGGTGGCATAGGGGTTGTTTCTTTGAGAAGAAACTTTACACTCATTGCTCAGTACTTGTTGGTTCCAGGAACGGATTCAAAAGTGTGTCTATAAACTTATAGCTTCCTATACAATCAAACTTAAAAGAATCCTGTATGAACCAAGTGACTAGTACATGAAATTTACTACCAAATAATTTTGTGTTAATAATGATACTTTTTTGTCATTCATGCCAAACATAATAGTGTTACATCTCCAACATTAAAAATATTATGTATATTATGATATATTTTCTTAATTCAAAATTCTACATTTAAAATTGCTTGTTCAAGGAATGTGAATGATGTTGCCATGACAATGAGTCTATTTTATCAATTAGCAAACAGAGGCAAAGAATACTACTACTTTTTCTTGATGTGTCTCCCTAAAGTTAACTTAATTGTGATGTTGAATCATATAACATATACATGTATATGTTATAACATATACATGTATATGTTATAAAGTTACATACATGGAATAAAGATTATGGACAGATTGATTGGCACTTAATTATGATCAATAACTACACTGGTAAAATAATCTTATAATTTCAAACTATTTTAAAACTAATATCAGCTATAAATTAACATTTAATGTTCTAAAATTCTCAAATGTCACAGCAACAAAACAATTTTTTTTAATTACCACAAGAAGGTGGCGTATCGCTCCACCCAGATCCATCTGTCAGGCACGTTAGTTGTGATTCTCCACTAAGTGTGTAATTGACGGCACATGTGTAATAAGCAGTTTGATCTATCACAGTTAAATTCCCATTGGCTGGATCTGTAAGCTCGGCACAGTCTAAGGCAAAATAAGAAATAATAATAAAATTCAATTTATAGACAGTGAACTTTTTTCAATAGTTCCTAGTTCTGGCTTCCAAAACTTTATATGCCGCTTTTTAACATTTTTGTTTTTCATCTGATGCGGCATTAAAGTTTTGGATTAGACCCGTTACGAAACCTAACCAGAATAACATAAGTTGATTTATTCTTGTTTTTCACTTGCAAATACACTTGACCCAATCAATTCTTGTGCATTTTACGATAAAACAATCATTTTAGTATCATGCTATACCAATTAAAGTATCAAAATATTAATACCGTCATTAAAATTGCCTATTTAACTGTAAAATATCAATTTACGCCGACTACAGTTGGCCATGACATTCAGGTGCCACGCGAGATCTCGTATGACGTCATTCGCGGGAACAGATTTGAATAGAGTCGTGTACTATATTTAGACACATTTTGTTGACATGATTTTGATACTTTTATTCAAGATAATGTTTTTATTTATTTTCATTAATTTTTTAGTACTTAAATATGATTGTATTGAATATAAAAGTCAGTAAATCACCGTTTTCAATATCTTTAAAAAAAAGTAATTTATAAAAATATTGGAGACACATGGGTTGGTAAAGGTCAATCTCGTAATCACGTGATCAAACATTTTGGCAATATGGCGGCCAAGTGCCGAAAATTTTACCTGTCGGAAACTATTAGGTAGTTTATATTCGTAATAAGATTTTTATTTGTCCATCCTTGGCTTATCAACAGATAATATATAGTTTTATCAAGTTATGCTTCACTTTACTTCATGGCATGTTCGATGAATAAATACGAGCGTGTCAGATTCCTGGCACGATTATTGGTGGACTTTCCCTATGGGGTTATCTTCAGCGTTCACGTCATGTCATAGTATATAAACGGGTACGCTGAAGACCTTAAGCTAAATAGTTCCCAACTATTCACTTAACTTGCAAAATTATAAGTAATATTCTAATCGCTTGTGTGTCTTTAACTTACAAATGGCAAATGTTTTTTTCTTTACGAATTATCATATTGTTCTGTTTAAATCTGAAAAAATTATGTCATTTACAATTATCAATTATGATGCCAATTTCATAGTCACATTTCAAAAAGAGGATAAACTAAATCTACAGACATATTCTTTACAGAGGATCATAACTTTGATTTTGGGGCTTCCCCTTCTTTACATATAATAAAGGGACCACCATCATTTAAGTACAAACTGTTTTGGAAATCTCCTGAATTCAATTTGTATACATGGAAGCTGCTATTTGTACACACGAGTTAAAACTGTTTTTTGTTTCAAGTTTAATTATAAAGTAAATTAATGATAAACATGTACACATATTATAAATTATTGCATCATGTTTAAAAAAAACCAGCAAGTTTGCATTAATTAATATCAATTTAAACCAGATGGTGCTACTTGATGGTAATAAAAGTTACAGGAATAACAAATATTGTGACATCCATTAATATTCACATAACGTTGGTATATTAATTAAGAATTTATTACGGTAATATAAATGAGCACACTAATCAACCTTAATCAAAGCAAACATCAAAAGGACTTTTTCATGCCACAAGATGTCTAGCCTTGCAAGTCTTTTTAACCTTGGCTTCTAATATTCATTTTTTTAAAAAGTGGTTAAAGTTCAAAGGATGAGTGCATTAAACTAACTGAACTTTGCTGGGGAGGGTTGATAGTTTTGAAATAATACAAATAAATACCACACTGTGCAGGTTGACCATCCCAGATGCCATCTTGCCCACAAAGTCTAGTACTTGATCCACTTAATGAGTAGCCGTTATTGCAAGTGTATTCTGCTACCGATACTGTCCCATTGCTGGTTATAGACACACTTCCGCTTGGTGGTGCTGTCAACGTGTCACACGATACTGTAGGAAACAATAATATATTTATAGTACTATTCATAATATATTTGTTATTGATTATCACTGTTATTATAAGTGATATGAATTTAATGCAAAACAATGATTATTCATTTAATAAAATAAAAAAAGCAAACAAACAAAAATATCATGATCGCCTTAGTACACCGCCACCATTTTACTCCAATCAATTCATTTAAGGAGTAAACATGTTACTGCACTAAGGTGATGATATCCAAAAGTCACAAATGAGTATATAATCATAATCTGTTTGATACAATGTTTAGAAACATACTCGAAAAAAAATGTTTCATTTTAGACCTGAAACAATAAGAAAATGTTTCATTTTTCTTATTGTAATAAAAATATAATTATTTTTTTATGACAGAAAGTGAAGTTTAGCTTAAAGGGAAGGAAAACTGTAAAACTTACCACATGTTGATGCTGTTTGTGTCCATGTCCCAGAAGTGTCACATTCTGAAGTTACCTCCCCTACCAGCGAATATCCAGGGAGACAACTATAACTTGCCTGTGTTTGGGATCCATTTGTAGAGAATGTAATGTTGGCACCAGATACAGGTGACAAAGCTGTGCATGTAACTGAAATATTGTGAATGTACATATATATCAACAATGTTAAAAGTTACAATCAAATTGTTTCAGATTAATCTTTAAACATCACATTAATGTAACAATTTGGACAGATATAAAATTAAATCATGGATATGTCTGAAAATTTCATTTACTTATTTAATTAAGTGAATCTGAATTAAGTAGCAGCTTCATAACTAAATTAAGCTTTCTGTTTTCAAATAAAAATCTTTATATAAATCCAAGCATAATTATTCATATCAAGAACATAGCATCACATTTTAGGTGAATGTCCCTCAAAATCATCAAGTTTCTTCACTTGAGTGAATATCATGTTATCAGTATAAAACAAACAAAGATGAAGAACCATTAACCACAATGAATATCAAAACAGTCCACAAAACAACTTGTATGTTAAAGACTTATGGCATGGACATTCAAGTCATTTTCAATAGTAATCACCAGACTGTTTTTAATTGTAATTCTGATGCAGCAGTGAGACATTATTGCAGAAGCAATAGTCCAATAATATAAACAATTGATTATCAAAATTGATTTTCAACAAAACTAAGGGCACTGTAATAATCTACCACATGTTGGTGCATTTCCTGTCCACGAGGTACCATCCAATTGACAGTCACGCGACCTGTCGCCATCCATCGAGTAGCCGACATCGCATGTGTACGAAGCAACTGTTCCAGAGCCATCAATATCTACCTGTCCAAATTCTGGAGGTTCCAGATCTTCACATACTTAAAAAGAAAAAGGAAAATTCATTCTTAGAACATACTTGTTATAATCATTTTCAGAACAGTCTTCCCCAGACAGTTGTAAGCTGTACAACCATAGACAGATTCAAGAGGGAAGTACTACCACTCACTCTCCGATAGACTGTCAGGTGTTTTTTTACCATTTTACCAGCACTATACATAGTACCTTTTAAATCACTTTTGTACATATTTAGACACTTCTCACACACCGCTGTGCTAGTACGAGTATACACTCCGGAAGGTGTCTGTACTATATTGGAAGGCAAAGAAGAAGAACATATTGGTTATACTTTAACAGCACAAGATTTTTTAGACTTCAGATTTGACACTGAATTCAATAACACCAATCATTTTATTTTGAACAAATTTAGTTTTCATACTTTTTGTAGCACTTAACTGGTAGTTAAACATTAGTGACAGCCGTTTTTCTCAAAATGTTGATAAAACACAGTTTGGCTTTTGTCCGACACATCTTTTTTCTCAACTTACATAATAATAGTTCAAAACTATAATAAAAATTCTAAATAGATTGGCACAGGTACCTATTCCTAAAAGTTATCTATCTAGCTAAAAGCTTAAAATGTTGATAACTGTTAATAAGTAAAATCAGAGTTTGAAGGTGCAAAATATTTTTAAAAATCATAACATTTGACAATTAGGGTACTTTTAAAACAGCATGTTTGTAACCTCAGTGACAGGGACGCTTATCTATATATTTATATAAAGAAGTATATATTTATTTCAAGAATATTGGTAACTTTTTTCACTATCCCAACACTGTGCTGAGTCACTGTGTTTGTACCATGTACAACAAATTATGTTTAACTTTATGTTGATAAAGATAGACAACCATATAAAAATGACTTACTGCAGGTTGGAACAGGTAAATCCCAGGAACTATTTGAAAAGCAGGATAAAAGACTGTCACCCAACACCCTATAACCATCTGTACAGGTAAATGCAGCATATGTCCTTGAACCATCAGTTGTAAATGTTATATTTCCAAGGTTTGGAGTTGTTAATGATTGACAAGCAACTAAAATGAAAATGAAAACCTAAAGAAAACTAGATTTCAAACTATTTATAGTACAATAAACAGGTGAGATAAGGATTATAATACTTAGCTTCTTTGGCACAACATTTTAGGGATCAGTAATTAATTAAAAATGTTTTACAATGACACTAAAAACTTTATCATTTTTTTCTTTCTTGTTTTTACTTTCAAGGAACTCCATCCACTCAGAGGTAACACATATAGGCCTCATACTAATTGGGCCGTATCCTGGAATAGACTCTAGGGTTAAAACCTGTAGTATATAGGTATAAGGTTCATTACCTTTTCATTTGTGTATTATTATATTAGTTTTACTTCTGAAATATACATAGGCTTAGGCATAGTTCTGGCTTCCAAAACTTTATATGCCGCTATTTAACATTTTTGTTTTTCATCTGATGCGGCATTAAAGTTTTGGATTAGACCCGTTACGAAACCTAACCAGAATAACATAAGATGATTTATTCTTGTTTTTCACTTGCAAATACACTTGACCCAATCAATTCTTGTGCATTTTACGATAAAACAATTATTTTAATATCGTTCTATACCAATTAAAGTATCAAAATATTAATATCGTCATATAATTAATTGCCTATTTAACTGCAAAATATCAATTTACGCCGACTACAGTCGGCCATGACATTCAGGTGCCACGCAAGACCTCGTATGACGTCATTCGCAGGAACAGATTTGAATAGAGTCGTGTACTATATATAGAACATTTTGTTGACATGATTTCGATATTTTTATTCAAGATAATGTTTTTATTTATTTTCATTAATTTTTTAGTACTTAAATACGATTTTATTGAATATAAAAGTCAGTAAATCACCTTTTTCAATATCTTTAAAAAAAGTAATTTATAAAAATATTGGAAGCACATGCATGGGTTCATAAAGGTCAATCTTGTAATCACGTGGTCAAACATTTTGCAAATATGTCGGCCAAGTGCCGAAAATTTTACCTGTCGGAAACTATTAAGTAGTTTATATTCGTAATAAGATTTTTATTTGTCCATCCTTGGCTTATCAACAGATTATATATAGTTTTATCAAGGTGTGCTTCACTTTACTTCATGGCATGTTCGATGAATAAATACGAGCGTGTCAGATTCCTGGCACGATTATTGGTGGACTTTCCCTACGGGGTTATCTTCAGCGTTCACGTCATGTCATATTATATAAACGGGTACGCTGAAGACCTTAAGCTACCTTAGGCATGTTAGGGGTCGTTTATCGAGGAGATTACTTCAAAGTTGTCATAAATATCTTACTTAAATTGTCGATTTCGAATTCAAGGTTGTGATTTCTGGTTTTATCATATAAAACAAAGAGTGTTTTCTAAGTTTTGAAGTGGTCCAAAACTAATTTGAGATGTCATTTCCACCACAGGGGGAAGACGCTGTGATCTGACATTATCCCGGGCCCCCTCCCCACGAAGGCCCTGCTACAACCCATAAAAAATATCAATGCAAGTTGATTTGCACAATAAAAATTCATAAAAACAATATTCTGACACGTTTCGACGATTTTCATTATACCCCTATACTATATATTATAACAAGGGTACCGTCTTCTGTGCGCTTCCAGCGCTTTGATACTGCCCAAGTTCATATCTATCGTCGAAACTCAGCCAAAACTCAATATAATTTTTAAAAACATGGTCTCGATCAACGAAGCATTGATAAATGTATGTAATAACAACAGTCAATTTTGGAAATGTTGGCAACTTATTTTGATACAACTCCCGAAATTGCCGGTGACTTGAAATCTGACAAGATCTGATTCACGTAAACATTGAAATGTTCACGACTGAATTGCATCAGAAACGCTAAGATGCGTAGAAAATTTAATTGCATCTGTTAAAACAAAATATTCAATAAACATTACCACAAAAATACACTCCGAATATATTTCCTATCGTGGCGTAACGATCAAAGTATAATCCGATATTCCCGTCTTTTCTCATGCCTCCATTACACAAACTTGACCCGGAAACGGTGATGCAAACTCTGTATGGTTCTCGTCTCGCTTATACGACGGCGTACGATTCGGTACCAGTACTTTGTAAACATAAACACGTGTATAAATATTGGCAGCTCAGTGTACAAATACTCAGTGTTTTATTATATGTTTACCAGGTTAAACTATTGACATTTTGTGATTTCTGTACTATATCGACAGAAAATGTGCGGGAAAACAGTTCTAGACAAACTTTCGAAATTGGCGCTATATTTACACGTGTTTATGTTTACAAAGTTACTGGTACCGATCGTACCCGTCGTATAAGCCGGAGGACGAGAACCATACAGAGTTGTGCATCACCGTTTCCGGGTCAAGTTTGTGTAAATGGAGGCATGAGAAAAGACGGGAATATCGGATTATATTTGATCGTTACGCCACGATAGGAAATATATTCGGAGTGTATTTTTGTGGTAATGTTTATTGAATATTTTGTTTTAACAGATGCAATTAAATTTTCTACACATCTTAGCGTTTCTGATGCAATTCAGTCTGTGAACATTTCAATGTTTACGTGAATCAGATCTTGTCAGATTCAAGTCACCGGCAATTTCGGGAGTTGTATCAAAATAAGTTGCCAACATTTCCAAAATTGACTGTTGTTATTACATACATTTATCAATGCTTCGTTGATCGAGACCATGTTTTTTAAAATTATATAGTTTTTTGAGTTTTTTGGCTTTTTTTTCGACGATAGATATGAACTTGGGCAGTATCAAAGCGCTGGAAGCCGCACAGAAGACGGTTACCCTTGTTATAATATATAGTATAGGGGTATAATGAAAATCGTCGAAACGTGTCAGAATATTGTTTTTATGAATTTTTATTGTGCAAATCAACTTGCATTGATATTTTTTATGGGTTGTAGCAGGGCCTTCGGGGGGAGGGGGCCCGGGATAATGTCAGATCACAGCGTCTTCCCCCTGTGATTTCCACCTCCAGGCACACTGGTCTAACCCTTGGCTTTGCTTGCTTTATTAACAATGAAATATATGCACTTTGTTCAAAAGAATTACAATCTCAGACAAATATAAAACTGTGTAGTCACTCTTTGCTGGAAATTAAGAAGCTACAATGTTTCTACCTCTCTTTATAAATAATAACTTTGAACAGGCCCTATATCGAACATAACCATAAAAAACGATGGCGAGTATACATGATCCTCCGTATCTGTCGTTTGTAAGCCCCTTTCCTCGAGTAAATTAATTAACAACATGTGCGCGTTTAAACGGAATTAATCAGTTGTTTAAAAAAAAATACACCTGGGCGTTTTCAAAAGCATGTTGACATACAGCTGCTCGCGAAAACATATTATATTTGCTTTAAAAGATTTTTTGTCTATCAGAGCGGCGTTTTGTTTTACTGACATAACATTACAATCTACAGATACATAATAGATCTATATAATTATTGTCTACTCACAGAATGTCCATTAGATATTCGGTACACCCAGACTACACACTTTATTGCAGACGCTCACGAGAGTGCTGCATTTTTACTAAAAATAGCATATTACGTCAGCGCGCACCTGCAAAAGTCTCCCAATCAATCGGACTGTTTATTAAATACATTATTTAATGAAAATTGCAGATTCGGTTTGAATGAGCCTGTACATGAGAGATAAAGAAATTTATGCAACAACCCTCACGCCCCTAGCACCGGCTTGAGCTGTACTTTATCCCGTTTTCTGGACTAAACTTGGCAGTAAAACATAAAAAGATTGTATCAATTAAGTACTGTATTATTGCCAATTTTTGGTGCGCTACTTTTTTGATATTCAATCTTTAAAGATTTCTTTGGATAAAATTCGAGTCAACGTGTTGTTTATAGTACAGATCTACACAAAAGTCTGATTTGGAGCATTTTGCAGGCGCAAATTGAGAAAAAAATCACTTCAAACTTAACTTTTAATAGACACATTTTTGTTATAACTTCGACGTTGAAGACAAATATGGATCTATATTCACTTTAAGAATTCTTTTGGAATCAATGTTAGTTTACAAGCCAGATAATTATCTTTATATATTTCTTATATTTGCTTAGTTAACTTACCGCATGATGGCATGGTGTCACTCCAAGTGCCGTCTGTTTGACAGGTGACATTATTTGCACCCAGGAGACTGAATCCTACATCACATGAAAACATAGCGGCTGTGGTGTAACTAGCTTGTTCCAACGTAACATTGCCATTTGTAAGGTCTCCAAGCACAGAACATGTTTCTTAACATAGACGAAAATGAATATCAATCATAGTCACATGATAATCATTTATATAAATCTAGATTTACTTGTACACTGTATGTAGCAGCTAGTCTTTTATTAAAGGAAATAACATTTCTAGAGTGTTTTCATATACAAAAATATTGTGTTAACATTAATGAACATATGAACATTATATACTCATATTGTCAAGCGGGGTATTTTTTTGTTTTGGTCGCACCAACCTAGGACCAAAGCACCAACCTGGGACCAAAAATATTATGTTGTTTACTACAGACCCACAGTTTATATGAACAAGGTACACTGCTTGTAATCTAGTAATCTCAAAACATGGTACACAGGCGCGCAATACAGGGTACACACCACAGTCTTACTGTAAGACTATGTTAGAATTCTAATTACCACATATAGGCTCCGTTCCGTTCCAAGCATTGCCATTTGTCTGACACCACCTATACTGGTCTCCCTTTAAGACATATCCAACTTCGCACGAGTATGTTACATAACTGCCGTCCGCATAAACGTTCGCAAATCCATGATCGGGATCAGAAGGAGCTTCACATTCTACAAAATATCAATTCTATTACATTATCAGGATCAGAAGGCGCATAATTCAATTACATATTACATTATCGGGATCAGAAGGCGCATAATTCAATTACAAATTACATTATCGGGATTAGAATGAGCATAAATCTATTACCTGTTACATTATCGGGATCAGAAGGCGCATAATTATATATTACATAATTATTACATTATCGGGATCAGAATGCGCATAAATCTATATATTACCTATTACATTATCGGGATCAGACGGCACATAGCCCTATTACAAATTACATTATCGGGATTAGAATGCGCATAATTCTATCACATATATACATTATCGGGATCAGTAGGCGCTTAACACTTTACAAAATCATGTATTATTTGCCAATCATTTGCTTTTCTAAACCAGAAAAAAGAACGTATCCTATGGGGTCATTTAGACACTTGTAACTCGCTCAATGGCAGCTCAGATACTTAAGCCAGAAGCTCTGAGATGATACAGTAAAATAAGAGTAACTAGTTGTATATAGTTGCTAACGTTATCTTAACTTAAAAATTTTGCATCACAAATTTTTCGAAAATAAACATAGACCAACAATTTATACTTACTACAAGTAGGTGGCTCATCACTCCATGTGCCGTTGCCTAGGCAACTTCTTTCTGAGACGCCATACAACGCATATCCCGCTTCGCACGTGTAAATAGCTGTTGTTGCCGCTCCATTTGTTGTAACGTTTACAGATCCACCATCCGGGGAATCGAGCACTGGACAGGTATCTTATGTACCGGGATTATATAGATGTTTAGAAACTAAATTTTCTTTTTAGCAGTGTAAATCAAATTGATTTGAAAATTAAAAAAAAAACAGCACTATTTTCATAAAACTATCCTACTATAAATTATTATCAGTCATATACAGTTTGGTCGTTTAATTAATTTAAATGTATTGATTTTAACATAAAGTATATGATGCGATCAATACTTACAACATGTCTCTGAAATAGAAAAAAAGTAAATCAGAAATACCAATTGTCCGAGTTAATCAAAGAGAAATCATACCAGTATTAATGATAATGGTAAATCAAAGTGCTGCAGCACTGAATGCGACGGACATGCAACCGGAGAGACATTAATTAAGGCTTCTTTTTGAAAGAAACAAAACAAAACAAATCAAAACACAAAATATATAACAGAGAAAATTTGTTCCATACAAGTTCGAGATTTGTACAGCAATATATTTTGTGTCCCAAATTGATATAATTCAGATTTTCTACTTTCAAGCACTTAAATACAGAATGAAATTTATGCCTAAAAACTCTGGTCAAACTTGTAAATCAGTGTCCTTATCGATTTATTCTAAGAAATGATATGTAAATAGAAAAAAAAACTATCAACGAAATATTTCTAGAATAAATCCAGGCAAATAAACTTCAAACATAATACATTATACATTTGAGAATGCTATTTAGAATTGCTTCGTGTTATATCATAGTGGGCATACAGACAATAAAATATAAGTCATTTGTATTTTTATTTCTCTTGGATATGTCTCATTAAAAAAAAAAATTGGTTAAAGTCATCAGCAATTAATAGTGTATTTCTTAGATTTTTTTTATTTACAAGGTAAAGATGTAGAGGCCAGAGCACATCGTTTTTATTTTAATTTAAATGTCACTTAAGCACTACAGTGTTTAGTTGTCCTTTTCAACTTCACACTAAATTCCATTTTCAACTTGTTTGCTTCTTACAATTGTATAGCATTTCTAAAAGTATTGCATTACAATCCGCTGGTTTATTAATTACATGTTTAATGTGTACTTCCTAATCGCCTGTCCAAAAATCAGAACAAGTGAAGCAGAATCTATTTTTAGAATAGCGAAGGTTAACTCATATCATGACCTAGTAAAATATGTAAACAAACCACAAGAATCGGATGTAGAACTGATATTATAACTTCCTTACCATGAAAGACTACATGGCGGTAAAGTGTCTTACATGCATTTTCAAAAATAGATATTTATACTAGCCATTGTACTGTATCTAATATATTAATAACTGCTGAATATTCAGCTAAACCTGCGGTATGAGTCACGAAAATAGTTCTTCTTTTATTAATGCGCGATTTATCCTAGTCACGAAAAACTTTTGATTTGTTAATAATAATGTTTTGTATAATGTAGAAATATTTATTTCCTACTTATAATGTCTTGGAACTCAGAGGTTACACCTTTATTGAAGTATAATTTGCTGTCCTACTTTTTCGACAGCGGTAAATCGTTTCAGCAGTAATTTGCATATTGCGCAATAATACTACGGGACTACAACGTTTTTATCAATAATATACGTTCATATTTTAACTTGGATAACTTAATTTGAAATTGAAAAGGCTAAATATGGAAGACATTAAGATATCCAGACAAAGTATGGGAGTTTTGAAGGATCAAATTCATGTACTATTTCTTGGGCTGTTAATTGGTTTAGGACACATTGCGCGAGTGTAGCCAACGAAATCCCATGTGTAGATGACTTAGCTCTGAACGCGCCTGAGGGCGCGTCCGTCGCAAAAATATCAAAAAATAAATTTATTATTATTACATGTATTATTATTATTATTATTATTATTATCATCATCATTATCATTTTTATTATTATCATTATTATTATTATTATTATTATTATTATTATTATCATCATTATTATTATTATTTTTATTATTATTATTATTAGTATTATTAGTATTATCATTATCATTATCATCATTATTATTATTATTATTATTATTATTATTTTTATTATTAGTATTATTATTATTAGTATTATTATTCTCTGCTTTTGAGTTACGAATCGGTTTTAAAACATATTTTGATGCAAATTGTCAGGCTTTAAAAACATATTTTGATGCAAATTGTCACGCTTTAAAAACATATTTTGATGCAAATTGTCACGCTTTAAAAACATATTTTGATGCAAATTGTCAGGTTTTAAAAACATATTTTGATGCAAATTGTCAGGCTTTAAAAATATAATTTGATGCAAATTGTTACGCTTTAAAACATATTTCGATGCCAATTGTCAGGCTTTAAAAACATAGTTTGATGCAAATTGTCACGCTTTAAAAACATACTATTATTTTGATGCAAATTGTCAGACTTTAAAAACATAATTTGATGCAAATCATTGGCTTTAAAAACATATTTCGATGCCAATTGTCAGGCTTTAAAAACATAATTTGATGCAAATTGTCAGGCTTTAAAAACATATTTTGATGCAAATTGTTACACTTTAAAAACATAATTTGATGCAAATCGTTGCGCTTCAAAAACATATTTTGTTGTAAATCGTCACGCTTTAGAAACATATTTTGATGCAAATTGTCAGGCTTTAAAAACATATTTTGATGCAAATTGTTACATTTTAAAAACATATTTTGATGCAAATTGTCAGGCTTAAAGAAGATATTTTGATGCAAATTTTTACGCTTTAAAAACATATTTTGATGCAAATTGTCAGGCTTTAAAAACATATTTTGATGCAAATTATTACATTTTAAAAACATATTTTGATGCAAATTGCCACGATTAAAAACACATTTTGATGTAAATCGTCACGCTTTAGAAACATATTTTTATGCAAATCGTTGGCTTTAAAACATTTTTGATGCAAATTGTCACGCTTTAAAAATATATTTTGAAGTAAATCGTCACGATTGAAAAACATATTTTGGTACATATCGTCACGCTTTAAAAACATATTTTGATGCAAATTGTCACGCTTTAAAAACATATTTTGTTGTAAATCGTCACGATTGAAAAACATATTTTTATGCAAATCGTTGCGCTTTAAAACATTTTTGATGCAAATTGTCAGGCTTTAAAAACATATTTTGATGCAAATTGTTACATTTTAAAAACATATTTTGATGCAAATTGTCACGCTTTAAAAACATATTTTGTTGTAAATCGTCACGCTTTAGAAACATATTTTGATGCAAATCGTTGCGCTTTAAAATATTTTTGATGCAAATTGTCACGCTTTAAAAATATATTTTGAAGTAAATTGACACGCTTTAAAAACATATTTTGTTGTAAATCGTCACGATTTAAAAACAAATTTTGGTGCAAATCGTCACGCTTTAAAAACATATTTTGATGCAAATTGTCACGCTTTAAAACTATATTTTGATGCAAATCGTCACGTTTTAAAAACATATTTCGATGCAAATTGTCACGCTATTTGCAGCACTTCCACAAACATAACAAAACCATTAGTCTTACTATATGTCTGTGTAATGGTAATCAGTGATCCAATCGTCGAACCTGTAGGAGCAGACACGGAGGGGTCCACTGGGTAGTTAGACGATGTCTGGCTATTTCTGCAATATCCCGGCGCTACCGACGCCGTCGTCTTATCATTGCTTACCGCCTGAATTATAAAATGCAGGAGAAAATGCAAACCATTGAATCACTCTCCACGGGGGCGGTGGGGGTATGGAAAAGTTAAAACACTGATGTAAAAAGGTATGAACGAGTAAGGTGAAGGCAATAAAGCAAAGACAGAAGTATACAAATACATGGAGGAAATACACGACGCACATGTCTTGAATTATTGTCAATATTACTGTCACAGAGAATTTTTTTTTAAAAGTAGTAGATTCAATTTTGAAAACGAAAATCGTTTAAAAGAAATCATACTATGAAGTCAATTTATTTATCGAAGTGTTTTCTTAAAAGAAAAGGTTACATCAAAGTGCAATACTGTCAAAATTGTATAATTTACTATTACTGTAGGTATAGACGACTTATTTATTGAAAATGTCATTAAACCACGTGACCTCCCTAGTCGTTATAAATAAACAATGTACATGTACTTACAAAACATGCAAATTGGAAAGTGTTTGTACCATCAAAACTACCACTGTTGTAAACCGTAACAAAATTATCAGATCCAACGGGAACTGTATCAACACATTTCACAGAACTAGTGCCTAAAGAAACAATAAAATAAGACTTTGATAAAAAAAGATATATCTTGGACATATGATAACAATTTTAAGTGTTCTACTTCAGTATTATTAACTGTTCTAAACTTCTATTTGATAGACCCTGTTCTAATGAATAATCGTTTTTACCCATTTATTTGTAAATAAAAGAAAAACACACCAAAAATTTTACTGTTTTCGTTTATATAATTAATTTTGGTTCGATGGTGTAGGAGATATAAGCTTTTTGAAGCACTGTCAAATTTAAATCCGCTCCAGGAACCAACTAGTACTGAGCAAAGAGCGTGAAGTTTCTTACTCAAGGAAACATCGGCTTACACCTGACGGGTTTGAACCTATAGGACTGTTTTCGTTGATTTATTTGTTTCCAAACAGTTACATTAAATGTAACAGGCTTTTTCTCTTATATTTATCTTAAACTCATGTAGTAATTAAAATAAAATGGCATATATAAAACAACTTTATTGCAAGTAATAAGTTAGGCGTAAAAATTGCTACTGATATTGAGTTTCATAAATTAACAGATTCATTATTTCTGAAATTCGCCCCTTGTGTTGGAAGGGTTGGATTTAACGTTTGAGACATCAGAATTGCAGCCACTTTTTCTATTTGTGTAATCGTAAGCGGCGACTAAATGGGTTCGAACTATGTCTATGCATCTCTTAGCAGCAAGTGAAGTAGTTTTGACCCCTGGTGTTGCTTTAAGTTTGGAACACCTGAGGTAAGCCAAAATGATTTTTCCGGTTTCGGCGCCATATGACATAAATTGAGTTGGTGCGCAAAACAAACAAAAAAGAATCTGTAATTCTAAGTATTATAGATGCCCCTCCAATCTAACAGAAAAAGATCGCGGCAGATAGAACTATTGAAATATAGGCTATTCAAAAACAGATTACCTGAAAATGGTACATCAACTGAGCACGTAGATAGATCGAACATCATGCTGGTGATATCCGTGCACATGTCCCACGTGTTTCCACCGGCTGTACACGAGGATGACCCTGTGTTGGCGTCAGTATGTGTATAGTCAAATGTTCCGAGAAAAATCCAGGGACAGGAAACTGTTGCAGAACCTTCCTGGCCTGAAATTTATATTATTCATAGTTGCAAAGAAAAGAAAAATCAACTATGCTACTGAAGTAGTAATATAACAACCTTCTAAATTTTGTGTAGATGAAACAAATTTATTCAAACAAGTTTTAACCCCTTGTTTTAACCACTTTCAACGTTTCCCTTCCTGGAACTAAGAAGTTATGGTGTCAGTATGACAAAACATACCCGAGTACGGTTCGTATCCACGACTTCTGGCCTGGAAGTTATAAAACCTTTTTTCTGAGCTCTGCCTGGAATCTCAGGATTTTAATTTGGTCAGGGTATATTCCGTCCCTGTTTCCGACCAACCAGATACATGAGATGTGATTCTGAACTTAGAAAATTTCTTTGTAACTTCGGATTCTGGCTTGACAGGTAAACATAAGGCCACTGCTTCTTATAACAAATTTCTGAAGTTCTAGAATTCTTTTTACAGGTTGATTCAATTGTATCCAGCATATGTTTTTGTTGTTGTTTTTATTTTTAATCATACTAAACACTCAAATTCTAATTTCCTTCTTTCAAGCAGCTTTCTCAATTCAAAGATGAAAAGAAGATGACGATTAAAACTGAAATTAATTTATCTCAGTGATTTACCAGCTTTGATCATAACGTTATATTCTGCACCGGAAGCACCGAATGCGTCATAACATATTGTTGCTACTGTAGAGAGTGATAGTGATGCAGGAGCAATAAGGTATCTGTCCCATTCTATCTCCGGCTGTTCAGCTGTAAAGTGACCAACAAAAATACATGTATACTAGTATTGATTGATTGATAGTAATAATACATTTGATTGACAGTCTAACTGGGATATTGTACATGCACGAAAGGAAGGACAAGGCGAAATTTAAGTCCTTATATCTTAAAGGAGTTAAAGCAAGTTTCATGTACAAATGTTAAAAAGGAGGCATTGCAAGGTTTATGTGTCTATGCGAAAAAGGAGACGAAACAACAATGTTTATGCACCTATGTAAAACATTTAGGACATGGCAAGATTAATGCAATAAAGACAAAATTCAATGTAAATGCACTAACCTTTAAGAAAGGCAATACAATGTTTACAGACAACGCAAGACAACCAATGTTAAAAATGAGCATAAGCAATTGTTGCGCACAAATTTTGCCAAGGAGGACAATTAAATGTTTATGCGTAACTGTTAAAAGATGAGACGTATGGCGAGGTTAAAACACGTATGTTTAAAAGGATAACAAGGCAATGTGTATGCTTTATGTTGAAAAGGAGGACAAGCAAATTTGTATGCTGCTTTGTCAAAAAGAGGAAAGTCAAGATTGATGCAGCGATAGCAAACAGGTGTATAAGAAGGAAATATTTTTGCACCAATATAAAAAAGGAGAACAAGACAGGGTTTATGAATCAATGTAAAAATGAAGCAAGGCAATGGTTATTTACCAATGGTAAAAAGGACAAGAAAATGCTAAAATTGACTGTACCGGGAAATGTTGATAGACCAATATCTAAAAGGTGGCAAAGAAAGGTTTTATGCATCCATGTTAAAAAGTAGGACAAGGCAAGGTCTATGCACCAGTATTGAAAAGAAGGCAAGGCAATGTTTATTTACCAAAGTTAGACAGAAGGACAAGAAAATACTAGAATGGAGAACAGGGCAAGGCTTTTGGCCCATATTAAAAAGGAGGCAAATAAAGATTTATGCAATGTTAAGAAAAAAGGGAAACAAAATTCATGCACTAATTTTCAAAAGTAAGGCAAATGTATGAATTAAAAAAAATGATATATCATGGTTTGGTTCTTTTGTAAAGGGTTATGTAAATCTTTGGAACTAATGCAAAGTAACTAATGCTTAAAACAGGGACAAACATGTACTTTGGAAAGTAAAACGTAGTATACAAATTCTAAATTTTCAGGTTTAACTGTAGAGGAAGACCTCAGAAGCAAGTAAGACCACCAACCTCCCGTAAGCAAGCTGAGTAGCTTCCTGACATGAATGTGCCCAAAGTCCTTGGCGGGATTTGAACTCGCAGCATTAAGGGACAAGTTGTCAAAGTCAACGACCTTATTCACTCAGTCACGAATGCCAAGAGGATGGTAAAGTAAGATTTAGGCACTAAACCAAAAGTGGCAAGAAATATAAATGATATTGAGTGTTAAGGAGAGGCATTCGTATTGATAAGCCCAATTTCTGGTCTTAAAGTGCATGTTTTAACGCTTTAGTACGTATTACATGGAAATAAAAACGCTTACGTTCCATGACGTAATATCTATATGAGACATCAGTTACTGGCGTCAATTTTATGCAGAGATATGCATAGTAGCTCGAGGAAACAAACTGGATGAATGATTCCACAGATCTGTAAAATAATAAGATGTATGTGTTACACAAATAAAATATAAAACTACACACCAAAAAGATTTGATTGTGTCGGTTTGACTTCAAGTTTAGTAAAATGTTTAATGTTATTTATAAAAATGGACACTGTTGCACAAAATTCCATCAAATTAATAACTAAAGCTATGGAAAAGTTAAAGATGTAAATAGTTTAGATCATTCCGTTTCTATTGGGGAACGTTGATTTTAGAGTTACTAGTATTTCAAAGACATTCATGATTAAAGAAGCCGTCGTTAACTGTATGGCACATGCCTTCGGCACATCTCTCTTGTCAATAATGGTCAAATTATCATATCAATATTGATAAACAAGAGACAAAATAACTATCCTGCACCCGTTTCCTATATATATATATTATATATATATATATATATATATATATATATATATATATATATATATATATATATATATATATATATATATATATATATATATATATATAATATAATATATGTGCCGAACGCTTTTTCTGTATGTATGAAGGTTTTATATGCATATTTAACCAAAAATGATCTGAGAGTATTTACTAACCTCATAACCAAATAACCATCCGATTCGAACTGGTCTATATTTGTACATTGCCATTCGTTAATAACCTGCGTATCTTTCGTGAATGACCAGCCCTGCATTGTCGTCTGCGTAAATACCAGGCTCCCACGAGCGTTGTCGGTCCACGTGCTCGATGCAAACTGACTTGGCCATGTGCATTGCCCATCTACGAATTAGTAAATAAAATGCACAGATATATTATTTACAAATTACTATAAAATAAAACTATTATTTTATTATATATGATTTATTATATATGAATTTTACAATAAACAATATGATACATGTAGATAACCTTTCACCTTAAGGGATGATAGTGGTCGGGGGATTGGACGGACTTATTGACCGCAGTGGTTACTGCCGTTTACACTAAATCACTGTTCACACGCTGATGAAGTCCGAGTAAAGACGTTTATAGTATATAAATGTCAGGTACCTATCTGTGTCTAAAATAGTGCACGTAGTGGCACATTAGAATACTTTCCAAGTCTCAGTAATACATGTAAATCATTTCTTAAAGGAACTCCACTAAGGCCCGAAAGCATAAACCATGAATTTTTAATTTCTCACATATATCACATATATACATATATATGAGGCACATAAAACCGAAGTTTATGCAAAAGGTAGAAATATACTCTTAAATAATTAAAAATCGTATTTTGTGTTAAGCACTATTAGAGAGCAGCGCTTTTCAATTTTTGGTCAATTTTCACAATTAGAAAATTTATTATGAAAAAAAAAACAGACTGAGTAAATGATCTGAAATAGTGCAAAACATTATTGGTGTAGATCTACATCAAATGGAAAATTTATCACGAAAAATTATCTCCAGTCTTGTCATGGGGAGTAAACCTCAGTCGAGTCCCTTTAAAGTACTTATGGGTTAGTCTTTGTATACATGAAAAGTATACATCTCTAGAAAATAGTCTAATAGCCGAATTATTGCCATAATATTTTTTTTGTTATTCAACATGTGAAATAATACATTATGAAAATCTAAGTTTAAATAACAAAATAAACTTACCTGTCTTAAGTAACCAAACATTTAAAATTATAAGGAGGAATGATAATCGCATCTTTTTATTATCCGATAAAAATGAAATATATATTTTTATTTCATATAAGACCCCTTCTATTCATTCATACTTTTTAAGTTTAATTGTCTAATGTTTAAATGAATGGATAATTTCATACAAAAGAGAGACGTTCCTATTTAAAGCCACATGGTATTAACTATCACTAAAATAGTTTTAAAACAATACATAATTATTTTAAACAATTTACGTGTAAAATCAAAAGATCACCGTTTTATTTTTAAATACATATATCGGTAAAAGCCACGTTTGTGACTAGGTACAATAATGCCCATTGAACCTTGTAGGCATGACCTTTTTTATAATATGCATCGTACTTTTCTTTGTTATATCAGAACGCCTTTATTTTAGAATAGTTTGGAGTATTTTAAATGGTATCTCTATGACAGTACGCATGTTACAACAATGGATCATTATATTGCTACAATTTCTACCATTAGTCACATTAAAGATAAAGCTAATCAAGAGTTGAAAGGGTCAAATGGAAAACGAAACAAATAAAACAAAACAAAATAAATAGAAAAATAAAAAATTAAGAAAAACAACAAATAACAAAAAAAACCCACAACATAAACAAAACAATAAGAAAAAAACATTTATTAACGTTGATCATAGAGATCGAACAAACAGTTAGGAGAGACCCTGTGTGTGACCCCTCCCCACCCAACCCCAATTTTTTAGTACATTGAAACTTTCAACCGACTGTTCCAAATTCATGGACAAATTCATTGCACAAATATAGCTGTGGTTGCAGAAGGAAATATATTTTATAGATTTTTATTAGATCTATAACTAAAGTAATGAGGAATTCAAATGATAGATATACGTAATATAAGTTTATTAAAATTTTGTATTGCAATGATTAAGACTGTTCGCTATAAACTGTCGCTTTAAGAATACCTGATTTCAGACCATATGAAAAGATGATATCCGATTACCTTCATAATCGATCACTTTTACAGACCATTGTCCTTTTTTGTTTTTGTATTTTTAAACCAAACTGGTTTTGAATGTGAAATAATAATTGGTTGTTAAGTGACAAAAATGTAAGGAAAAGAAGCAAAAAACCAACATGAGGAAACTGTTTAGATGATGATAATGTTAAGATGTTTGCTTTGTCACGAATTTTGGCGATTTTGTACGTCTTTTGCCTGATTTTTGAAGGTCAGTAATATTTTTAGTCCATTGTTTAGTTGTTGAGCATTTCTTTGTGACAGATTACGACCATTAATTTTAATGAATTATCCTAATTTAGATGATTTTATATCACAGTTAAAAATTAAATTCTTTCTATTTTAGATAGGTATTTTTTTATCCAATTCAAATGTAATGAAGTTTTTGTTTCTCTTTACATTTGTAACACGATAGGGGATATGTAGCTTTTTCGTGTGAAATATCTACTATAAAGTGTTAGAATTATTACAACTATCTTGGAATATTTTGTGTTGAGACTTAATCTTTACAAAAACATGTGTTCCTTTTATTGAAAGAAAACAGGTAACAATATATTATTTTATTACTATTGTATCATAAAGAAAAGCAGTCACTGTGTTTTCACTGACTTTAAATCCTTCAAACATCACAGTGGGTTTGACTTTAATTCTTTTATAAAAGGAATCTATCCTGTTAGCTCGTCGGAGGCCGGTTGTTTGACTCAGACCGGTTCAACCTTTTCGTTCCTGAAAAAATGCACAGAGGGCACCTGCTGTCTTCCCCCCAAAAAATTAAGTTGCTGCAGGATATCTTATAGTTAACGTTAATCGGAAGTTTTACATGTCTTAAAACATACAGTTACGTCAGATGTAGGGGATACCAATCGACGGTGTCCTCAAATCGACGGTCTTTGACGGTCTTTGAATACTGGGGACGGCCGAAGACCGGGGACCGTCGAAGACCGGAGACCGTCGATTAGTATCCCATCAGATGAACCCTTTAATTCCTTAGTCATTTTCATTAAATTGAATTACTTTTTATGTATTTTATCTTCAGTTCGTTGTCAATGTACATTTGGAACGACGTTTGCCAGTACATCATGGCATGATAATACAAAAGGAACACTTACATTTACCTCTACAGGTATGACAGGGTTGTCATTTAAGTCTATAAGAACTGTTGGGACATCAACTATTTCATCGTGGCAGTGTGTTAACCACACAGACGATACGTATCTCATTTTAAGGTATAGTTTACTTAATTCATAGGTAAATCGTCTGCAATACATATACTAGTTACTCGGCGTACAATTTGAAATTTTGAGTTTCTTTTTTTTTTTGCTTCATTATTTAAAAGCGTATATAGACAAGATTTATAGTTGCTTTATGTCGCTTCCTGCAGTGCCATTTTCTATTTAAAGGTTCCTCTTTATTTTATTTTTTTTAAATGTCATTCATTCGTAAAAAGTTTTGGTTTAAGTACGCCCAAATAGGACTCGAAAGAAAGGAGAAAATATCATTTTACTAAAAAAAAAAATATTTTTTTTAAATCGAAGAATTTCAGAATACATGTACACTAAATCTGGATATTACAACTTTAATGTTAATATTTTTTTCAAGGTTGTCAAATTTCAAAAAGTGCTCTATTTTATCTGAGATGTAAATAAAGTCTTAAAAAGTTAATTAAAAAAAAAAAATAGGTGTTAAATGCATCTGTATACTCAATCAAATGTAATGTCATAGACTGGGAAAGACAGGGCGTAATTTTTATTCCACATTTTTATTTTCAGGACCACCAGTACGTTTGCCTTCCAACCTTTAAGTTCAACAACGAGTACTAACGTATATGCTTACGCATGTTTACAACTGACGTCAGTGACGTCAAACTCGTTCATATATTACCAGCGACAAGGTAAACGTCATTACTTTTTTTATTTTTTAAGTCAGGTCAAAACAAAAAATCACCGAGGTTTCATTCATTTTTAAAGTAACTGTTTTAAATTTTTGAGTTGTATAATATGATATTTTTATAAAATATACTTAAACAGCATTGAAACGATTCTTAAATAATTGAGAATCAATGATTTTGTAGCAATACTTAGTATTGCATATCTATTGTATTTTTAAAAATCGTTTTCAATACTTAAATACTCATGTCAGTTGTTTACAATTTTCTATAAGTTTTGTTTCACTATATGTCTTGTTTTATAAGGTTTGTTTCTGTACTCTCGTGCTCTTCTAGTACTCTGCATATGCGTTTTCAATACTTTTAATGCGTTATTTTGAGTACTGTATATATGATGTTTTTAGTGCACTACATGTGTTGTACTCAAAACTATACATGTGTTGTTTTTAGTACTGTGGTATTTTCAGCGTACATGCACAACATGTGTTGTTCTTGACTTAACAAGTACTGTTCCGTGTATAATTTGGTTTTACAGTACATGTGTTGTTCTCAGAACTATACATATTTTGTTTCCATTTCTCTACATATAGTTTTTCATTAAACAAATTGTGTTGTACTTGACTTAAGACGTGTTGTTTCCTGTATAATTTGTTTTAAGTAAATTTCATGTGTTGTTTTCAGAAACGTACATTACATGTGTTGTTTTCAGTAATGTATTATTGATCCAAACTCGAAGCAGGAAAGGTACATTACACAAACTCAGAAAAGGAAATGTCACTCGGACAGCTCTGGCATATACGCTAGGAACATAATAAATTAAAAAATCTTGGCAATGTTCTGGAACTTAATAATGTGTAAATAGCAAACCAACTTTGAATGGCGTTTATAAATATTTGATTAAATTTACTGTGTTTCTGTTTTAGTTCAAGAAATCAACCTAGGCGGCGAGAGGCTAAAGATTAGTGCCTCGTCTACACTGTTACAGGATGATGTATGTGATACAACCATAACCGTGCCAACCACAGAGTACCACGTTCTTGTCAAGTCAGGTACTTCTTGCTCTATACTTTACCATAGGAGAGCGAACCGCCTCGGTTTCGCATTTGTTAGAAATAGCGGAAAATGCATGTTGATTTATACTAGAACTGAAATAAACAAATATGCGTAACTATCTTATGTCAGAAGGGTATAAAGTTCATCCCTTGTATTGTAACTAACTCATTTTAAAGGTTACACTAGAACGGAGCATTATATACATTGACACCGTTGTCATTTTCCAGCTCATCAAATTAAACAGGAATCACGTTTGTTTCATCTTGCTTTAGCAATATGTTTCATAATAGTACATATATGTATTTCGTTATTCTCTAGGCTCTGAAGCCAGTGCTGCTATTCAATGTCCAGACTCATTACTTTTTGCTGCTGACTTCACTTACTATGCCAGCGACGGTACGTCTGCTTGCTCGTCCTCCGGAGACCGGTGGGACGTTTGTGCTAGTAAATCAGAAATGGCTATCACCACGAACACGTGTACTCAAGAAATAGCATTTTCAGGTACATTTTCTTATTTCATGTCACATATGTTTTATGAAACACAATATAAACTAACTTGCTATGTTTTCAATTGCAAATTTTAGAATTTGGTAAGTCAAATCAAAAACCGACCTTGCATATAAATAATCAAACATCTAGTAGGCCTCAGTTTTATACTTAGTACGTAAATAGTTTGAATCTAAAGTATTATTAATAATATTGGTGTAAACTTTGCCCATTTATGCTGTTATAAGCTTGTTTGTTGGTAGTTTTTAACCAGTTCTTTCACCCGACTGTACGAAAGACCAGTAGGGACTTTTCAACGATTTCATCTTCATGATTTCACAATTTCGACTCCATGATTTCAGCTTTATGAATACACGATTTCATGATGCTGAAATCGTGAAATTGAAATCGTGAATTCGTGAAGCTGAAATTGTGAATTCGTTATTTTCTGTATGCTGAAAACATGAATTCAAAAAGATGAAATCGGATATTCATGAAGTTGAAAGGTCCCCGCCCGTCTTTCGTTCGACTGTCAATTATTTTTTGCTTTTTCAGCGGACGGCAACTTTTACTGTGTAGCAAACATAATCAGCAACGGCTACGACTATACAACTGTTTATAACAGAGACTCGACTATCTCCTCCACAACTAACAGGTTTGCTTGTTTGGTAAGAACATGTTTCAAATGCTTTATTACTTCAATTATTACCTGTACTTGATTCTTGTGGGGTAAAAAGATGTGTTTAATACAACCTTTACGGCATTGTTATAATTTGGACATAAATTACTTTTACGATCATTGACGATAGAAATTTCAAAGCACAATACAATGTATACTTTTCTCCACAAAATTTCTTTAATCATTTGTCATAGGTCAAGTAACTAACTACATGTATATAAAAGTAACTGATGCATTTGCTAAAGTCTCATCTGAATACATCTTCAATTCATACCTAATTGTGTTTGTGTTCATTACTTTCCGGCAATCTTCCCTATTTTAGAATTTCGTTCTTCTTAATTTATTTTTTTACGCAGAGTATATGCGGAGATGATATATCTGTTGCCCCTGGAAACTGTACTGCATACCAAACACCATTTAGCTACCCGCTAGAAGCCGACCAGGCCACCAAAACTGGTCACAGAATTGTAATCACGGATAAATACGGTAATAACGCATTTTTTGTAACATATAAAGAGTACGAAACGGAACATATTTTAGTCGAACTCTGCTTTTTTTTCATTGCTGAAACTAATACAACCAAATATACACGTATAGGCATTTTCTATGAAAGAAATAACAAGGGAAATAAAAATTTAAAAAAGAAATGAATGAATAAACTAAGCAATCAATCATTTTATTTTTCCTTACTAACGTTTTTGCATGTTTTTGTTCTACAAGATTATGAAAGCTAGAATAACGGATAACATGATAAATTGTTATATAATTAAGTTAAAACAACAAAAAAATATTCAGGTTAACAATCCTTTCAGTGCCAAAGTAAAAACATCAAACCAAGGTAGACCCTGTAGTGTTGTAAAACATACCCGAAATTTATTCATTAATTATTTTCTTTCGTTTATATTTTACAGAGGACTGTGGTAAGTAAATCGTTTACAATCATATGAGCCGCGTCACGACAAAACCAACATTATGGGTTTGCGACCAGCATAAATCCAGACCAGCCTGCCCATCCGCGCATTCTGATCAGGATCTATGCTGTTCGCTTACAAAACCTATAACAAGTAGAGAAACTGATAGCGAACAGCATGGATCCTGATCAGACTGCGCGGATGCGGAAGCTGGTCTGGATCCATGCTGGTCGCAAACCCATTATGTTGGTTTTGTCGTGACACGGCTCATATATATTTCAAATCTATGCATGTATGTTAGAAAAACATTTAATTTGTTCTATGACTTTTTAAGACAAAAAGCATTGCTTAATATTTTATTAAAAAACTAGAGCTTATTTATTTCGATTTTAAACATAACCATAAAAAACTGTTTATTAAGTACAACTCTAGATATTTCCCTTTCCGGAAACATTTGTTTATAAATTGTTTATGAAATAACAAAAAAAAAATCTGATTGACATTTTACAGGACCATCTTCTGGTGGCTTATCAGTTGGGGAAATTGTTGCCATAGTGATATCTGTTCTATTTATAATTTACATGTGGACACTCAGCATAATATTTTGGATAATATTTTTTCTGGTTGCTAAGCGACTTTTGGAGTTGGCCGTTGTGTTTGTTGCAGAATTTACAAGTTATGGCGATCATATACCACGACAACAACCTTCCACACCTTTAAAACTTGACCTGTCCGATATTGATACAGAAAAATTTGCTGCATTAGAAGCAGGTTATACAATAAGTCCGTCAAAAATTGTACTTAATGGACACGCGAATGGGAAGATTGGTACAGAGAATGAAAGGTCGGGAGTTCACGGACAGCATCATAAAAGAGACGAAAAGGATACGTCCCAATTGATAAATTCTGGACGCCCAAAGCTGGATTAGTTTGGTTTCAAATATATTCATATTTACAAATGTAATGTTAAGTTATGTTACACTGATCGGACATGATGTTTACGATCTCATTGAGAAGGGAACAGTGGACATTTTATTTTTACCATACATAGGCTGGGAGCCAGATGTTGAATATGTATTAAGTGGAAATGAACACTACTTTAAGTGAAAATGTGTATTGTTTTAATTAAGTTATACATTTATATGATATGACTGAATACTGTGATTTATATGCTATTCATGAATTAAACGAACGTTCATCTATTTATAGACTTAATTAATGTTTACTATAGTTGTTTATTGATAACCGTGATGAGTATTTTTTAATCGTTAAAGTTACAGAATTGATATATGGACAAATTTAATACCAGGTGACATATAGCTTGGGATTCAGGCGATGATATTTTAGCTGATTCGTAATATACTCGCTATTTCATACTCGAATATCAATTTGCCGAATAGAAGTACATAAAAAAAACTCCGACAGACTGGAACCCAGGCTAGATCTGTAAAACGACACCTTCTTTTCGATAGTCATATTGCTAAGTTAAAAACCCGCGGGATGAATAGTAACAAATAATTGTTTTGATTTATAAATTTATATTTATAAAATTACACCTAACATATTATCATTTTTTTTAAATATCTATCGCCAGACAATCTGTCTGATAACTGTAAAGCAGTAAAAATTGCATATGTTGGATAAAGTTTTACGTCTCACAGACACGGTGCAGGTCATATTTAATATGTTGACTATCCAGCTTTACTAGTGATTTGAAGACCCCAGGTGTCCTTCCCTGCATTATTTCCGACACGAAGGGGCACATAAGTAGAACCACCGTCGTTCCCTAAGCTAGCTGGTTAGCTTCCTCACATGAAAGAATCCAAAGTCAAAGTCGGGATTCCAACCAAAACCGGTTAGGAACAATGGGTTTGAAGTCAACGACCGTAACCACTCAACCAAGGAGGACACCCCCTCTCTAAAAATGTATATGTAAAGATGTAGATGTAGCCCACATATGTAATTCATAATACTAAACATATGACGTTAAAATAATGACGTTTTTATGACGTAGTAATACCCCATGTACATATCATGCTCCTATTTATACCATCTCCCGTTGTTACTTAGGGGTGTTGAGACAACAGAATTGCTGCCACCGTTACCCCTGCGTGATCTTAAGATACGACTTAATTTGATTGAAATATTTGAGTCTATGAATCTCTCAGCTACAGCAGGTGAGGTAGCTTTGACCACTGGCGTTGCTTTAAGTTTGTAACACCCGAGGCTAGTCAAGATTATCTTTTCCGTTTCGGCGTCATATGACTTAAATTCTGTTGGTGCGCCGTAAAACCTAACAAACAAATGTATACATGTACTGTCATTGGACAGCTGTTGCCTGGTAACCATAACGTCTACAACCCAAACTGTGAGTCGTTGGTTCTATTCGTTCTTGTGTCGCGACCACGTTTCCTCGTGTTGCAACAGTACTGGCCAGAACTCGTTTGATAGTAAACCAGTCAAAAAAGTGATTCAAACTTTTACCAAAAACAAGCCAAAATGCATTGTACATAAAAGTTGTCCTAAAAATAACAAAAAATCGAATATTTTAATCACAGCTAGTAGGTGTCCGATCCTACCTGTTCTTAGTTTGACTCACTTTAGATATATAATTTTAGTTTAAACACATCAATATAAAAAAGCTCTGTTGATAACATAGCTGACACAGGGGAGGAATGTATTACGAAGGATGGAGTTCTTATGATAACTTGTCAGGAGTTATTGTGATAACTGTAACGGAGTTGGTGGGAAAACAATTTATATATAAAATAAACACTCGTCAAAATGATATTTTTTATCATTAAAACACGAGTTTTAGGTGCTAACTTAAATTTTATTGATAAAGCTTGCCTTACATATTGTATTATGTGTCAAAAACTAATTCATAGGCCATTTTTCGTCTTACAGGACTCTCCATAGTGCCACGGATTTATATTACAATAATAATGTAATATAAATCCGTGATAGTGCGGAAGAGTTATCATGGTCAAGTTAAAAAAATTGGATGTCATATCCCTAGACTCATTCTACTTCGTACTGAGTGAGCATGATTTGCTTTAAATACTTATCCATATGCACGAAAGAAATGCCATGTACGTTGCTATTTTTTAAACTGAAAACGAAAAATTTTCTGTCGATGTTTGATGGGTATTTCCCCTTTGTGATCTTAGTGGATGAAACTCTGCTAATTTAAAAAATATATAGTCAAACTTAATTCGCTCGAACCCGGAGAGGCGTGCAAATTTGTTCAAGAGATCGGTAGTATGAGCCATCTGCAGTTGAGTTTTTATCATGTATCGTACTTTTTGGATACATAGGTGTGGAGATTATCCTGGTTATATACTTGTTTACTATGGTATAAGATGATACAAATTACTAAGCCCTTAGATAAGAGAAGCACAACTGTATATTTTCTGCTTAAGAAAGGTGGTTGCTTAAAACATGTGTTACTGAGAACAACGTGTACGCTTTGAGACATTTTTGTTTTGTGGTTTAAGCCATGAGTCTGCTTAATATCGGTGACCGCTGATTCAAATTTTTACTGTTACACAGTAGATGATAGCCTATCACCTGTTTAACATTTGCAAAAACTCAAGACCAACATCATGTCCAAATTTTTGAGCACTACATTTCATAAAGATTTACAACCTTATTGAATAATAAAAAACGCTAGAATATGCCGTTATATATATTCATTATATTTACGTATTCATATTACGCAATAGATTTTAAATGACAAGTAATATAAACCATTTAACATTCAACTGATCATTTTTTCATTTAATCGAGCAAGCCTTGTAAACAAAAAATACGAGCCCGAATATCTAATTTCAAACTTACTGAAGTGTATCTTCTAAAAGTCCCCTTTGTTTAAACGACAATTGAAAACGTTAAAACTTATCTCTAAATAACATAAAATTAGTAACTTTCTTTTTAAATCAATAAACTGAAAACGTCATATTGTTTTAAAACTACCATGTCGACGGAATACTTTTGTGAAAACAATATGGCCGCCTTTATTTATTATGATTAAAATTAGATATTGTCATTTATGATACAAAAAAGACAAGAAAATGAGAGACTTATTTGTTGTTAGTGTTCTGTTCATTTTAAAAGGTAAATATCTTTATTTCACTTTTTTGTATGAATATGTTTTATATAAATTGTTACTCTGATGAAATACTGTAAAGAGTAAAAATTTTCATGTCATGATTGTTTGTTAATAAGCATTTGAATTCAAAAATAAATGACTGGCAATAGTGCTAAAATATGTTAATATTATTCCATTTGTGATTTTTTCCCGAATAAATGAAAATATTCTATTAGCATTATCAGAAATAGTCAATATGACAATACCAATATGAACTACACCATGAAATTGACTTAACCCATTGATTCATATAGACGTCTTTTCATGCCTTTTAACAGAAGGGCCCTATCTAGACACCAAACACTTTCGCTTGAGAATGTTGTTAAAAAGGTGATCATTTTTTCGACGCCATACCGTATCAAATAGATATATAGGGGGTGCCAGAGGGAGGATGTGCCCCCTTCTGATCAGGGTTTTCTTAAGAAAATTTTTGACTTGTGAGAGGCTATAAATGGCATAAGGTCGACCTTAAGGCACCGTGTATTTACCAACGCTAAAAGCCTATGACACTATCTCAATCCATTGAGTAGTTGCAGCTTTAATGGAAAAAAATTAATGCAAAATAGTGATTTTTGGCAATTTTGAGATGTCTCCTCGTTGCCATGGTAACTGGAAATTTAGGATTGAGTATGCCAATACAAAGTTTATGGTTCAGTCAACGTTTGTGCCAAGTTTGAACAGTATTGAAGCCTTTTTTATAGTTTCATAGCAATTTGAACTTGTTACAGGAGGCTTTTCAATGAAAACAACACAAAATGATCATGCAGATATGGATGTGTTGGATGAAATAAATAAAAAAGATTATTTGAGTCATGATGCTTAATGTTGTGTGTTTCTTGTAAACGGGCAAACTGTATAGTTTGGGTGGTCACATAAAAAGAGGGTCGTGTTTCACCATTGAATGATTATTTTATTTTGAAGCTGCCTCACATGAAGTTTCAAAAGTCCCTGGCGATATTCGAACACACAGCTGTGAGGGGCAAGTGGTTTGGAGTCAACGACATTACCCACGCCACGGAACCCCCTTAAACTAGTTAACAAAGTTATATGAAGCATATCAAAATTAAATGTATGTGAGCACTATGCCTGCCGTCACTTCGACAGATCTAACATTTTTATAACAAAATTAAAAAAAACGCAAAGATAGTTAAGATTCGTTTAGAACTTATTCTTTCTGTTTGCTTTCATATAGCCAATGGTCAGTGTAACATACCTTCGCCATTTGCAAGTTCAACATGGCTCGACAGTACACGTGGTACAATCACATTCGACACGACGACAATGAATGGTTGGGGCGTCACAGTTTTTAATCAGCAGCGAAGCTCGTGGGAATGTGTTGACAGTTCAGATTCTAGCACACTAGTTCTGAAGTAAGAGAAGATTTATGATAACTAGAGTTCTTAAGCCAATAAAGTGGACATATTTGTTTTGTATTGAAGAATGGTCTTCAATATTTACTTGTTCCCTTAAATGGTGTATCACAAAAACTCGAATGATTACATAGCTTCAATAATGTGGTGACCACTAAAAACTTTTAAAAAAATTAAGGTAGGTTCTATAGTTATATATTTATGAAATTATAGACGGAATATATATAAGTTATGTTTCATCTAGACATTTAATGTAATGATCTTTTAATTGCTCTATTGGAAAAATTGTTTTTCTTGTTTTAGATCTACAACTTCAATATTGTATTCCAACTCGCCGATCTTCATCTTCATGTGTATGAAGCTTACACAAATAACTACAAACTCTTACAGTTATAAGTTACAACAAGGTATGTAGTGGAACTTAATTAGATAGAATACAATAAACTGTTGCACTTATAAACTGGAAGATGAAAAAATGAAATGTATGTAGTCATTATTTTAATACATATTTCTATGCTTTTTTTATATGTTTTCATCCCTGTCTTATATTGTATTTAAATTCTTTCTTCACATGAGTTTTCTTTTGTGTCTTGTTCTATAGATTACCATTTTTTTATATAACCTTTTTATTCACTCCTTTGCTGCATGCAATGCACTAACATAATCAGTTTGTGTTATTTTTTTATTAATTTAAATTTAAAAAGTTTTTTTTTTTTCAAAGGTTTATTATGGGCCCCAAAAAATACTTATAAAAACTTTTTATATTTACAAAAAAATTAAAAAGTTTGCTTCCAAAAACTTTTTTGACCCTCCTAGATTTTAAATAAACTTTTTCTTTTCTTTTTTTCTTTTTTTGCCCAAATTTTTAATTATGCTGAATTTTTCCTTTTTCCCTGGAAATCAAAATACTTCTCTTTGTTTACATTTTTTTACCTTAACGACACATTACTGCACATTCAGCACTATTTTCTTCAGCCGTTAAAATCTAACATGCTCTCAATCCATTATTTAAACATTTCTA